TTTTCTGCTTCATCGCCTGCTTGTTTTGGCACAAGTCAAACCATCCCAGAGTGGTAAACCAGGGCAACAAACATCGGTCAGTACAACACTGTTGGCGCATAAAGAATTGATTGTTGGCCACCAACCACCTAACAGCCTATCTTGCTGTCTTACTTTCTCTCCTGATGCTATTATAGCTTAGTGAGCATCTGTAAATAAAATTGCAACTCTGGTAACACTGCAGGTGAATAGCTTCATTTCGAGCTACAAACTAAACTGCATAATGGAGAATGGTAGACACAAAGTATGTGAGATTTCAGACAATATTTAAATCTTTTATGCGCTTTGCACATGGATTTCTAAAAAATAAGTTTCTTTTGCGACTTCCAGTTTACTCGGTGCAACTTTAAATTTGCATCATTTGTCTAGAATGACATATGTTAGGCTCTTACGTTTTCGAGCTGTGCAGGTCAGCTAATCACTTATGTTTTATGTTTATTACTAGATTGCCTTTCCTACGCTGTTGACTTATCGCAAACTCGATTCTTCGGAGAATGGGCATGGAGTTAGAAACCTTCCACATAGAGGTTATTGATATAAATGTTGTTGAGAGATTCACTTGTCTGTTGTCAGCACATTTACCTTCGCATTTAGCATTCTGTTGAACGCTTCGAATAACAGCCATACTTATAAAGGCAAGAAAAAATAATGTAACAGTCATAAGCTTAGTTGAAATACCGTCAAATACGGTACCACAACCATCAAGTCATTGAACCACAAAAGTCTCAAGTTGATTAAGAGCAATACTTCTAAAAGATTCCGAAATTATGGCGGTCAAGTCAGCGATTCACGAAATATGCTGAAGGCTTGATAAAAAATTCCCAAGGCTCGGAGTCCAGTACGTAGAGGCAAATGTGCAGCCTCTTGCACCACGCATGCGATTGCTTTTAAGATTTCGCTGAGTCGCGCGAGAATCGCATGAACTGCCTGTACTTCAGAGCGAGCGAGCTCGGCCGCTGTCCGGAGGGATGAGTGAAGATTGTGGAATCACAGTTACCAGAGCGGCATCTATCACCGTTTCAATCGGACAGGAACGTGTTGCATTGGAGCGAACAAACGAGCAAGCCATCAGATAAAAAAGGACGCGCGTGCGCACTGTGCAGGTCTCGGCAGCAGGCGCGCCACTTATCTGTGTGACGTCACATCCATAACCAAGTTTTCGTGACATCAACCTCCCAAGTTGGGCACCCCTTCCAAACACAAAGAAAGACTCAGTTCTACGTCAAAAAAATATTTAGCATTACCATCATTGAATCACTATATTGTCCGTGCTTGGCAGAATTCCACCGTAATTCAACTGCCATTAAAGCACCGTCCAAAGAACGGCAAGCTAACTGCTTTCTTGATCCACACAACGAGTTGCACAATTTCTGTTTCAGAATTCACCGTAATATTTGCTTCTCAATATTATATCCTCCATGAAGCGCCCCCTCGCACACGGCGTCTTCCAATGTCAGTGGCCGGTCCTTGCGAGAAATGACTTGTGCCCATTGTCCCATACGTTCAGAACCATTGTCCCATACGTTCAGAATCAGAAGGAATGCTGAGCAATGTTACTTTTCCTTCGCAGCTCCAATAACCGCAATAGCAATTTTAAGCAAAGCACTTGCATCCTTACGAATGTTGGACCATGCCAGTATTCCAGGCTGTGATGTACAAAGATGTCAGCAGTCCAAGCAGAGAGGAAAAACCCATGACAATATGTTTGTCACTACTCACAACAAAATCGAACCCTCGAGTCAGGGCAGTTAGTGGCGAGCAGTAATAAATTTGGAGACCTCGCAGCACGGTACCCGCCCCTCTCAGCCTACCTCAACTAGGGTAGGCGGTGCCGTAAAAGAAAAAAAAAAAGCCAACAATATTTAATTTAAAAAAAGATCAGAAAAAAAAAAAAAAATCTGTGCACCGATAAATAAAATTATGTGCACCTGCTCGTGAATCTGGATGTGCATTTAAATATTCCTCCCGAAATGAGGGATTGTTTGGTGTTAGGGATCTTGCAACAGATATTGAGAATGTCAATGGTGTGCTAAGTAAAAAACAGGGCGACAAAAAAAAATATTTTTAGAAGGATTCATGTTGTGATTACCATGAGGTTTTTTTTCCTATTTAAGCGAAAAGCCAAGCGTTCGAAATTCCTGTGAAATAAGAAATGCTATCCCAAAAAGTATAGTATGAACGCCAAGAACTCTTCTGTTTGTGTTTCCTCTAGCAGGCCTTGGACCTTTGGTGCTTACTTTTATGCAGCATACTTTCAAGCTTTCTAAGCGCGTGTTTCGCCGACAACATGGCCGACAGAGCAGCTCGGCGCGAGTCACGTGGTACTCTGGGTTTCAGGAGGCGACAACCCTATGGGAGAACACGTGAAGATCGAAGCAACGCGGCTGATTAAAAAATAAACGCCGAGTTCACTCTTTTTGAAACTAATCTGTCGTGAAGTTAGTAAAGCACTAAACACTTTATCAAAATTTTCATAACATTGGATGCATGTGAAAATTTTGAAAAGGCATTTTCCGAGGCAGTGGTGTTTGAAGCAGACAATTTTTTTGCTTAGTGGAGATGGACCTTTTTTGGGTTGGCCGGAGCGTGTGACGTGAACGGTGTGACGTCGCCGCGTCGTCTGCTGCACAAGGCTGCTCAGGCAATTAAAAAAAAGTTTATGTTTTGACATGGCACACAATTTAGCAGAAATTATTATAAAATGTTCCTTTATTATGTCAAAAACTACTGTTGTTCGGTACATCCCCAAAATATTGAAGAAAAAACTATTTTCTCACGTTCCCAGAGTTGGAACATCCAGGCATTCGCCGCTAGTCGCCGAGAGATGGTGTTCTAGATTGCGCTACCCTGCTCCGGAGCTATATAGTGCTCTAAGATCAATCACAGGAATTCTTTCCCAGCGGAATGCATCGTGGTGACAAAAAGCCATCAGTAAATGCAGAACGCAGATGGTTGGGTGCTTAGTCTGTCGGACGGGTTAGCCAGTCTTAGGGCCACATCTGTGGTACCTTCTACGAGAAAGCTGAGCAAACACACAGGAGAGAGAGACACTACCTGGTCGTGCACACCTGCGGGGAGCCAGTCGCAGTCTCCTCACCCAAAGAGCCCATCTTACGCCGTGCCCTGTGCTAGTGGAGTGGCTGTGATTGACATGTTGGCAGCTGTTACAAATGTATTAGTGTTGCAGCAAAACTTTGTTACCCCAATGATGGTGCACATTCTGTGTCTTCATACTGTATCCGTTGTATTAGGATACATTTAAATTGCTTTCGGTTACCTCATATAAGCACAGTTCAGTTGTTCTATTATTTTTAATTTATCACAATACAGGGTGTTTTTTTTAGGCTTTACAGATTTGTTTAAGAAAAGCCGTGAAAGTTATATTACAGTGAAACCCGTTCAGAACGAACCCACATACAGTGAATTATTGTCAATATCAAACTCACGAAAATTTTTAATAAAAATGCATCGAAAAGTACTTTTTATAACGAATACATGTTGGCTATATCAAAATATCCCCCCCCGGATAGCTTTCAAAAACGCGCAAAGAATCGTCTTCTAACCTGTCCCTTCCCCCCAAAAAAGTAGGAAAGAAAGAAAATTTCAAGAGCTCAAGTTATGAACAAAATTGAGGGAAGAGAAGCGATTCAGGAGAGAAAGCAAAAAAATACCCTTTGCACGCATGCACAGAAAAAAAAAAAAAAAATCTTTTCATCCCAAAATGGTTGCCCACGAAGAGAAGCTAAGAAAACAAACTCTGCAACATGCAAAAAAAAACAAAAAAACAACTAGCGCGTTGTTACAAGGCGGAAGCGAAGAGATGAGAAAGAAAGAGGAGCTCTCGCCTTACAACGAATGCATCGTGGAAGTTTGTTGTAAATGGTTTTTGCAATATCGAACTACCTTGCTATGTCGAACTGATTGTAGCATTTCCTGTTGTTCGTTATAAACGGGCTTGACTGTAACACGGTTTTTACAGGTCAGTCATATGGTCAGGGGGACATATTATATGGGAATAATTGTCTTAATAAGTCTGCTAATAAACTCAGACATTTATTTAACTTTTTACTTAGTGAAAGATTTTAAAGGGAACAGACCTCTATCTCAGCTTTTTGGAAACTCACAGTTGTTTGCCAGTGATGTCCTTTTATTTGATTTGTTTATATGACTACTGTGGGCCCTGACTCGATGTGATAACATGAATTAAGATGACACACACTGCCAGCGTGCTGGCACTATTAATAAAACAAGAGAGCAAGTACGCTGTCGTTTCTGTTGCTCAATTAACCATGCTCAACATGTCCTTAAAAAACAATCCGTTAATTTGGCAGTTCTCTGAAGACTTTTGTTACAACACCCTGAACAAATACTTGTCTTTTAATATGGATGTTTTTTTTAAGGTGAGAATTCCAAGCTTGTAGCTTTATCTTTGACAGTTGCTACTGCTGATTGAGAGTTAGGGAAAGCCGAGCCGAAATGCACCCTTCAATGAATAGCTCGCGCTTTCAGCCTAGTAGCGGAATTGTTGTGCATTACAAAAAAAAATAAAGCGAAACATAGGGCAAATAAACAGATGAGTATAAACTATATGAATATGTTAAAAGAGGAGAGCTACTTTTTGAGTGAAAATGAATCGACGAGATGAGGTCACTATGGCGCATGCCATTTTTGGCGCTCCAGACATGGGAATCGGGACTCGTAGCCGGTTGCCTGCGGGCCACGTCCCAGTGAGTTGCGGGCCTCATGCAGCCCGCAGGTTGCATGTTTGAGACCCCTGTGCTAGAATTACGACAACTGACAATGCATCACACTAACTTCCGTATTGCAGTTTGCTGCCACTTGGGGAGCACTTTTGATACGTCGTCCGGAGATGCATTTCAGGCACTGTTGCGGAAGTAACTCGGGTCTGCTCGAGTAAAATTGGGAACACAGCCCACGTGGGTCCCCGTGTGTGTGTGCAGGAAAGAGCTTGGTGGCAGAAGTGCTGATGCTAAAGAGGGTGTTGGAGACTCACACCAAGGCCTTGATGGTGCTGCCCTTCATTTCCCTGGCCAGGGAGAAACTGAACGCACTGCAGGTGAGCACACCCCCAGGACTACTCGGGTTTCCAGCATGGGGGCTCGAAAAGGACTCTGGGAGACGTTTCATTTCATTTCATTTATTGACCTCGAAGGCATCTATTGATGCAATACATGAGGGGGGTAACAAGAATGGGGGAGAAGTCATGACTTATATACATATATAAGAAACATTGATTAAAACAAACTTGTTGAACGTGGCAGCAACAAAAACGCCAGTGTACAAAATTAGCAAGCATGCAATGAATTGTGTACACATTGTATAACTCATGCAGTACAATACCGAAGTTGACAATAATACAAAGGTTGGTTGTTCAAAATATAATAAACGTCATGGAACAGCAGATAAACGAAACAACTCTTCAGAACTCTGTTTAAACAATATCGGGTCACATAATATCACAACATTATTGGCTCTATGGCTGTGGGGGAGTGGTGAAAATGTGAACAAGTTAGTATGTGATCTAATGGGTTCAACTTTGTAAGAGTGATCAAGGTCTAGCAGATATGAACCCTTCCGGCGAGCAGAGAAAGGTTTTGAATAATGATCCGTCATGACGTATTTGATGAAAAAAAGAAGCGAGCAATATTTTGCCGAGTCTAAAGGATCTACGCCCAAGCTTCTCTTTAAGTCTTCGACACTTGTGAAGGTGAAGTACTCATATAAATAAAACAATAAATAAATTGCGCAGCTTTATTCTGCAGAGCTTCTAGTTTTAAAGCTTAAAGGGGCACTGACACCCCAAAGGTCGTATCTTTTTATTGTCTAAAACGATGCAAGTTGCAGTCATAGACGCAAAGAAAACCGCATCACGAAAAAAAAATTTCCCGCGCGCGTGCGCGCCTTTTTATTTTTGGCGTTTGATTCTCCCGCCTCTCGCCTTCTCGCTTCTTTTGATTCGTGACGTCAGGAATCATGAAATTTAGAAGCTTTGTAGGGGACATTTCTATAACATTTAATAACGGCAATCATAAAACATGTTTTTTAACACAATTGCGAACGCACTACGGCCCTTCTTTTTGAAATACCAAAAATCGGAATCCGTTGTGGTGCCGTCTCCTGAATTTGTATCCTCCCACGGAAAACAGGCGACACCGCTCAAAACCAGTCTGCCGTCGCTTGCTCCTTTCCTCCTCGCTTTGGGTCGCCATGGCAACAGCAGGGGGTCGTGAAAGAAAGTGGACTCTCAGGACTCCGTAATATTTGACGTCAACGCACCGGCACGGATCGCGCTGGAACTTCGAATTCGGCATTTGGAAATTGTTTTTTTACTTCACAAATACTGAATCCCAAATTTCGAATTTTGAGGGTAATGTCCCGGCATCGTTTTCAATCGTTTCGGATAATAAAAAAAATTATAATTTTGATGTGTCAGTGCCTCTTTAAAGGGAAGATGGGGCACTTCTACATTTGAGAAAAAAATGTTTGAATTGCGTTCATCTGGCCTTTAGAATAACAGATATCACAATTATATTTCAATGCGATGCGCCGGAGAGCCATAAGAGCAATTTGAAAATAGGGCTGAAGCCCCGCCTCCCTAGCCTTGGCAAGCCAAAAGATCCGTCGATGACGTCACGTACAGCGACTGTCTTTCGCGTTTTTCTCGCGTTTAACAATACTTGCGCGGAAAACGGTTTTGGTATTCGGGTTCACGAGGTAAAAATACACTAGAATTCACTTCTAACTCATTTTTTTCAAGAAGCTCCGTAGCTTCCCTTTAATAGCTTTAATGAGAATTCCATATATAATACTGGCATATTCTAGTTTGGAAAGGATGATTGATTTATAAGCAAGAAGCTTCGTTGTTTGTGGAGCGGAATGAATGTTGCGTTTTAAGAAACCGAGTTTCTTAGATGCATTTGCAGTTGTGCTTTCTATGTGCGTTTTCCACGACAAGTTGCTGGTAAAATGGACCCCTAAGTACTGATATGAGGGTACATTTTCAATGTCCTGGATTAAAATTTAATATTGGAAAGATGACTGTGTTTTTTGTTTGTAACTGTTAAAATGCAACATTCACTAGAATTTATTTTCATTTGCCAGGTAACACACAGTTCGCTGATTTTGTTCAGATTTTGGAGAATTAAGTGATCAGCTGGGGAAGATATTTTTCGATAGATAGCTCAATCATCAGCGAAGAGCCTTATTGTTGACTTAATACTTTCTGGGAGGTCGTTAATACTATATACTAAAATAAGTGAGGGTTTGAGAATGCTTCCCTGGGGCACTCCAGTGATCATGGGCAGCTGAGAAGAAACACTATTGTTAACCATCACTGAATGCGCTCTGTCGGTAAGAAAGGCTGATATCCAGTCAACTATCAAGAGGTCAATTTGAAGGTGAGAAAGATTTGAAATTAAACGCTCGTGAGGTACTGCATCACATGCTTTTGCGAAATCGATAAATGTAATATCAGTTTGCACTCCAGCATGAGTGTTTAAGTGCAAATCATATACAAATACGAAGAGCTGCGTGTCACATAAGTTTTCCTGAAACCATGTTGATTAGCAAAGAAAAGTTGATTTGACCCAAGTGTGCCATGTTTCATTAATTTGCAAGACACACTTGTGAGCGAAAAAAGATGGTAACTGGACGAGTTGGATGCGTCGCCGAATTTAAAAATGGGCTTAGCAATTGCAGAATGCCATTCAGGTGGAACACTTCCTGAGTCAAGGCTTTGTTGAAATAGTTGAGATAAAGAAGGGGATACAAGACCTTTTATCATGCTAAAAAACTTTGCTGTTATAGAACTGTCACCCGGGGCACTGTTGATTGGGAGTATTTCTATTATCGTCATAATGCCGTCACTACTAAATTCAATGGGAGATGCAACAGTATCTTTTTATAACTGATAGCATTTCTTTGCTGTCGTTTCAAGTAATGCCAAAGAGACCATTCAAGAAATATGCAGCATACTCACCGTTTTCCGGATGCGTTGCTGAAATCCGATGTACAGCACTTCCCGGAAAAAAAATAGTTTTTTCCATTGTTGAAATGAGCTATGCATATCCAAACTCTCGGTCTGTACCCAAATGAAGCTGTAGCGATTGGAACCAGATGCCAAGGTTTCAGAATTAACCGTTATCTCTTTAAAAAGTTACACGATTTTCTGAAGCTTTTAATGGGAAAAGGGGCCCATTCCCGGTGCTTGATGCCGTTCAACCCCATGTATTTGTGGGCTTTGTTGGCCACTATTTTCCCACTGAAAATTTACGAAAATTGCTGATAACTTTTGAATAAGATAACGGTTAGCTTTAAAATTTTAGCATCTAGTCTGCACCACTAGTGCTAGATTTTGGCGGAGACCGGGCGTTTGGCGTTGCATAGTTTATTTTTGCGGTGAAAGAAATCCCATAGATTTCTTGGGGGGACACCCTGTACTACGCCTAAGGGAACACTTATGAATAGAAAAAACAGGTCATGTTGGTTTACCATTTTGGGATTTTAGAATGCAAATAAGGCAGAGGATAACCCAGGTAACGACTGGCAAGAACTGTAACTTCTTTGTGTAGTTGCGAGGAGCAAGGACCTTTGGAAAGACTTTGAATCCATGTGACATAAACATTGCCATCTAGGGTCTGGAGTTTGGATCATCTGGTTAATTTAGCTTTTTCAATATTTCTTTTCGTCTCATTTGTTGCATCTTGTGCATTCCTTAAAACAAAGAAAAGGAGTAATGTGTTTAAGAGAATACAAAAAGTAGTGTTGAAGAATAATAGGAAGGAGATAACGAAAGACATACTGCTCTTTCGGCGTTCCCGCTTTGCCCATTCAGCTACACCATATCGGCACTCCCTGTTCTCCAGAGTAATTCTGATTTTCTAGCCCTTTTACTCAGCAGGTCTGAGTGTGTGGACAGGCCTCGTCTCTGTGTCGTAGCTTCCATTCGGAAGCCTCGGAGACTTTGGCATTTTGGTATAACCCAGTCGGCATCTTCAGAAGACCCTTAAATTATGCTTCCTTGGGCTTCTCCTAAGTTTTGTCTGCACCCCTTTCCCAGCCACTTCGGTCTTGGCCTTCTTTAACTGGCAGCGTCCCTGTCGACATGTCTGGTGTATGGACCGAACCGGCCGACCCGGCGTTACTCCATGTCTCAATAGCACCGGCAAACGTGGCTGTCTTTTTTCTGCAGCCCTGCCTGCCAGTCAAAATTCTATAGCAGGGGCTTCCAAACTTTTCAATCTCGAGGAACCCACTTATGGAAGGGCTGCGCCATTTGCGCCAAATTGTGCAATGAGCGAATGTCTGCTACATCTTGCGCCAAACTTCCATTTTCGCTAAGAATTGTGCCAAACCTCCGCCAGGATGAACTTAAGCGAACAAAAAAATAAAATTATTTTATTATTGCTTTATCATAACATTTACACAAGTAGGATTAAAGAAAAAAGGTACAAATATTTATTTCGCAGTGCATCTGCTCACCGTATAGTTTGTTGCATGTTAGGTCAGAGCACAGCCGAAGGCTTGAACACACCACCACTAACATTACCTAAAACGGAAGTCACGGGGTATTCGCTGAGCTTAATTGATATAACTAATGAAAGAACACTTGTAGAAAGGTGGCGAATGCCATGATGTGGCACTTTTGATGCTCTTTGATTGGTTTTATTGACTCATAGCGTCGGCTGCGCTTCGCCTTAAAATGAAACAAAGTGTAAAGATTGCTCCTCAACCGCGCTGGCCTCGCCATCGCCTGCGTTCCCATATGATGTCGACAATGTCGGGAGCTGAAAGTGTGGAGAAAATTTTGCAAAATGTGGGATGGCGGTTACAGTGATAATAAATAATACATAATAAAACCAGGGCTGTTTACTCCTGATGAGATCCCTTGATCATTACGTCTGCCACATGCCGTGACTACAGTCGCAGTGTACTGTGGCACTTGCGCCACTCACATCAACCTCTTCACCGCGTCGTACTGGTGTGCACGCGCGTCGAGCTTCACCGCTTTGCATTGATGTGCTAGGAGCTGCCGCTGCTGACATGGGGGTGTGTGTGGGATAGCGCGATTGGCTCGAAAATTATATGAGTACTATTACAAATCAACTTTTTTTGTTCTTGACTGTAGGTTGACCTCTAATTAAAAACAAAAAATCTGTGCTGACAAAGAACAAGAAAATGCGTGTCTGCATCTGAATAAATAGATTAGTCAAGGTAGTTCTGTGCAGCAGTTGAGGGCAGCGCACTTTGACTAAGTTCTGGTTCCAACGGCGCTAAAGCGCAGTTTCACTTTTAAAGCACAATGGTGTGTTTTCATAATTTCTGCGGGAGGTTGTTTTTGCATTTTAGGATACTAGAATCTTGAGGTTGGTAGGTTCACACAACTGGGGGGACGTGTTCTGATTGGCAGACATACTTTAGCGGATATGCCGGTTTTTGCTAGAATTTGTCACGAATTCTATTTATGGGCTAAATAAACCACAAAAGTTTAAAAGGGGGAGGTGGATAAAGGCTTTATCTCAACTAAAGTGTCGAACTATGCTTCATTTTTAAACCATTTTTAAAAGCCATTGTGAATGGAACCTACTCTGACTTGAGCCTTTGTTCTAAAACAAAGGCTGTGTTCTTTTTGCATCTTATTATTACTTTTACAAAAGACTAAGTAATATTTGCTTTGGTGTCAAAAAGGAACCTTCGATCATTATCAAAGACGAACTCGTTTAGCGATAGATACAATAACTTTTTGTATCTTTAAGTGATGTGCTAACAGATGTTGACATGTGCTCCAAAAGCGGCAGTGGCTGGTCCAACCCACTATTTTGCCTGCTAAACAATTGGCTACAAAGCATCAAGCACCGCTCCCACCACCGAGAACCCCCCCATCTGCCCTGACTGACAGCCCAAGAACCCCGCTGGGTCTTTGCACTGATGCCACAAAACAGTGCTGAAGCCTAGACATTGCAACCATGAATATTTGCTCACAGTAGGATGTAATCTCGATGATATAAATTTCTCAGGGTTGCAAAAAATATTCATATCATTCGAAAATTGTATCATCCAAAAGGGCCCTAAAAGGGTAATAAAATGTGCATACATACTCAGTGAGGACAGACGACTTTGGATAAGAAACTTCCTTCAATTCCAGAGGCACTTCAATATACCGGCAGTATTTCACTGCCTCTGGAACCGTCCAACTTTTTTATTTATCGAGGTTTTTCTTATTCTAGCCCTTGACATGGCTAAAGAGCCTCGGCTAGGGCTAGAGTAGAACACCCTTGCCCTAGCCACATCTCTCTAGCCATGGCGACGGTGGCCCTGTGGTGCGGAGTCTGGCTGTGACTACCGCGGCTGTGCCAAGGGGTTGTTCATGGCTTAATGATATGTGATCTGAGCTAGTACAAGAAGGGAATATCAAGGTAATGGGAAGTGCCGCAATGTTGTTTACTTTTACATGCCTTCAAAATTTTTGAAAATTGGGAGACTTCACTTTTTTTAAGGTCGGCGCTTTTTGTTCGGATAATCCACCGTGGCCCGAGTGAGCAGTTTCACTATCTCGAAATGTAACACATTAGAGAGAAAGCTTTTTGGCCTTAGTTTTTAGGTATTCGTGTCGTCTCGAAATTCGGATCAATCGTAATCATATCATTGTGATTCTACTGTATTTCAGTTACGCATAATGGGTGGCTCAGATTTGCTGAAGTAGTGCTTAAGCTGTAAAGACACTTGGGGGTGGGCACAGTCGAGGAAATTCTGAAGCTGGTATCCCTTGGGGAACCCAGTTTTAGAACCCAATCTCTAGAGATTCACTTGTCGTTTCCATAATATCGAAGGGTGGCAGAGTTACACTTTGAAAACGAGACGCTTAAATGTAGGGTACTCCAAGTCACCAGGCTCGATCTAAATAGGACCGTAAAAATCGGGGACTGCACGTAGCAATCTAAATTTTGCGTCAGAAGTGTATTTCACAGGTTGTTTTTTTCTTCTAAAATTAGAAAGCGTAAAGTCAAAAACAGGGCCAAGAAACTTGCCAGGGTAAACGGCGGGCGGTGATGCAGACGACCAGGTCAAGTTGCGGGGTGTGTTTGGCGCACGTATTGATAGATGGTGTCAGGAGCAGCGTCCGAAGGTGTAGCCAACCGACGAAAGAAAGCAGACAACACGCAGACGAAATCCGTTTGCAGCAAAAGCGCCGTTGTTATGCAAACACTTTTTTTTTGCTTTGGGTTTTGATTTTATTGTCTGCTATTATTTTTAAATTAAAGGTACATTACAAAAAGTTTATGTTAATTTTAATAAACTGGGGTCGTCGCAAGCAGTCTTGATAAAGAGGTAGCACCATCTATCAATACGAGCGCCAAAGGCGACCCGCCACTTGACTTGGTCGTCTGCGTCGCCCCCCGCCGTTGACTCGGGCAAGTTTCTTGGTTCTATTTTTTTACAGAAAGGGGGCTATGCTTTGTAATCCTATAAGAAAAAAACGACCTGTGAAATACACTTTCGACGAGAAGTTTAGGTTGCTACGTGCAGGCGTCGATTTTTACAGTCCATTTTAGATCGAGCCTGGTGACTTGGGACATCCTATATATCTCGAAGGAAAATTGCAACGGCTACAGGTGCCGATTTTCCTGGCATGATTTTGTTGCGAACGAGACGTTTGGGACACACCATAGAAAACAGGTACCGAGCAAAAGCCGTGGACATTACAGGGAACGGGTTTCAATTGTTTCAGAAACTGCAAGTGTGGTGGGTTTTTGCTGGTACTTCTTATGAAAGTGACCCTAGTGGTGCAATTCACTCCTTACCTGTTCTCTTTGTCTCACTCTCACTCCAGAGTAAAGGTTTTGTATCTTGATGTTCGAAGACCCACTGCCATCCAGTGTCGCTCTATCTGCGTTACCACGCAATATTACCTGCAGGTGTAACTTGGATCTACTCGGGCAAGATTTAAAACACGGCCACTAAGACGGAGCTGCGTTTGCCTCAAGGTGAAGCATCTCTTGGCCGTGGCCCCCAAAGTACTTGAATACTTCCGCTCACGAGTAACGACAACCGACGTGCGAAATGAAGCACATTCCGCTGTAACAAAATGGTATCTTTTGGCTCATTCTGCTCCTGTGTGCTGGTGTTCGCTTCTGGAAACCTGCTCCGTAGTGCAGTTAGCGCTTCAATCAATGTCTGTACCTGCAGGAAGCACGAAGTGGTTCCGTTATCCAGTAACTTCAGCAGCCCTCAATGAGTTAAGTGTGGGCGTGTTCTGCGCAGGAGGTGGCTTGTGGTATCCGGGTGGGCGGCTTCATGGGCCAGCAGCGTCCCCCTGGGGGGTTGGCTTCCCTGGATGTGGCGGTGTGCACCATTGAGAAGGCCAACGGCCTCGTGAACCGCATGCTCCAGGAGGGCACCCTAGCACAGCTGGGTGCGTGTGGCCGACCCCCAAACTAACAAAAAGATTAATAAAGTGGTGGCAAAAAAAATGGACAATTAAAAGACACACACAAACACAGTGATGACTCTCAACTGTCATTTTCTCTCATAACAGAATATACAAAAGAAAGGAATTTAAAAGATAGGACGGACAAGTAAATGCGTAAACAATATGCGAGCATGCTTGTCCTTGCGGAGTGCTTTATTGGGGGCTCTTAGCTGGGCTCTGTAAGGAATGTGGCTGTACTTCGCAGTTCTATAATATTCAAATATTGGTCAAACATCAAAATAAGGCCGCTAAAAAAATGATCGAGGGTCTTTTTTTTTTCTTTGGGCAATAAGATTTTATTAATGCAATAGCATTCTTTAGCTACCCCCCTTCCCCCGAATTTCTTGGACTTTCTGGCCTCCTAATGTGCAGTACGTATGTGCAGTAGATCAATGTCAACTCACATTCTCACACCTTCGCATTCGCACCTTCTTGATGTTGTCCTAGAGGTCGTCCTAGACGTCATCCTAGACGTTCTTGAGGTCCTAGAAGTCAGGCTTAAGATCGCCCTAGAGGTTGTCCTAGAGGACATCGAGGAGGATGTCTTTGATGCCTGCAGAATTGGGCTTTAATCCCTCAACCGTCTTGAACAAGCCTAGCTCGTCAACATGGAGCCGTCCCCAAACCGTTCAGAATGGGTATAGCTCTCCTGCTTTCCCCGGTTCATGCATTAAGCTGTTCTAGACAAACCAGGCTCACTTGTAGCTTAGCTTGAGGTTGTGCCAACAGATGACGGCACTCAATTTTTTTTAATATTTTGCTCCCATTTTGTTTGTTGCTAGAAATATGATTTTGAAGGCAACAAATGTAACTTTGAAGACAACAATTAAGCAATCGAGGGTCAAAAATTTTCAAAAATGAAAAACGATTAAGGCTATAATATTCAAAGCAAGGACGGAATTACAGCAGCCATTTGCCTGTAATGCTAGTTAAGTTTGTCTTTGTGCGGCCATTTACGTGATCTCTAGCGGGCGAGTGAACTGCCAGTAGAGATACCCATATTGATCAGCAAACCAACCCAGGAGTATTAACACAATGTTATTTATCAGCCGATTTTTACGAGAAAACCATCAAAAAGACCTGTCACAGTGACGTTATGATGACGTCATGCTGACACGTGATGTCACAGTCCCTCGTGACATCGTCATCATATCATGACGTTGCAAAACACCAGTTGACGTCTTGAGGTCATGTGACATCATCTGACTTTGTGGCATCACGTGGCATCATGAAGCCAGTTGCTGTCTTTAAGCCACGTGACATGGCACCATGTAACATCATGATGCCATTTGAGGTCATGTCATTTTGAGTCATGTGACATGATGACATCATGCAACATGCCAGCAATTGACGTCGAGGGCATGTGACATTGTGACAGGATGTGAAGCCATGACGTCATATGGGGTCAGTTATGTGACATTGTGACGTTCCGTGACATGCTGACGTTGCATGACATCCAATGTCACATTGATGTTACACGGTATGTGATGGTGACGCATGATGTTGTGTGATATGACGCGTGTTGTCATAAGGTCGCATGACTGTGATGTCACATGACATCATATCATGTTACACAGTTGCTTTGTGTGATGAGACCACATTCATGTGGCCTCATGATGTCACGTGATGTCACCCACACATAGTATGTGCCCAGCTCACTTGCAAATTATTCTGTGCTCTCCAGGCTTCGTCAGGATGATCGAGCTAATGTACTTTTTTTTTTCAAGGAGGTGAAAGCGTCTTTGTTGCTGTGCGGCCAAAGTGCTCCTTCCGACATGGTAATGACATCGTTTCAGGGACTGTGGTGGTTGACGAGGTACACCTGGTGGGGGACCCCAACAGGGGCTACCTGCTCGAGCTGATGCTGGCCAAGCTGGCATACATGGCACGCAGGTACTTTGGGCCGCCTAAAGCCATTGAATGAGCTACGTTTGGAGTATTCAGACTCCCCGATCGTCTTGTAGGTACCGCCATTTTGGTGCCAAGTGCAGAGCAGGCACAACTGGCAACGATCACGAGTCGAAAATGCAACTTCCCGAGGTTGGGATACAGTGTTGGGGAAGCTCGGGTGGCGGCGTCTCGCTTTGTCCAGGGTGTCTAGCGACCGGGAATTGTCAGGGAAATTTTAATTGCCCGGAAAAATCGAGAAATTGTCAAGGATATTGTCAAAAAGTGAGCCCAGTCAGGGAAAATGAGCCGGAAACACCATCGGGTGCCCTGAGCAAAGACTTAAGGACTTCGGGGCAGAAAAATAGGCAATAAATTCTGCTTAGAGCGGAGCGCGGGCTCTGTAGTGTGCTGCCCGATGCAAAGGAAACAGCCGACAAATTCAGTCCAAGCCTTGGATTGGATTGGATTGAGGATACAACACAAGGCTAGATTTAGTTAGAGCTACTAGATTTAGTAACAAATGGAAAAGCCGCAGACCCCAATCTAACCCAAGCCTTAAGCCGGAAGTATCCGAAAGTGTTCATCTAGCGGCCATGCTGCCATTCGGTTATTGACGTGTTTGGTTGAGCGTCGTCTTTTCCTTGTGTTTCCGGAAGTGGCCTCTTCACTGACGATGTCGGCGGCGAGAAAGTGCTCGTTTAATGTGGACTGGATGAACCCGAATATTTCGGAATATACAAGTTGGATGAAGCCCGTGCAAAATGATCCTTACAGTGCTCAATGCTCGTCTTATATATTTAACTGCCTCTACAGTGGTCAGAAAATTTCACCTGACGTTGTCAGGGAAAACCTGGTAAAGTCGGGGAATTTCAAAATAATATTTTGCTAGACACCCTGTTGTCACAAACTGTTCATCGCTTCTGGAGTATGGAAGGGAATTTTTCGCAATTTTGGGTGAAGCTACAATGATTTTGTATTCTTGTAAATTGGTATTCGGGCAGGGCTCGGATACCTTGTAGGAAAAAGGAGAGTAAATCGCTATAACTTTCTTTGTCTATAATCGTTAATGACGAGCTTGGAATGAACCAAGACAATTATAGAATGTTTTTTGTCCTCCCAGACACCAGACATTCTCGTAGCAATGCAATAAAACTTGTAATTACAAATAGGATACATACATGTTCTTCTTTCCTCAAACAATAAATGATTGAATGGCTCACTACCTGACATTGTGATATCGCTACTTTTTAAAAAATATTTTTGCTCTCTCTTACTGCTTACCTTGCATAAATTGTCTCGGACACACCACTCCCATTACAATCTCGAAACAGGTAACAATACCAATTAAGAAAGAAAGCTGGGCAGGACATTGTAGAAATGCACGGCCAGGGTACCTGGTCTATGCCAACAGAACTTGGACAGCCTCATGAGTTGAAAGGAGTTCCCAGCGCTCTGTGCGCTCGAGGTGCCTCCGTCGCCCAAATGAGCCGGTGCTGCAATTACGAGCCTAGTGTGCCCAAATTTGAGAGTGGCTGCAATCGCTCGATCGGGGTCACATGGTTTGTGGGCGGAACTTGCAACTTGAGCTGCGAGGAGGACGCGAAAGCGTCGATTGTTTGCAAGCGTCTCCGCCTCCTTGCTCACTTTCCTTTTTGTGACGTGACGAAGCTTGCACACTCGTGACCAAGGCTTCCGCCATTAAATTGCAAATGATCTCTGTGGCTTAAGTCGCTTCCTCCCTGAAATACCTGGCCTTTAGACAAGTCCTCACGGGGGTGGCACCCCCCAGGGGTGGCAGCGGGGTGCAGGTGGTGGCCATGAGTGCCTGCCTGGGCAACCTGGAGGCCCTGGCACGCTGGCTGGACGCCGAGCTGTACCGCTGCACGGAGCGCCCGGTGCCCCTGCGGCAGCTTTTCAAGGTGAGCACACTGCCTTATGCACCAACTCGTCTCTCTGACATTGTGCCACTGCAATGGTGCTCTTGCGTGAGCCTGGTTTCAGTGCAGTGCCCAAACCTGGTGCGGGCAGTTGTGGCCTTGTTTGTAAACAGTGTGTTGGTGCATACTCTGTTTCACTTACACACTAAAATTAAAAAGTTTTTTTTTAAAGGGCGTAAATGGGACACAGTGCTTTTTCAAAATGTCTCTACAATTTTTTTCTTTTTTCATACTATTTATTTTGTTAGATGCAATTTAGGTGGAGTTTGTGGCCCGCTCTATACCCCATCCAGGGATCAGTGGCCCTGCCTAGATCCACTGAATGAGCTACGCTTAGAATATTGACACTCAGTTCCTCGAACTGCTAGTGGGCACCGCCATCTTGGCGCTCCGTGCAGCGCAAACAGAACTGTCGTTTGTCACAATTAAAAAATGTGACATCCTCAGGTTTAGATACGGTGTTTGGAAGCTCAGGTGATATTGTTTTGCTTTATCGCAAGCTGTTTTAACATTACTGGAGGAAGGAAAAGCATTTTCTGCGATTTCAGATAAAGCTTGATATAACTGGCAACCATGATTTTAAGCACCAAAATAACTGAAGTGTCGTTACTCTGAAGTGCAGCTAATTTAGTGGTTCTAGCCCTGTTTATTACTGTTGGATTGGCTTATCTGCTCGGCTGAACACGCTCGCAAGCCGGCTTTCTTTCGCGACACGGTGTGTTTTCTGACTTCTGACACAGCCTGCTAGTCGTGCGAACAGATGCGCAGCAGCCTCTGGCATCGTCTGCTATTGCATTACCATGTATCATCGTCTGCGATGACACAAGGACATGAAAGCTGTGTGTCTGCGTCCATTTTTGCCTTTGTCCGTCTGCCATTCCGCCCCCGTCTAAAAGCTGCAATGTTTGCAAGACGCAGCCATGAAAGCGGCGTTCTAGCGTTTCATGCACGAGCCACGGTCCAAAACAAGCGTCCGTCAGTGTGTGTCGATGTGCAGTAAAAAGCGAATGAGAGGACTAAAACAATTCAACAAAAGAAATATGCAGTCTTTTTAAATTTTCTGCTCTTGTTATTTTTTTTTTTTCGCATGGCATCCACGAGCAAGGTGGGTGAGCATCATAACGCACAATTAAAACACGACTTAAAAATATTCGCTTTGGCAGGCCAGGTGCACTGCAAAACTTGATAGCTACTTGCCTTTCGAAGCGAATTGACGGGAACATACCTGGACAAACTTTATGCGAGCCGAACGTCCGACTGCCTCCAGTCAAATGGCCCGCAAATTTTTACCTGTGTAGGAATCTTCTCGGTATTAAACCACGGTTTTAATCATGACAGTTGCACAATTCCCAGAGCAACGGGGCCGCTTTTACGGGAGCCAACATCTTTACTTTGCATCAACATGCTGTCACATAAAACAACAAGGGTAGTATATGAAGGTCGGGGAAGGAATGTCAAACGACGTGAGTTGCTGCCTGGTTTCCCGGAGTCCTCCCCCATCTTCGAATTCCCCGAAGTGTGCGGGAAATGCCTTTTGGTACCTCGCTCGTTGGTTACATTCCCCTCACCTCGCCCGTCCAGGCTCGGTAAGGGAACTGCCCTGCCTGAGACGGGTTAATGCCGAGGCCGTGGGCGGCAGACGGCCGCGTCTGTGCCATCCACAGTCGTAAATATTGCGAAACCCGCTTTCTTTGGAATGCCCGAAAATAAACCCAGCACAAAACATATACCAAAAGGCCTTTGAACGTAACAGGATTGTGCCGCGTGAGGTAACAAGGGCAGACCCACGGGGCAATGACCGTCAGGGAGAGGGGAATTTCCACGCTTGGTGTGCAAACCTGGGTTTGAGTGCAAGGAACAAAGGGCGGTGCGAGAAGAGACTCGGAGGCGAACGGATACATTGTGTCTTCAACGGGGCAACGAGACCACCGTTGACGGTCCCCCGTCAAGTACAGGACAGAGTTCTGTCGGGTGTTTGCGTGCCATTTCAAGAAGTGGATGCGAGGCCAGGGGGCCCCGCCCACCGGAGCTCCTCCACCTTGGACGGACCGTGTAGGGAGACGTCGTCAACCATCGACATGCCAGATGAAACTTTTCGCAGTTGCCGGTACTTTTTGAACTGGCATATTTTGATTTGGTTAATCATAACTGATTGGATAAGCATTTGTGAGCACAGATTTGTATACCATGTTTCTGTAACGGTTATATCCAATATTACAAATGTGATTTGTGCAAAGTGTGTGTATCGTAGTTAGTTTTCTCGACTGCAACTTTTTTTGCTGTTTTTGTCTCTCTTCATTGGTCAGACCCTCTACCACAGCGTGGAGCTCTTGCTCGGCCAGTGGTTCACCCTTTAACAACGTCACACCCAGACAACTCAAATTTTTCATGGGTCATGCACAAAAAAAAAAAATCAATCCAAATTAGGCAAAATAGTTCATGTGGGATGGTAGGCTTAAGGCAGCCTTGCTATGAAAACAAGCACCCGCACAGTGCTTCCGAAGGTGCACACTTGCGACAGTAGTTTGCTGCAAAAGCTGCAAACTAGGTCAGTTGAGGAGATCTTTCTCTAAACACCTCGATGAATGCAGAACAACTCGCACTCATAAAAATAAGTGAGCTCAATGAGCTATGCTCATTGAGCACGCCACAAACGCCAGCAGCCATTCTTGTTATCGTTTAAAACCGAAGCGGATAAGGCAATGTTGGGATAACTTTGAAAACACTAAAGATTTTGTCTAGTTTATTTGTTTCGCAGACATAAAACTATTGTCGATACAATTACTATCGAGGCATGGAGAAATCATTTTACGACAAACATTTCACGCGTCGATCGTCTCTCCGACCAATGCCAGCCGAAAAAGGTGCTTAGGTGACCGAGCACCGGGCGGGGCTACCCCCATCTAAATTGCTTCTAACGACGTAAATACAGGGTGTCACAAGAAAAAATTTACAGGGTTTTTTTCACCGCAGAAATAAACTAGGCATCGCCGAACGCTGAATCTCCGCCCTAAGGTAGCGCTAGAGGTGACAACCAGATGCCAAAGTTTCAGCCCGATCCGATAACTTATTCAAAAGTTATAAGTGATTTTCTGAAAATTTCAATGTTAAAACGGAGCCCATTTTTGCCCGTTTTTCGGTTTCTGATGCCATAGAACCCCATGTATTCAAAACTCCGTCGGCCACCATTTTCCCATTGAAATTTTCAGAAAATCACTTATAACTTCTGATTAAGTTATCAGATCGGGCTGAAACTTTGGCATCTGGTTGTGACCTTTAGCGCTACCTTTGGGTGGAGAATAAGCATTCAGCGATGCCTAGTTTATTTTAGCGGTAAAAAAACCTTCTAAATGTTTTTTGGTGACATCCTGTACTGCTAAAAAAAACGTTCTATGCAATTGCGCAAAATTTTACAAAATATGTCCCATCTAAGCACTTTAAACTATTTTTAATTTTTTTATTTGACTGTCTTAAAGTTTGACCGCAGGGTCAAGCAGCGCCACAAGTGCATGGTCACAGCCCGCATCGTCATTGTGCGTCTGCTATCGCCGATTAAGCCAGTCACGCACGGTGAATGCACCACTATCCTACGCTTTTTTCTCAGTGGGATTGGTTCAGCTGATGATAGCGAAGCCAGATAGGCAAAGAGCGTTGTGAGGATTGGCATTTCTTGATCGGCTCCATTGGATCGTAGAGTCGGCTGCGGTCCGAGCTAAAGTGAAATAGACAGCCACCAAATGAGCTACGCTTAGAATAGCCACGCTCCATTCCCCAGTTGTCTTGTGAGTGGCACCATTTTGTTGCCTGGTGTTGAGCAACAGGTGACGGTTACGATTAAAAAATGTGACTTCCAAGCTCGAGGTATGGGGCTGGGAACCTTCGGCAGCGTCATTTTGCCGCATCGTTTTAACGTTTCTGGCGGACGGAAAAGCGTTTTCTGCGACCTCGGGTGAAGCTGCGGATAACTGCGATTAGGGATTTTAAGCAGCAAGATGGCCGAAGTGCCGGTACTTTGAAGGCAGTGACTATTTCGACGTTCACTTTCAAAATAATTTTGATTATTATTTTTCTGACATCCGTGACGCCACTTCCTGAAGACGTGAAATTGTCTTCAAAAACATATTCTGACGTGCCCCAACAAATTATTTTTGTCCTTATTATGACCGTCTCAAACTCGGAACTTTGGAGCTTTGGAGTTTGGACTGGTGAGCGATCGAAGGTGACGGTCAAAAAAATATTATCTTGCTTGCAGGCAGCGGCGCGGTTCGACACACATTTGCCGTAAACAAATGTCATGCTGTGGACTGCTGTTCTCGTTACCTTTTAAGTGATATGGAATCCAAAAAGACCTCAAAGTACATCAGCTATCAGGTTAAAAGTAATGTTTGGTTGGTTGTGCCAAACATTATTAAATGGAGCACTGCTGCTTTGCATGATTTATTTCACATAATTTATATAGACAAGGGAGCTGAATGCCGGGTCATAAAATTTGCAGTTTGATAGGAAAATGCGTGTATCTCGTGCAACCAAGCCAGAACCTTTGTTCGTTTGTAGTCAGTAAACACCAAGGATGCAATGTTTGAATTTCCCAAGCTTTTATTTAAGATCCCAATCATTCCGTAGTTAACCCCCTCGTTATAATGAACCAAACAGAAAATCTAGACTAAACAGCAAACTCGCAAAACTAGGTTAAAAAGAAAATGACCGCATCTCCACGTGGTGAATGATGCTGATTGGGGCGAAGCTCTGGTGGTGCTGATGATACTAATTTTATTGTTCATAGGTAGTGCTGATGGTGCTGATTTTTTTTTATTGCTCATAGGTAGTGCTGAGCTCCGGGTTGCATTTCGACTTCATTATTATTGCTTTATGGTCGGTGCAATGCAGAGACAGTGGTTCTTCTAGCGGATCAGCTTGGATCCGCTAGAAGCTGTGGGAATGCATCTCCACCGCTTCAGTCAACGGTCCATTGCAGAAAGAGAATGTGTGGTATGGGAATGTGGTTATATATGCATTTGAGCATTTGACTGCAGCGCCCTCTCGTCTATAAACGTTGAGCCAATGCATACAAAATGTAACGCAATTATATACGCATTTGACTGCCGCGCCTTTTCCTGTATAGACATTGAGCGGCTACATGCAACGTTTCATCCATGACATCCCCAGCTCTTGAGTCACTACCCCATCTCAAAGCCCCCTACTCGTCCCGCAGTCGTGGCCGAGTGGTTAAGGCGATGGACTAAAAATCCATTGGGGTCTCCCCGCACAGGTTTGAATCCTGTCGACTGCGCAAACATTTTTCCTTTTTTTAAGAAGACAGATGGTATGGCAATCGATGTGAGCACGGACACCAGACGGACAAGGCTAGGCCCTAAGGAGCTTTGCCTTTAAAACAGGGTCATTTGCAAAGCAAGACTGCAACCATACGAAGACACGCTCACACGATATAAAGACTCAAAAAGTATGCAAAAGTTCTTATTGTTGTGTACTATACGCACTTACATTTGTTACGTGCAGGGACGAGAGAGGGGTATCCAGCTCACCTTTGTTGTAGATTTAAAATTTTTAGTGAGACGCTTGCCGAGATGCAAGCTCAGGATGCTCAAAACATTGCCATTGAGCGCTTCACGTCCGAAAAGATAAACTGTTGAGCCAGTCCCACACACACGCTGAATAAGACATTTCCACTGCCAACTAGTAGGACCGAAACTATCCGTCAAGATGCGACGAGACCATCAGAAACTAAACAGAACAGAGCGACAAAACAGCTACCACTGCAACGGCTGCTGCATTGAAGGAGGACGTCGAAACAATAAAGCCACTATTTTGACGTTTAGCAGACACAGCCGTCGAAATAATGTTTGAGATATTTTGATGGCGGACATTGAAATAGTCACTGCCCACTTTGAAACATAACGTATGTAGTGGCTCTGGATCGTGTCACAAATGACAGTTGATGAGACGACCAATAGCTAAAGAAAATTAAACATTTAATGGGGCGAACATGTGCCCAAAAGAAAATAGAAAAAGGCTAGCGTCGCAGGCATTGATGGCGGCGTAACATAGGACCGAGTGCTGGGACGAGACTGACTCCAGCTCGCCATGCAAAGCCCCTTATGTAGACACGTGGACTTTTGGAACAACTGGCTTAGAAGGTTCGGCACATAGTATATTTGGACCTTGAATAACGAAAAGGGTTCTCAAATTCCCCAGAACGCGACATTTACAGAAATAATGAAAAGGTGAGTCCGCTCCCAGGCATAGAACCTCTGCCCTTTGCGTGGAGTCGAGCACAATAACCATTCGGCCACGGGCGCGCTTGCTCGGAAACGCCACATGGCAATGGGCAATAGGACCAACATCTCCTAGCTAACAAAGTTGAAGTGCTGTATTTTCTGCGCCGCCTACCCAAAACCAGTGCGGACACTGATTGGACTGAAGTCCTGTGCCAGTGTTAGTATCTATTATATAAGGTCCATCATTTTCCCGGATATTTATCTATTTTTATTTGAGGACTCGCCAGCCACCTGTACAGAGGCCAAGGCAACACTCGAGTACTGGTAGTAGAGCAGAGACAGAACATCCATGAGTTGAACAGCTGGATAAGTACACAGTGACATAAAGTAGTACAGCCACAAAAGTAAACACCATAAACTGAACTGCCTCAGAACGGCAAGGCATAGAAGCAGACGTCGGTGGCCCCTGTGTACCCAGACTGCTGGCAAGGCTTTAATATATTCAAAGAAGGAGCAAAATGTCACTTGCACGGTCTTGTATAGCTCCATTTTGCGAGAACACAGCCGTGCCGCGCATGCTCTGAATAAATACTTAATCGAACAACTCTAATGCTTTCTGGCAAAATGATCATGTCTAGACTTAATTAATGCGAAAGCATTAATTAACGGTCTCATGGAGCGAGCCGTCTCATGGAGCGAGCCGACGCCTAGACACGGCACCTAGTTTTCCCGATCCGAAAGGAACAAAGTAAAGCTGATCGATTTTCAGCTGAAGTCCCATTGGCTGGCGCGCATCGGCGAGGCTCCCATTGGCCGCTGCGCGTCAGTTCAATGATCGCTCACCCGATGGCGCTGCATGTCCGCAAGGCAGCGGCTCCACTGCTTCACGCCCAAATGAGCGCGCCGTACGCCGCAAACGAAAGAAAAGAGCGAAGAGCGGCGTGCATGCTTTCGCATTCACAACTCATAAAAAGTGCTTAGGTGTACCTTGAGCCTTTTTTTTTTGAGCCTTCCGCCACTTTCGGGAACACCGACCTAAGCGCATGCGAGACGTTGCCTGGAACACGTCTCCAACCGGCGTGTTTACGGCATCCTCAAACACGGTTCCTCGATTTTCGTCCGATGAAATAGAAGTGTCATGTTGTCGGCTGCCGCGGTCCTTGCAGTGGCTCAGCGGCGGAGGTGGATGCGACAGACGTCCGTTCTGCCACAGTTCCTTCTTCGGCTAGACTGCAGACGCAAACCAAAGGAGACGCGCGATGGCATGCCTCAACGACAACTGCTCTCACATTTGCTAGCCTTTTTTGCCGGCATTCCCATGACCAACCGCCGGGATCGCGACGTCCGACGGCGCGACACGCCGGCTCCTGTGACACAGTTTGTTGCTACTTCGGGACCACTTTCTATGCATGGGCAGGATTGATGGAATGCATTGAAGACGCATTCCATACAATCTGTTAATTTTGTTATTTCATTTATAACATACTGCACATTGTGATGGTCCAGGCAGAAGCGACTACAACAAAATGCATTGTGCGCAGTACAAAAAATATATTAGGAAGTAAGGAGACTGTATCCGTCTTTCTTCCCAAGGACGTAGTCGGGCAATATTGTGCTGATGTTTTTGAAGGTAATACTACATACATATGCACATGCCTGAACACGCAATTGGACCGTCATACTCTTTGGCGTTCTGTCACGGCAAGCGAAGCACCTTATACATGTTGTCTTGGCAGATGACAAAAATGTGTTTGCGAGAATATGGCAGAGGTGCGTGATTTAGTTTTTGCCTTAACCTTTAAAGAATGGTAACTGTGCTGTAACACTTCATGAAGCCTGAACTTATTTCCACGTGACTTCTGGGCATTTTCAACACTGAGAAACAACTTCACGGAAGGATGGTCTTTTTATACGAGTAAGCTAACAAAATTGCGGCTGCAACGCTGGAAAGGACGTTGCAATACATTTTTTTACATTTCTTAAAATTGTTTTTAGAGCATTTTAGCCAATGTATTGAGTGAGAAGGATGCTACTATAAGAAGTACAGATGATCAGACTTTGTTGGGTCGCCATATTGCCGTGCGCAGGGCTGAACAAGCAACGCTCGGTCACGGAATTCTAGAAGACTCGCATTTATTCTTACTCGGGGTGTAACTTTTATCGTTTCGTCCTAGTTTCTTGGTCTCGAAAGTGCCTGTTCATTCTCGCTCTGAGCGCACGACGCTCGAATCTTCTTTGCCAAATTTTCAATATAGTCACGCACACTAGATAAGGAGCTGCGCAGGACCTTGTCGAGTTAGTCTTGCTCCCACTGGTTGTTACGCCGCCGAATCGCCGCCAGTTTTTCTGCTATCCCGACGCTCGTTCTTTATTTCGTTTGGCACAAGTTCGCCGATTAAATCTTTATTTTCAGTTTACATTTGGCAAGCTCTTTTCTATCTTTGACAATGTTGTGAACTAAAATAATCGGTTTGATTGCTGCAGGTGGGCGAGGAGCTGTGGGAGGGCCCCCCTCTGCGCCTCGTGAAGGGCCCGGGGCCCCCGCTGCCGGAGGACCCGGAGGGGCTGCTGCAGCTGTGCCTGGAGACGTGGCTGGAGGGCCACGCCGTGCTGCTCTTCTGCCCCACCCGCGCCTGGTGCGAGGCCCTGGCACTGGCCCTGGCTCGGGGAGCGCGCCTGCTTCTCGCTCGACTGCACTCCGGTACGCCCCCGGCATTGTGGTGCCTGCATCGCGTCTCCGACCGGCGTGTTTTATGCGTCCTGAAAAATGCTTGTTCGATTTCTACCCGATGACGTTGTAGAGGCGTCAGGTCGTCGCCGACCACAACCCCGGGTGCGTCGCAGAAGTGGTGGCGGATATGACAGACGCTTGTTTTGCTGCAGCTAAAATATGGACTCTGCGACGACAGCGACACTTGCATTCCTTTGTGCTTTTCTCCAGAACTTCCACCAGTAACCACCATCCGTTGTCATTTCGTTAACACTTTCGACGCGTGGGCGGAATAGAATGCTACACTCACCACTTGGAGATGTGTTCCAAGCGCCGTACCGGCATTGCTTGGCTCTCTGGCTATCCTCGGCGTGCCGTAAAAGGCTCGTAACCAGTGTGTCTACCATCCTGGAAAACCGGAAATTATCGGGGAATTTGGCGGGTCTGGAAAAGTTAGATAATTTTTAACTTAACTACATCACATGCCACTCATCTTTCTCTGCAGTCTTTCTTGCCATGAGCAGTAATCGATCGAAATAACCTGCCAGCACACATAGCCGCCGAAGATGATGAACTAAATTTCACGAACTCGTTTGCAGTGATAATAACATTTAGGTTTTTCTCTTGTCGGCTCATGTTTATTTATTTTTCTTTATATTTATCTCATTGTTTTAGCTTGTTTTTTTTTTATAGTTTCTTTTGCTTTCATGATTACAATTTTGTTATTCAATATATCTTTTGTATTCCTATAGAGTGTCCCCCAAAACAATTTAACCATTTTTTTTAACGCAAAAATCAAATACACATTATCGAGCGCTCATTCTCCGCCCAAATGTGGCCCTAGCGGTCCAAACTAGATGCCAACATTTCAAAACTCACCGTCATCTTATTAAAAAGTTATAACCGAATTTCTGAAATTTTCAATAGGAATTTAACTGCCAATGGACCTTTTATAATACAGGGTGTCCCCCCCAAAAAAAATTTTCAGGGTTTCTTGTACCTCAGAAATAAACTATGCATCACCGAAAGCTCATTCTCCGCCCAAATGTAGCGCTACAGGTCCGAACCAGAGGACAAAGTTTCTGCATTAACCATTATCATATTCAAAACTTATAAAATTTTGAACAGGAAAAGGGCACCCATTTTTCATCATTTATTATTAGACCTTGAAGGCCATTGCTGGCATTACACAAGGTGGTAGTAACTGCTGAAGAAACATTATATAAATGAACAAACAAAAAAGTGGGTTACATGCTGGAAAACTTTGTTATATAAAGCAGCAAAAACAGGAAAAAAAAACACTTAAAACATTTTTAGGGAAAAACAGCTGATGAAACAGAAAAATACCCAAACAAAACATTTCTATAAACACGAGTTGACTTTGCTATTAGTGCAAATGCAGATGGATGGTCAGTTGGGATATGAATGTATTATAATCTGTCTGGGTCACGACCATTTTCGGTGACTCTTGCCATATAAGAGGTCCATCAGCCACCATTTTTCCATTGAAAATTTTAGAAGATTGCTTATAACCTTTGAATAAGATAACGGCTGGTGCTGAAACCTTGGCATCTGGTTCGAACCTCTAGTGCTACATTTGGGTGGAGAATGAGCTTTCAGTAATGCATAATTCATTTGTGCAGAAAAGAAAAACTGAAAATTTTTTGGGGAGTTACCTGTACACGCCTCAATTCTCCGTGTGATATTTTTTAATAAATAAATAAACCAGCATCGGTCAGAGTAATTGACTTGCCTTTGAGTGCCAGCAAAAGACATGCGCATTGTGGGACACAGATTGCAGGAGACTTGGCTGGTGTGCAGATGCAAAACTCTACAAGTAAATAGAGTCTTGTGGGACATAAGAGATTCAATTCAAATCACCTATCCTGTAGTCTAGAAACGTGTTCACCAAGACGAACCCCTGGTCAGTGTTGCGCCCATAGACTCTTCCTAGACTCTTCCTGCTTCTGCACCTTTGCCCAACGTCTTCACGACGTGAGAGCTCATTTTTTTACCTTCCCACACTCATTCCTAAATGAACCATTTCTGCGGGCTGTTCACAGCATGACGGTTGAGTATATTTCAGCCGCTCAGGTGAGAATGTCTCTGATTTTAACCTGTAAAAAACTTGGACATGTTCGGTTCTCTGAAGAGTGTCAAGGAATTTTAATAAAATAGGGGGGGAAACCTCTAGAAGTTCGGGGAATTTGAGAACGTCATTTTGGTAGACGCCCTGCGTAACACAAAATCTGTTATGGGGATGGTTTCGTCTTGGTGAACACGTTTCGCGACACATTACGTTCGATTGACGCGGGTCAAGGTTAACGTCAGGGTGTCATGCGACACCCTGAAACCGTGGTGTCACAAACATGCATGGCAGGTGCCCAGCTCATTCGTAACACATTCTGTGCATCTCGGAGTTTATCAGATACGATTGAATCTTTCCTAAATGTTTTATGTGGAATGCATATGGGACCAAAGTTTTGCAGAAAAATGTGCGAGTGTAATGCAGAACATAATGCAAAAGCGTAACTAAACTTAGAGGATTTACTTTCCACCTAATTTAGTGGGACGCAATTAGCCACTAGGTTTAGCAAGGAAATTTAATTGGTATGTAATTATATGCCAATTCATGTTTTCCCACTAAATTTACTGAAATTCCGCTGAAATCCCGAGCTCGGAAAAGAGACCTAAATAGACGGCCAGCTCGAAACACGCTGAACTTTCCCTTTCTCCTGTTTTTGCTTGTAGGATTTTCTTTCTTATTCAAGGACAGTTCCAATTCAGGCAATTTGTTTTCTATTTCAATATTCCTAGCATAATTTTTATTTTTTTATCGGTAAACCCCGTAGTCAAATAAATGCGGTTCGTGGTTTATTTATGTTCGGGCTTCATGATTTGTTCTTTGCTGTCCTTGGCAAGTGCCAGAATCTTGCTGGTTGCGGAGTTATGGCAAGAAACATGCCCTGCAGCTGTCGCCAATTAGAGTTCCTTCCCGCCTCGTCTGCAGGGAGCTTAGAGGCCACCCACCTAGAGGCGGCAGTCGGGCTGAAGGAGATGCTGGAAGGACTGCAGCTGGCGGAGCTGGGCCAACAGCTGGCGGCAACACCGGCCGGCCTGGACCCTGCACTGGGACGCTGCCTCCGCTGCGCCGTCGCTTTCCACCACGCAGGTGGGCATCACCTAGACGGGACCAGGGTGACGTGGTTCCTCCCGCCAAATTTTGGTTTTTGTCCGGGGGTTTAGGACCTCAAAAAGTGCTATAAACTTGATCTTTGGTTAGAGACTGGGTATTTTGGCCCTAATTCGCTAAATGAGTGTGAAAGTTAGGCTTTGTTTGGCCATCATCTGGCATCTTTGGGCCTAAATCGCCGAACAAGCGCCAGGTTTAGGGGTCACTGCTTGTATTTCGGTCTGTATGTGTCAACTTTGGCTCAAGTTTGGCACTTTGGCAATTTTTTGGCGAGTCAGAAAATTCAAGGAGTAGCCTATTAGGCCTAAGTTAGGCCTCTAGCATTGGCAAGCTTGTAGCAAATTGGACATTTTTCTGGCATGGTACTTGGGGAAGACCCTGGGGGAACGTCGAGACTAGAGCTCCTCAAGGAGCTACACTTGGAGCATTGATACTCCCTTTCTCAACTGTCTTGTTTGTGCCATCATGTTGGTACATATTGCACTGCGGGCACAGTTGGCAATGGTTGAATTTAAAGATGAGATTTCCCAAGCTTTGAACACGGCGTTGAGAAGGTCGGGCAATATCGTGGTGCTCTGTCGCAGACTGTTCTAACTGGAGTGCCTTGACGTCCCTCTGCAGTGTCTGCAACACTGCAGACACTGCAAGACGTGCTGGTGACGGTGCTGCCACAAGCTAGGCAGTGCTTAATGGCTAGGGATGACGTTTTGGGTGGGAGCCTTGTCTTTTTGGTGGTAATGGTTTGAGACAGCGCATGTCTACGTCCTTTATTTTATTTATCGCCTCGTCTCAGAAGTACGGAGGCTAGGGATTGTTGCGGCAACTTGCGGTCTTTTCCTGACCGCTGTCTCTGAGGCCCCAGGGCTCACGACGGACGAGCGTGACGTAATAGAAGAGGCGTTCCGGCGGGGCGTGCTGCGGGCCCTGGTGGCGACGTCAACGCTGTCGTCGGGCGTGAACCTGCCGGCCCGACGGGTGGTGATTCGTACGCCGATGTTCCACGGCGCGCCGCTGGACGTCATGGCCTACCGCCAGATGGCCGGCCGGGCGGGGCGCCTGGGCATGGACACCCACGGTGAGTGCCGGGGCATGATGTCAAGGGGGGGGGGGGGGGGGGGGGGGGGGGGGGAGGAGGAGGGGAGGGAGGGAGGGAGGGAGGGAGGGAGGGAGGGAGGGAGGGGAGAGGAGAGGAGAGGAGAGGGAGGGGGGGGGGAGGAGGAGGGAGGGAAGGAGGATGGCAGCTTGGGTGAGGTGGTGAAACATCATATTAACAATAACACACACACACAGGATACACACCCAAGAGACACGACGCACATTGCTGACTTACAACTCAATTGTATTTTAGGGTTCTTCTGCATGAGGAACGAGGATTGCAAAACTGCTTCATATTCCTAATCTTCGTGAGAGGCGCAGCAATATTTTCTGTATCTCACTGGCGTCTCATCTCTCCATGTGCCAAAAATTCTAGCTCTTTGTTTGATAATGTCAAGGATGTGGCACTGAGACATGCATCTTTAAGTCGTGCAATCCTTTCTGCCTCAACAATCTCTCTAGTAAGCTTCTGGCTACTTCTACCCATAACAGAACACCACATAAGGTCAGCCTCACGCCCGCAATCGCAACAGTGCAAACCTAAATGTCTGGATATCATTTTGTAAGTATTATAGTATTGTCCTCTAAACCGTTCGTTCAAGCAACGCCCAGTTTGCCCTACATATTGCTTGCCACATGAAAGAGAGAAACAGAATAAACTACATTGCCTGTGCAAGAAACAAAGGTTCTGCTGTGTTTTTTCGCCTAGCATACTTACTGGTTGTTATTGATATTAACTCTTTTGCTTAAGCTGGGCAGCTCGTGGGGGGCCAAAAAGACTAGATTGAGATTTTGTCGGTGTACCAGAAACCAGAAAGTGTTATGTCTTTACACTGCATAGTTACTTTTTTTAATATTTTCAGTCCACCAATGCTAAAGAAAAGGTAGAGGTTCGAGCACTCTGAACGTGCTTTTCTCCATTCCACTTTTTGACATAAATTTTACTTTAATAAAATTATCTTTTCAGTATGAAACTATCGAGAGACCTAATATTTGTGGCTTGTATGCCAAATTCTTATGGAGCCGGCCACTGTGAACTTAGGTAGATTTTGCATTTTTATGTTCCTTTATTATGAAGAATTGTAATTTGTAAAACTTAGTAGGTGTGAAGACTTTTTTTTTTCATAATTTGTTTTTATTTGAAAAATGCATATTTTCTTAAATTGATTTTCATAGTAACCGGCAACAGGTATTCCAGTATGCATTCCACCAGAAAAATATCTGGTTATCAACACCATATCTCAATGATAAATTCATTGAGTACATTCCATGCAAAGCTATGCTTTACTTCGTTCTGGGGATATGGTACCTCATAAAATGGGTTCACAGGGCTGAAACTTTGCATGCCCTCCTTCTATATCGCTACAAGCACCACTTGCAAATATCACGCCAATTGAGTGAGCGGTTCAAAATTGAGCATTCCCAGGTAGTGTCCCCCCTTAATGCCCATACCTACTTACAAAGAAAATTGCAAACGGCCACACAAAGTGCGCTGCGATTGAAAGCGGTAACTGCTGAGTTCTAGAAAGGCACGTTGAAGGAGATTTGCCTGCAGCCAGTTTGCTGTACAAAGTTTGCAATGGGTTGTTTGCTTTCAGTGGAATTGATGCAGGAGATGTGTGTGAGGAGTTGTGTACTTTGGAGGAGCAATTGTGCGTGATGTTGCATGTGTTGGAGAAGGACACGGAGACATGCTTTTTTGTTTAAACATTCTTTCAGAATGGGAGCGCCCATGACTGTGCCTGCAATAGAAGTAGCGAAAGTATGTATGTGAACTGTTCTGTAAAGGTGTGGAGACACGCGAAAACGGAACTTGGGCGACGGCAGTGGGGAGGCGAAAAAGTGTGTCCACACAACGCGGCCACAGGGTTATTTCGTAAAGGCGGCTGCCAGAGTGGTGGGGGGGAGGAAGGGAGAGTGTCGCTGGAGGGTTTGTGGATGTAACAGGAATGATAAGAAGGTGGAGGGCGCTCTCCCGTGATCATGAGGGCTTTTCGGAACAGCAGCGGCCTACCAGAGGGAAGGGGAGGAGCGAGAGAGAACCCTGCCACAGTCGGCATGTTCCGTATTTACTCGCACAATGAACGCACTCACGTAATGAACGCACCCCCCAAGTCGGCTCTTAAAATTTCGACTTTTTTTTTTTTCACTCGCGTAATGAACGCGCACCCCCAACTCGGATGTAAAAAGTTTGACCCCCTCCCCCACGCGCGCGAAATGAATGCACTTTTTTATCCTGGTGCAGCGAGGTTAGCGAAGTCGCGAATGCATGGGCAGCGTGGGCGAACAAAACGCCTTAGGCGTTAAAAAAATTTGAAAAGATCCAACGGAAGCAAGAAAAAAAAAACCTGAAGAGGAGCTTTTTTTTTTCTCTCTTTTTGCACAGCGCAGTCTGGATTTTGGGTTTGGCCACCGCGCGCAAGGAGGTTTGCAAGCAAACAAAACAGCTTGCAAAAGGCAGCAAAAAAAAAAAAAAAAAACGAAACAAAGAAAAGCTTTTTTTTTTTTTCTTTTTTTTTTTTTCACACAGCGCAGTTTGGTTACGGGGGGTCGCGCGCCGCGCGCATGGAGGTAAGAAAGAGGAGCGGAGAAGCCCTTTAAGCAAACGAAACAGCTTGCGAAAGGCGGGAAAAAGAAAAAAAAAAAACCCACCTAAGTGAGAAAAAAAAACAAAAGAAAAAGAGGAGGAAAGAGGGACATTTAAGACAAACAGATGTCCCTAAATGTCCCTCTTTCCTTATCGTGAATTAATAACCAACACGCTCAACCATCTACAAAAAGAGGAGCTGTTTTTTTTTTGCAGAGCGCAGTTTGGTTAGGGGGTTGTGCGCCGCGCGTAAGGAGATAAGAAAGATAAGCGGAGAGCCCTCACCTAAGCAACGCCTAAGCAAACAAAACAACTTGCGAAAGGCAGCAAACAAAAAAAACCCAAGGAACTAAGAAAAAAACAAAACAAAGAGGATTTTTTTTTTTTTTTTTGCAGGGCTTATTTTGGTTACGGTGTCCGGTGCCGCGCGCAAAGAGATAAGAAGTTACTTTGATTTTTCAGGATGAAAGGTCCGTTAATTAGGCGAGTAAATATGGGCGCAAAAATTTTACTTCGCGTAATGAACGCCCCCCCCCTCACTTTGCATCGATCTTTCGGGAAAAAAAGTGTGTTCATTCTGCGAGTAAATACGGTATGTGTGAGTAGCCATGGAGAGGGGGAGAGCAGTGCCTCTGCTGTAGGGTGGGGTTTTGTGTCTGTATACAAACATTTTTTGCCGGGAAGAAGCAGTAACACCTACCGCTGTAACGAAATCACGTAGGTCGCACCGTTGTACAAGACACACCGACTAAAGTTTTGGGAAAAAAACACGACTTATACATTGAGAAATACGGTGCTCCTTTGGGACAGCATAAGCGGCGAAATTTGGTGTTTGTTCTCAAAGCGGCACTGAAGTCGATTCTGAGATCATCCTTTTGTGGTGACAACTCAATCTAGACGCTGTAAGCATCCCAACAAACCCGAAATCACTACCGTGCCTAGCTTATTTTCTCGTTGAAATCGTGTTCAAAGATTGCGACACCAGTGATTTCCCCTACACCCCCCTTTGTTTTTCCGAAGACAGCCCCTTAATTCACAACGACTCCTCTATTCTCAATGCCCCCCCTCCAACCCCCCCTAAAAATTTAGACACCCCCCTAATCTCAGTTCCTGGGGAAACCCCTGCGCAACACGCCCTTTCTGGGAAGAATTTTCTTCCGAGTGAAGTGGTCGATGAAGGGCGCTTGTCGGCGAGTTGCAAGCGGTGGCTTCGCCCGTGGAGAAAAAGAGGAATCTTATTCGTATGTGTACCTATCAGGCTCTCTTCGAAAAAAGTCATAATAATATTATTCAGAATCTGCGCGTATTGTAGGGCTCTCATTGGTCCACACAATGTAGTCCGCGAGAAAAAAAAACAGTACACATGTTTTTCTATTGCCCTGGGATGAATAGGCGCTTCTGTAATATAGGACTTGGTATATGTGGGAACTAACACCACATGTTAAATAATATAAGATCAAAAACAACCTTTCTCAGAAATGACTTCAGTGCCCCTTTAATCTGTGGGAGCACAACGCGAAAGTGCGCTGAAGTGCCGTTCGTGCCAACGGTGCTTGTGCACAGGGGAGAGCGTCCTGGTGTGCAAGACATCGGAGCGGGGCCTGGCAGAGCGCCTGTGTGGCGCCGAGCCGCCACCCATTGGCTCCTCCCTGGCCGGCACGGGGGCCGCCACGCCGGCGCTTAAGAGGGCCTTGCTCGAGGTAAGCCAAACTGTGGTTAAGGTTGGTTCCAGGCTTTGGGTCATTTGTGTGGGTTGTTTGTTGAATGACTTACCACACATTTTAGCACTCTTTTTTAAATGCATAGCATTTACAGTGGAATCTTGGTAAACGGAAATCGCTTAAAGGAATTGTTGCTTAAATGAAACAACTATCTTGGAGTTGTTTGGTTTTGTATTCGTACAATGTAAAAATATTCCCGTTAAGGGGGGACACTACCCAGAAAAAACAATTTCTGCAAAAAAAAGTTGATTTTGAAAAATGTCATATTTACATCTACCAACATCTAGAGAGTATTGCCAGAAAGTTTCATTAGTTTACACTGCATAGTTAATTTTTTATAAATTATTTTCGGTCCACTGATGCTAAAGAAAAGGTAGAGGTTGGAGCACTTTGAACGCATTTTTCTCCATTCCACTCTTTGGCATAAATTTCACTTTAGGAAAACTATCGTTTTGTTATTACGCAACTTGGATTCATTTTTGTGAGTGTTTCTGGGGTGAAATTTTAAGGGGAAGATAACTATGAGCTTGTATTTTTTATTTTTGTCATTTTTCATGCTCAAGAACTAGAAGTTTGGACAAAGGATGGAAATCTAAAAAAACTGTATTTGTGTTTATGTGGCTTTTTTGTCATGAAAGATGGTATAACATAGAAATATAGCTCCATAGTTATCTGCTCTGAACTGTCCTAATGCAATGTAACACATGAAAACACCAAATTTATAAGTAATTTCAAAACGACAGTTTTCCTAAGCAGACACGCCCACTTTCGTCTTTGAACGTTTGCAATTTTTTTTGTACTTCTTCCAGGTTAAAAAAAAATTGGCAGAAATGTTATCAACATCAACAGAAACAAGCCCTGTAAATATAATTTAAATCAGACGAGTGGTTCGAAAATTTACTTTTTTGGGTAGTGTCCCCCCTTAATCAGAACTCAAATTCTTGCGCTTCCGCGTAAACGGAACTGTAAACAAAACTATTTCGCTGACCAGATATTTTTTGGTATCGCAAAAAAGAAAAAGAACTCCGAATAATAAAGCAGTATGAAAAAGGTTTTAAATATTTATTAGCTTTATTGCCTAAAATTAGCATGTACGCATGTTTATTTTTGTTTTGTTTTTACTCCTTTTTATGCATAGTAGGTGGCTGTGTTGGGTAGGCTTGGCTCGACAGGGCTTCCGCTGGCATCTCGGGGATCTTAGGCCTAGTGGCCTAGTTTCAGTGATAGCGGCACCGAAGCAACAACAGCGTGCGCTCACATTAGAAAAAAAGGTCAAAGTCATTAACGATTTTGATAGCGGTTGCTTCACGGAAACGGCGCTTGCAACGAAGTATGCCATTCCCAAAGGTAGCCTGACAAGGATTCTTCATGACAAGGGGAGAAAAGAAGAGGTTGCTAGATCTTAAACAAACCAAGATCTTGTCGTTTTTTCTACTTATTGAAGGATTGTTTTTAGAGACACCGGGAAAGAGGGAAATGGGAAACTTGAATATTGGTTCAACTTTTTTACACGGTTTGTGTGAATATAGACAAATGTGGCAATTCGGTGTCTTTGTTATTATTGTGCCTTCTACATTCACTAGCTGGTGTTTACAAATTGTGCACTTGTGGAAACAGCATTTAAGCTGGCATTTAACATTTTTAGTGTACCTACACTTCATACTCTCAGTAAATGAAACTCCCGTTAAATGGAACAGATTTTCCTGATTCCTTCAAGTTCCATTTGTTGAGATTGCACTGTATAGGGCCAGCCTCAAAGATTCTGTGTTTGTGGCATGTAGCCTTGATGACGCAAGTGTCATGTGATATCATGACATCACATGAGACTATGATGTCACATGGCACTGTTATGTCACGTATTTGTGACCTCATGATGTCACTTGATTTTGTGAAGTCACGTGATATGGTGACATTAGTTGAAACGTCATGTGACATCATTGAAGCAAGTTGGAGGCGAGCTGGTTAAGGATAGACATGGGCGAGAGGACAAAAGAGACGGATGGACACAAAACTCCGAACGCAGCTAAAGATTCTTTTTCAGGCCACATTCTTACATAGGCCGACAAACACGCAAGGAGACGCACTCTGCCTGAGGCTACACAACCGTGGCAAATAAGAATCAAAGAACAAAAGACACCGGCGACAGACTAGAGGACACTACAGTAATCTAAAAGACAATAATAAAAAGATGGTAAAGAAAAAAAAAAAAAAACTAAGTGTTAAGACACCTTCTACAGTAATAGCCTGAGTCATTGCCCATCCCCGAGTCATTGCCCACCCCACTTTTTGGGCCAATATCAATTTCCAAGAGAAGCTTCGAGGGATCGCCCACCCCTACAAATAGTTTAACGCGGGCTCCACAATTCGCGAACATTGATCCTAACCAAATGATGCGGCCGTGGACCTTACGGTTGGAGGGTGACCATGACAAAGTAAAACGAAGGGGGGAAAGACACTTCCCATTGTTAACGCATTTCCTCCCCGAATGCCGCGACTCCGAAGTTGAAGTACATGTGTGCGAATGGAAAACGATGGAGGTAGCAGAATAAAGCTTTGTTTTGCTTACAAAATAAACTTTGTTTGGCCAAAAATAAAAGTTGGAAAGATAACACAAGCAGTAACCCATTCAGAGATCGCGAGATCAGCGAATGTCCCATATCTGGGAATGTAACTGCAGAGTGTAAAGTCGAAGTCCGTGTCTGCCGAAATACGGCCACTGCAAACCCGCTCCTTCTTCCGTAACATTGCAACCGCACTTGGTGAGGTTGTGCAATGTTGGAGACAAAGCCAACAGATAAATCAAGATTTGCTGGGACGCCGCGCACACATTTGTAAAGCATCCCATTTCAAGCTCTCTGTTCGTGGTGCTGTCAATACCACGCAGCAAGGCTGCCTCAACCCGCTTTGATAGCATGCCGTGCACGGAAGCACACACGTATGCACCAAACAAGAATGTTGCACAAGAGCCTGGTGTGACTGACGAGGTGCCCAACTTAGCCCGAAGGCAAAGTATTTGTCAACGCAATCGCCGGCTTTCCCACTTCCCCAACATTGCTCTTCGTTGCATATTTCACCCGCATGCAAGCAATAGCCTTTGCGATATTAAACATTCTTTCAGGATTATTTCTTGCATAAAACAATGAAACTAATTTGAGTTTTGAGTTTAATGTATCTCTTTTGCAGCTGCGCTAGATATGTACAAAAGATGGGCGGTTTTTTGCTTTTTAAAAACTTTTTGTGCATACCCACCGAGACATGGCCCACCCCACTTTTTTATTAATTTCACGCAGTGCCCCCGGGATATTACGGTAATTGGGTTGGTAAGTGCAACGGGCATATTGCTAAAACATCCACCATTCCTGGAAATCATCAACGACTCCTTTGCAAGACGTTTATAGACGTCTTTTTCCTCACACAGAATCTCAGTGTCTTGCCACACAACACAACCATCAACGCACTGGGACATGTGTTTGGCCAACCCTGAAGCTTCGTTGCTATTTTTAACAGCTCTCTTGCATCCACGCGGCCGGCCGTTAATGCATCTGACAGTCTGGTCAACATGTAGCAAGAGCCACATTTCACAAGAGTTTCGTAAACTACACCAAGATCACAACTCGTAGAAGGGTCCCTATGATTCTTACTACAGCCACTTTCCGCAACAAAAGGAGTTAATCTGTACAGACGAAAATCGGGTTTAAAAGATACATGAATACCGAACTTCCCTGCCAAGGCCTTCAGGTTATGAGACATGCCATGGAAATACGGAAGACAGACATGTTGCCACGTGACTTTATGATGTCACGTGGCACCATGACATCAGTGTCAGGTGACACTGTCATGGCTTTATATATTCACAAAACCCTCGCATTGTGCCCTTCAGTGACTGACTTGCTGTGCTCACAAAAGGAGGAATCTGAGGATGCTATGCATTTGGGAAATGCCAAAGAGAGCCAATTTTTTATTAGTTAGTTTTTGGCCAGCAAAGGTTGACCACTGGTCAAAGAACATTCAAACCCATGCAGTTAATGCCGAGTTGATAGAAACTGGAAATATGTTTTGCTGCACTATTTATATTTTGTTTCATCTGGGCTTTGTGCACACAGAATAAGTACTCATTGGCAAAACAGTAGGATGTGGAACTATAATTAAGCGTCTTATTTGCCTCTTGTTGGTGGGCACGAGTGCTATTGCGGGCAATATAAGCTATAATAGTCTCCATTTTTTTGGAGTTAGGGCCGGTTTCTAAAAAACTTTGTTCCAAACTGTTCAACGGATTGCGAGTCTTGGGTTCCATTTTTTGAACTCTATGACAAATTGAGAGTTAATGATAAATTGTGGGGATTGGATGTTGCACCTCATATTGTCAGTGAGGGTACATTTGAAAAAGCTTTGGAAGTCACCGTGATGACGGCCAATGTAGGTTACTCTGGTGTAACCTAAAAATACATTTAGACAGTTTCAGAACAAGTTGAGCATCTTGACAGGGCATCTAAAACAAAACCCAGGTCAAATAAACTCCCATGGCATTTATTTTAAAGAAATTACCTTGTCAGCAAAACAAAAAAAAACCAAAAACAATGTCCTTTTTGGTGGATGTTGGCTCATGGAGAAATTTCTTTTTTTTGTTTTAAACTTTGATCCAGGTTATGTTTTGAAACATTTGCAATTTATCACCACCGCTAGCATCACATTCACACAAATTTTTGACTTTTCAAGATGCATAGTTTATTTATGCGGGCCAAAAGACTGGGCTTCGTTTCCCCCCTCGGATTTTTCACTACTTTCGGCTCGGAGAGAGATGGATGAATAGAGGCTAGTGGCTAATATACCCTTTGTATCAGGTGGTAGCTTGCGCCACCTAGTCTAGAAACATTTATGTTGGCACCAGGGCTGGGCTCGTGATCGATTAATCTACCGATTGATTGATTAATAATATAATCTCAATTCACTTTTTATCCGGTTATTCGGTAAAATTTTAACGAACCAAAAGAAAGTAAAAATTAGTCAGTTTTATCACGCGGACGTGGACCAGAACACCTGCATGAAAGGCAAGCTTTAAGTGAAATTGCAAGATTTGTAGCTCCAGACAAGTGCAGAAGGTTACGTGTATCACGGTTACCTCAACGCCATGCGAGTCTCCGTTAAAGGGATGGTGAACCGAAATTTGGATTTCAGAAAAAACAATGCAGGAAATGTAGGCGGAACGCTACAATTCCTCCACCACTACTCGTAAGGCGATATCTTGAATGGATGGCCGTATTTTTGGAAAAAGAGGTCGAGATTGAACCAGGCCGACGAGGCGCGTGACATCACTATACCGAGTTTCCTCCTCTCTTCGCTTCGTTCCCTCAAGGCCACGAGGCGGACATTACGCGAGGCCGTTCCCTCTCCTCCTCGGAGAAACATGACGACATCATCTCTGTCAAATGCGCCTCCTTTTCTTGAAAAATTTGGTCATCCGTTCGAGATATCGCTGTATGAGTAATGTTTTGGTGTTTGTAGCATCCCATCGCACGCTTTTACCGCATGTTTTGTGGAATCAAAATTTCGGTTCAGCATCCCTTTAAGCGCAGCAGAGACTATTGTGAACAACTGAAAGGGGGTTTTTCTTGCCGGAAAATATTGTTGAACCTCTTTGCCTCATGCAGCTGAACTAACAACGTAATGATCTGTGAGTATGAGTGTCTTCGAATATGTTTCGACTACACATCGAGGTTGATCTGTATTTGAAATTCTACATGTTTATCACATTATCAATAAAAAAATAATATATTTTGATAATGCAGGGAATGAACGAGACCGATTAATCGATTAATTAATCGATTGAAGGGTGGCGATTAATCGGGTTAGAATTTTTAACTAACGTCCAGCCCTAGTTGGCACCCCTCTGCTTTAAGTGTCGTTCCAAATGCTTTGGGGCACCCCCAGGTGGTGGCCAGCGGAGTGGCGAGCAGCCCGGAGGAGCTGTCCCTGTACTGGCGCTGCACCCTGCAGCACGCCCTGTCTGCCGGCCTGCCGCCTCTGGACGCCTGCCTGAGCTTCCTCGTGCAGCGGCAGTTTGTGCACCTCCGAGGTAGTATGGGGCCTGGAACACATTTCCGACCGGTGTGTTTACTGCGCCCAAAAGCGTGCTCCCTCCATTTCCACCCGTCTACGTCATAAAAGTATCGTGCTGTGTTCTTAGGCATTTTTTTCCGGAACTTCTAGGCCCATTTTCCGGGATCGCAAAATTTGACAGCATGACACGGCGACATTTGTAGCATCATTTGTCACCACTTCGGGACCACTTTCAATGCATGGGCAGAATAGGACGCTAAACGCACTGATCGGAGACCCGTTTCAGGCACCGTATTGTCAGACGACGGAATGCACGCGCAACTCCTCTGATCCCACTGTGTTTGGCTGGCACGGTGCAGTAACTGACTGCGATCTTTTAGAGCAGGGGTTCTACCTCTCTTTCGAATGGCAGTCAAGAAACCCCTACTGGTCTTGGCATTCAAATTATCATGTTTAACGAAAGCCTTCTAAAGCGGTAGCTTTATAGGCCCAACCACGCTCGAGGCCGTGTGCTCATGGTCATGTCATCAAGGACGCGTAATCAGGGTCACATAATGCCCGTAACTGAGGTGCAAGGTCGCGTAATCAAGATCACGTAAGCACCGGTTGCATAAGCTCCGTTAACAAAAGCACCGGTCGCGTAAGCTCATAAGCGTTGGTAGCTGAGGCTGACGTGACCTGATGTCCTTGATGTCGTCCTAGAGTTTGTCCTTGAGGTTGTCCGAGAGGTTGCTCTTGACGTTGTCTTCTAGGGCGTCAGCCTCGACGTCATTCAGACGGCATCCTTGAGGTTGTCCTTGACGTTGTTCTAGGCGCCGTCCTTGAGGTCATCTTTGAAATTACTCTTGAGGTCGTCCTAGATTACTTCTTAGATGTCGTCGACGTCGTCCTAGGCGCATTCCTTGACGTTGTCTTTAATCTGTGCATGGCATATTACAACCAGTTCATCACCATACCATTTCCTTTCGTTCTTGTAAAGCTTGCGCATTTCATCGCATTTGGTCAAATGAACGTGCCTGTAATTTTTTTGATTCTCTACTTCTGGGGCCGCCTCAAGCACGAGCGGAACGCTCGTATACTTTTTCTGTTCCCCTCAAAGTGTTTGGAGATGACGTAAATGAACTGCTTTAAATTCTTCTGTGCGTGCTGCATCCGGAGCTTCAATTCTTCCTTGAGCCACCATTTGCCATCTATAGTTGCAGGTTCAATTAGAAGGGCCGCCTCAAAATCATCCCAGGCGTCAAACCTGCCAGATAATTAGCACCAATTTTGCACTCTTCTCTAGCGTTGTCGGAACTACTCGGTGCACGCGATTTTCATCGAAGACACCGGTGATGAGGCAGGAGCTTTTGAGACGCTCTAGAAACGTTTCTGGTGTCTGTTTCTTCTCAATATATATTAAAGCAGTCTGTAAGCTTCTACAGGCCTCGTAAGCCATACTGCGCATAGTACTAGGAAGTGTATTGGCTCATAGTTAAAGGGAAGATGGGGCACTTCTACATTTGAGAAAAAACGTTTGAATTGCGTTCATCTGGCCTTTAGAATAACAGATATCACAATTATATTTCAATGCGATGCGCCGGAGAGCCATAAGAGCAATTTGAAAATAGGGCTGAAGCCCCGCCTCCCTAGCCTTGGCAAGCCAAAAGAGCCGTCGATGACGTCACGGACAGCGACTGTCTTTCGCGTTTTTCTCGCGTTTAACAATACTTGCGCGGAAAATGGTTTTGGTATTCGGGTTCACGAGGTAAAAATACACTAGAATTCACTTCTAACTCATTTTTTTCAAGAAGCTCCGTAGCTTCCCTTTAAGGTATACATCAATACTCGTCTGAGATGTACTAAGATGGCGCTTAAACTGTATAAACGCTTTACTTCAGAGCAAGGACAGTCAAAGGGAATTTGGAAGCTGGGGGAACCCCCAAGAGTTCTTGCGGGAACCCCTGGGTTCCCTGAGCTCCCGAATTTCCTTTACTGTCCTTGCCCCGAATTAGTGTTTTTTGGGTAGAAGTGCTATTTTAGCAGACCTGAGTAATTTATTCATGTATAGCTATGAGCCAAACACTCCTCAGTATGTGCTTTATTGTTTACAAGGTCTGCAGGCTTATGCACTGCTTCATTATATCAACGCCGAAGCCAACGGGGGGTCCCTCGGCTTTCAGTCGGGCGTGGCGCAGTGAGCAGAGTGCAGCATCTGCTCACTATCGGGAGATAGCACCACAAGCTAATAGCGTCCCTAACTCGGTCATCTGCAAATGCACTCAACGTTGACTTTGGCAAGTTTGTCACTCCTATTTTTCACAGAAAGAGAATTATGCCTCAAAATTTCAGGCAGTAAAACTGACTTGCTCAGTGCATATTGGGTGAAAGTTGGAGCTTTCTTTGTGCAGGCGCCGATTTTACAGCTCGTTTTAGGGCGTCAGATTCACTCAACCACTCTATAGATCTTGCCCTTGCGGTGACCGCAGTGGGACCTCGTCGCAGGTGGCGGCGAGGGCGGTCCCCGCTACCACCCGACACAACTGGGCCTGGCGGTGCTGGCATCGTCGCTGTCCCCGGACGAGGCCCTGAGCGTGCTGGCCGACCTGGAACAGGCACGCCGCTGCCTGGTGCTTGAGAACGAGCTGCACCTCGTCTACCTGGTCACTCCCGTCCATCTCAGCTCGCAGGTGGATTCTCGCCGCTGCCGGCACAAGCAACGTGGAAAAAATTGCACAACGATTGCGCTACTTATTCAACGATATGACGATGACGATTGATGGACATTGCGCCGATCGTGCAACAAACGGTGAAATAATATTCAAATGATGTCGCGTTGATTTAGCATCATCGCATTGTCGATTAATAAATGATTTTAAGGTTGTGATATGTTTTCCCGCCAAATTTAGCGGAAAAACTGAATTATTGCATAGGCCACGTGACATCAATTTTGCCGCTAAATTTTGCGGGGACAGTGAATTATTAAATGGGCCATGTGACATCAATTTTTGCACTAAATGTAGTTTGAAAATCTTTTTGTTTATGCTCACGTCGTTGAAAAACTGGGGGACGGACCACTAATGGCTGATGCTGTAAAAATCAACTTAATTAGTGCCGTGATTTGCATACAACATTTTTATTTGTTCGGGTACCTACCACATCGCCCAGAGGACATTGTTATAGAGGTGACTGAGGCTGGCTCACACGCTCACGCTTGGTTGCAGCCTCGTGTAGTCTTGTGCTTCCTCGAGACGAGAGAACACTAGAGAGTCTGGATTTAAGAGAGGGAACAGCTGAAACCATGAAGACTGTTTGCAATTTAATAACGGACAGTTTCCGCACCTGTTGGTCGCAAGTGCGCACACTTTGCGTCGTCGCTTGGCGAGAAGGAAAGCGGGTGGACAATGTGCGCCGTCGTCACCTCCTCGCAGCTCGTATTGCAAATGCGGCCCATAAACCACGCGACTCCGATCGAGCAGTTAGAGACACCCTGTAGTCAAGCAGGGTGTCTAGCGACCGGGAAAACCGGGAATTGTTAGGGAAATTTTAGTTATAGGGAAAAATCAGGGAATTGTCAGGGAAATTGTCAAAAAGCGAGCCCAGTCAGGGGCTCTACTTGCTGAATTCATAAACCTTGCTCCCATTGAGGTGTCCCTCCACTTCCCCAAGGAAGGTGCGAGGGCCGGTGCCGGCCAATCGCGACGACCGATAGGCCGCCCTCGCACCTTCCTCAAGGAAGTGGAGGGGCGCCCCAATTAGAGCGAGGTCTTGAATTCGGCAGCAAATCTCACCTGTTCGACACCGATTCAGTGGATGCCGCCATATAAATATACAGCATACAACTGCATTTCCATGGGAACGGGGTGGTTTGGTTCACATTTAAATGGCGGTGCCCATTAACTAGTTTTCCTTTTGGCTAAGAGAGTGGGGTGCATTTCGTGGCAGTTTGTGCCACCTCCCTCCCATTAGGACCCCCTGACCTTTGGGCCCTTGTTGCAGCTGGGGGCAGTGGACTGGGGCCGCTACCAGGCGCTGTGGGAAGGGCTGAGCCCGGACCGACAGCGGGTGGCGCAGCAGGCCGGGGTGACGGAGGCCTCCTTGGCGGCACGGGGCCGTGGCCGGGAGGCGTCCCATCGACGCCTCCTGGTGGCCTTGGCCCTCGAAGAGCTGCTCGGGGAGCGGCCCCTGGCACAGGTGGCGCCGCGCTACGGCTTGCCCAAGGGCCTGCTGCAGTCGCTCCAGCACGGGGCCGCCACCTTCGCCGGTGAGTGCCACCTGCTCTCCGTCTCGCCGCTGTGCATTCGCTCGCTCGGGCGAGGTCGCCGATGCAATGTTAGGGCGCTATAACGGTTAGGTTTTTAACGCAGAATGTGTTTTACGAGTCATTTTCTACGAGGACGTCTTCACAAACTAGCTTTATGAAGATGTCAAGAACAGGTGTCATGATCGAGTGATAAACTGGGAGCGTTGGAGGGATAAACTGGGAGCAGTGTACAACATTAAGGTTATATATAAGTTTATATGTAAAGTTTGAGTCCTGGGTCGGTGCGGTGTCAGTCAAATACTCTAAACAAAAAAGTAAGGATGGCCTCTCAGCAAAGCGTGCTGGAGAGATCAGTGTGACGTCGTACCGTCTGGCCGTTGACCTCGTTGATGTTACGCATCGCACTAGAATCGTATAAGGCAGAGCCCATGCGGCACGCTCGTTCGCTCGATCTCGCCGTGGCTAACGTCTGTTGTGCACAATGAAAAATTCAGCAGAAACCACACACGGAGTGTGGTTTGCACTAATTTCATGCCTGAGCACTGAAAGATGTTTCACAATGGCCGGGTGTTGTTTCCAAAGATATAATATAAAGAAAGGGTAAAGTGCAGGTTTTCTTTTTTAATCATCTAGCAGGAGCACATACAGTGCTTGCAAGCTGCTCAGGTCAAAAAGCATTGAATACAAATATTAAAAGCAAAAAGTTGATTGTCAGCTTTCTTTTTTTATTTCTTTTACTTTGGCACTTGTGTTTCCGCAACATTCCAGAAATTTCAGATTCCAAACTGGTGATACACTAGAGAAGTTCTCCATCGGATGTAAGCCCTCGTTCTCTGAATTCCTTTCTGAAAAGTCTTAAAAGGAACTGGAAAAGCTGCCCCCCGATCTCCACTACCGCCAGAGCAGCCGACACACAAAGTGACCATCTTATGTGCATCACATTTAATTTCGTAACTCCAAATAGCCCCAGCAAAACGAAACACTGTGCAAATGTAGCATTTAGTATATAGGTCTGCAAAGACATAACAAATAAGGACAATACACAATGTTGCCTGTTGTCCCTTCCTTTCATGTGTCTTGGTTTTCCTTCCCTGTCTCAAGTTATGTCAACCTTTCATTAGCTCGCCTGCGCGCTCACGTTTCACCCAACAAATAGCAACACCTTCCGCACATGCACAGTTTAGTGTTTAGGTAGGCACTTTCAATGAGCATTGGCCGCCGTACATGTGTAGTGGCTATTACTAGAGAGCAACCTGCAGCAGAACAGGCAGATGCCTTTTCTGCTGCAAATCGCTTTCCAGCTGGACAATCCATGCAAGCTTCAGGTGCCAGGAGTGTGCCTGTACGTCTTGCCGGAGCTTCGTGACGTTCGACAGTATAACTCGTGGGCTACCGTTACATAGTTTGTCGCCACTTTTTTAACACTTTCTATGCGCATTTACTCCCTTCCTTATAAAGAAATAAAGTCATTATTTTGGCCTACGATGTGCAAAGAAACAAAAGCGATAGCTGTAGCAGGGTCGCGTAATGCGGGTAGAATGGTGCAGTCACGTACTCGAGGACGGAGGTGCGACGTGGTTAATTCTCATGGCCGTCATGGTTGGCGTCGTGAATGTCACTGACGACCACCACCAGTGCTCAGTGATTTTAAAGTAAGTGGGTAAGTGCGATGGAAATTTCTAAAACCATCCAACATTACGCGCAGCAACTGGATACTGCCAAGATGGAATTTTGCATAACGCGAGGGATGTTTGAAAACAAGTCTTTCAAGCAGACGACAGGAAGACTCTCCCTTCATCGCTTCGTTATTGGTGGGATGCCGGGGCTCCCCTCTTTTATTTCTCCATGCTGTGCGGCCGACGGGAAAACCTGTCTTCCCTGGCCTCGCACCGAAAGCGGGAGAATAAAAAAAGATTTTCCCTTCTTCGCGGGCGGGGATGACAACAGACGAAGTAGAAAACTCTGCAAAGTGTTGCCCGTAACCACCTAGAAAACAAGGCATGACATCATCGTTGGTGTATCCCTAACCTGCCCCAAGCAGAAAACACGCCGAAGCTCAACAAAAGTGGCCGCAAAGCAGCAGACTCCTCCACCTCGGCATCGCCGCGTGCCATCGTCGTGGTCGTTGCGAGATGCTGCGAGACGCGCAGGCGTCGACGCTGACGCAAGCTAGGCAGGGCTGTGTGGATCCATCAGGGATGGCGTTTGGGAGGAAGAGACGTAGGCCCTGTCCTCTAGGTGGTATGGACTTGAGCGCACCCTCTTTCAGGCATGGTGTGTGCCTTCTGCGAGCAGCTGGGCTGGCACGGCCTGCGTCTGCTCGTGTCCCAGCTCCAGTCGCGCCTGCACTTCGGCGTGCGTCCCGAGTTGGTGGAGCTGCTGCGCCTGCCCTGCCTGGACGGGCCGTGCGCTCGGCTGCTGCATGACTGCGGATTCACCGAGCCCCGCTGCCTGGCACAGGCTACGCCGGCCAACCTGGAGCTGGCCCTGAGCAATGCGGGGCCCTTCCGAAGGTCTCTTTGCCCGTCTGAACGCTTTAAATGCTGCAGCACTTCTGTAGTCAATGACAGTGAGAACGGCGTGTCTTTGGAATGCCCGGCCTCCAGTCCCATGCCTTCCACCGTGCTCTGGCTGCGTGTAAGCTCTTGAAATACACTAGGCACCTAAGCGTTGTTGCTCCTTGTCATTCTGACCCTCACCTTGTCAGCGACCATAGCAACACCGTGAGATTGCACGCATCTGTCCATCGTCGCACAATGGCTGAATTTAACGGGAAAACTTGTAGGTGTAGTCTTGACTTCCCTGCTAAATGGAGCGGGAGGTGTTTTTCCCTCTAAATTTTATGGGAATGGGCATGTGCTTTAAAGTCCTGAGCAAGCGCCCTCCCAACCTTTGGATGTTGGCAAACTTGGGGAAGGGTTAGGCCAGAGTGCAAAACTGCAGAACATGATAGGGGAGGCTTCACCACTTTGCTCGGTGAATCTGACAACCTTTGGATGTTGGCAAACTTGGGGAAGGGTTAGGTCAGAGTGCAAAACTGCAGAACATCATAGGGCAGGCAGGCTTCACCACTTTGCACTGGGGTGTTTGGAGAAGTGGCTGACGAGCAAAAGCACCACGCTGGGGGGGCACAGAAATTCGGGTAGAGCACTTGAAATGACCTTTGCTTAGTTTTCAAACATTTCTACGAACTAGCAATCGGGAAAACCGGGAATTGTCAGAGGAATTGTAGCTATAGGGAAAAAAATCAGGGAATTGTCAGGGACATTGTCAGAAAGCGAGCCCAGTCGGGGAAAATGAGCCGGAAACACCATTGAGGGCCCTGAGCAAAGAGTTGAGGACTTGGGGGCGGAAAAATATGCAATAAATTCTGCTTAGAGTGGAGCGCGGGCTCTGCTTACCTAGTGTTGAGTGTGCTGTCCGATGTAAAGGGAACAGCCAAAAAATCCGGTCCAAGCCTTGGATTGGATTGAGGGCATGACACTAGACTAGATCCAGTTAGAGCTACTAGATTTAGTAACAAATGAGTTATTGACGTGTGTGGTTGAGCGTCATGTTTTTATGGTGCTTCCAGAAGTGGCCTCTTCACTGACGTTGTCGGCGGCAAGAAAGTGCTCGTTTAATTCGGACCGAACAAACCCAAATATTTCGGAATGTTCAAGTTGGATTAAGCCCGTGCAAAATGGTCCTTGCAGTGCTCAATGCCTTGTATTGTAATGGTCTTAAATATTTAACCGCCTCCACAGTGGTCAGGAAATTTAATCTGAAATTGTTAGGGAAAACGTGGAAAAGTCAAGGATTTTCAAAATAATAATTTGCTAGACACCCTGGTTTGTTCAATTTTGCCGTTTCAACATGAATAAATGTGTCTAAAGCCTCGCATCCTCGACACAATTTTATTATATGAGGTGTTAGTAGCCTTATCTTCCCGAGGCACATAAAATCATTGCTTCTGATTTGCATTGCTCTGCAACTTTGTTAAAGGGGTTAGGTTAGGATGTGCGGGCCTATGTTTCATCATGGGATTAGGATGTGCTGCCTGTGCTTCACCATGGAACCACTCTTTGCGTTGACGTTGCAATTCTGCGGCCGAATAACTGCGGCTGGCAGCACTGCGCTACAGTTCACAAAGTTTTGTTTCACACGTGTCACCCACGACCTGTCGACCGTGTGCGTTTTTGGCCGCTGCAATGCCCAATGTTCGCAGCAAGCGAACGCACACGGCAATTGTTAGCGCATCCAATGATGCCCTCGTTTCTGTCATCTGTTTTAATTGAAAAGAAAGAGGCATATTAAACATAGATAAACAATCTTGGTTTGCATTTGCGTAGCATTTCTTGAAACATTGCTGTCTCAAGCACATTTGAGATATTCATCGGGGATTGTGAATGTTTAGTCACAAAAGGGATGATGAAAGAAAAACTTGACTTTACAAAGACTTCATGGCACTCAACCTTACAAAGACTTCATGGAACTGAAACACACAGACTAAACCCCTCCAAGGCTTTACACATGACCAAAGTAGTAAATGGGCACAAAGGGAAGGACCCAATGCAAGAAACCAGATCAATTGTGTATTTGATGCACTTGCAGCGAAGCTTGTGATGTACAAGCTTCGCTGCAGTGTTTCTCCTTCTGTCCCGTGATTCCTCGCCGCGCTGTGAAGTGCCAGCGATTTCTGCCGCCGCTGCTCTGCCAACTGCGCTGTGGTTTGGCGCAGCACGGTCGGTGGTCGAAGAGGCAACATGCGTTGGATGCTCCGAAGAAAGGACCCAACCGGAAACTTTGCGTTCCCAGTGCACCCAGCTACATGTCACTGTGCATGTGACTTGGGAGACGGCATAAGATTTGAGAGTGGTTGGGAGGTACCCAAAACCTCCATCTTTGACAGTTAATAAAAAAACAGCTAATGCAAGCAGACGAAAATTGGTCTTAAGTGCTTTACTCTGGACGTGACAGGAAGTGATTCCCACAATTATTTTACAGAAGTTCAAAAACTGTTAAACAACCCCTTTGAAAAACTAAAAAATAAAATCACATTTTTGAAATTGTTTTGTTGAAGATTAGCAGGCATTTATCGTCTCGTCCTGAATTATTTTTTAGGAATGAAGTCTCTTTTATCTTGAAACATTGTCTTGAAAATGTAGTAAAATGGGCCTCTGCATGTTTTTTTGCTATTATTTCAAAAGGAACTATCTACACACATTTCTATTTTATGAAGAGCATATCTCCACTTACACTGTAAAAGCTTGGTTTGCTGAACAAGTTGGTAGTGGACATTCATACTAAAAATAGCGCAAAAGAAACGGGACAAAAAGACGAAGAAGCACACAGCGTTTGTCCTGTGTGCTTCTTCGTCTTTTTGTCCCATCTCTTTTGCGCTATTTTTAATATGAATCTCCACTTACACACATGCAATCTTCACAATTTTTTTTTCTTTCTTTAGTAGGTGTATGTGTGAGGCAATGAATATAGGATATTTTAGATGCCTTTTATACTTCCTGCAATAAATGTTAAAATGAAAAACTAAAGTGTCATAAAAAAAAATAATCTGAGCTTTCATTTATACCCTATTGGATTTCATGCACCTTTCAGTTTACTAAGATATTTTATTTTCTAATTTCAGTATTTCAATTTGTCTTCATTAATCCTTTCCATTATCTTTACAAATGGAACTTTCAATATTAAGAAAACTAAATAAGATACATCAAAACGAAGTACATATCTGTAGTCAGATTGTAAAGGCAGATAAGCTATGTAAATTTCAGTTCAATTGCAAGTAATATAAAAAAAGCTCTTGATGCAGTGTTGCCCCTTCAAAGGGACAATGAAGGCAATTTTGGATATTTTTTTGGCGATTGAACTGGGTTCCAGGCATGTCTCGGGCCACGTTGCCCAAATCTCAGCCGAAATCGGCGCTTGCGTGCTGCGCAAATCAATTAAACGGTTGCGGTAATAACCGTACCGGGATCGACTGGGGCGACACCCGAGAGTTGCGGGAGAAGCCAGAAGAAGCGGAGCTCACGTGACCGATTCGGGGCCAAGAAGCGCAATGTCACAAGAGACGCGTCAGCGATTGGTGGAAATGAGAGACGTGCCCTCGGTCACGTTTTGGTTTGCGAATTTTAGGAATACTGTTGTAATTTCCGCTTGAATAACCATAAAAAGTATAAATCGGACCGGAATTGATTACTAAACCGTTCATAAAACAGCATAATAATTTTTCTCTTTGCTACGCTGGACGCGAAACGGGCAACGAGCAACTATGGGCAAACAAAATAAAATAAAAAAAGAACACGGGGGAGGCATTTGGTTTTGGTTGCAGATGTTGGTGTCGTGTTTACTTTGGGAACACGGTACCCGAAGGATTCTGCAAAATGGTAGTCATGCCAAATTTGTGCGCTGTAGATGGCTGTTCTAACGGTCGACTGAAGGCTAGTATTTGTTCGGGCGACGCTAGTTTTCACGTATGGGTTGCTGTTCGTGTTCTTTGACGACGAAAAGAGGACGTCCGACTTTGGTGAAAACCAAAAATAGTGCTGTTTATTTTCTCCTTCTTGGAAAGCGTCCCCCGCGGAGGAACTGGTTCCCGGAACGGCTTGGTAGCTGCCGCTTTCCCCTCGGCATCTCCTCCGCGTCTCTGTCCTGCGGCAACGCGCTGCTCTCGTCTCGCCCGCGCGAATGTTGCTCACTGCTTTCGGAGCCTGCGGGCCGCTCGTTGCCAGCTGGGCGGTCTCCGTCGGGTGGTGGCGGAGGCCGCCTCACACATACTTCCGTTCCATTGGTGTTAGGTTACTGAACGGCAGCTCGAACTCGCTTGCAAGAGCGGCAATGTCGTCCATGTTGACAGATTCGACGAAACGACTGCGCCACCGCACTGCTATAACTCATTGCGGTAACTAGAGTGTCGATCTCCTAAATACTACCGATACCGACTATTCACACTTGACGTCACTCCCTACGTCACCTCTGTTTTCGGAGGCCCAGAAACGAGAATGGGGATTGTTCAGTTTTGGTTTCTTCAGTTCTTTCGTAAGCACAGAAATACACGTCACAAATGTCTACAAAAAATTAGGCAGCGTGCTAGGTTCCCAAGAAGCCTAAAAACACCATTTAAAAAAATTTAATAAAATCGTCTTCATTGTCCCTTTAAGCATAGTGAAAACTAATGAAAGGCTCTGAAAAAGATGCAGCAAACCTCTAGTCGCTCTGGATTTGCTTCGAACTCAACATTCACCATTTGCACATGCCTAGGAATGGAGTGTATGCCCTAAGCCAGCAGTTCTGAAACTTCTTCATCTCGAGGAATTCTTCTCTGGCTTGACTGAAAGCGAAGGAGCCCTTTCTGGTCTTTGCACTGATGTAATAAAGCAGTGCTGAAGCCCACAAACCTTGTGATCAATAATGCACATACAGTCAAACGCCTTTATAAAAAAATGCATCCACTACGAAAACCACCCTTTTAACGAAGTAAAATAAAGACCTGGCCAATCTTCTGTGTTCAATGTATTTCTCCGACTACTATAGCGAATTCCTGTTTAACAAATATTTATGTTTAATGAAGCAATTGCACAGCCCCACAAAGCAAAAATGACCGTTATTATGAATTTTCTAGGTGAAAAGTAATGAATTTCACGTAAATCGTCGCTCTCAAGTGACACCCGTAGAAAACGGAAGTACTGCGGCAGCGGCGTTGGTCGAAACTGCCACTGCGCCGCGCATTCTCGGTTTTGGGTCAAAAAAATTTGTTGGTGTGTAACCCTGTGTTTAGATTGCGCTACGTGTCTATGTTGCTGCGAAATGCCCGCGCGCAATCTTCCATACTTTCGTTTTGCTCGAGCTGTAGTACATGCCACTCCGCTCCAAGATGAGTTTTTTTTTTCAATGCTTCGTCCGGACAATTTGCACACTTGTTTTCTTAATTTACATGCACGTCAGCTCATTTGAAAAGACCCGCCCGAAAAAGAGTATATATACATAAAAAAAAATACTTGGGCAGTCACAACTTTTTTATGCTGCCTTGGCATTTGTTTGATTGACACGCCGACATTTGTCAGGATTCGTGCACCAAGATTCCCAACCTTGCTCGATCCGAGTCCCAAAAGTGTTCTGCCTTGGAGCGACAATAGGCTGTCGAGGAAACGTGACGTGTGACTTTACCTGTGACACCAACATCTGAGTGAAATCAGTAGAGTCGCACAGAAAGAAACGCTTCCCCCTCTTTGTGCCAGACACATGTGAAAAAGAGACCATGCGGCTCAATTCTGCACCTTTTCCTATCTTCTCTCCTCGCTGCCCTGCGTGCTGCAGCTGTTGCATGCGGAGCGAGTGGCTGATTAATTCTGCTGTGCTGCCGCATACTGCCGTACATTACAGAGAGTTTCCAACTGCTCGATCAGGGTCGCATGAATTGTGGGCCGCATTTCCAATATGAGATGCGAGGAGGTGGAAAAAAGTGAAAGCCATTTACAACTCCCTGTAACGCCGAATTAGAGTGCAGCTCTTGAGGAGGAGGAGGGAAGGGTACTGGGGGGGGGGGGTCACGTGACTGACGATGACAGTGCCGATGTCATCAGTGACGTCACTGATGACGTCATCAGTGACGATGACGACGACGTGGATACCGATGACGTCATTAAGTCATTAGTGACGTCGCTGATGACGTCAACAGTGATGATGACAATGCGGATGTCGGTGACGTCATCAGTGACGTCACTGATGATGTCATCAGTGATGATGACGATGCGGATGCCGGTGACGTCATCTGTGACGATGCGGATGCCGGTGACGTCATCAGTGGCGTCACTGATGACGTCATCAGTGATGATGACGATGCGGATGCCGGTGACGTCGTCAGTGACGATGACGTCATCGGGGGTGGGGGTCACGTGTCCTCGGCGGGGGGGGTCACGTGACCTTGGGGGGTCACGTGGGGTCGCCTTGGGGGGTCATGTGACCTTGGGAGGGGTCACATGATGGAGGGTCACGTGACCTTGGGAGAGGTCACGTGACCTTGGTTAGGGTGACCTTGGTTACGCCGACGCCGCTCAAGCCGGAAACGGGCGCCTAAGAGCTGCGCTCTAAAAATGAAAGCCATTTACAACTCCCTGTAACGCCAAATTAGAGCGCAGCTCTTGAGGAGGAAGATGGAAGGGTACTCAGGGTACGGAGGTCACATGACCTCGGAGGGAGGGGGGTCACGGGAGCCACGTGGCTCCGGTGAGGTCACGTGACCTCTCCCCCCCCCCCCGCCCCCGTGATGTCATAGGGCTCACGTGACCTCAGGGGGGGAGGTCACGTGACCTCATAGGGAGGGGGGTTACTTGACCTCACGGTTACGCCGACGGCAACGCCGCTCAATCTGCGAACGGGTGCCTAAGAGCTGTGCTCTAAAAACGTCGATCATCAGCGAGCCTTTCTGCCTGCTTTCCTCCTTGCCACACTACACCGGAGCCCATGTGCACTTGCGACCAATCTCCGCCATCGCTCCCATGGTTTGAGGTTGACCCTCCCTACTTCTAGGCTCTCTAACTGCCGTGCCCGCTCCTACGCCATCTAGCGACTACACACGCAATAAAGAGCAGCGCTGCCGCTTTGAGGGCCTCCTCCGAACAATACGTCGCGGCGTGAGCTGCCACCCAATTTAGAAAAGGCCAAATTCATGCAGTCTGCGAACGAACCTCATTTGCTACATAATCGGGCATCGATGTCGGTCATTTAGTGATTATAGCGATTCATATTTTGATAAGTCAGTAAGTTTTGTTGTGTGGAAGTTTGGACAGCAGGAAATTACTCTGCAGCAGACACCAGGCGAGAGCCTAGTGTTTTAGTTGTAGATGACAAACTTTGCGTGTGGCGATACTAGTGGTAGGACCGCTTGTGTGGTGTCTGTAAATTGCGTTGCGCAGTGGTGAGCACACAAACGCGTGATGATACAATTTTCATCTGAAAAAAAAGACAAAAAGGGGTAATTAAACCCAACAAGCCTGGATTTTGCAGCGTGAGCTTTCGCCCCACGTGCTCAGAGCTGCGATACGCTAGCAATCTCGGCCACCGTTCCCCCTTTTGATGACCCATTTGTCCACATACAAAGCCTTGTTTCTGATGTCACTCATACTATACCTGGTGCTATACTGTTTCCCAACACACCTCGAATGTCGCGCAGGTACAACAATACGCATAAGCACAAATTCAAATTCACGCAATCAATGTTTCGCTTCCAACTGCTCCAACGAAATTACCTGTCCTACATAAATATCTGGCCGGTCCCACGGACTTCGTTATAAGGGCGCTTGATAGTACGAGGGAGCATCTGGCTCATAGTTATGCACCGATGGATGGCTCAGATCTGCGAAGTTAGTGCTTGAACTGGAGAAACACTTTACTACTTTGAGGACGATCAATAAAATTCGAGAGTTCGGGCCTCGAGGGTACTTTGGGCAACCTTCGAGCTCCTACGAACTCGGCTTTGGAACCCATACCCTAAGTGGGGCTCATTTCAAGGCTCTTTGCGTTCTCTTGCAGAGAGGACGAGGAGACGGGCAAGCAGACACGGCGGCTCTGGCTGCCGGGACGCAGACCGCTCAGCCACCTGGAGGCGGCGACCATCGTTATTCAGGAGGCCAGAGAGTTCGTGGAACAGTGCCTGGGTGCCAGGGTGGCCTGGGACGGCGCCGGGTTGCTTGAGGCGTCCCAGGCACACAGCAGCCGCACGACCGTTTCGTCGGCAGTCCCAGAAAAGGCTCAGTCTGCCGCTACGATGGCAGATGCGCAGTCCGAAGAACGCTCCTCTCCGCAACGAGTTCTCTGCGAAGTGGGGGACAGTGAGGGTGTCCTTCCAAAATCTCCGTGCACCCTTCCCATGTCCAGTCCCGCCTGCGGTGATGAAACACTGCAGTGCTTGGAAGCGTTCAACTGTGACTCGTTCCTTAGCTCGCCGCTGAGCATCCATTCGAGAACAGTTTCTAACAGTAAAGAGGAATGCAGCTTAGTTTGGGACAGTAAAGAACCGCTCGACATCTTGAAATGGAGTCCGGCAGAAAAATGCTGGAATTCACCTCTTGTAGAATCTAGTTCAAGGCATGCCAATATAAACGAAGATGGGTTGAAATCTATATTGAAAGCTTCCAGTATTCCTTCTACGAGTGCCAGTACAAACGGAGACAGGAGCGAAGATGCCAGTACTAGTGGAAATGAGACCGAATCTCATCGGGTTGGGGAACGCGTGTCGGTGGCAAACATTTCACCAACTGATGAGACGGACTCGTTTTTTGTCCCCAAAGGGGGAAGCGTTTCGCGATACTGTCGTGGCAACTCGTTGGAGGACGGAAGTCCCGGTTGGGGGCAGTCTCCGATCTTGCCAGTGTTCCTGCCCGAGGAAGAAGAGTACAGACTGAGCGACAGCTTCGTGCTGGACTCACAGACAGCAAGAGCTCTCGACCCACCTGTTGTCGAGGTGCTTGCACGGCCCGCCAAACGTCGCTCACCACGCAGCGCGCGAGTCACCAGCACTGCCGCACCCGTTGTGCCGGAAGTACCAGGAAGTCCCCAGGAAGAGTTGTTTGCATCCCCGTGCGACCACGAAGTGCCATGCCGCCTCCGCCTGAGCCCCTTCTCGGACGATTCCTCCGCGGGAAGTGCAAGCCCTTCGTCGCCAGTGAGCGTGAGGCGCAAGAGGGCGCGGGCCGAAAGGTCGGACGAGGACCTTTTTGCGTCGGTCTGCGTGGACGAACCTTCCGGGTCTCCGGGGGGGTCTCCGCGGGACTTTGTGGTGTGCGAGGAGGGCGACCTCTCCCTTCTTGGGGGCGCCTGGCTGGAGAAGGGCCTCTTCTCCCTGGCTCTGGCGCACGACGAACAGACTGTGGCCGTCTGCTGGCACGGCTACCGGGTCTACCTTCTGCCCCTGTGGCAGCAGCCCCCTGGTAGGCATTCTTTTTCGCAGTAAGGAGGCAAGCTGAGCCACTTAGTGGTCTACATAATGAAAAGTAGCGCTGTTTATTACTTCTGTTCTGTTCTTCTTAGCACTGTTTTTTATGATAACTTTTTCTCGGGAAGTCGTTCCTAGAAGAAGGGGCCAAATTGAATGTGAGGCAGATTGAAATAGATGCAGACGACTCATTAATTCAAACTCTGTTAATTCAAACTTGCAGATAATTCACACTAACATGCAGGTCCCATCCTATGCGTCTCTATGGGAGGAAACTCCTGATAATTCAAACTTTGCTTTATTCAAACAAATTTTCGGGCCCCCTTAAGTTTGAATTAATGAGATTTGACTTACTGCAAAATGAGAAGGACTTGTCCTGTCTTTCTTTATTAATCCTTGTCATTTTGCACTGTGTTTATTTCAACCCTAGGAGAAAGGGCCATGTTCCAAAATTTACGCGATCTCCCTTAGAAGTAAAAGCTTCGTGACTGGACATGCGAAAACCTACTGGCATTAAGCGTCACTCGGTCTCTGTCATCATGTGATGTGACCAGTGGGAGTAGCTTGGAGCTCCTCAAGCAAGATTTGAAGCACGGTCGCCGCGTTTTCTTTTTCTGGGTGCCCTTCGAGCTCTGAGAATCTGCGAGGTATCGCCATTGATGCTGCACGTCGAGTTGTGTGTGGGCTTCCATTTTGGTAGCTGCTACTCAGTTGTGTGACTACAATTGCAGTCTCAAATGACCAAGCTGTTACCAGTGAAAAATGCAACCACAAACTTGACATTCTACAAAGACTAACTGCACTTGCGTCTTGGAACCGCCTAACCGAACCGTAGCAGTGCAGTTCAATCAAGGACATAAACAAAAGCGGGAGAATAACCTATCTTATCCGCAAATAGATAATGAAGCCCTAAATCGAATGCCAGAATGCAAAAACGGCACTCACACTTTAATGCAGGTTCAGTTTTAATTGAACCGGATCAGATTTGACCCTCTGATGAATGCCGGGCTGAGAGTGCTTATACTATTTGTGCATTAATCAACAAGATGTAATCTTGACTGTTGCTCTTCTTGTAACTCACTTCGATGGCAGGTGCACGCTAAAATGCTCTTCTCTCAAAAAGAGGTACCTTAATGTCTTAAAAATGTTCACCCCCAAAAGATAACCTGCCCCCTATTTTAGGCATGATTTTCTATTTTTTCAGAAACACAGAAAGATAGCCCACTTCTAATAATTGTGGGGCCCTGGCCAATGATGACCTTAGCAAAAAGAGTGTTACTTGACCACGGCAGGAGATAAGTGAACATTGCTGTCTGGAAGGGACAGTCATCTTGGTTCATTGCCCCTCTCTGCGATCAGAACTTTTGCAGGTCACAAAATTTAAAACTAGCGTTTCTTGTACTTCTTTTTTATCACACACCGAAAGTTAGCTTACCTCTTATGTTTGCCCGATTTGCTTTCAATTTTAGATTTGCTTTCTCTGGGGATATTTCGGTAAAGCCTTCCAGGGGTTCTGGAACATTTTTGGGGAACACTAGTTTGAGTGAGCTGACGAACACCCTTACCAGACTGGTTGATTCCAAAGCTTAGGAACTTAGTGAAGCATCATTAAGGGGAGACGCGGGTCTTAAAATAATAAAAAAACGCGAAATTTCACGTTTTTCAAAATTCACATATTTGGATTAATTGTAGTCTAAGGTACCTGCCTGCAAAGTTTCAATGTCGAATTCAATGTCTAAGCATGAAAAAAATGATATTTACGATGTCCCCGCAGAGCCCTAACACAGCGAGTTCAATGAAAACAAGTGGAACTTCGCGCCCCGCGCGTTTCGCGATCGCTCGTCGGATCGCGGCCTACTTGGTCTTGTTGGAAAGCCGCTTATTTTCCCCACGTCCCCATGCCATTCGTTATCGCGACAACATCGGGAAACGTCCGCATTCCGCGGGTTTCGAAGGCCCCAATTGCGATCGCTCATTGGTCGGCTAGCAAGGTGCCCGTATGTCAGAGCACGCGCGGCGCTTAGCGCCCCTGCTATTGGCCTAAACGCGCCCCTCCGCTCTTTTTCTCCTTTCCTCCTTTCCGTTCCCGCGCTGGCGAGAGGTGCGTCGTCTGCTCCTGGGCCCGTCTCCGCCCGTCTAGGCCTGTCTGCTTTGTTTCTTCCGTTATCGAGCGCACGTTTTAGTTCCCGTTTGCGCGCTTGCGTTGAACATTGTTGGTTCGCTTTCCTACGAAGTCGCGCGTGTTTTGTTTTGTTTCGCTTCGAGTTCTCGAGATGCCGGACGACGCTCGGTTGAAATCGAGCACGCGGCAAGCGTTCGGAAGGAAGAGGAAGCGACCGTGGAACAAGAAGCCGAAGCTGTCTGCTGCAAGTGCGCCACCGCGCCACCGCGATCGGCACCGCCGGATGCCTTGGATCCTCCGGAAACATCAGCCGGACACATCGCGACTCCATGCAGCAGCGGCAGTTTGTCGAGCTTTGCGAGCGCGGTTCGTGTCGACACCGCATACTACTCCACGGCCGAGCAGGCGCAACGAGTCGCACGATCGGACGAATGCAAGCGTGCGCTATCGGAAAAGTCGGCGACCCAGCGCAAATTCGACCTTCTCGGCGTCACCACAGGAGGCCAGACGCGCGACGCTGGGACACAGTTCATTGTAGTGGACATGAAAGCTCTCAACGACCTCTTCGCGCAGGCGAAGTGCGGAAGCTGCGGTGCGGGAACCCTGACACTTAGCAAGGCCACGGACAAAGAGTATGGCTTGGCAGTCAAGCTTCTGCTCGTCTGTGCCACATGCGAGTTCGAGAAGAAGCAGTTTTCTTCACCAAGAGTTGCCGGAACGGCGAAGATCACTCCTTTCGAAGTGAACATGAGGGCAATGAAGGGAATTCAGTCAATTGGGAAAGGAGTCACTGCCCTCGCAGACTTCTGTGCGTCCATGAACTTGTCACACCGCGGCCTGCATCACAAGACCTTCCAGGGACACCTGAAGACCCATGTGCAAGCCTGCGAAAAGTCAGCAAAGATCCCTGGCCAAGCACGGACTGAGGTACACCACAGTTCTCTCGGATGGAGATAGCCGAACCTTTCATGCGTTGACCGAGGCAAAAGTCTACGGCTTCGTCAAGGTCGAGAAAAAGGACTGCATCAATCATGTGCACAAGCGGATGGGGGCTGCGTTGCGTAACCTCCTTGAGAAAAAGAAAGCCCAGGGTGAAGCACTCGGCGGAAAGGGCAGACTGACGCAGGACCGAATCAAGAAGATTCAAAACTACTACAGCTATGCCCTTAGGAGCAACAGTAACGATGTGCCAGGGATGAAGAGGGCAGTGGAAGCCACCCTCTTGCACATGACGTCTACAGACAGTGCTCCAGACCACAGCAAGTGCCCCGACGGAGCTGAGTCGTGGTGCAAATTCAACAGAGCCCTGGCAAATGGCGAGTGTCCACCTGCGCACAAGAACCCTCTTCCAGATTGTGTGCGGTCCGCCCTCGAGCCAGTGTTTGCAAGGCTCAGTGATGAAAACCTGCTGGCACGGTGCAGCGAAGGCAAGACGCAAAATGCCAGCGAGAGCCTGCATTCGGTCATCTGGACGCAAACCTCGAAGAACGCCAATGCCTCCCTGGACAGCGTCAAGAGGGCTGCTGCCGAAGCTGTTGCCGTCTACAATCAGGGCAGGCGGGCAATGAGCGAGTCCGTTGCTGCGAGCCTGGGCTATGCTGCCGGTGACTGCCTCGTACGCCGCAGCATGGAGAAGGACAATCTGCGTTTGCATAACGCCAACGCTGCCCACCAGAGCAGCAGCAATGCAAAACAGAGGTTCTCCAGGCAACACCGGACTGGAACAGCTGGGGACTACAGTCCTGGACAGCTGTGAGGGGGCTCCCCTTTCGAGTGCTACATGAACAAAGGCCCTTTTCAAGGCCAAACAAAATCTGCTTTTGGAACGTGCAACCCTTAGTGCCTCCTCCCGTTGTCCCTTATAGAGTCTACTCATTCTTTTATAACTTTATTTTACATTGCAGACATTATTTCTCAGTTTTCTATTATTTTTTAAAGGTTCTTGTGAACGGATCGCAGAATTTTTCATCTCAATTTGTTCAGATAGAACTATGCTTCATATTGCTGAACATTATTGCATGGGATCCCTTACTCAATTTTATGCAATGAGTGTCAAAACTTCAACTGCAATTTTCTCAGCTTCACATTTTTCGTCTACATGCCTAGCCTTACGGTTGTTTTCATGAGATTATTCTTCAAGGATTTCTATAAACTTTATACCGTTGGATTCAGAAAGAAGTGAACTGCAGGGTGATGCTATTTTTGTATGACAGTATGGGCCCGAAATTTTATTATTAGTGATAATGTGACCTCGTTAGGCTTTGTGAATAGTGTACTTGACCTAATTAGACTAGTTTTATACAATGATCTATCTTTACAAAAATATAAATAGCACCATCTTGTATGGCAGGTCTTAAGCTACAAATCCATATCACTTATGCAAAAAAAATTTGTATTAGAAAGTTCCTTAATGAGTCGTAAGAAATGACCTAATTAGGCTTCATTATTTTCTTCGTAACTCAAAAAGTAATTGAGATATTGCAGAACTAATTGAATATTTGAAAAGAGGAAGCCAAAACACATATACACACTGATTTTCATTATAATCCATTAATAAACAAAAAAGTCGATTTTAGAACCAGTGTCTTGCCTTAAACCAACATCTCTTTTACGAACACAGTTTAACCTCAATATAACATACTTGAGCGTAATGGTGTCTTCGATTTGATGAAGTATTGCGCACTCTTTTCATAACTACTTCAACCTGTATTTTCCGCCTCGATATTAGTAACAGCCAGTTTTGCTGCTTTGCCTGAATATGTTGACATGTCACACAAGGGAGATATCTTCTCATGTTGCCACGTCTGCGCTTTTGTGTGGTTCTTGCTTAATCACTCCTGTAACAACCAGAGTGCAAAGTTAGCAGTATGGATTAGCAACATTGGGGTGGAAGAGGGGGGGGGGGGGGGAAGGGCTTGACGTGAGGGGCCAAAGAGGGATGAAATTGTCAAACCAAACATTTTTGCAACTATTGTAAAGTTCTTGAAAGAGTGCACTCTTACTGGTTTCTGGTCATGAGTGCATTTTCAATGCATAGCATTTAGAGGGCTAGCACTTGGCTTTTTTTTTTTTTTTTGTCTCTATGGGATGCAGTCTCAATGTCAACGTCACAGTGTTCACATGACGACATCAGCATTTTCAGAAAAAATCCTTTGATGACGTCTGGTGTTCGTGTGACGTCATCAGCATGATGATCATCATGTGACATCATGACGTCACGGGACACTGACACCACGGCCCCACATGAAGTGATCTGACATCACGTCAAGTGGCGTGGTGTCGCATGATATTGTGACGTCGGGTAACGCCATGATGTCGTGTCACATACCATGACGTCTGCGACACTGCGACATCATGGTGTCACGCCACGCAACATCATGACGTTGCAGAGAACCTATAAATATTTTGCATTTAGGTTGCCTTTTGGACATACCAAAGACACAGGCAGTTGTTTTACTACTGACTTTCTTGGAGGAAATGCTCAGACATGTGTTGCCATTTCCACTTTCCCCTGTGAGACCACTTTGTCTGTGCTCATTTGCATCTATATTAATCCGGATGGACGACTTTCAACTTTTTCTATTTACAGTGACATAATTTCTTTGAGGTGCACAACATGTTGCCGTGCAAACATATACACGAGGGTTTATGAACGATCCCCTATAGTTGGGAGCTCCACGGCGACGCGAATTTAAGATTTGAATGCACAGAAATACGCGTCACAAATGTACAAAAAATTGGGCAGCATGCTATGTTCCCAAGAACCATAAGAACACCATTTAAAAAAATTAAAATCGTCTTCATTGTTCCTTTAAAGGGGCACTGACACATCAAAATCATATTTTTTTTTATTATCCGAAACGATTGAAAACGATGCCGGGACATTACCCTCAAAATTTGAAATTTGGGAATTCAGTATTTGTGAAGTAAAAAAACAATTTCCAAATGCCGAATTCGAAGTTCCCGCGCAATCGGCGCCGGTGCCTTCACGTCAAAAATTGCGGATTCCTGAGAGTCGACTTTCTTTCACCACTCCCTGCTGTTGCCATGGCGACCCAAAGCGAGGAGGAAAGGAGCGAGCGCAGGCGTTGCGGCGGACCGGTTTTGAGCGGTGTCGCCTGTTTTCCGTTGGAGGATACAAATCCAGGAGACGGCACCACAACGAACTCCCGATTTTCGGTATTTCAAAAAGAAGGGCGGTAGTGCGTTCGCAATTGCGTTAAAAAACATGTTTTAGGATTGCCGTAATTAAATGTTATAGAGATGTTGCCTACAAAGCTTCTAAATTTCATGATTCTTGACGTCACCGATCAAAAGAAGTGAAGAGGTGAGAGGCGGGAAAATCAAACGCCAAAAATAAAAAGGCGCGCACGCGCGCAAGAAAATTTTTTTTCGCGATGCGGTTTTTTTTTGCGTGTCTATGACTGCAACTTGCATCGTTTTAGACAATAAGAATAAATACGACCTTTGGGGTGTCAGTGCCCCTTTAAGGCAGGGGTCGGCAACCCACGGCCCACGGGCCGCATGCGGCCCACGAGGCAGTTTTATCCGGCCCCCGCACGACCCCAGAAAAGGACCCCCCCCCCTCCCCCCCCCCCCCCCCCCCCCTTTGCAGCTTACTCACAGACCCAAGCAGCACTCGGAAAAGTAAGAACCACAAAAGGTGTTAGACGGGAAAATGGAGTGCTACCACATAGCATTGTCCAACATCTCCACACTTCTTTTTTGCCTTTTTTTTTTTTTTTTGACTCCTGCACCCCCTTTCCCCCCCCCCCCCCCCTTGTCTTTCCGACTTGCCGTCCGGCCCCCTCCGTGTCGACTTCGTGACGACTCGGCCCGCCGCTGCAAAAGGTTCCCCACCACTGCTTTAAGGGAAACTGAAGCTGTTCTGTATCGGAGGAAAAGCACGTAAATTGTCTTCGTTTGGCATCCAGGATCACGAATATCAAGATTATTTTTTAATTTGGTGCACAGAGGTTGCAGAAAATCATTTTCAAAGTACCGCTGAAGCCCCTCTTTCCCAGAGCGTGACGTCATATTAGGAGTTTTTGGAATTTCTGCTCGCTCATCTTCAGCGCCTATCAAAAGCTATGCATGTGCACGCTTGCTATTTTGAAAAAGGTCAGAAAAAAACGTCACGACTGGTGTCAGTGCAAGAGAATATACTTGGCAAGCTTTCAATCGCATGCGCTGCCCACACAAGCGACACGCGCTTGGTAGCAGAAAGATCCTAGTATGACATAATGACTGGTCTGAGGTTTTTCATGTTTTCTCGTGTTTAGTTACGTCTTTGGGGAAAACGAACATGATATTCAGATTCACAGAATAAGAATACTCTTTTTTTTTAAGAACCTCTTTAGCTTCTTTCTTAAATTAGCTTGTCAGGATAAAACGTGTTGCAATTTCGCATGATTTTAGCTGGGACACACAACTTTATGTGACCCAAAAGATTATGTTCATCAAAATGATGTGATATTTTTAGTCTCTATCATGGTTTAAGGTAGTGGTTCTCAAACTTCTGGCCGTCACAGACCCCCTCACTCACTTGGAGGCCGTTCGAGGACCCCCAATGCATTCTGCATCAGAGTTCTTGTGCGATGGCATCGGAGGATTTTTTTAGAGCGTCTTTTTTACTTTGCATGGCCTGTCATGAATGCTCTCGAGGATTCCTGGGGGTCCGCGAATGACAGTTGGAGAACCGCTGGTGTAAAGTGTACATAAGCGTGGACACACAGCTTGGCGAACGCTGCAACGCGATTGACCAGGTAAAGTCCTCTTGGCTCATGCCCCACCCAGCAGCCTGTTTTGACAGCATCTCCTCAAACCAGACACTGCAACTGAGGAAAAAAGAAATCAGCAAAACAAAACAAGTGTCTCATTGCCTGGGCACCTTTTGCACATGCGTTTTCTGCTCGGCGTGTTTCCTTTGGCCTCAACGGATGCTGACCTGAACACCACCACACCAGAGATCTCTCCGCGTCAACGCGTTTATAAAACCTTTCTTTTCGCTGTTGAAGCACGAAACTAGTAGGGTCAATGACGAAGCTGTGTCGAAGCAACGCGCATAGCACTGGTGCCAAAATCTATGTGAAAAAGCATACTACGCAAAACAACTTCAAAAACAAGCACGACACTTAAAAAAAAAAAGTATGGGAAACCAAGCCTGCAACAGGCTCACTAGCTGCATATCGAAGAGTCACCTAGTGGCGCTGCTTGCAACCAAGGTGAGGAGAGGACTTTATCTGGCAGCTGCAACGTGTTTGATGTCGACACCTATATTTATCTTGCACCGCAATCTATAGTTGGGAATTTCTAATTAAAGTTAGAGATGTGCCGAACATACACTGAGAAAGGTGATGAGCCGTCCTCCCTTTTCATGCCCAGGGTTGAGGTCGGCGTCTCGGTCAACCCCCAAGCGGCGCCCCCTGCCCAGCCCCTCTGATCCGCTGGGGCGCGCCCTTGGCGGGACGTCCCGGGTAGTGGCAGTGGACGTGTGCGCCCTGCGTCGTGGCCTGGGCCCCCTGGCAGGGCCAGACCTGTGCTGGGAGGACCTGGGGCTGGCCCACTGGCTGCTAGACCCCGGGGGAGGGAAGCGCTCCCTGGCACAGTTGGTGGAGCGCTGGGCCCCACATTTGTGGCCCCTGCTGCCCCAAGGTTAGTGTGCACCCGCCACGCCCATCCCAACCGCAAATGAGGAGTCTTCTTTTTGTTTTGTTTTTGTAATGAGCGAAATCTTTGTGAAGCTATAATGAGATAAACTGGAATGCATGCTTATCAGACTAGCTTTGAGCCCTGTGCTGAAACCACATTTACATTGGTATTTCTCTCATAATATGACTGATTTAAGATTAATACCTTTTGTAAACGATGGACCCCCAAGTATACTCGAAATTTCAGCCGAAATCGGCTTAGTTTCAGTTTTTGGATTTGGCTCATTTCGAAGAAAAGAAACTCTTATAGATCTCCTGCATCACCCAGGGGGTGCTGCAAGAAGCAACTTGCTTTGGGTAGTACAAACTTGCACGTCTCGAACTTTCAAACGTGTAGGGGCATTCTGCTTTGGTGCTGAACGCAGTCACGAGGAAAATACAAAAAGACAGCAAAAGTTTGAATGCCATCAAAGTACAGGTCCAAGTTAAGATGCTATGAGCATGAGCCAAGAGATGCCGTTTTATGCATTGCAAAGAAGAGAAAAAGAGTTGCCAAACATTTTGACTTAGCCACCCTGAGATAGGAGACGCATACCCTAGCAGTGGTGGCATGGACCCTGCACTTTCGATTGTTTTATGGCATTGAATCTAGCTGATTTCAAACTTCGAAAGGCGTTTTTTCGTTCTTCAGTACTACAGAGGAAAAAAAAGGCTCAGCCAAAGTACCACAAGTAGTGCGAGGCCCAATCAGGTTTGCGTGTACCATCAAAAGAAAGGGTGCAAAGTTTGTTCAGAGCTTCAGTGCAGGATGCCTATTGGGAATTCCTGACAGAGTAAAATCATGGGGCAAATCGAGCGCCCCGATTGGCCTATTTGAACGTCCTGCCCTTTGAGAAGTAGGAGACGATTGTGACCTTTTCGCGCTTGTTCGAGATGAGACAACTCGTGACAGTAAACCGAGCTGCCTCGACGCGACTTACCACAAAGACCACTGAGGACGGTGGCAATGCTGGCAGTAAACGACGGTTCTGGTGGCAAAAACGGCACCGCATGGTGGGCTAAAAGCCAAGAAGCAAATCTCTGAGGTGGCATCCGCATACGTGTGATACACTGACAGCTGTTTACCTAAGCCTGGGCCTTCCCCCTCACCCTCCTCTCTCTACCACATAAACCAGGAGAATGTGGGGAGCCAAGAAAAAGGGTGCCGCCGCATGTTTCTAGTTGCCTAAGGGCACGCGTTTGTGACCTGCTCAGATAAAGGCCAGTCAGGAGCCCCGTGTTTGCCCGACGGTTCTTGCTTCGTAAAAAAATCCCATTATGCATCCCAACCGGGCCCCGTGGAGAAACTACGGAAAGCAAAAGGCTGGCTTGCTTGGATAAAAAAGATTGCCAGGCTTAGACATTTAATCAAGTGCAGCTTACACTGGGGTTTTTACTGAGCAGCATTTGCTATCGAGATTGTATGTGGCAAAGAAACCGAATGTATAAGGACTTCTCTTCTTCATCCACGCACCCCTTCTTTTGGGGCATTGCACGGTTTTCTCGGAAGTGCCACCATGCCCGCTAGATTACCAGCGACATGTATCTTAAAAAAATGCATGGAAGGAGAGTTTCAGAGAGTTTATCTGCACTTGACATTATCTCATGACTTGACATCAATTTCCCCACTAAGTTTAGTGGGAAAACGATTGCGGTGTGAGGTGGCATCACATGACACTTCGACATCATGTGTCATCACAATGTCGCGTGATATTGTGACATCATGCGGTCGGACCAGCAGGGGCAAGAAAGGTATATGGAGTGTTCCCGTGTAAGCTATCACTCTAAAAAAGTGTGGGGGCTGTGGTACTGCAGTGCCTGGAACATATCTCCAACTGCTGGGTTTACCGTGTCCTCAAATGGGGCCTTTTGATTTTCCCCAGACGGCGTCACTGTTATGCCACCGCCAGCATCAGGCAGTGCCTGCCGCGAGGTTGATTTTTCTTTACGACTCCATTAAGTAGAAATCGAGGGACCACTCTTGAGGATGCGGTAAACACACCAGGGCTAGTTTTCTTGAAGCAATGGTAAACCCATTTGGGTAAACCAGCGTCCCTGGAAAGGAAACAGTACCTAGGTACTATAATAAACAGCTGGATATAGAACAACTAATTATTTTTAATTGGGCAGTATTACACATCATCTTTCGGTAAAACAAGGGAGTCATTCTGTTTGTTTTTCTGTTTTTCCGCTCGTTTTTGTCGAACTGGTATGGTATTTTACGCCAAAATATACAAATGTTGTAGTTGAAGACTACATTGACATTGTCATACCAGGCTTGTTTTTTTTTCTGTGTGCAGTGACTGAACAATTAAATTTTATCATAATTTATACCCTTGTGACCCCCCCTTTCTGAATTACCAGCAACCTCTTGTCTGCTCATATTTTTTGCCACTATGCGGAACCCCTAAGGCTGACTCTTGTTTCATTTTGTAGCGTGAGCTACACTGGCCGAGGTTGAGCAGTTTCGCGTAGCTCCGAAAGAGCTGTGCTGCGCAAGCGCGAGGAGCAGTGACGCCGCATGGTGCACAGGTGGTGCACCGAAGCCGCCGCCGCCGCTGTGCACTCCGCCACGCCCGCCTCGCCGGTCTGTGCATTCCAGAGGAGTCATAGTCGTGGCAGATGCACTGGCGCCGCCGCGTGCCCAGCTGTGCGCCTCCGTTGCACAGTGGCCAAGTCTGACGCTGCAATGGAGCCGCTTGATAGCACCCCTCATTTTGTGTGCATAAGCTCACGCTACATATATCCTGGCATAGCCGAGCTAAGCCACCGCAATTTTTTAGTCAACGTTTGCAGACGGGACACAATTGTCTGCTACTTTGATTTCTCTACCGGCACAGCTGCGTTTTGCTACATATCGCAGTAAGACACAGGATAATGCTAAATTTATTTTAAAAATAAGAAAAATGTGAAAAGAGATTGTCAACTTTTTTTTTGTGGTAAGTACATGTGTTTATTTCTTATTTATGCAACTTTGCAGACAACATCGACAAGGTTGAATCGAATGCCACACTTGAACCTTTCTCATTGGTGGATGTGTACTGATCGTAGCGGCCAGAACCAGATGCACTGGCTTTGCTTCAGCATAAACTTATGCTACTCCTCACCGTTGAACACCATCACAGTCAGCAACACCATCACAGTCAGCAACATCATCGTCGTGGTGTTGCTGGCTACCGTGAATATGTGAATATGAGCCGCAGCTTGGGTGGCCAAGCTGCGGCTCGCGAGCCGCACGCGGCTTTTCGCGTGTGAAAGTGCGGCTCACCCGCCCGCACTTCCCCAAAACGAGAAATGAACCGCGTTTTAAATCAAAAGGCAGGTTGCAGTTTGGTAGTCTTGTGCTACTCCTACCTTACGTAGACTTGGACTGCTTTTGACTCGGATAGATTGGAAGTAGTTTGAGTTTCGTTTATTTCTCTGGACTAAAGTTTTTCCCCCCCCCCCCCCCCCCGTGGCTCTTGGAAGTTTCGTGGTTTTGTTTGTGGCCCTTAGGCCGGGTCAGCCTGGCCACCCTTGATCTATGGTTTCATTTGCACGAGAATGCGTGCAAATGATCAGCGGGATCAAGCCCCATGCTTGCGCCAGTAGCTTTGACAGCATTGTACACTAAGTATGAAACAGAGTATGGAAACCTCGATGCTGTCGACGCACTGCGAACATTAAACAGGAAAATGAACCCCGAATGAAGACTTTATCGATGATAACCCCCTTTCAACGCAAAGTAATCGCTGCTCACAGGTTGACGTGCATAGCACAAAAAAGTAAATGTATTAGTATAGATTTATACCCAGGGTGTCTAGCGACCGGGAAAACCGGGAATTATCAGGGAAATTTTAATTACTGGGAAAAATCAGGGCATTGTCAGGGATATTAGTGAAAAGACGGTGAGAGTGCAGGCGAGCTGGTGGTAGCTAATCATGTCGTATTACACCTGAGACTGCGGTGGAAGAAATCGGAAGAACTTTCAGTAGAAGGAACAGAACACAGAGAACGTTGAGACGTTCTCTGTGTCTGTTCCTTCTACTGAAAGTTCTTCCGATTTCTTCCACCGCAGTCTCAGGTGTAATACGACATGGTCAGGGATATTGGCAAAAAGAGAGCCCTGTCAGGGAAAATGAGCTAGGATACGCCATTGAGTGCCCTGAGCAAAGACTTGAGAGCTTGGGGACACAAAAATAGGCAATAAATTCTGCTCAGAGCGGAGCGCAGGCTCTGCTTACCCGATGTAGAGTGTGCTACCCGATGCAAAGGGAAGAGGCGACAAATCCAGTCCAAGCCTTGTATTGGATAGAATTGAATTGAGGGCACGACACTAAGCTAGATCCAGTTAGAGGTACTAGATTTATGGCGAGTTCGTTTCACACGCACTGGCATCGTTCGAGTTCTCTCCCACCATGAATCGCACTTGCAGAGTGTTGCACGGAGGACTGGACTCAAACAAACTCGCCAAATGCACCAAGTGCAGAAGACTGATGCTGCCGCCATCTATGTTGTAGGAAATGTACCAACTTCAAACCGAAACTGGCGCCTTTCTGTTCGGAGTGATGGGTGGGAATGCAAGCGTGCGGTCGCTACCAACGTTTATCTACAAACGTTGGTCGCTGCAACTTGTAGTAACTTCAAGCAACTTGGTTGTTGTAAAGATAGTCACAGACGGCATAAATTTCCGCAACCAGCTGTCTACAAAGCAGCTAGTTGCGACCTTTCAATTCTTATAACCGTTTACACTGAAGAAAACTGATGATGCTGTCCGAGCAGAAGCTTGATCCGTTTGAGCATGGTATTATGGGTGAACCACTGAAAGGGTAAGGCTTAAAACTAGTCTGTCGGAATATCCAGCAAACTTTTCATGGGACTTTCGATTTCGATCGTCATTACAGGTGGATCCGATATTAGCCTTGGTGAGGGCATCGAGAACGAGAGCTTTCTCGAACAAAATACGACGGGGCAAGTTAGCTGACGTAGGTAAATGTCAAACATGATGATGTTGCCCAAATCTCGGGTAAAGTCACTATGTTTAGCTTTCTCTGATGCTTATTGGGCAGTCAGAGGTTTCTGCTGGGGGAGGTTTGTCGACAAATGTTCACTTTTTCACCCGCACACGGATGGTGATAAACATCTCGGGGGCCGCTGATGCGTTTGTTCTGGGCATTTCTTTACACACTGGTATATTTCAGCATTTGTACAGCAACACAGCGACTTAAAACCTCTTAATAAACCACGGTTTGTCAATTGCTTCCTCCATGAAATAACAGACGCTCACAATTCAAACTCGTGTTTGATTCCTTTGCCCACGGGGCGCGATTTCTGTCAGAAAATCTACTTTTTTTCCTTTCAGTTCTGTGACACATCGTAGCAGACAAACTTTCGTCGTCTGCTCCCGCTCCTTGCTGGCCTCGCCGGAGCAAGGCATGACGGGATTGCGTTTTGGCGCACTTTCGATTTTCTCGGTGCAGCGAGTGCATGCACGCGTGGGGTGCCGGCGCTAAAACGAACTCGGAAAGTGGAACCGCTGGTGGAGTGCCGACCGAAACGAACCAGCTCCACACTGCGAGTGGACACGCTTGGGCACGAGTGCCATGAATAGAACTCGCTATTAGTTACAAATGGGAAAGCCGCAGACCCCAATCCAACCCAAGCTTTAAGCCGAAAGTGTGCATCTGGCAGCCATGCTGCCATTCGGTTATTGACGTGTGTGGTTGAGCATCATGTTTTCAATGTGTTTCCGTATGCGCCCTCTTCACTAACGATGTCGGCAGCAAGAAAGTGCTTGTTTAATCCGGACTGCAGGAACTCGAATATTTTGGAACATACAAGTTGGATTAAGCCCGTGCAAAACGATACTTACAGTGCTCAATACTCAATGCCTTGTGTTGTTGGTTTTGCATACTTCATCGCCTCAACAGTGGTCAGGGAATTTCACCTGAAACTGTCAAAGAAAACCTGAAAAAGTCGGGGAATATCAAAATAATAATTTGCTAGACACCCTGATACTATAACTTGTTCGCAAAACATTTTTGGGCTCATGAACCATTGTATTTCTTAAATCCCAGACTACGGGACAGTGATGCGTCCGCGAACTGCGTCGTCGGTTTGTGTAGTAGTTCCTCTGAACTGATGCTTTGCTCGACGTGCTAATAAGGTGATGTTGCGTCATTAATATAAAAGCCTGATCGAAATAAGTGTTTACCAGCATCATAACCCTTCATCAACATCGCGGCCATTTTTTGCTTCTAGGTACTGCTTCTCCCTCGGCACCCCTGCTCTCCCAGTCACGTGACCTGAAATTCCCCCTTCTAGGGACAATAGTAAACTTTAACCCATGGTTAGCGGTCGAGAAAACCGGCCAAGTTGGACAGTTGTTCCAGGCACCATTGTTTTCAGGGAGCCAAGCCGCTCATGCAGCGTCTTTAATTGAACCCAATGCAGGGCAGGATTCTGGCAGCACGGCTGCTGCCAAGAGCTGCGTGCTGGCCCTGCACCTCCAGCAGCCAATCATGGCGGCCCTGCAAGAGGCACAGCTCTCCACCATCTTTGCAGGTCAGGGACCTTCTCTTGAACCCCAACACTTTGCTTGGACAGTATAGTCGCTGACGGAAGGGCAGAGTGATCCCCAAACGTTTTACTGTCACCTTGCACCCAATAAGATTGCGACGTTGGCCAGTAAAAGCACCCTAGGCAGAATCACAAAGGAAGAAATGGGAGTAGTAAGCCGAGCCCCTCATTTCCTAAACTGTCAATGACTACCATATTATCCCGTGTCGTTGCGCACCCCCCTGCCACCTGAAATTCATAAGAAAAGTGGGGTGGGTCATATCTCTGTGGGCAAGCACAAAAAGTTTTAAAAAAAAAGCTAAACAAAAAGGCCCATATTAGGGGCAAATCTCCTTAAGGTCTAGCCTTGACTGTCCGTCCGTCCGTCCGTCCGTCCGGCGTCCGTGCTCACATAAAAAGAAAAAACGTTTGCGCAGTCGGCACGATTCGAACCTGTACGGGGAGACCTTAATGGATTTCTAGTCCATCGCCTTAACCACTCGGCCACGACTGCGGGACGAGTAGGGGGCTTTGAGATGTGGTAGTAACTCAATAGCTGGGGATGTCATGGATGAAACGTTGCATGTAGCCGCTCAACATCTATACAGGAGAGGCTGCTACAATTAAATGCGTATATAATTGCGTTAAACTTTGCATGCATTGGCTCAACGTTTATAGACGAGAGGGCGCTGCGGTCAAATGCTCAACTGCGTATATAACCACGATTCATGCCACACATTCTCTTTCTGACATGGACTGTTGACTTAAGCGGTAGAGATGCATTCCCACGGCTTCTAGCGGATCCAAGCTGGTCCGCTAGAAGAACCGCTGGCTCTGCGTTTCACCGACCATAAAGCAGTAATAATGAAGTCGAAACACAACCTGGAACTCAGCACTACCTATGAGCAATAAAAAAAAAATCGGCACCATCAGCACTACCTATGAACAATAAAATCAGTATCATCAGCACCTCCAGAGCTTCGCCCCAATCAACATCATTCACCATGTGGAGATGTGATTTTTTTGTACATATCTAGCATGGCTGTACAAGAGATCAAATTAGTTTAATTTTTTTTTGCAAAATATGCTCAGCAAAGAATGCTTTACTATTGCAAAGTCTATTGCTCGCATACGTGCGATGAGCACCGCCGATCGGCATACAGCACAAATATTTGTTCCATGAAAGCGCGATTCTAACACCGTTATGTTCTTTTCACTAGTAAAAAAAAAGTAGACAAGAAAATCGAAAAACCAACCATGTGCAACGAGCGAGCGAGTGAGTGAGAAAAGCGACAGAGCGAAGCCGGGGGAAGCGTAAAGTGACCGGACGTCCCAATTTAGGTGGGACAGGTTCCGCTTTTCCGGCCGTGGTCCCGCTGTCCCACCAGCGTGCTTGTGGGATGCCATTTTGTCCCGCTTTGGCTCCCCCGAACCGCAAATAAATAAAAAAATATGGTTAAACGAAAGGATTGCGCCAGGGAGAGGGTGCTTTCTCTGATCAAGGAACAAGATAATACTCTGCAGAGAAGTGCTGAAGGTTAATTTGCATATGAAATGTGAACCTGGTATACAAAAATCAATACTAAAGAAATATTCCAACCAAATGTATTAGATGTGCATGCCAAACAGTATGCAAATTGCAAGAAAAATAAATGTTTCAAGTCTTGCAACACAGTAACCCCCCCCCCCCCTCGATACGCGTCCCACTTTGGGGCCCGAGGAATATGGTCACCTTAGGGAAGCGGGAAGGCCGACGATTGTGTTTGCATATTGCCACGCTCGTCGACGAGTGACCGCTTGCGTGGCCAAGTGGTTATCGCGCTTGACTGTCGCGCGGAAAGTCTAGGTTTGATTTCAGTCAGTGAAAGGCTCTTTTATTTATTCTTTCAACGTTGTGTTCTCGTGAGTTCGAGAACATTCTCCTCTGATCGAGTTTGGAATGTTCCAGTCGCCGAACATTCTAGGCCGATTGTTCCAGAAGCCAACGCGCATACATAAGGAGCTCCGCGCGGCGATCTGCAGTCAGTCTCGCTCCTGCGCTCGATCCTGCGGTTTCGCCGACATTGACGCCCGCGGCGCTCTGCTGTTTTCTTCTGTTTCCTTTTTGTTTTGGGCACAAGTTTGCCCCATTAAACGTTTAGTTTCTTCAGTTATCTTTGCCTCATCAATCGTCATTCGTGACAATATACTTTGGTGTCAGGCCAAGTTCGGCACCTTGTCAGTCGCAAGGAGCAGGCTCTTGCGTAACTTACTTGTTTGGTACATACATGCAAGCGTCCATGTCCGGCATGCTACCAACAAGGGTTGAGGCGGCGTTTTACCACAAACGCGGAGCTCGAAATGGGACGTTTTACAAGCGTCTCTGTCTCGATCTGTATTTTTCTGTTGGCTTTGTCTTAAACATTATACAACCTTACCAACTGCGGTCGTGATGTTCCGGGAGAAGGAGCGGGTTAGTGGTAACCTTATTTCGGATGAGACGGGGACCTTACACTTTGCACTTACATTCCAGGATTTGGGGTATTTGCTGACCTTGTGATTTCTGAATGTTTTACAGCTCGTGTTACCTTACTCAGTTCTTTTCTTTTTTGTCCAAACAATCTTTTTTGTAAGCAAAACAAAGTTTTATTTTGTTATCTTCATCATTTTTCCTTTGCACACATGTACTCCGACCTTCGGAGTTTGTGGAAACAAATTAAAGTGTCTTTCCCTCCCTCGTTTTACTTTGTCACGGACGTCCTCGAACCGTAAGGTCTGCGGCCGTGTCATTTGGGCAGGATGAAAGCTCGCAGACTGCAGAGTCCGCGTTGAGGTATTTGAAGGGATGGGTGATCACTCGGGTGTTTTTTTGGAAATCGATATTCATCCGAAAAGTGGGGTGGGCGATGACTTGGAATATTGTCGCGCGTGTCTCCGAGCAAGCGTGCTCTTGGACGAATTGCTATCGTGCTTGGCTTCCACGGAAAGGGCTCAGCTTCTATGCCTGGTCATGGATGCACCTTTTAGAGCGCAGCTCTTAGGCACCCGTTTCCGGGTTGAGGACCGTCGCCGTCCGTGTCGGTGTAACTGTGCTTTGCATTATGGGACGTTTCTCATAATGACGTCACGTGGGACGTCACGAGGGTAAAATTTTTCTGCTAAATTTATCGGAAATTTTTCTGCTAAATATAGCGAAAAAATATCCTGCCCGAAAATTTCCTGGATGTGGTGGGCTATGCCACAGTTTTTCTAGATGTTTCTAGATTAGGTGGCACAACACAATGGGTTTAGCAACTAACATTCATCCAGCCGTCTATATCTCCTTGTGAAGTCCTCGACTCATTGGTGCCTTCAGTCTCGGAATGCGTGGTCTGGAGTAGCAGATTCTCTAAATGTTTTTAGGCTAGGTAGCACAAGCTATTGCCTGACACAGAGGGTTTAGCCACTGCCGTTTATCTGTCCGGGGGGGGTACTCTGTGCAGAGCTGGAGATGCCTGCTTTAGGGGTGCTGTGCAAGATGGACTGTAACGGCCTGGGCTACTCTGAGGAGGCTAGGGTGTTGGAAGCCCTGCACAGCGCCCTGGGACGGCTGCAGGCCAGGTGCACGTCCCTCGCCGGCCGGCAGCTGGCTCTTCACTCGCCCAGGGACGTGTCTCAGGCGGTGCGCCGGCGGCTAGCGCACCTTGCCGAGGCCAGAGGGCTCCTGAGCACATCCAGCCGCCCGCTTACGAAGGCCCAGCTGGAGTCCCTGGCCGCGCTGGACCCGCTGCCCCGGCTTGTGCTCGACTGGCGCAAGGTGCACGCCGTGCTCAATGGGGTGGGTAGTCCGTCGGCCATGCATCACGGTGCCTGGAAACCCACCTAAAAACAAGGCCTTTCCCCGCAAAACGTCTTACATCACCCTAGCACCACCCAGCTCGCATCGGCATTGTCGCCAGCGCATCCTGCAGTGTCTTGCAACAAGCGGGACACTAGCACGCGGCGACGCCAAAACGACCTAGAAGACAAGGCCTGCACATGATGATAACGTCATGCGCAGGCCTCATCTTTTAGGAGGTATTTCTGGAATGCGCCTCCATTTGGTGTGTTCAGCTACGGATAGGCTAAAGTGAAAAAGTGCACTCTCTTACAGCCTTTGCAGGTTTCTCTTTCCCACTGCAGCTCAGTGGATTCGCTGTAACCTCACCCCTCTTAACGGCACTCCATCTAATGGTACGTTTACACCCGAGAAGAAATCTGCTGCCGCGGGAGCGGATCCGCTCCCGGCGGCGGCGGCGACGAGCAGGTTCCGTTTACATCTATTTCCTTCGAGCGGCGGAAGCGGCGCCGGGTGCGGCAGCTGTTCTCGTAACATCCCGTCAAAAATGTCGAGAAGGCGCGAGAGTTCCCATCTCGGCTGTCTCTCCCGGGCGTTGCTGCTCCCGGAAGAACGCATACTCATGACGTAGGCAGCGTCGCGCTGCGCAAGAATGTCACATCCGGTCAGCGAAACGCCTCGTTCGGCGGCAGAAATAGATCCCGGACCTAAACGGCTCGCCGCCACGTTTTCCGCCCAGCGTTTCGCTCCAGCGGCAAAAGCTGGGCGGATCCGCTGGCGGATCCGCAAGTGTAAACGTACCATAAGGCGGCATTCCAATTTCACCGTGTTGTCCTCTTCGTTCCCAAGTTGAATTGGAGCAATTTTCTGACTAGTTTGATCTTGAACCTTGAGGCTGCCTGCCTGCAAGGACCGACGCAAAACACCTCTTCCTTTTCGTCTTTTCAGAAACAATTTTTGATGAACGAGCATTTATTTATTGTAAGTCAAATGTATATATTTCAATTGGCATGCTGCAGTTATTTCGTACTAGTACGTTGACATGCAGTTTCAATTGCGGTCGGAACAGATCTTCAAAGTGGTTCAGGCAGTACTTGGAAGGGTAATGTGGTCGCGCACCCCCCTGCGGCTAGAAAAATATCCTGTCGCTCAAAGGAATGTCGACGTCTTGTCCGGCCAGGCTTCAGCGTCCCGTACCGCTTGTGCAGAAAAAGTGGTCCCCAGTGGCAACAAATGATGTCGCGAATGCCGGTCGGTCACACTGTCGGATGTCACGATCCTGGCGATTGGTCGATGGCTGGCGAGAAAGGCGAGCGGATGGGAGGGTCACTTTTGCCACGGCATCCCAACTTGGCTCTGCTTTGGTTTCTGTCGACTGCCTGATGGTGGAATGTCCGTCGGTGGAATGAGCGCCTGCCGCGGCCATCTTTGCTGCTGTGCCACCACAGGGATCGCAGCAGGCAACGTAACGCCTCTATCGCGTCACCGGGCACGTAGCACTAACGCCATTTTTGTGTTCTTTCATCCCACGCACATAAAATGACTGGAGTTACCTTCCCCTTTCCATCGCCAGAATTGCCAACTGCGAATTGTAAAAATCCGCTGCACAGGACATTTGCCTAACGTCATCACAGCAAATGTGTAATGCGGACCATTTATTTTTATTGTTTTTATTTTTCATATTTTTTGTTTTGTTTGGTGTTGATTGTATACCAGTGACCAGTCTGTGTATTTTCGCAAGCTTGGTTTTTTCCTTTTTTTTTTTTATGCCTTCCTGCTTGAGATTTTAGTCGTTAACTCATTTCCCCTTTACCCACTCCCCTTTTCGATGTTCTGCCTCAAAGATAGGTAAAATAAACGTAAGAAAAAATAAAATCGAGGGATCACATTTGAGGACGCCGTAAACGCACCAGTCAGGGCCACGCTCTAGGAACTGTACTTCCGGTTAAACGGGTCTATATGTGCTTAAAAGTAGTACATGTTTTACGCTGTGTGGAGTATCTAAAAGTGCAGGGTATACGAAAAATTGGTTTAGTATCTAGACCATTCCTCATGATGAGGATATAAGGATCAACAGATTTTCAGAATAACAGAGTAATATATTAATGGTGATTTATGCACGATACTGTGCGAGCTAAAAAAAGTGGGCATTTTTTAAGGTGTGCTGTGTACGAGAATTTATTGACGTGCGGGGGTAGAGGAACTAGTTCTTTACGCCAAGAATTTTAACATTCCATTGTCTCATTATAATTACGGCCAAAGAGTGATCGAATGTACTGGAACAATAACATGGAATTCCTTAAGCATGCCAATACAAATTTTATATGGAAAGAATGAGTAAGAAATCTTTTTTGTGCGGTACATGCAGGGGTGCCAGGTGACCGCACCGCATTATTTATTTCTGTGCACTTGGAATGAATCTTTAAGACCGAAGGTTATGGATCCAGATGTCTATGTGCAATGTGTTCTGTGTTTATCTTTAATGAAGCTGATTGAATACACCGGAGGCAAATAGGATTCATTGGGTGGGCGTTGTGCATGCAGAGCCTGGTCCCTGCGGCTCGCAGCGGGGTGCCCTGCCCCGAGCTGGGCATGGTGCGCGTGCACCCCCGATCGGAGCCCCATAGCGCCACGGGAAGGGTGTCCCTGCGGGAGCCCAACCTCCAGGCGGTGGCCAGGGACTTCGAGGTGGCCCTCGACCCACCCGTCACCCTCAACCCACGACGGGCCTTCGTGCCCTTCCAGGGTGAGCCCTCAGGGCCTTCTTTTCCCTCCTCTCATACTTCAGTCTATTTATTTATTTCTACAGAATCGTCTCTTGCCAAGAAGAGAACCTGTTCCCAGTTTCCTTCTTTCCATTCCCTCTCACACCTGTGCTGTGTCTCTTCTTTTATCTCCTTGTCTTGTGGCACTTCTGTCAAAAAGGCTCTTCTTTCCTCCTCTCCCCCTGGGAGAGGCTGTCTGAGCTGCTCCAACAGCTCCTAGAAGAGAAGGCTGTAGCGCTCTTCTCGTGACGTCGCAAAGGAAGGCAATCGGGGGCACGCGTCGAAGCGAAGGCAACGCGCGTGGATCGACCGTCGTAACGCACTTTTAGTCACATGCGCACGTCTTATTAGCTAAAATGAATGCTGCACATAGCAACGGGTCTAGAAAACATTTTATTACACAGGCAAAATATTACACCGCTAAATAATCGGTACGAAATGGCACGAGGTATGCGTATAAGACGTCTATAGAAAAATGTGATTGTTTTTAGTCAAAAACATTGAGTCACGAAATTATTGTTGTAGGAATGCATATTTTATACAGGAATACTTAGACAAAATGGCGAGACACGCAGTTATTGGACACAGCAGGACAGATCACAGTTAAAAATCAGGTAGACGTAGTTAACGCAGACACGGCTAGACAAGTGTCACTTACGATGATATAAGTGATGTTATCGCGTGCAGTCGCTGAATTCTTGCATTATACCCCGGCCACATGGCAAAATAATGTAAATTCGATCGAATGATATTATGGGGTCGACAAATCAGCTTGCGACGCTCGTATAATCACTCAAGACCGCAAGCTGATTAAATTCCATATCATTTAATGAAAATATATTAACTTTTCCGTGTGGCAAGGGTACAAAACTTACCATTTACAGTCAACTAATTTTCTTCTCCCTATAAGCTCGAGCTGCCTTAGAACTAAATACAGTGTAGACCGCATATAACATATGTCGCGGGAGTCGTGAAAATCCGCACTATAACCAAAACATCAATTTTTCAAGCCAAAATGCATGCCATCAGACAACTTACCTTTGTAAAAGAATTTATTCTATGTTAGATGAAGAATAAAGCTTTAGTTTGAGGAAAGTCTTTATTTCACCAGTCTAGTACACTTCTCTCTCAAGTGTGTCACACATTTTGAAAGATATTAGTGACTTTTGCCTGGCGCAGCCTTTTGACGGCGTCGCGCGTTGCGGGCGGATGTTGCGAGCGTTCAGGATTGCTAATCCTAATCACTTTTCTTCGGCGATGAAAACGCTTGAAAATTCGCATCCTTTATACGGTACGCGCCCGTAATACCTTCAACTTGAGCATAGGCATGAAATGCCCCAAATAAAAAATCCGGGCGATGTTCGAAAACACAAATGCTTAGAAAGCACCACTGTAGTCGAAGTAAACAAACACGACGACACGGGCGTTTCTGCCGACTTGAGAGCGCCGCCACGACATCGCCGCACGAGTAGGTGGATCTTCCCTTCTAGTACGTGCTGGGTTATCATAGCGACACACAACGAAAATTCACAGTCAAGGATAGCGCTTTTACACGGAACGATGAGCTTCTACGCAGTCTACGTCGACGATCAAAACCGACGCCATGTTCGCGGATAGAAGCAGCCGGCCCGCCGGCCCGCGACCGGCATGCAACGCGCGCGAACACTTCTCCTCGGCCTGCGATTGATCTGTCGTTGCGGTTGTTTTTCATCGCAGCGGAGGGACGCACGCACGTGAACGACGTGTGTGCGTCCCTCCGTCGCTATGGCAACTGAAGCCTCTCTCTTCGCTTCATCGAGCAACCAGAGCAACCTCCTTGCCCCGCGAGCGCCGCTTACGGCACGCGCCGTTATCTAGTGTCGCACAGGGAAGCGTGCTCTGCGTCGGTCGGTCGGCGCGGTCGCCAGGCTGTTCCGAAAACCGCACTATAACCGGTATTTCCCTTCGCGCGCCTGCATTTTAAGCGGTATGTAATTACATGGAGTTCTATGCAAGGCAAACCGTTGGTTTAAAAAAGCTGCGTTATACCCGGTCCTGCACTATAAGCGGTTACGTTGTAAGTGGTCTATACTGTATAACTTATTTTGTACACAATAATACTATTACCTTAATACAGTTAAGATTCTAGTATAAACACGGTAAAGCCAATAATATAATACCCGTGCCACACGGGCAACTCGAATCTCATTTACAACGAATGACATTTGAGCAGACACTCCGGGCGTAGCGCATTCCACGCGCGACAGATTGCGAGCTGATTCGCCGATCACTCAAATATCATTCACTGTATATGCCAATCGAGTTTCCCGTGTGGCACGGGTATTACATTAGTATAAATAAACACATAAGCACGAACAACACACTTTCAATAATCACACAAAGTTGTTATTCATCTTCCTAGTAAAAAATAGAATATAACCACGCATATTTACAAATGTCGGCGCGACAGCACACGGATAACGACGAAGAACAAGATTCCATTCTATCACAAGATTTGAAAAAAAAAAGAAAAACGACTGCAGCATTTTACTCACGTCCTACATGACCAAGAAAGCCCGTAAATAAGTTGTTTCTCACCTGTCGGTCGTATCCATACGTCCCGCGATATCCGCCACGAATGCATTTGAACACAAACCCCAAAAAGTCTCTCTCTTTCGAGAGGTCTATCGATAATCAACCGATGTCATCGCTGACTAGATGCCACACATGTCACTCAAACCGTAGCAGGACTTGTTCCTCAAATTCACGTAAATGCCGCAATATCAAGCTAATACAAAAAAACTACCTGAGACTGCGGTGACAACAGAAGAACGAAACAAGTTTCAAAAGGACCACATACGAGAGCAGCGGCGACGAAAGGGTTTGACATTGTCGACCCATCTCTTGCTCGTGTGCGCTCCCTGCGGCGATGACTGGATTTGTGTTCGGTTCCCTTGTCTTGTGAAATGTCTCAGCGTTTTTTTGCAGACAGTCAGCAGTTCACACACAACGTAAATTCACCAGAATCGGAGCCCGTATGAGGGAAGAAAATGTCACACTGGGCCGGTTCATTCAAAAAGTATGGGGATAATCATAAATATAAATTTGGTACTTTCAACCTTGGTAACGCGTTGTATATTATGTTATATATATAATAAATTGTACAAAACTGCGCTTTTAAAACGTATATTAATGTCGGAATAAACGCGCACAAACATCACTGCGCCGCTCGTTAGAAACATTTTTTTCACGTCGATAGCAGATATTTTTTGACGTGGTTGCGCCATGGCCTTCCCTCTCCGACATTGTGACGTAACCACTCGGAGCGCTACGGCCTTCTTTCTAGGAGGTGTTTGCTACTTCCCGCAGAAAGAAGGAGGGTGTCCCCCTTTTTCAAATGGAAAAAAAGGAATCGAGAGAGAGTTTCCTCCTTTCTGGCTGCTTGTGGGCCTTAGGCCTGGTTAGGGCATTACATAGGGGGGAGGGGGGGTGGCGGGGCAGCATATAAAACAATCCAATAGTGACACAAAACAAACATAATAGAAAAAAATAAAAACGGCAGAAGTTATACATGACTCAATTTAAATGGGCTAAAAGATGATTGTAACACTACTGCATCAGTGACGCTAATGATGGAGGATGGCAGCTGGTTTCATTTAGCCATGGGACAAGGAAGAAATGGTTCAATAAATGCGTTAGTTTTATCGGAGATTAGTTTAATTGGAGAAGAGTTATTCAAGCAGAAGTTTATTCTGCCGAGCAGTGAGAGGAGGGTACTTTATAGTTCCTAGCAGTGGTAGTAAATTTGATGAGGAAGGGTAAGGCGAGATAGCTTCCTTAAGGTTTGAAGTGGGGCAAGTCCAAGTTGACTTTTTAGTCAGCATTGATGTGCGATCGAAGGGGCTTCACACTACGGTCCCTGGAGCGCCTCTCTGACTGGTGTGTTTAGCGTCCTATTCCGCCCATGCACCGAAAATGGTCCAGTGGTGGCAACAAACGACGTCACTAAAGCCGGAGTGTCGTGCAGTCGGATGTCATGGTCCCAGCATACGGGCGTAGAAGTTCTGGCAAAAGGCACGAGAGAATGCGAACCTCACTGTCGTCGCGGCGGCACAACTTTGCGTCTGCCACATCCATCACCGCTTCTGCGACATCGCCGGGATGGAGGCCAGCGACAGTGTGACCTTTCTGTGACATTAACGGGCAGAAATTAAGGGACCGCCGTAGTTTCCACATTTGCGTGCAAGTTCGCTCAATGCATTGCGTTTCCTCGTAACCGCCTACAGCAAGGGGACACACTTGTGCCATACGAGGGTTTTGCAGCATTTGTATGATTAAATCTGCACACTATCTACGAGGCCTAGTCGCTCACTATATTCTCGGGATTTTTAGAGTGAATTGCATTTTGTTTTTACAGCGATTTGCATTTTGAATATTTTTTTCTGCAGTACCGTAATTGGCCTATGGCTGTTGGGAGGCACAATAAACAAATAAATAAATAAATAAACTGATCCAGAACTGGGTCTTTGTCCCCAGTTTCGTGCAAAAACAAATCGTTTTTATTTTCAAAGTTTTAGACCAGTGGTTCTCAACCACTGAATATTTCGAAGACGCCTTCTGGATCAGCGGAAGTGATGGGAGACCCCATCCACCAGGGAGGAGCGGGTATAATAGACAAATTACAATGGCAGAAGGGTATATAAAAAAAATAACTTTCAGCCTTTCCATTTTGGCGAAGAAGGAAGAGCAGCGAAGCTGTACTTTGGTGGGAATAAGGTAATGGCCGGCCTCAAGTCGGCAAGCCAGAGTGGAAAGGCTGGACAGCTACCACCATCTGTGAGCGACGGCGGCAAGCCGGTTGTCTGGTTGCTGTTGTCGCTCGTAGAGGGCGGTAGCTGTCCAGGGTGGTGTTATCGTTTGTTTGCTGGGGAACACAATACTGGGGAAACTAGCCGTTAACAGCTCCACTGCAAAAAAACGAAGTGCATGCAAGCCAACTTGGAAATTCTGAAACAGACTAATCAACCCTTATTTGAAAAGAAATGGAGACAACGGATGAAGAAGGAGGCAAACACAAAGTGCCTCAATGATTGAGACATTTTGTGTTTGTCCTCCTCTTCATCCGTCGTCCCCGTTTTTTTTTTGTTTTTTTTAATATGTGCAACATTAGCCAGCTTGCCTGTTTACTTACTCTTTCTTTTATCAACCCTACTCTCTCGATGCACATAAAAGACAATCAGCATCAATTTAACAAAAGGAAACATATTTTATTGTTCGGTTGAGGGCTTTCGACACTCTTAGAAGGCTTTTGGGGACCCCAAATGGTCTGCGACCCCCATTGGAGGACCACTGTTTTAGACAATTCAGCATTTACTCGGTGTCAAAAGGTGATAATAGTAGTACCTAGATGTCGCCTGACGGTGGGCCCCTAGCACCAGACTGCACTCACAGTGCGAGCAATTTGTCGCCTGTTTCAGCACAATGCAAAATGGGGACATATGTATAGCAGCATGAAATTTTAAGTGCCATAGGTGCACCTGTACAGTAATCCCTCGTTAACTCAAGCTCGGCTATCTCGAAATATTGGTTAGGTCAAAATATTTTTTTGTCATGGAATGAACTCCCATAGGCACAATGCATTTACTCATCGCTTATCTCGAAAAGTTTTCTGGACCTACCTCGGATATCTCCAAATCTTATCATCAAATATTACCAGAACAAACGGTCAGGGCACAGCAACAATGAACTGGTGGCCTAAATATTGGTTGATGAAGAAACAGCAATCCAAAAACAAACGCAGCTTCGTATCTTGGCGTCCAGTGTCGCTCCAATCTGTTTTATCGCGTGACACGAATCGTGGGAGTAAAGTCCCATTCATGAAGGAGCATTTGCTTCCGTTAATTTTCTTGCGTTAATCTATAAGTCACCAAAACGTCCGTGCCTCGAATGTTGCATGCAAGGCTACTCCTTGAACTGGTTGCCACGCTTCGTACAGAGCACACACGTCCCAGTGACTAGAGATCAGATCGGGCCGGAATTTTAGGCCCGGCCTGACCCAGCTCGAGCTCGACTGCTCTTTTCGACCTGAATCTAACCCGAACCCGGCCCGAATCAAGCCGAACCAGACCTGATTTTGGCCCGAGCCCGACTGTGTTTTCTATTAGTGCCACCTTTCTTTTACATGGCACTGTCCGTATTGAACGAGAATTTTCACTCTCTAAAGTTAAACCAACCGCCGGAATCGCGGTGTCCAACAACCTGACACGTCGGCTCCTGCGAAGCAATTTGTCGCCACTTGGGCGCCGCTTTCGATGCGTGGACGGGATGGGACGGCAGACGTGCCCGTCGAAGACACGTTCGGGGTGTTCTCGCCCAGGGGCCCTGCTGCTGTCTGCGGACTACTCACAGCTGGAGCTGCGTCTGCTGGCACACCTATCTGCAGATGAGGCCCTGGTGGCGGTTTTCTCCCAGGGAGGGGACGTCTTTGCCCAGATGGCTGCCCGCTGGGGACACCAGACCACCAGGCACAGGGCAAAGCAGGTGAGGGCTGGCCAGTCAATGTCATATCAATGTCTCTTTGAAAAGGAGCATGCTGAATGCAGATACCCTTTCTACAGATTTTGACGAGGATTATGACTGGAGTCTGTTCTAACCAGCGGGACTGATGAAATGTGAATGGATATTAGAAAAGAACTGGTTTATTGAAACTTCTCAAATTTGAAAGGTAGCGATTTTTTATTGAGCTGTACCGATGATCGTCGTCAACTGCGCACTTTGGGTCATACAAGGCGCCGAACGCGATGACCACCTAAGTCCGAAATAATGACTGCTGTCGAAGAGTCCGCTATAACGGAATGGTAAAATACTGACAAACTACCTAATATAGTCCATGTTATCTAAATGTTATAACGGAATCTGTAATAAGTGAAGTTGGCTCAGTGGCATAGATAGGAAAAACAGGCAGTCTTCACAAATTGGGGATGTGTAACCGAATGTCTGCTGCAACCAGATTTGTTGTAATGAGGTTATACTGTAGATGGCGTCGCTATAGAGCTTTTTTTAAGGGCGCCACCTTCTTGAGAATTGCGGCACCGACGACACCGTCTAGCGACTTAAGACTTGAAATACCAGCCGGTTCTGGCAGCACAGCTATCTGGGATGGAAACAGTGTGGATATAAGGGCACTTGGCTAGACTTGGCTCTGGTGGGCAACAATAACTTGGTTAAAACTTGGACGATTGAATCGAGCTGGCTAAGGACAGACCATCAACTTGCCTTCTCGAAAGAATGAGGATGAATACGGTGGAGTGTTTTGATTAGGTTTCCACAACGAAGGAATATATGAGCAGTTTACTGTTGTCTATGCAGTTAAGCTCTTGGCATTTGATACTGTCGAGACCGGTTATAACGAAGTCAACGGGAATCGGAAATCACTTCGATATATCTGCTATTTCGTTATAACCGACTTCGGTTAACGAAGTGCAAAAGGGAGTGGGAAATCGTGATCGCTTCGCTGTAGCTGCTATTTCGTTATAACCGACTTTGTTATAACCGGTCTCGACAGTAGCTGCACCTTGGGTGGTGGCACGTAGACGTTTACGTGTCCTTCATATGCCATGGATTGATAGCATACCTTGCAGTGATAACCTAATCGGAGCACCAGCACTGGGTTGGAATCGGTCCTCTTGCCATAGATGAAGAAGTCATGAGCGGAAACGTGACGAGTCTGATACAAAGCCCTCGTGATTCATGCTTGCAATCGAGTAACTTCATAAATAAGAATCCTTGGGGAACATGTCAAGCTCAATAACATTGCAGCCACACTTGCGCTGTAGCTTCTCGTGCTCACCGCACGCTTTCCGCGATTGAATTCTTATGCTTATTAAAATTATTTATGCACCCGTCTACGACGCGGTGGTAGCCAGGCAACTGTAGAATTTCGGAAGTCATAACACATTAAAAATAATTACTCGGAACTAACTCACGCACAACGTTTGTTTCTAAGCCTTTTCACCCATACTTTTGGCATTTCCATACCCTGTGTCAGCGAGCAATCCAAAAATGCACTGGTTCGAGGGTATGTCAGTTGCGTGCTGGCATGAGGTTACGCGAAAAAGGTCTATAGTCGCATACAAGTTAAGAATGCGCCAGAAGTTCCTGCTATACCCTCCTCACCGCCAGCCAGTGTTCTTCCGCAATGCGCTAATAGCCCGCTACCAAGGTGCATGTTGCACTGACGTCTGGCGTCCACAAGAAAGACAAGACATACTGAATCTAGAAGGACACATCTTTATTTAAACGGGCACAGGAATCGAGTCCTCACCTCTTGTGCGCACTGGGCCATTCTAACGCCTTTCTCTAACACAGTGTTGGAAAGTACTTTAAGTACATTGTACTTAAAGTACTACTTCATTTAGGCTTAAAACTATTGGACTTCACTTGAAGTATGTTCTATATGTATGTACTTGTACTTTACTTACAGTATTTTTTCTGTGCAATTCTCGACTTTAAAGTACATTTCCCAAATTTGGCCGTCTTAAATTTCTATAACAAATTTATGCTTTATGTTTTGTCAACTGTGAAGGAATACTGGGAGGGATATTCTACTCTTACCAGAAATGCGAGCAGACAACACGCTTTGTTTGTGCTGGGAGCGGTTTTCCTGCTGCCATTTCAAACTCTCACTACTTCTTGCTTAGTCAGTGCAAGCAAGGAGGTTAAACATATTAAAAGGGGTCGTCTTTTCTCTATCGTCTTTCAAGGCATCATCTGGTCGTTACTCGGAGTGAAGTAATAATGCCTATAAGACAGATACAAAAAAGTGCTTTTAAAGTTGATTGTGTTAAATACTTGATCAGCGAGAGTAAAGCAACTGCTTTGTTGCCACTTTAATTCCAATATTCGCCGCCATTTCCGAAAAAAAAAAAAAACTGGTCCACAATTACCCCTGAGTCGATGTTAAAAAGTACTTGTACTTTATTAGAAAATACATTGTATTACCGTAAAATACCGGGCAAGCACCCACTAAAAAATTTGAGACAATCATGAAAAACTGGGGGATGGGCGCTTGTCCGGTCATCAATTCTACACATAAACATGCTGTGCATATTTTCTCAGATCTTACGAATTTGGGAACGGGCATTTAATGTGGTATGGGCGGATGCACGGTATTCTGCAATATAGTACTTTACTTCAAGTCAGTGTTGGGAAGTACTTGAAGTGCATTGTACTTAAAGTAATACTTCAAGTAGGTTTAGAAAACTTCTACTTTACTTAAAGTATTTTTTTGCATTTTCGAGAAATGTACAATTTCTGACTTCAAAGTACATTATTCAACTTTGGTCTTGTTAAATTTGTAACACGTAATGATGCCTTGTCAACAAATAAGTGCCTTTCCATTTCTAAAAATAACCAATGCATCTCCGATGACCCCTAGAGCAATGATACCAGTTAAAAGAAGAACACTGTATAGAGGAATGCATGGACATCATGAAAAATTTCGTTAAAAGTACTTGTACTTTACTTTGAAAGTACATTGTTTTTATAGCGCTTTACTTCAAGTACATTGTGACCGGTGTACTTGTTACTTTACTTGAAATACATATCCTCCCATCTACTTTGTACTCTACTCTAAGTACTTTTTGAATGTAATTACCCAACACTGCTTCAAGTACCTGCTGCCCAGTGTACTTACTACTTTACTTGAAGTATGTAACCTGTCATTTACTTTGTACTCTGCTTCAAGTACTTTTTAGATACTGTATTTTGCAGTGTATAAGAAGCACTTTTTTTCAAAAATTTTTGGCGGTGCTTCTTTACAACGGTGCATCTTATATGCATATTTTTTTTCTTTTTGGCAAACTCTGAAGGAACTCCTGTTGACGCTGATTAGTCCTTTTTTTAACTATTATCACAGCTCAATGCAAATGATGCATCATAAATGCAGGTCAACCTCCCAAAACTAGAGTTTCATAACAAAAAAACAAAAAATAAAGTCAATAAAACAAAGAGAAAACATGACGTTTTGCGATTTCTCAAGTCACACAGGCTACGCGAGTCTTGGAGGCCGCAAGTGGTGAGCTAAAATGGCAAAAGATGGCGACAGTTGCGCTGCTTGAATATAGGTGTGTCTTATACACAGGTGCATCTTATGTACTAATTTTTACTTTGAAACTCGCGAAAAGTGGGCGGTGCGTCTTATACAACGATGCGTCTCGTACACCGGAGAATACGATACTTTACCCAACACCGCCCAGACGTAAAGGCCTGTTCACACTCTTGCGACCGAGTACGACTGAGAGAGACGAGATCTCTTACAACTTCTTAAATGTTTCTAGAATGAGGGAACACACTGACATTGTGGCGCCATCTATGCGGTGACCCTAGAACTGCATTTCACAAAAGCGAAGGTTTTGCGGGATTTCCGGGGTCAAATGTGCATAATACCCATAGAAAGGCTCGTTTATAACATTGACAAAAGTTTTTCGAGCCAAAAAAGAGAGGATATTGCACGAGAAATAAAAAAAAATATGCCGGACCGCCGAGTTTACACTGCTTCCCAATAGATGGCGCCAGTGTGTTCTCTGGTTTAACAAGTTTTAAGGAACCCAGGTCTAAGAGGTTGCAAGCAGTCGCAAGAGTGTGAACGGGCCTTAATTGTCATGCCCTACTGCCTCTCTTAGTCGGTTTGTGAAATGATTCGATGCCGTGACTGCTACATGGTGGTGTTTATGTGGCACATGCTTAACTGGTATCCAAATCTGTTGCACCATCAAATAAACAGGGTGTTTCAGCCAACTTGTGCCAAGACTTCAAAAAAGCTGGTGCACGCTACATGTTTGGTAGAGCCAATGGCTCAACTCACATTTTGTTCGCTTTCCTGAACCAGAAAGGAACTGGAAGAAAACAGAAAGCTACTGAACCCAAAGTAGAATAATGGCCATCCATGAAAAAATGCGGAGTTATAAACCGGTTTAAACCGGTTTCAGTTTGGTACATTTGGTAACTAAACTGATATTTGTTCACTTTCTTCAACCAGAACAAAATACAAAGCTTCTGTACATTCAATTCAGTAAAACCTCGTTAATTCGGATATCATGGGACCGGCAAAAATGTTTGAATTATCCGAAAGTCGAAATATCGAAAGGACAAAGGAAACTGCGCGAAAACGTTTCCCTGTGACATACCTCTATTTTGAGAAGAAATCTGTTATTGTCGCCTGCTTTCTGGACAACATTTTGGCGGAGACGATAACTCTCCGTAGCGCGGTCAGGTGCTCCACCGCATTCGCACTGTCAGAGCCACGCATCCCGTGCACTGACGATTTACCGCAACAAGGCCTCTTCTAGTTTCGGGTGCACCACCTTCCACATCCGCTTGAACTTCTCACTCTCGAAAGCCTGTAGGATCTCGGCTTCAGTTTTCACGTACGTGGCCAAAGTGCTTCTCTTGACATCGTACCTTTCCATCGCTTGTTGTCGAGAGACACCGTCCTTCAAGGCCCTCAGTATTTCCACTTTCATCGCTAAATTCTTGGCCTGGTGCAGCTGCAACGGAAAAAGAGTTGCACAAGTGACAGGTGACCGGAGCGGCAAAATCGCGACACCCGGTGCTATTTTTCCCGAGCGCCCCGCTAGCAAGAGTGCCAGCCACGTTACATGTTTCAACGCGGGGGTGGCCGGAAAAAAAAATTGAGAAATAAGATAGCTGTTAAAATGCAGGCTTTAGGATGGGCTGTTTTCTGCCGGCCACCCCGCGTTGAGGCGTGAATTGTGACTGTCACTCTCGCTATAGGCGCACTCAGGAACAATAGCGCCGTGCGTCGTGATTTTGCCGCTCCGGTCGTTGGCCACTTGTGCTACTCTTTTTCCGTTGCAGCTGTACGCACGAGAATCCAGAGCAAAACTGGTGCAAAGCACGGGGAACCGGAAGAGCGAAGAACCACGAGCAAACCGGGAAAACCACGTGTGCACCTTGGATGGATAGCAGTCATACCCTTTGGAATGGACAATAGCTTGCGCCACCTGCCGAATTTGTCCGAATTAACCATAGCGCGCCACATTCCCTCCGAATTAATGAGTGTTTGGTGCCATCGACTAATACACACGTTTAGCGGGACCGGATCGGCAGTTCAAATTATTTGAATTTCCGAATTAGCGGGGGTTGAATTAACGAGGTTTTATTGTAACAGACCTGATATTTTGTTTGCTTTCTTAAGCATAAATCAAACCAGAACAAAATACAAAACTACTGAACCAGAACCGAAATAATGACCGGACATCAGCAAACGCAGTTTCAAACCTTTTTTAACCGGTTAATACTTGGTACATCCGGTAACCAAACTCCGCTGAAGAAAGTAGTTATTATTATTATATCATTAATATTACATATTTCATTCACTACCCTGACCTGAACTGGCTTAGACCTTTTTTGTGTACCCTCGTCTTCATCCACATAGTTCACATATCCGGTATGGGTAATAAAAAAATACCTGGAGCGAGTAAAAAAAAATATAGTAGAGTTGTACTAAAACAAGAATGATTGACAGTCGATATAAAAACGTCAGCACCTTCCAGTTGCCTGCCGTGGGCAAAACAATGTTTCTCTCCTGTTGGAAGTTGCACGATTCAAGATGGCCACAACTGCACGTAAGAGGAGTCTAATGATTAGTTACACCCTCCCCAGATCTGCTACGGCATTGTTTACGGGAGAGGCCCCCGGTCCCTGGCAGAAGAGTTGGGCATGGAGGTGGCGGAGGCCGACCGCATGATGGCAGACTTCAGGCTCGCCTTTCCCGGTGAGAGCTCCTTCCCCTTCCGTCTCTGTGGCTGTTCGCAGCGAGGAAGGTTTGCAATGCAGTCCGGCAGCAGGTGCCGAGCACGTACGTTCCACGAGCTGCGAACGTTAGGGGCTGGTTCGCAAACTTGCAACTGCTTACAACCGAGTTCTTGGTATCTCTTACCGACACACTGGCACACTTTCGCCATCTATGAGGCAGCCCTGGAACTGCATTTTACTAGAGCGAGGGCTTTGCAATATTTGCATATACTAGCTATGTGAAATAGTTGTTTATAACGTTGTCAAAAGCTTTTCGAGCCAATAAGAAAGGAATGATGCGCGAAAAAGATAGGGAATTATATGGGATTTGTGAATGTTCCAGAGCTACGCGATACATGGCGCCAGTCTTTTACTCATCGTAGGAGATTGCAGGAGGTTGTAAGGCTCTTCGTCGTCAGCCATCGCAAGTGTGTGAACGAACCTCAATGCTGGCCCAGGATTGGTATCACAGCTGCAGTCTAGATTCCGGTTGTCGCTGGGTGGGTTATGAATAGCCTGCAGGTTTTCCACCATTTTTTAGTGTAAGGCAATTGCGCTGATGCTTTTCGGCGCTTATTTATTTTTAACAAATCAGCTTATTTTGGCGATTGGTTTTGTGTGGGAGATAAAAACTGCGATAATCGGCGGCAAAAACTGCCTTTAGATGCAGAAAGTAAACTAATGAAAAACTAAAAGTGTGAACTAACTTACATTTTGTAGATACCTTCGTAACACTTCGTGCTCCTCACTGTCACACGGTGTCGCGTCACATTGTACCACACTGTGGTGACGTTGCAGAGGACCTATAAATGCCACGTATTTAGAGCGTCTTCACAATGACGTCGCAGTATCACGTGGCACTGTGACATCATCTAGGCCTTAACCACTGTCAGAAAAAGCCTCGAGGCTAGTTCACACACTAGAGACTGTCTACGACCGAGTGCATTACGTTCTCTCGTGACCTTTTAGGACGAGGGAACACACTGGCACGCCGACACCATCTATGAGGTGGCCCTGGAACCACATTTTAGCAGAGTGAGCATCTTGCAGTACTTGCGAGATCAAATGTACCGTATTTACTCGATTCTAAGCGCCTTCTTTCTTTCACACCTGCGATGTTCAAAGAGGGGGGGGGGGGTGCTTAGATTCGGAGCATGCCCCGAAATTGCGAAATTTGCACAAGAAATATGAATTTATTATATTCAAAGTGAAAGAATAAATGTTCTAAAGGAAATAAATAAAGATTGGAGTGTAGCCCACTTGCCATCAGTATGCACTGCGGTCGACTAGTCGCTTTCGTGGCTAGTCTTTTGAGGATGATGTAGGGCGCAAGTTTCCGACCGTCGGCTGTAATGCACAGCATTACAATCACCCTTTGCTTCTCATAGCCAGTCGTACGCACTTCTACTTCTCGGGTGCCTACTTCGTTCACGGTGCATGTCCTTGGCATGTCGATGCACTCAGGGGTCTCATCGGCATTGCCGATCTGCCCGAGTCCGTAGCGAGATTCGCAACGCAGCTTTATCACATAACGTTGGAAGTTGACAAGCTTGTCCTGGAAGTCCAGCGGTAGATTCTGGCAGATAGTGGTGCAGCGTCTCAAAGAGAGACCGTTCCTCTTCGTCATCCACTCCACCCAGCATTGGCTTGCGCGGAACGCCGCACTCCGAACTGTTCAGCAGCGCCTTGATTTCCGTTGTCTTCCACGTAAGAAATAACCATTCTCTTGAACTTCATCGTGTATGAAGTTCTCTTCGCACTCATGATGGACGACTTCCGCAAACCACGTGCACACAGTGAACGGAATACGATTACGAGGCCAACGCGGATGAATAGGCTGAACAGACTAAACAACCGGCTGCAACAAGCGCAAGGAGACCACCAAACAGACAAAACATCTTCAATAGAGGGTACGGCAATGCACCCTCTTTCGCAACCTCTACGGATGCGAAAGTGGAAAATGGCGGTATGTGCTGCCATCTATTAACTGACGTTGGGACCATGCGCCAGCGGCCGTTCGCGACCTCGGCGATACCGGCGTCTCCGATCTCAAATTTCTTGTTGGGAGGGGGATGCTTACATTCGCATGCAAACTTTTTTTCAGGTGTTTATGTTCCAAAGTGCGGGGGGGAGGGGGGGGGTGCTTAGAATCGCAAAAATATGATATATATACTCGTATCTAAGAAAAATGTCATTTATAACATTGTCAATAAGTGTTTGGCCAAATAGCAAAAAAATTAAATTCAAAATAATTAGAAAATATATGGAAATTGCGAGTGTTCCTCAGCTACGCGATAGATGGCGCGTAGCTCTTCTCTTCACATGAGGTTGTAACACACTCGGTCATAAACACTCACGAGTGTGTGACTGAGCCGTGTGCTGCATTTAAAAAGTTCCGCGCCAAGTGAGCGGACCTATTTAAGAGGACCTGCTTTCAGTCTTGTTGGTGCGTGATGCTCCGAAAACTTGTACGTGCCAACAGAGACGGACAGAAACGAGTGCGAGAGATAGCTTTTTCGTGTCCGTCTGTTTGCGCGGACGAGTTTCCCGAGAGCAGAGGCGTTTTTGGGGACCGGCTGTCGGGCGTGTCCGTGCCCTTCTAAACCACGAGGCTAAAGACTGGAGCAGAGCATGGCAAATCTTGAGTGCCGTCATCGGTGGTCCCGAAAGAAAGAAAGAGAGGGACTGAAAAGTGGAGAAAGAAAGCAAATGAAAGGCTAAGCGTGTTCGTTTTTCCACAACAAGCTGAGGTTGTTTGAGTGCTGGTCAACTTTATTACAGTGGAGCTCTTAAGGGCTAGGTTCCCCAGGATCGTGTCCGGTACCAAACAATTGTCGACACAGGTTGCCGCCGTCGCTCATAGATGGCGGCAGCCGTCCAGCCTTTCTGTCAAGGTGCGTGATGGTCCGGTGGTCGCCGTCGTGTACGTCCCCCCCGCGACGCCCAAGAGAGACATTGAAGCATTCATGATAGACGTCTTCGGCTGGGTCATGCTCAGCGGCGACACGTCTGCCATAGTGACGGGTGACTTTAACATTGACATTGCACTCCAGGAGGGAAAGTGGTTCACTTTGTTTATGCTGGAGCGCTTCGGACTTGCGCGTGTGTAGGAACCTACGGTGCCCATGACCAGGCATCGGACATGTATAGACCTCGTCTTCACGAAGAACATTCCTGCCATCAGCATACACCCTATGGCGGTGTACCACAGCAATCACAAGGCCATGGTCACCCTGGTTACGAAATAAATAACAACCCCGGATCGTTATATATCTGTCTTGTTAGGATGGAACCTTTACTATTCGTTTGCAATCCAAGAACCTAACTGCACGTTCGCCCCAGTCTGTTGTCATCGTCTTTCCCCTTCCGTATTTGTCCCCTTGCGGCCATCTTGGTCTCTACGGGGCACGTGCACCTGGCATAGTCCTTCGCCAGACACTCCTCGCAGTCTGATTCTTTAATCATTCAAATAACCAATTACCCTATCACACCTTAATCCTTACATTTATAAGCACTTCATTCCCACCATAACACAGCTTCGCTGATCTACCTTCTTCATCAGAGTGGAAAGGCTGAAAGATTTTTTTATGCAACAAAAGACGCTGATGTTTTTGTGCGAGATAAAGGTAAAAAAGCACTAGATACAAAGTTTGCAAGTGATGTTTCCCCGCTGCTTTGCGTATATCAAAGTGTCGCCAGCAATATGGTCCCATCAGGACCACCGACGTCAGCCTCTATGCCCCGCACTTCTGAAGTGGCACAGATGCGTGGGACTTTTCTCTCTAGATTATTATGTTAACTGTACGGTGCCGTCCCAGGGCTGCAGCGCTACGCAAACCAGCTGGTGTCCCAGGCACGCTCCCTGGGCCACGTGCGCACGGTGCTGGGCCGGCGCCGGCCGCTGCCCCAGCTACGCAGCGCAGACGCAGCCGTGCGTGCTCGGGCGGAGCGGCAGGCCCTGAGCACGGCCGTGCAGGGCTCAGCCGCGGACCTGCTCAAAAGTGCCCTGGTGGCCGTGGACGCCGCGCTGGCGCACCGCTTCCCGCACTCCAGGCACCCGCTCAGCACCCCCGGTGAGACGCCAACTCCTCTGCGGTCTCACGGTTGGGAATCCTTCTAAATGCTGGATGACACGCTTGCGACTGCTTAGAACCGGGGGCTTAAAACCTCTTGCGATTTCTTACGATTTCTTACACACTGGCGCCATCTGTCGGCTAGCCGTGGAACACTTGGCAACTCCGTTTATTTCCTTTTTGCGCATCATTCTTCTTTTCTTGGCTCGAAAAACTTCTGACAATGTTATAAACAACCAATTCTCGTAGATGGTATGTACATTTGACCTCGCGAATACCGCGAAACCTTCGCTCTAATGAAACAAACTTCCAGAGTCTTCTCGTAGATGGCGCCAGCGTGCCAGTGTGTTACCTCGTCGTAAGAGATTTTAAGAGGTTTTAGGCACGCAGTCGTAAGCAATTGCAAGTGTATGGATGGGCCTTAGGCCAGTCAAGTCCTTCTTTGGGTACCCGAAGCCCTCGACCATCAGTCGAGCTAAACAATACACTTTTTTTTTATTATTGATGCTGGCTGTCCCACAGCAGCAAATAGACCAAACCATATGCACCGGCGAGCTGGCTTGATTATTCTCCATTTCAGAGCTTTATAGTTAGTTTTCAAAACACTCTGTTTTTTTTTTTTTTTTTTTTGTTATTGTAATCGTTCAACATACTGCCCTGCCCCCCAACCCCCCGGTAGATGGGGTCCCCCATCACTTCCGACGACCCAGAAGGGGCCTCTGAAACATCAGTGATTGAAAACCACAGTTCTAAGCAGTAACTCTTTATTTATTTATTTTGTTTGCCCTCAGGACCGGAGGCGTTACACGTTGCAGGGGTGAGAAAACATACAAAAAATAACGGTGAAAAATTCAAAACAGCTAAACAATGAAAAACGCGTGGCTTGCAACACTCGAACAAAAAAAGAACACAATCAGCAATTGATATAAGTGATGCAGGTAGATGATTCTATTGTTTCAAAACTCTAAGAATAAACAATGAAAAAGCTTTGTTGTAATGGCAAAATGGGATGCCTAGCGTAATATCCCGGGTCATCACCCACCTCCGTCCTGCCTTATATTCATAAAAAAAGTGGGGCGGGCCATGTCTCAGTGACTAAGCACAAAAAGTTTAGAAAAAGCTAAAAAAAAATGCCCTTTATTTTTTTACATATCTAGCGCAGCTGCACAACTTCAAAACTCAAATTTGTTTCATTGTTTTATGCAAAAAATATTCATAAAAGAATATTTTACTATCGCAAAGTCTGTTGTTTGCACAGCATAAAGATTTACATTCCGTCAAATCTTTATTTACCCGTTGACTTTTTCTCAAACATTGCACAACCTTACCAACTGCGGTCGTGACGTTCCAGGAGAAGGAGCAGAATCGCGGTGACCTTATTTTGGTGAAGACGGACTTTGACCTTGCACTCCACGGTCACATTCCAGGAGGGGGGCATTTGCTGACCTTGCAATCCCTAAATGAGTTACAGCTTGTGTTATCTTTCTGATTTTTTTCTTTGTCCAAACAAACTTTTTTTGTAAGCAAAGCAATGCTTCATTTTGTGATATCCATCGTTTTCCTTTCGCACGCATGTACTCCAACTTTGGGGTCGCGGAAATCGGAGAGGAAATGCGTAAACAAAGCAAAGTATCTTTCCTTCCTTTGTTTTATTTTGTTTGTCACGGACGTCCTCCAACCGTGAGGTCTGCAGTCGCGTCATTCGGATAGGATGAATGTTCGAGGATCGTGGAGTGTGCATTGGGGTATTCGTTGGGGTGAACAATCACTGTGTTTATTTTTGGAAATCAATATTCGTCTAAAAAGTGGGGTGGACAATGGCTCGAGGATGGGCGATGACTCGAGATATTACGGTACTTTGAGACGGTGGTCCAGGCGTGCGTAAACAAATGTCGTTGGGGTTATCAGTCGATTTCTGAGTGCAGTATTGCAATAGAAGATTTTGTAAAAACGACAAATACTATAAATTCTGCTGCAATGTGCGAGACTGGATAGAAGTTTCTTTCATTGATGTTACACTATCGGTTCAATTATAACCAGCTAAAATAAAATGCACGGATCTCTTTCGAATTAATTGTTATAGGGACTTCCAAACTGCATTCGAGGCGTCGGCGTAGTGCCAGGCAGAAAACTTTTTTTTGTGTGCGCTCGTGCTTGCACCGCCTTGTGACGCCAGGTGAAGCGTGCGCACTTGGCTCTTGCCAGGGGGCCTTGTCTTCTAAGGTTGGCAGGGGACCTACCAGTTGTTACGGTACCCATCTTGATTTTGCTTCCATGTATGCACTGTGTTCCAGTGATCGCAAGGCTGTGTTGTGCGTGATTGAGTAAGTAAAGAGTGGATATGTCTAAAATTAGGCACACTAAGTGCAATGGCTGCTGTCGGTGCCACTTTTTCACAAACTGTGGCGAAAAGTTGCAAATTGTTTTGTGTAAATCAGTTTGTCTGAAGACGGAGGGATCAGCTAGCAGCGACGCATTTGCTCTTCAGAACCTCAAGTACCTTAGTGTATGCAGCTTCTGCTTTAGATTTCATCAACACATAATCTGCAGGAATGACCGCACCCTGAACTTTGCAGCGGATTGTATAGAGCTGGTAGAACAGCACAGATGCCACTTTGAAAATTCCGTCCGCAAACCATTGTCGTGAAGACCCTAGTATGTAGCGCCAGCATGTCCGGGCAAAAGAAGACGATGAAGCGCTCAGTATCATTGCACCAAAGTCATGAAGAAGGAACCGAGCCCCATCCTTGTTTGTGGCTTATTCGTCTGGAATTACGACGTCCTGCAAGCGGGAGGGCAACGGATGAGACCGTGTCTTGAGGGCCCAGAGTCTCCTGATGAATACGAGCAATAACAATAAGAGATGCTGTAATGGAAGCACTAGAATTAACAGAGATTGTCTATGACTAGAACGGTAGCCTTATTTACTCATTTGTGAAAGGAGGCATATTACTTCTCTTAATATCTACCATAAAGTTGCTGCCAATGTATCGAAAGTCACAGACCCAGTCAAGCTGTTTCTAACAGCTTTTTGCCTCGTTACGGGAAGATGAAGCTTTGATTTGATTTGAAGTTAATTTCTGAATGTGTACGTTCATTTTACGTAAAACTACTGGCGATGCTCTTATTATAGGATAGGATGATGAGATCTTACTCATCTCAGGCTTCTTTTTATGGCTGCTTGAGAAGGTAGCTCCGTGAATCCGCCGACATTGCCTCCAGGAAATTGCCGACGATGCACTGGTTGGTTCGTTCCGTCTGGCGAGACCTTTCTTTCATGGCAGCGTAGCAAATTTGGACTCTTGTTCAAGTAGAGCTGGTGCGTGTGTGTGAATGCCCACCGTTTTGACCACGGCCGCGTTAATGGTGTGGGCTCGTGCCTTGCATTCAAGCTTTCGACAACACTGCAAGTAGATCTGCAAGATCGTCATTCAACTCATGGTCATTTCTTCGACTACTATTAAATGAATCTAAATTGCAAATTCTGTATTTGCATCCAGTCTAGTGAACTAAGAACTTCCCTACAACATGTAAAAAGACTGGGCAACTATTTCCGCAGTGTAAATACTGACATCACAATTTATGATGCTTACTACGTGGCAGTGCGCATGTTCCTAATTAAGTGATACTCGAGCATCAACATTTACTGAGAACTAGAGAAGACATGCTAAGAGGGATAGCATTCGGATGCAAGTTCTGGATCCTATTTTTTTACAAAATACAATGCCGCACGTACCTTGTCACCGTTTTCTCACTGCTTGTTGTATTTGAACCCACCGAATACCGTGTTTGCACGATTGTAGCGCGCAGGTATATTTAGCCCTCAAATATTCGAAAAATAACTTGATGCCGATTGCACCACGCAGATAAAAAAATGGAGGGTAAATACCACATACCTGAAAGGACACATTTTATGGAACGATTAAACTCACACATACACTCGAAACAACCACACTAGTCACTGTCAGAGTCCGACGATAGCTTTTTTTCGCTGTCCATAGACCACAAACAGTCCTCGCTGCCGTCCAAGGCGTTAGAGAGGCCGCACTTTTTGAAGGAGTGGACGACCATCGCCCGAGGGAGTGCCTTCCAGGCGTCGTATACCCATTTTGCGAAGTCGTCGAGCGTCGCCCTCTTCAAACGCCCTGCCGGCGTCAGCGCGTGCTCCCCATCAATCAGCCACTCATTGTATGCCGTACGTACATAGTCCTTCATCGGCTTGTTCAAGCAGACGTCAAGTGGCTGAAGCGTCCCACAAGGCCGGTGTGGCAGGCTGCAAGTTTGTCCTTCACACGGTCGCTGATATGGCACCTGAACGAGTCGAGCACCAACATGGCACGCACGCCCAGGTCGGCACCAGGTCGCTTCCTCCACACCGAGTTTATCAGGTCAATCACGAAATCTGTGTCCATCCAGCCTTTGGGGTGCACCCGAACAATAACATTCTTAGGGAATGTAACGTTTGACGGAAGCGTGTTTCTCTTGAAGATCAGGAAGGGGTCCAACTTGTGCCCGTCTGCCATGCAGCATAGCATCGCTGTAATCCTATTCTTCTCGTTTCCCGTCGAGAGGATTCGCACCTGCTTAGCGCCTTTGGATTCCACTGTGTAGTTCGATGGCATATCGAAAAACATGGGAGTTTCATCGGTGTTTCCGATCTGTCCAATCATCTGGCTCCTGTACCGGCGAAGCTTGGCTACAAACCGCTGGAAAGCAACCAGCTTCTCTTCATACGCTTCTGGCAGCTTTTGGCAGATACTGGTTCTTTGCCTAAGCGAAAATCTCTTTCGCTTCATGAATTTGGAGATCCAGCTCCTGCTGGCCTTAAAACGAGACCGGGGAATGTTGCAGCTTCTTGCAAGCTGGAGTGCCTTCACTTTGATCGCATCCGAGGAGACGGGCAGCTGATTGAGTCGCAAGTCCCTTACGTAGTCCGCAAGAGAGTCTTCGAGCTCTGGAAAGCGTCCACGTTGGGGGCCTTTGAAGCCTTTCCTTGTAGCTTTGCAGGCGAAAATCCTGCCCCATTGTTTACGCCAGTCGTGCACGCACGTCTCGGGACGCCCAATGCTCGTGACGCAGCTCGGTTGCCTTCCTGTTCCGCAAGGATGATGACTTTGCACTTGAAAGACACCTCATAATGAATGGGCCTTTTTTCCATCTTGCCAATACAACTGAAGAACACACGAGCGAAACGGGAGTGACCGGTGTGACAATCGGGAATGCAAAAAGATGGCGTCACATCGACGATTAGACCACGTGATAGAAAGATGGGTGGATAGATAGCGGCTGTACCTTTGAAACAGGCGGTAGCTCGCGCCACCTGGCATACTATGTGGCCATGACGGAGTTTTGACTTTTTTTTAATTTGGGTTCATGGGTTCGATTGTGACGCGCATGCAAATTTGAGCTCGCATTTTCCGGAAAAAAGTGTGCGTTATAATCGTGCAAACACGGTAAAAGCTTGAGTCCTCCTTGTTCGCTTGGTAAAACCATCACTGAAGATCTAGCCCCGACGTGCGAAAACAGGCAATAACAGACAGGAAAACTAACCCTCCTATATTGTCACGAATGAAGGTTATGAGAGGACGAACAGTGAACTGAAAATAAAGGTTTAATCGGCGAACTTGTGCCAAGCAAAATAAGGAACGAGTGTCGAGGCAGCAGAAAAGCAGGTAGTGATTTGGCGGCGTAGCCGCAAGCGAGAGTGAGACTGACTTGACAAGGTTGCGGGCAGCTCCTTATCTGGTGTGTGTCGGCGTCGCGAAAATTCGGCCGAGAAGGTTCAAGCATCGAGCGTTCGGGGTGAGAATGAACAGGCACTTTCGAGAACAAGAAACCAGGGCGAAATGATGAAAGTTACGCCCTGAGTAAGAGTCAATGCGAATCTTCTAGAATACCGTGACCAGGCACTGCTTGCTCGGCCCTGTGCGCGGGAAAGGAAGCCTGGAGAGGAGGATGCAGACGGGACGCTGTATACAGGGTATACAGGGAGCTGTATTAACTGTATAGGTCAGCAGGCCTGCGGGTCAAGGTCAGCGGTTCCCTCGGCTAGCCCTGTACTGAAATGAATGTTACTGAAATGACCTCGTACCGAAAAGACCGCACACCGAAACGACTGCACCGAAATGACCGTGTACTGAAACGACAGCGTACCGAAACGACTGCATACTGAAACGTCCGCACCGAATTGTCCAGTACTGAAATGCCCAAAACCGAAACGTCCGGTTCCCGAAGTGCAGCAAAGGGGTTAATTGGGCCAGTTGGTTCATACTTCAAAAAAATATAAAAGCGCCGGAAACAACAAGGACAAAGAAGTGTTGTCTTTGTCCTTGTTGTTTTCGGCGCTTTTATTTTTTTTAACATCATATGAAGACTTAAAAGTTAGGTGTATTAGTAGTAAGAGAAACAAACTGTACAATGTCGGAAAAAAAAATTTACAGGGTTTTTTTTACCGCAAAAATAAACTAGGTAGGCATCGCCGAACGCTCATTCTCCACCCGAAGGTAGAGCTAGAGGTCACAACCAGATGCCAAAGTTTCAGCCCGATGGACACTGTCAGGGTATTTATGCTCGCCGAGGTTTTTAGTTGTACATGACATATAAGAGCCGAACTACCCAGAACAGAATTTGCCGCTCAAAATTCGGTTTCTTTCCGCCCAAAAACCGCCGATCGAGAACTGGCCGGTTTGGGTCGCGCTCACTCTCTTTTCTGTGGTCACGCACTGTTTTCTAAGGTTTCGACGTGACCACCAAATCTAATCAAAGTCGTGGGTCATTGAAGGCACACAGTCAATATTAAAAATAGAAAAAAATATGAAACCCATTTTTTATGGCTTCTAAAAAGCTGCAAATACATTGATTGAAAAAGAAAGGTAGCAAGACAACCAGAAGCATTCTGTGGGTTCACTGCATAATTCTCAACATGGCATTGTTTCGCATATCGTGGGACTCGCGGGTGGTAGCGGACGACGGGTGTGGGACCTCTACTTCAGAACTGTCGTTCACGGTACCGGCGAATTCTGTCTTCCTTCGAAAGAGAAATTTTGGACCGATCAAAAGAACCGATATTCATCTCGTATGACACGCCCGACCAGCAAGCCGATTGCACGAAGACGTCGCCGAGCCGTCGTCCCTTTTCATGGCTGAAGACATCGCTCACTCAAACGTCAAGCACGAAGTGCATACTTCGAGTTGAATACGCACACGTACGGTTTCTTTACGAAGTGCGAATGTGGCCTATGCGTGGTGCTGCCCGACTTCAAGCCGGGAGTGCATGTATTGAAGTGAAATCAGCAGCAAACTTCCAACATACAGTCTACCCGCTGCATTACTACGCATGAAAAAGTTCCTTCGGTAGCTCAGTGGAAAGACGTCCGATTCACACGCAGCGGGCACGGGTTCAATCCCTGGTGTGGGCGTACCATTTTTTTTTTGTCGTGCATTTTTCAATGTTTACATTTCCTTTTTTACTATTATCACTGAAAAAAACAATTGTTGTGGACGATACATCGCTGAATTAAATGGTATGGAATTCCATTTTTGACACCTGCAAACTCAATGTAGTCACTTTCCACAAAATGCAACGAGCATATGAATCGAGTAGCATCCGCTTTCCGAGCTTCGCGTAACTGTTCTACAGGAATTGCAGCCAGCCATTGATCTCGACCCGTTGACCTTTCGGAAACGTGTGCACTCTGCCACACAATGCCACTTTCAGATGCAGAACATGTAAGGCAGCTCTTCACGCAACATCTTGGGAGTATTCTTTTTAGAGCCGATCACGGGAATTCACCACGGGCACTCACTACTAATTCCCAACACTTCAATGTACAAAACAACTCATCTTGAAGTACAGAGCAGCGACCGGAACAAACATTACTGGAAAGGAATCGCACGTCAAACAGATCCCGCAACGCATTTCGTCTGCTGCGGGCAGAAAAAAAAACGCACGGTCGGGTGTAGCCACGTGACTTCCGCCTGTCCCTCTCTCCTCTTCACTTCTCCGTGCGGTGCGGGAGATTCGGTTTTGGTTTTGAGCAGTTGCGTTTTTTGGCTTTATTAAAAAAATATGTGACTGTGTAGCAAAATATTAATTGGGTGGTATTCCGACACCATAATAAATCGCCTGACAAAAAAGGGAAAAAAAATTTGGGGGGGTGTCAGTGTCCCTTTAATCAAAAGTTATAAGTGATTGTCTAAAAATTTCAATGGGAAAATTGTGCCCATTTTTGCCCGTTTTCAGTTTCTGGTGCCATAGAGGCCCATGTATTCGAAAACTCTGTCGGATGCCATTTTTCCATTGAAATTTTCAGAATATCACTTATAACTTTTGAATAAGGTATCGGACATGGCTGAAACTTAGCATCTGGTTGTGACCTCTAGCGCTACCTATCCCTTTATAGGACTGCTTTGTATCCATATGTAATGCGATACAAACAAGATCCAAAATATCATTGCACCGCAAACTTGCTGGCATTTTTCGATAAAACGAGAGAGCAAGCACTCTGTGGATGCACTGTTTCTCAACTCGCTCGAAACTAAATCGAGCTCAACGTGTCTCTAACCAAAATCTCTTCATACGAAAGTTTTTGTTTTCCTGGCTACTTTTATAGCGGCATTATACAAAAAATACATATGTCTTACTGGTATTTTCTGAAGGCTAGAAGCCCGAGCTTGGAGCTTTATCTTTGACAGTTGCTTCTGCTGAGCTAGAGTTTGTGCAGCCAATGTCTGTCCTTGAGCAAAGAGCTCGCGCTTGTAGCCAATAGCGGGATTGTCTTACCGATTATTAACGCGAAAAAAAAAGTGAGATGCAAACATTAAGACAAAGCAATACCCCATGCAAAAGAAAATGGAATAGTGCAAAATAAGTGAACACTTTATAAGAGCAGAGCTACATTTCGGGCAGAAATTAATTGACCACGCGAGACCTTTATAAAGCAAGCACACTCTCCATACGTGGGAGCAAGGGCTCGCAGCCACGGTACGCTTGCGGGCTGCACCCCAGCAAGTCGCAAGCTGCTTTCGAAGCCGCGGGTTCTCAAACTGGGTTTCCGGGAACCCAGGAAATCCCCAGAGTACTCTCAGGGGCTCCCCAAGCTCTCAAATTTCTTCCAGCGTCCCTACCCCCATGTACGCATTATTCCAGTTTAAGCACTATGGTGGGAGCTTGGTGCAAGGCAAGGAACGCGTGCCGGAAGAAGGGCTTTCAAAATATGCGCCCCGCCGGACTCGCTCTGTCGGAATCCTGTAGCAAGCCCCGCTCTTTGCCTTCCAGGGTGTGGACATCCCTCGTCGGGGGCCTTTCTGGTGCTGCAGCTGCACGACGAGCTGCTGCTCGAGGTGTGCGCCCGGGACCTGCCGACCGTGGCGGCCTTGGTGGCCGAGCGCATGCGCACGGCCCTGCGACTGCGCGTGCCCCTGGCCGTGCGCCTCAGGGCGGGGCCCAGCTGGGGCCAGCTTGAGGACTACTCGCCGGGCAGCGCCGCCTAGGCAGGGCCAATAAACGGCCACGCCTTTTTCTTAACGCAGAACGCATTTTATACAGGCGCAAATCTGCGAACCAGCCTTTAAAAGCCAGCCCTGTTATCGCAGTACCTGGAACGCGTCCTCGACCGGCGCGTTTAGGCCCATGGATCGAACGTGGTCCTCAAGTGGCAACACACGATGTCGCGGGAGCCGGCGTGGCATGCCGCTGGATGTTGCGATTCCGACAATTGGTCGTAGGCACGCCGGCAAAAAAGGCAAGCGAATGCGAGGGTCGCCGTCATCCCGGCATCCCATCTTGCGTCTGCTTTCATTTTCGTCGACTGCCTGGCTGCAGAGCGACCTACAGCAGAATGGATGTCTGCTGTGTCTACCTCCACTGCGGCGACACCGCCGGTGGCTGCGGCCACTGACGGCGCAACAGTTCTACGATGTCGTGTAAATCAAGGGACCATTTTAGAGGACCCAGTGGACGTAATACTAGTCGTAGACGCTTTCCGGGCGCCACACTGTACCCCGTTGCAATTTAAGTCCAACTGCAGCCGACGCGATGGCTCCAATCGGGCAGTGCCAAAAGTGCGCTGTCGAAATGCTTCTCGTCTTTGGAAGTTTGCTCTCACCAACTAAACCGACCGTGCACAGAAAAAAGTACAGGATCGCGGCCCATTCACTGTGTGCAATTGGCTCTGTCGGACTTAAAGTGAAACGGAGTATAGCGTTGTGCTTAGAACAAGTTTCTGATCGTCGTATTTACCCTGGCCTCGAAAGTGGTGTCTCGATTTCCACCCGTTGACATGGTAGAAACGTAGCGTCGTTGCTCGCCGCAGTTCTGCTGGCGTCGAAGCGGCAGAGGTAGGCATGGGGGACACTGTTCTGCTGTAGGTCGCTCCACAGTGAGGCGGTCGATAGAAACCAAAGCCGACGCACGAGGGGAAGCCACAACGATGGCGATCCTCACGTTTGTTCGCCTCTTTCGCCGGCATTTCTACGACATCAGGATCGCGACGTCGGACAACACAATGCATCGGCTCCTGCGACTCGGTTCGTTGCCACCTCAGGACCTTGTTAGAAGCGCAGAAGGGACGGAAAGCACGCCGGTCGAAGGCGTGTTCCTGGGACCATAATTCTAGAGCTGGCTTCTAAAGGCTAGCTGGCACATCCGCACTCAAGTGTGCATCCACGCTCGAGTGGCTAATTAGATTGTTGTAGTATGCAAGCCGATTTTTGCAATTTATTTCAAGCAGCAAGAGTGTTTCTTGCACTATAAAATGGACCAGAAAATTTCGTGCCTACACCTAGAAAGCTCAAACTTTCACCAAATGTACATTTAGGTGGTGGATTTTAGCTTGTGAAATTTCGGGGCATTCTTCCTGTAAAAATCGAGACCAACGTGCTTGCCAAATTCAGCGGCGGACGTTTTCGCAGGCAACCAAGTTAGTGATGACTAACTTGTGGCGCCATCTCCCGACAGGCGCAGAGAGCAGACAACGCACCCTCCTGTCTGCCAGCCGCACCTATTGGGAGATGGCACCGCTAGTTAACAATCATCACTGACGCGGTTATCTGCGAATGCGACTACCTTCCACTTTGGCAGCTTTGTTGGCCTTATTTTTTTATAGGAAGAGAATGCCCTGAAATTTCACAAGCTAAAATCCACTAGCTCAATGCATACTCGGTGAAACTTTGAGCTTTCTATGTGCCGGCACCTAATTTTTGCATTCCATTTTACAGTGGAGGAAACTCTGTAGGCACCCTCTAAATTAGTCTAATGCAATCCAATCTTTCTTATTGCTTATTTCAATAATATGCTTGGACAATCACACTTTCTTATTGCTTATTTTAATAATGTTCTGGACAATCACACTTTCTAACTGCAAATTTCTTCCCAGTGTTCAGTTCTGTGTGCCTTTTATGATTGAGACGATGTAGTGATTGACCGACTGATGGTTGTGTATTGGTGACAATGTAATTAAGTTGTTCTTTTGTTGATGTTTTCTTAATGCACCTGTTGATCCGACTTTGAAATGGTGAATGAAATGTCTTCTTGTTTTATATATCCCTGTTAGCTATCTTTGCTTTCTACCAAAGGCCTGCAGTATGTTTTACATAAATAAATGAATTACTGTGGAGAACCACTGCAAACTCTAATTTAAATAGTTTGTTAGACCTACAGAAGACAGTTTGCAGCATTGAGAATCTTCATTTTACCAATTGTTCAGCGCCATATTTCGCAAAGTAATAAACCGTATATGTTGAAAAACTTTATTTGAAAACTTGCAATGCAAATATATAGTAACTAGAACAGTGATCAAAATGTTTTTATTTTTTTTTATTTACCACTTAAAAGCAATTCAATATAATCTGTGAAATGAACTTTACATAAAGCTGAAAGTATGAAGAAATTATGGCTCCAAAGTGCTAGCCTATAAATCCCAGAGTTTAAAGCACCCCAATATTACTAAATTACCCCTTAAAGACCGACGACCAGTTTGTGCTTTCCACTTTTCCCCCGCTTCCTCCTCTCCCCCCTTCTACCCTGTCCACTGTTGCCCGTTTCCTCCTCCCCATGGGGAGGAGGACCTTCTGCCTTGCAGAATGTCGAGTCTGGTTGTCGGCCTTTAAGTGCCACATTTTTTTAAGTGTCCTAAAAAGTGCCATATTTTTTTTATTGAGTTTTTATTTCTCTAGTATCACAGATAGAATTTCAAGTTTATTATGCGAAAATCAGTATATCTGTGTGCACATGAACCTTGTTACAGTTGTGCGTATGCGCAAAGTAGCTTGCGTTTCTGCATACACGTTAAGCATCTTACATCCTCTGTGGTTGAGTGTAAGGAAAAAACAGTAAATTAGGGCAGTCCTGTTGATGTTTTTACGCTAAAACTCCAAGTACGGTACAGCCACATTATTTGAGGATACAGACTGTGCGGAATCACCGCCACCATCCGAATTGTCGTCATCGCCATCATGGGATACACTTGAAGAGCTGAATTCAGCAACAAATTAAGTCATCGTCTTCACTTGACGAACAAAAATAAACTTCTTCCGAGTCACTCTAGCTTTCCTCAGCGATAAATTTTCATTTTCGCAATGAAGTTCCGCCTGCTCCGTTAGCTGGCAACACCATTTTTAAATGACTGTTGCCAGAGTATCTTCTCATTTATCTTGCCAACTGCGGCGAAAAAAAAGAAAAAGATGCCAACTAATAGTATTTGAAGTTGGGTTAGTCGGTGCATATTGGTAACTGGAAAAAACAGCGCAAAAAAGAAAGTGGCGGATAAATATAATGTTCCTGTAGTCTTCTCGGCCCCGTCTAAGTTGTCTCAATTGTGTGCTGCGATTGAGAAAGCAAAAAGTAAACGTGTGGTGTGTGAAATCAAACATTGTTTCAAATACGTCGCAGGCACAGTCGCAGTTATGTATAATGTTCGAGCTAGGGGACTTTCTCTTGTCTTTGAGGTCTATGCCATCGGGTCACCATTGAAATATTGGCACATTGAAATATTGGCAAGACACCCTAAAAAATTGACTAGGGAAATTCATGAGGCATTACATATGTCTACACGGTCCTGATTGAGTCAGTTAGGATGTGTAATGAAGAGTTCAGGCGTACCGGCATCCGCTCGTGTATCACTACTGCGTGGTGCACGTTAAAGACCCCAGGCTAGTGGTTGTACTGCACTGGCTAAATTGCTCATTGCAACTTTGAAATGGCTGACCAACTACCGTACATGCTCTATAAATATCCACACAACCCCAATTATTATTGAAGAGTTCAGGTTTATTCGTTGAATGGGAATGTTTGTGTAAAAGTTGGGGTTGAGTTCTTACAATTTTTAAATATGTTAAATATCCTGTAACACATGATTTTTTTTTTTTTTTTTTTTTTTTTGAATGGTTGATTGAAGAAGTGTATTGCCATGAGTCTTTTTCTTTTAGAGCGCAGCTCTTAGGCGCCCTATTCAGGCTTGAGCGGCGTTGACGTCGCCGTCGGCGTAACCGCACGGTGCATTATGGGACGTTTCCCATGATGTCCCATGATAAGTAGAACGTCATCATGGGATGCCATGATAAATGATGTCCCATGAAACGTCCCATAATAAATTTACCCATAACGCGTTGCATTATTGGTAAATTCAGCACAGGGGTTCTCAAGCTGGGTTCCGGGGAACACGGGTTCCACGAGCTGGTCTCATGGGTTCCGTGAACACCCAAATTGCAACCCCTCCCCTCCCCCCCTGCCCCCCACGCTGCAGGCTGCGCGGAAGGACCATGCAAAGCACCTTCATCTCACTCTGTACTGACATTGCGATTGATATAGTGGGGATATATAAGAAGCAACACAAGCAAAACTGCCTACAATTGTGCATCTATTGCTTCTCGGTCGGCAAATATGGAGGGGGGGGGGGGGGGGTTCCGCGGCAGTCTTTGAGGCTTTCTAAGGTTCCGCGAGGCCAAAAAGTTTCAGAACGCCTGGTTTAGCAGAAAAGAATTTCCCTCTAAATTCAGCAAAAATTTCCCCGCTAAATTTAGTGGGAGAAATTCCTTGCTAAATTTAGCGAAAAAATTTCCCCGCTAAATTTAGCTGGAAAATTTTTCCACTGAATTTAGCGAAAATTTCTTGTAAATGGGATGCAAGGAGGAGGGGAAGGTACACATGAGAGGAGGGTATGCCCCTCCTCTACTTCTGCGTTACAGGAGATTGTAAACGTCTTTCATTTTTTCCACTTCAATGCCTTTATGTCTTGGAGAAGAAAAGGAAAATGAGGTTGTGAGTCAGCGCTGTGTTTGTCTTTTGTGTTCCTGTCCTGTGTCTTTTTTTGTGCTCTTTTGTCCTGTTACCAAGACGCCAACTAAAACAAGTGCTACCATCTATGATCAGCGTGGCAAACCACTCGGACGAGCGTAGCTCGTTCATGGAACTGAGGGCTACCGAAAAAACCAGTGGACGAGCTGGGCTTGTCCGTGGCTTTTGTTTAACCAGAAAGCCTCGAAGGCACTTAAGGGGTTAAATGAAACATACTGCTTTGCTTCTTAGCTTGAAGAATACCATGAAAAACTACTTTCTATAATTTTCTAAATAGTATTGTGACAACTTTTTTTGTGCATATTGGTTCTATTTTGTACCTTCTTGTTGAATCATCTGTTGTGACTGCATGCATCTATGTTCTTTTTAATCAATGTTTTCCATAAAACTTCTAGCTTCATCTGGAATATTTCAGCTTCTAGTAATTTATATTTTGTTGGGTATGTTTCTTAGAACTCTCTATCTAAAACAATTGTTAGTTGTGTGCTTCTACGAGTTATTTCACTTTCCGATGTATAAAACTTGTCTCGCAGTTAATTGCCAACTGTACTTTGTTGACTGACAAGATTGTGCATTTATTTGTTGTTATGTAGCATTCTTTGCTGAGCAATGTAAAAGGTTGGTGGGGCCTCATCAGGTACAATTTATTCACCTTTTGCCCCCCACCCATGACTCAAGAGGTCCAAATAAAGATTATTATTATTATTATTATTTATTGTTATTGTCGTGTAAGGTATGACAATTTGGCACAAGGATGAAACTTGAAATCAGTTTGAGAAAATATTTAACTCAGATCTTCTCCTCTGATCTCGAAGTCCTTTTCGCACCGAAGGGAAAAGATGCCACCATGAGCAATGTAACATTTGACTTAAAATAAATGCATGTTTAAGAATAGTTTATACATTCCCGCCCACATTTTCCTATGCCGCTTTGTCAATTAAACCAAACACTCCAATGGCCCAGGGAGCCAGAAGGGTCGTGAAACAACTTTTAGGCTTTCCTAGTCATGTGCAGATTCAGATCTTGATGCCTTGCTTAGACTGTTCATCCTCAAGCGGGAAGTTCAATGGGTGCTATATGCTCGCCGGACCAATCGGCTGCCTCCCTTTTATCACCTGACCCCATTGTCTGCACACGGGTATGGGCGGGAGCGTGATCACGTGGCGAATGATAGATGTTGGCCAGCCTCCACTGTACTGGCAGCTTTGGGAGAAAACAGAGTACACCCTCTACTGAGATGTGTTTGCTTGGTGACGTCTTACTGCCTGGCTCCTCCCACAGGAGTGACGTCACGTCTAGCAACTGCCTCGCAAGAGGCGGTTGCTAGATGCGACGTCACATACGGCGGCGACGACAGATCGCACGCAACCATATCGGCCGCGTTTTATATTTTTGCGTTCTAAAACCTACCTTCCTCTACAGCCTTGCTCTACTTACGCCATCGTGTGATCCACTCCAGTAGATTTGGAACATAGCCATGTTTAATCGGGCATAATAGCAACCACTGATTAATGATAGCAACTCGTCGGAACAGCTGGGCGATTCAGAAGACGTCTACGTGCGGCACACCTTCAAAACTTTGCCACGGCGTCGATTCTTGAGAAATATCCAAGCGTGCGAAGGCACAGACACACAGCACTTAGGGGTGCCATGGAATATGATCACACCGCGACACCAGCAAGACTTGCGTTCGACGAGATGTGCCTTTTTTTTGCAATGCTGCGCTTTCGTAAAATTTTTCATGTGTTCTCAAAGGCAATTCTCACCGTTTACACGAGACTTTAAGAAATGGCTTCGGCGAATGACGACGAACGAGCAGAAAACGTGTTTTCAGCATGCTGCCGCCCAGCCTCCGCAACGCTGCGAAAGGTTGACTTTTCTTGTCCCTAGATGGCCATCCGGTGGCAGCATAGATTAGTGAAATCTAGTCCCGAGCACTGGAAGTGCGCCTGGCACGTTTAGTGGAAGTAGTGACTCGAGTCATGACTCCAAGTTTCTACTTAATGCGCCCAATGCTAACGCATTTCCATCGAATAAATCCCATTTATAGTCGACAATTTTTACTCGAGGATTTTTGACGGGTGTGAAGACCCAGGCTTATTTTTTGACATTTTAAAGATTTTAATATAAAGGGCAACTTCGAGGTGCTAGTATAGACCGTTCCACTAGGAAGAGCGGAGTGAAAAAAAATGCCCTCCCCCTCTCACCCTGTGTGTCGTCTGCTCTGTGGAGTGGGCTGTACCGACTGATCTCTATGGCTGTACCTAACATCCAGCCAGGGGCGGATGTCCTGACCCCCCTCTTGATTTTTTCATGTGTAAAATTTAGAGTGTAAAACAAGGGAGAGGGGGAGGGGGTTCCTAAATATATGGTACGCTGACCAATACCTGACCCCCCCCCCCCCCCCCCCCCTCAGGAAATTCCTGCATCCGCCCCTGCATCCAGCTGACATTCAAACTCGGTTTAAAATCGTGTCATTTTCGAAATTTCAAGCACAGATGCGCGGATTTTGATATGTAAGTTAACATGTAATGCTATGCTCGATAAAAAGACTAACAGAGTCTAATTGCAATGTTACCTGCGTGCAAATAAAAAAAAGGAAAAAACTGTCGGAGTGGCCGGTCGCTCCGGCGAAAAGTAAATCCGGTTTCTGTAGCTATTTTACTACACGAAGTTCGTACTGGTGTAGGCCTTTAGTGACAGTGAGTGGAAGCCCAGAATAATAAATCAAAACGTGCTCTCCTGGTGCAATAGACGCAGTGGATGCACTATTAAAGTAATGGAACGAAGATACGCTAGTTGATCCCATTTACTGAAATAAAACAGAGCGCTAAAGGTTGATTTTGAAGTACCCATAAATATTCTAAAAATGCGAACCACTTCATAACGGCAGCCACGAGCAAGAGTTCGATGTTCGGTACAGCCCGCCGGTACAGCCTAAAGTCACTGGATTTTAAGTACAGCCCAAAGATGGAGAACGGTAACCTCCCGGTTTGTCGTCTGCTAGCAGAGTCGGGCGCGTGCCCGCTCTCGTTTTACCCCGCCGAACCTGCTAAACTTCCCGGATGTGTAGAGAGGGCGCTGCGGTCTAACAAAATGGCAAGTCTCAGTTAAGAAGAAAGTTAAGGCCACAGAAAGAGATCGGTGGCTAGAGGGAATGCAGACAAAGACGGCTTTGGAAAGCTATAGATTAAACAAAAGAGTTATTGCCAAAGAAAGCATTTATGACAATTCTAGGGGAAGCTCATTGCTGTTTGAGGCAAGAACGGGTGTTCTGCGAACCAGAACATACAGAGTGAAGTACCAGGAAATTGATACAGTGTGCACTGCTTGTGGAGAGGAGGACGAGACGGCTGAGCACTTCATACTCTACTGTAAAGGGCTTCACCCTATGCCTACCGAAGACAACATAGATTTAATAAAGTCATTGGGTTTTAGAGACAGCGAAGGGAGAGTGGATTTCAAGACTGTAGAGATTACCAAGCAAAGATTCAGTGAATGGTGGCAGAAATCGAGAGAAAACTAGGTATTTTCTTATTCACTGATGGCAAGAGGGTTTCATAGCCTCGCTTTCTTTGCACTGCGGAGTGAATATAGATTTCACATTTAAATATTCCAAGCTTAAATGGTAAAACAAAGTGGCTAGGAGGCGTAAGCTACCGCCCAATCCAAAGGGCTCAGCCGTATTCATCCATCCATTCATCCATGGCGCCGCCCCGAGAGCGCTAAATTTGCTAAATGGAGTGGTCTATTTATTAGAAAGATCAGTCACAAAAACATCATACACGTTCTTTAATAAATAAACAGTTTTAATTCAAGAACTGATTTTTTCGCTCGATACGCTAAATCGCTTATTAATGGGCCATTTTGGGGGAACACTGGGGACACGCTGTACATCTGACAACACTGAACAAGAGGTCGCATTTTTTCATTTTTTCGAACTTCAAAGCGCCAGAAGTCAAAAGGTCGAGGTCGACGGTTCGCCGAACCAGTGACCCAAAAAACCAAACCGACCAAACTATGCAGTAGTACAAGGGTACAAGCTCCGACAACCGCCACCGCGCAGCCCAGCCCAACAGTAGTTGCATGTCTGACTCCCCCACGCGCTCTGCGTCCGAAGGTCCGAGGCAAGCCCAGTAAGCTCGAAACCGGTTTGCGAGCGGACAATTGCCTTGCGCGAGCCCCACCCCCTACTACGGCGATACTTTCAAGTTTCAACGGTCTCCAAGCCAGCTCCAACCAAGCACCGCGTCTGCTGCATTTCAGGCGAGCACAACGGCACTACCACACAACCGCTTCAGTCCTTCCGATGAGTGCTCCGAGCCGCAGGTCCGCGCCAGACGCGCTTCGGCATCCCGCCTCCTCAAAGTACGCCCCTCGGTACGACCTACGTCGCCGCGTCCTCGTCACGAACCTAATGCGCGGCCACCGCGAAGGCAGCCTCACGTCCATTGTGGACCAGTCGCCCGATCGGCCGGCCAAGCGCTGGGGTTATTCCGAAAGCAAGCGACTGCTTACGTTCCAGCCGGCCCTAACGCGGCGTCGAATCAAGTCCCCGCGCAAGCTGGGCTCGCCCAGGCCCAACGAAACCGCTGCCGAGACTGTCGAAGTCCAACAGCGACGACTGCACAGGAGCGGGTCATACCGGGAAGCGGTCTCGGCTGAAGTGACGGTTTCCGCCGCCCCCGCGGAGGACCTTCCGAAGGCGAAGAAGGCCAGGGTGGAGGTGTCCGCCACTACCGGCCCCTCACAGGCTTCAGCGGTGACGAATCTGAGCCATCCCAACGACGAAACGCACCGCGTCCGGCACGGACAACCTTTTGTTGCACGACCGTGCTTCGAGCAGACGTCAGTGAGGTCTGCTACGAGAGTCTCAACCAGCAAGGCTCACCTTCCCGCTGCTTCGACGCCAGTTCGACGACAGGCAAGGGTCACTGTCCGCCGTTGCGTTCCGGTCACCCATCCGGTGCTTGAAAACATCCCTCCCGCGGCTTGGCAAGTTCCTACGATTGTGCAGTCTAAACAAGCTCTCTTGTCTCAAGACATCCAACCATACAGCAACCAGCTCCATGCTCCATCTAGCCATGTGTTCCGGGGCATCCAGTCGTCACTACAGCCACTGCATTTGAATTCTGTGCCTGAAAGTCCTCAGAAGGTGACTCAAAGCACCCAGACGTCGCCACCGCCAAAGAGCAAAGGTCTTCTAAGACGAAGGTCGTCTCTAAGACGTGCACTTGAGCGTGTTCTTGGAGTCGGCAAGGAAAACGAACAGATGGCAAAGAGAGTGTCGGGGAACGGTTTGTCGAAGGACAATTCGTTGAAACAAAGCAGCCGTGTCAAGAGGAGGCCGTCTTTTGTCGAAGCCTTCTTGTCCAGAAGGAGAAGCTGCGATGCCGGGAGCAGTGATTGCAGCCCTTTGAAACGTCCCGCACAGCGTCGTTCTGCCGGGGTTCCGGGTTTTAGGTCCACAGAGGATTACCCCAAGTCTATGCCCAATCCCGTCGTGAAAATCAGGAGAGCACGTAGCCTTCGCGTACAAAGCTCCACTTTTGATCCTTGGGGCTGAATTGTTACCTTGGTTTAGTTTGACTACATTTGGGAGATTAATAAGCTTTTTATCTTTTCCTTTCACATGTCGTGTTTTGAAACGAGGACCCACCTTGAACTCATTTGTTTGTGCAATTTTAAATATATAATCCTTCTTCTATGGATGACTGACCCTTCATGTTTCTTCGAACCATGTTCAAGCTTTGTTGAACACGTCATATCAACTCTGCGAAATTCATTGATGCTGCGAATCTTAAAAATTGGGTACTTTCCTAAAATCTTCCTTTTTGTGAGAAAAAGAATGTGGTTTTGGATAAAATGCAGTGATCAGTGCACCAATCTGCACAGCAGTGTTATTTATTTTTCACACATTGATGTTAGAAGTTAGAATGCAACTTTTGTTTCGCATAATTTTCATTTCGTATTATTTCCTCTCCTTTTGCATTTATTTGGTTTTTGTACATTGCTGTTAGAAATTGCTGTATACGAGTTTCCTTTTGCATAATTTGCTTTTCCTATATAGATGCCTATTTTGTCAAAGTTGTGTGTATGGGTATTTTGTTTGTTTTGCTTTGTATAATGCTTTTAAAAGTTAAAAGTATTAATTTTTTGTTTATTATTTTATTAGTCAGCACGCATTTCGTTATATAGGCAGCTTGCTTTTGCATCCTTCGTTGGTTATCCTGCTGGCAAATTTGGAACGAGCACCAGACCACATCAAGCTGCCTCGGGCAGCTTTTTGTCTGGTGCTTTGGCATCTGGTTCGAATCGCTAGCGCTACATTTGGGCGGAGAATGAGGGTTCGGTGACGCGTATTGTTTCGTGTTTTTGGTAAGGACCGATAAACCCCGATAAATAACCCCCAAGGTGGTTTTCTCGGAATCAGGGAAACTCAAAAAACCCCGAATGGGGGCTGCGCTTGAATAGGAAAATTTTGAGGTTTGAAACAACAAATTTGACAGGAAAAAGGGCGGAAACCGGGGAAGCTAAAGTGGATAGGTTAAGGCGAGCGTCTTGTGATTCTGATCCTTAAAATAGAATGAAAGCACGCAGGACTTGCACAGACAACCCCACTGCCTTTTTGGAAGAGTGGTTGTCTGTGAAAGTACTTAGTGTTTTTTAATCTTTATTTTCAGTGAAGTGGGAGCGACCTCCTTTCCACAACGGGTTTTCTGTCAGCGCCCTTTTCTCCCTCGCACTGTCTTTCTTATGCTGTATCTGGCTATACAGCGAGCAGGCGTTTCCAAATACGTCTTCGGCGCATCGGAGCCCAAGGAGATGCCGCCGATCAAAGCTCGGCGTAGAGAACGCTCAGGGAACTCGCGGTGACGAGGTAGGCGCGCGCGCGCTGTCATTGTTAAGGTCGGGGGGAGACAAAAGCACATGGGCGCATCTCCAAGGTATAAAAACACACGAGGTGCACAAGAGTAGACGAACCTTTCCTTGGGAACCACAGGCGTAAGTTCACGGTGGAAAAAAAGAGGTCACGGGGGGGCGATGTCTTACCTGGAATTAAAAATCAACACCAAAAAACACCAAATTTGACAAAAATAAACCCAGAAAAGCACCCCGATTTTGAACAAGAATAAATTCCTAAAACACGGAACTCGGTTTCACTCTGAACTTTGAGTTCAGAGTGAAACCGAAACTAACTTTCCATAATAATTTTAAATTGGAGGCTGGTTTTGGTTATACGAATTATGTATCACACCTCTCATACGTATATATTACACAAAACAAATTCATATAAACGATTACGTTAAAGTTTGCAAAGTGGGCGAGATTTCACCGATTTCACTTTCTCTGCAGCTCCCAGTTCCGCTTCCGCATGGACGCCGGGAAAGTATCGCACGGTACCGAAACCGCCGAAACTGCCGCAACCCCAAAGCAGCCCTGTTAACCTGTTGTCCTCCACAGACAAAGCAGATGGTGCAAACCACAGGTGCAAACATTTGTTTATTCGTGTTGTAACGAAACTAAAGCGACCGCCAGAGAAGAAAACGATGCGCACGAATGCCAAGACCGAGGTCTGGTCCGAGCACCTAGTGCTGGTTCCTTACCAAGAGAAGCACGTCGAGAGGTCAGTGCCTCCGAGGGACCGACTGCCCTGCGGCCTGACCTGTCAAACCGTGCTGTCGTTCTCCATGTCCAGGTATCACGAGTGGATGAAGGACCCTCACCTACAGGAGATGACCGCCTCGGAGCCCCTGTCGCTGGCCGACGAGTATGCCATGCAGAAGTCGTGGTTGGAAGACGACGACAGTAATGATTCCTACCCTTGGCGTTTGACTCGCGAGACATTAATCTTTTTCATTTTAGTTTTTACCGCTCTACTAGAGCTTCAGGACGGCGCATTAGTATGTGCGTGGCGTTGACAGATGGTTCTTGAACGTTAAGGGCCGACCTGCAATCGGCAGCAAAAGTTTGCGGGGCACGGGAGCGCCAGTCGAAAAGGCTGGCTGCGCCTTCTGACGCTGCCGCCACTGCAGCTCTCAAAACTCTCGCTTTGCGCATGCGCTTCCTTCCGTGTTCGCAGTCATTTTTTTTTCCAAAAGACTACGAAAACCAAAAATGAAGCGGAGTTGCCCTTTAAAGGGCAACTCCGCTTCATTTTTGTTTTTTAAAATACAAAGTGGTCCTCTTCAGTTTCACCTAGGAAGATTATACATTAAATATTACGACGTAGTTGTGTCTAAATGTTTTTTAAACAGTCTGGCAAACTTTGCAGCTCGCAAATTTGCCAAAGTCTGCTGGCTCGAGCGGGCGAATTGAGGCGCAACCAGAACAACCAACAGCGCCAACAAGGCTACGGCCTGAGCGCAGCCAGCATTGAGCTAAACATCATCACCATTACCCCTTTTTGCTTGTTATTACTTCTCTGAGCAAGCGTAATGGGTCACAGCAACGTTTCTCATGGCACTCAGCGGTGTCCATGTGATTGGCGTAACGTGCCTGTGCAGCATGGTTCTTGGTAGCCATTTGGCCGTGGTCCCACCGCTACTGTCGTCCCCCACGTCACAACGGTCGTCGTCGTCTCACCGTTTGTGATTATTGTCTCTCGGAGTTTCGTTCACACTACGGGCACTACGTGCACAGACTCATGCCGCAGTTGTGCAGACGTCGTCAAATGTCATTGACACCAAAATGTAGTGAAGAGTGCGGTGCAGACAACACTTGCATCTGGCACACGCCCACCCCAGTCCCGCCCGTCGTTGCGTAGAATGACATCTTGTACCACGTGATAGCCATGTCCTTGGCGGCCCGAGGCCAATGTTGCCGAAAGAGCCGAAGTTTTGGTTTTGATTTGTGCTCGTGTTTAAAATTTAATAATATACTATATCCCATTTTTTGCAACGCAAATGACGTAGTGTCTTTTACTAGTGCTTTTTAATGCGAAAACATTTATCCTGAAATCTTCGGAATTGAGCGGAGTTGGATACTTCTGGATATTCAGAAATCGGGAGGAGATACAACTTTGTCAAAAGCCATGGAACTTAAGGCGGTTTAAGTCCAGCAGTTTGATATCTGTTTGAGCACCACCAAGCAAATATGACTTTCCTCCGTTCTTTGGCGACCTCGGTGCTCGTCGGACTGGACGTCACATGCCTCCTGCACAGGGACTTCCCCAGGAATTGGGACTAAGAGGGGGGGGGGGGGGGGGGGGATGTCTGAATTTCCAGGGGTGGGGGGGGGGGGCAATTTTTTTGCCCCCCCCCCTCCCCCTTTTACAAGGAGGCAATTTTTTTCAGTTTTTTCTGCATGTGAACAGAGATGCAAACATGGTGCCCAACAGAGGTTCTGAAACTCTACATTCCACGTGGCAGTTTAAACATTTAATGAAGAATGCATAATTTCCTAAAGAAAGCACAAAGTAAAGCAATGTCAGAAAATATCAGTCACGGTATTGTGAATGGCAATAATGAATATATATTCAACGGACAAACCTCTCCTCTGTTCTCTTTCACGTCAATGGGAGGAGGAGCCAAGTAGCACAAAGGAGAGGCGACTAGACTGCTCGTGCTCCGATGCCACTGTGACATTGGCTCCATATAGGAACCACCTTTGAGCCAGTGCGCTTGAGAAAACAGGTTTCGCACAAAATAAATACTATTTTTTTTTTTTTTTTAACGGATTATATTTTTAGGGGGTGGGTAGGGAAATCACTGCACCTGCCAATGCTGTCCATCTGTTCTTCTGGGCCCTCGTATCCTTGGCCATGTTCCAAAATTTACTCTATCTTACTCCAGGGTAACGGTTTTGTAGCTTTGCGTTCCAAAACCTACCCATGTTCAGCGTCGCTCTGTCTGTGTTATCACGTGACACGACCCGCCGGAGTAACTCGGATGTATTTGGGTAACATTTGGGACACAGCGCTTTCCTTTCTCGTTTTCGGGACCTGAAGAGCAGGAGAGGCCTTGAGCGACTGACCGACAGCAAACAGAGCGTGTGAGTGGCTGTCCGGACCCACGTGATGAGCAAGCTCAAAGTCCCTCTGAAGGGCACGAGCAAACTTTGATGGATAGAACTTTTCTTTCGGCAAAAAAAAACGGACAAAAGCGGAACGCCGCACGACTTATGTCGCAATTGTGTTGCCTCACGATTTCTGAAGTGTCTTGTTTAGACAGGACTTTATCTCGTGCTCGTCAGACAAAAGAGAGTAAAAAAGACCGTACTGCGAGCACGAAAAAAAGCTTTCTCGAATCGTGAGAGCAGTCGTGCGCCGTCACGAGGCGCAACCAGTCATTTCGGCCGGTGCTCCCGCGCCTTGCTAGCTTTTGCTGCCGACTGTACACTTTGCACTTTCCACTTTTAGCCGCCTCCTTTCCTCCACTGTTTACCTTGCCGTATCCCTCCGACACGGCTCCCCTAGCAGTCACATTCAAAGCGCCGAAACTACACAAGGACAATAAGAGTGTATCGAACAAAACGGCGCTATACGTTTCGAGCCTCTTGTAGCATTTCAACTCAACTCAGTTGAGTTGAGAGAGGAATTTGTGTTAATTCGTGCATGGCACACATACTGCCCAATATTTTTCCGAGTGCGGGGGAAATATTTCTGAAAAACTGCACGACGTGAACCGATTTAATATTTTCAGATATGTGGACGACTTTCTACTGCTTAGTAAAACGGCTGGTGTGCCGAGTAATGAAATGGCAGATGTGCTAGGCGAGTTCAGGTCATGCGGCAAAGGCCTCGGGTTTTGCCGCATGTAAACGGGCACATACAGTTTCCAAACCTTCGGTTAAACCTTATGGGAGACCAAATCTGTTGGATATATGAATCATGCTCGAAAAACTTCATTCTGTATGTCCCTGCATGTCCACTGATCCTTGTAACACAAAACACCGCAAAAGGTTCGTAGAATGCGCCACGGTAGTGGTATATGGAATTACCGTGTCGTGCAGAAGGTCTTACGTCGGCCAGACGGGCATATGTTTTATCGATTGCGCACGCGGACATGCGACGGGTAGACTGAATACCTTGCTACACATTGCAGCTGTAATTTGGTGGCATAAAAATTTTGGCTAGGTATTCTGATCAAATGTCTAGGGAGCCATACGAGGCATTTGAAATAAAAGAAATACGCATAGACTGTGTTAGTGACACATCCGCATTATTATCGGTGAAAGAGTATGCTTTGTTGCAAAAGGGGCTGCACCGGTCGTAGGAGTGACTATGTATTTTACCGCAAACATACGAGGGATGGGTCTTCAATAAATGTTAGTTGTGAGTGCCCCATTTTCGTCGCCTTTCTTATTGTCCTCGTGTAGTTTCGGTGCTTTGAACGTGATTGTGAACCAACTAGCCCAAACTGCCATTTTAATCCCTTGGCAGTTTAGGAAAGGGGGACACTAAGAGGATTATTTTTTCAGCTGAAATTCCAGACCGTACAGCGACCTTTAAAGGGGCCCTCGACGATTTTTAACTGGTTTGAAATTTGAAATGAAGCAGACCTCGTCGAACGTAGGAACATGGAGGAAAAGTGTTTTTCTGGACGTTCTAATTATCTCGGGAGTTATTAGCCAATTAAAATTACAAAAAGAAGCAAACCGTTTTTGCTCCGTTACACAGTCTGCAAAGTTCTATGATTGGAGGGTTGGAGTGAAGCGGCTGGCCTATTGGCTGCTGGCAAGGCTTGTGGCTGCCGTGCCAAAGACGTGCGCACCTCATCGCTAAAGCCCCTTACATCGTCGTAAGTTCAGGCTCTGAACGCGATCGGCATTGCCAATGGACCTGGGCGGTTTATACTTCGGTGTCAGCAAACCCAATGCGTGCCAGCATAGAACAATGTGTGTTGTCCACTTTGCCGCTCCTTGTCATAGAATCCAGTGCGGTGGGATCAAAGCAGCAACTCGGGGAAGGAATTCGCACTTCCATAGGTTTGAAAGAAAAAAAGAAAAGCAAATGCTGGGGATAAGTGCAAATAAGTATTTATTTTCAACCAAATCTCACGCAAAATTCGGCGAAAAAAAAGAAGAAAATAGGTTACAATGTTGCGTCTGTTAAAGCATCCGCCAGCCAGCTTTGACGGATTTGATGCCCTTGCATTTTGCAGCGGCCTTTCCCATTCCCTAAATTACGCCATTTACGTGTTCAAAATTGCAGCTCACTCCAAATAAACATTTCGGTCTTCAATTTTGTTTTCGTTGCTCACCGCTTCTACATTTGGCATTTGTTGTTTCGAGCGGGAATGGCTGCTGGCGAGATACGACTAGTGCATGATCGTACATAGCTCATACACTGTGTCGTCCCGAATTCTAATTAAGTCTACCTTTGGTTCGTCATCAAGCTTCAAGCTTTGGCTAACAACCCGTGAATTGCATCCAGCTTGTTAGGCCTACGAAGCTTCTCGAGATAGCGCGCAGAGCCGTCCACGTACAGACTCGCCCAATCGAGCGCACAGATGTTTGGCACACCAATGCACAAACACGGAGGCACCATACTGAACGGCGAGAACAGCACACGACACACGGCAGATTCAAATCGCAGAAATAAGTGTCGCGCACTTGCTCCGATTAAAGGCTGTCCAAAGGGGACACTTCAAGAACGCGTGAAGCGACACTTCACTATGTGAAGTGCGGCGCTCCACTTCCGTTCATTTCTTTTTGCTGGGGAGAAACGTTCCCTCCGCCAAGGTCCGCTCATGTCCTTCACGGAGGCCTATGGCATGCTCATCGTGTGGGTCTGGACTCCACACATTCTGTAGGCAGTCGGTCAATCGCTCAAGGCCTCCACTGCTCTTCCAAGTACCGAAAATGAGAAAGGGAGGATACGAGGGTGCAGCCGCATGGCGGAACAGATGGACAGGCAACGGGCATTGGCAGGTGGCGTGCGACGTCAAGTCTGACGAGCACCAACGTCGCAGAGATTTAGAGGAGGTGATGGTACATGTCCAAACAGAAGACGGACTGCCATACTTCCAACTTTTACTTCATATGGCGGAGAAGTGTCGCCTCTTGCATTCCGAAGTATCCTGTTTGGACACCCCTTTAGACCGACACGCCGATTCCCGATGGGGCGATGCACGCCGGGCAGCGCTCAATCAGCTTAATGCGCTAGCAGTGCTAGTGCGCATGTGCTCTCGCTGGTTCGGCTGGTTCTGCTGCTAGGAGGCAAGCATGTCTTGTTTGTTTTTTTCCCCCTTGTTACTGTACATTTTATTGATATGTTTATTTTTCATCTTTCTCGTTCAATAAAAAAACATGCCGAAGACACTTAAGACTGCTTACGCAGCGTATTCCTACAAGCAGTGCTCCACGTGTTCCTTTTACACATGGTGCTCTATGGTGCTCTGGCGATGACATCACGCTCCCCCACTGTGCAGGCACGACGCCCCCGCCGGCCTCATGGCTTTCGTGATGAAGCATTTGTGTTGCAGTGCTTTTCTGTGTGTTTTATTTCTGAGGCACGTCCACCTTGACCTTGAGCGGCACGTGCTTGATGACATATTTTTATGGCCATCTTTCGGGCACAACGCCGACGCTGCCTTTTCGCATAATGGGACATATAAGGCTTTCGCCTTAAAATGCTTTCTTAAAAGAATAATGATGGTTTACAGAGAAATACACATTATTTACCAGCATAAAAAAATATTCTGACAGCTCTTGCTAATTGCCAATCACAAAATGCTTACCGGTGACGACACCGGTCGCACATTTTTAACACGTGTCGCCATCGGACGTTGAACTGTTTTTGCCCAGTCAAATTAAAATATGATGCGCAAATATTTTGTGGCTACTACTTGTTTCCCAAGATGCCCAAACCACTTGTGAGGTAATATAAATAGGTCAGAGGCTCAAATGTCATTAGAGGGCCCCTTTAAGTAGAGCCATCAGGTGGAAGAAAAACATGGAACTTTTACTAGTCGTGTATGTGTAAAGCATTTATGGAAAACCGACTTTTATTCCTGCAGTTAGTCTGGTGATGAGCTGGCATTCCACAGACGCATATGAGGCAACAAAATCTGTCCCCGTCCACACTTGAAATGCTGGTGGAGCTATTGATTATCAAATCCACATTAGTGCTCACGCAATGATTGGGTCCCATATATAAGCCGCATTCAAATATCCTCAGTGAGGGGACTATGGCAACACTGCGACCTCCGAGCTACTTATAAAATTTTGGGGGGGACAGGTTGAACAAAAAAGCTTGCCGTTATCCTTACGTGCGAGTATATTGGGTTCCATTAGTGGCGGTCTCATGTAAAGTGAAAAACATTCCAACTAAATATCATTGCACTTCCCCATTAAACTATGGTTGCAGTTTAGCTGTAGTGCAGGGCCAGCTTGCTAGAAAGAGCGTCTTAGTTAAGACTGAAAGAAAACCTGCCAAGTTCGGGGCATGCGAGCACTTGAGATTTAATGTCACGTGCCACTCCTCTTATGTGCTAGCTTTGGCTGGGCTTTCTTTCTCACAGTCTGAGCTAAGATTGTTTCTGGTAATCTGGCAATGGTACTTATTTTACAAAAGGCTCGTTCACTTAATAGTGATAGCACAATAAAGAAAGTTACAATTGGTCTTTTTTTTGTGTGAGTTGTGTACTATTCTGTGCTTAAACTATAACAACAACAACATAGACTTTAGCTCAATGAAATATATTTTTTGTGTTATCTCGAAGGCTGTCAAAAAAAAAAAGCCAGATGCGTTTGTTCCGACCTGCCTTCAGCGCTTTTATTATGCACTGAGCGTCGGGACTTGTTTCTTGCAGAGTGCACATTCATTGTCCTCGACAGAAAGCAGTACGAGGAGTCCAGTGACGAAGTAGGTAGGCGAATTTATCCCCTCTAGGTATGGCATTAATTTCAGTTGGATGGCTTTCATGCCCGCCAAATGACAGCTGTGTGATCAAACGATGTTTGGGATGACAGAGAAATGTCGAGGACTGGGCCAGTTGGTACTGATTTATAAATAAAAACGGAGCGCACAAAAACATGGACACAAGAGCCACAAGTACAGCAGACGAGTGCTCACTCTCAACTGAAGGTTTATTTTCACAAACCGTGAACAGGAAGCATTGCACCCAGTCCGCTCATGCGCAACCTAAATCCCCTTGTCTCTCATTAAAAAGCAGAAAGCCACTACCGTCAATTTATTGCACATCATTGTGGTGCTTTTTCCCGAAACACTGTGTGTTTGACAATGGGAGTGTTCTGCTCCTTGGTAAGAGAGAAAGGGATTTGGGTTTCACAAGTGGACTAGGTGCGATGCTTTCTGTTCATGGTTTGTGAAAAGAAACCTTCAGTTGTGAGCGAGTGCTTGTCTGTTGTACTTGTCTTTCTAGTGTCTGTTTTTAAATAGGACGACACTTTTAATGATGAAAGCATTAAAGTTAGCAGTTCATGCTTGGCTACAGCAACCTCTCGCAAACTGACTTAAATTTTGCGTTGGTATGTAGGCTCCACGAGATAAGATTTGTTGACGCTTGAACTGAAGCACTGACTAAAAGGAAGCGAGTTTGCTTTTATATATGATTGCATGCTAAAACAAACTATATTTGCTAAGTTACGGGTTTTATTTGAGCTAGTTGGTACGTACTGTTGGCAATCGGGTCAGCTAAACACGAGAAAAGTACTGGACAAACACACTGATGTTTGACCTTGTGAACAAACACTGCACAAACAGTGGTGTGTTTCTCCAGCCCTTTTCTCCGTGTTCTCGTTTTTTCGTGTTCAGCTGATCCGATTGCCAACAGTATACCTGCTACACTGTCCTCTAAAAAGACAATAACTCTGATCATTTGTAAAACAACGCCTCCTATTGTGGCAATCCAGGAGCGATGATCGGCGATGTCAACCTGTTCTTCAACAATCAAGACAACAATCGTGAGGCTGAGCTGGAAGTCATGATTGCGGGTTAGTGCATACTTTTTCCTTATCTCTGTCGTGAATCATCGCGTCGCTGGACTAGCTTGGCCACATGGTGGCATTGTTTTAGCATAAAATGCACAATATGCAACAGTGCATTGAAAAAGCAAAGTGTAGTTTGTCCATGTAAAAGTGGCTGCTCACATTGGATTTTCCTAGAACAAAAAAGGGTCCCTATCATTTCGTTGAAACTTGTTTCGTGGAATTACGTTTCGTAGACAACTTTTCAGGGACACGTTTCGTCGACATGATTGTTTCGTCGACACTCGTTACGCGACTTGCACGTTGTAGGGACATTTTCTCACGCGTGTATCACTGGGGTGCGCGTTTGCCCACCCCTGCCTCCATTCACGCCGCTTCGCGGCAACAGTCTGCAGCGGCTCATTACAAAAATGTTAACAGACCTGACGGACCTGTACACGCCGCTTCGCGGCGACAGTCTCGTGCAGCTTGTCACAGAAAAAGCTGAGCTGAGCTGTCGATGAAACAATCTGTCGATGAAACATTGCGTGTTGATGAAAAGATCTGGCAATGAAAGGTTGTTCGATAAACTGATTGCCACCGAACAAAAAGCCGAAGCAAAAAAACATTCTTTTACGGCGGCAGCTGTTGGCACCCCTTTCCGGCGGTACACAAGACCCCACGAGATTGTGGGTTGTGCGCAGGCACAACGCTGCCGCGATACGATTCCCTCAATCGCCATTGCCCCTTGTACAACCACGTCATTATGGCAAGATGCACCATCGCTCCCTCCCTCTTAACCCTCTTGTCGCCGCCCACACTGCAGCAGCCCCAGAACCGCTTAGGGTCTTTTAAAAAACTATCCAGTGTGTCAAAAACAAATAAAAAATACAGCCTTCGGTGGCATTTACTCAATTCTCCCCCAAACCTCACTGAGACATGGCCAGACCATGCAGGGTTCGCTCTCCCTCCAAGGAGTAGGGATGGTTAGTGCACCTCACTGGGCAGAGTAGACGGAGGGCTGCAGCAGCATAAAAACAACAAAGGGTGCAGGACCTCAACTACGACACATAAGAGACCGCGCGTAGGCGCCTTTCACACATCCCTTGAAGCATATCTCCAACAGCTCTTCTACTAAAAGCGAAGTCCCTAAAGCAAATACCATATTTTCTGGTGTATAAAATGTACCTGTGTATAAAATGCACCACCGAAAATTTTTGAAAAAAAGTGTGTCTTATACATCGGAAAATACGGTATGTATTATTTAAACTGTGTGTCTGAATAAAAGAAAAAAAAAAATCACATTTGCTAAAAGCAAATTTTGTAAAGCACATCTTTCAACGTCTCAACAGTTGTCGCTGTCAATTGCAACACACTTTTTGAGGTAGTCTGCAATTCATGCCAGTGACAACTCCATTGTTTTTACGAGTTGTAGCGTACACATTGTCAATGAAATTGCCTTTTTATTTCTCAAGCGCTTCAGCTTCTTGACTTTGTGCACGTATGCGTTGTACAAAAGTATGCCACAGGATGCAATCGGCACAAACATGACGTGAACTCTTTTTTGCAATTCATTCAGACAGGGTATTGACAAGCATCGGATTCTCAGTTTAGGTTGACATCCTGAAGTTGCACTTTCACACAATAGTAGTAGCTACATCGGCTCTCAAAGAAGATAAATATGGCAGTCAGTTGTTTACATTAACTGTGTTGCACTATGTACTTTTTGTTCCGAATTCTAGAATTTGCGTCATTCGTGTACCCACGTGGCCTGGATAAAAAATGTGTTTGGAAACTGGAAAAAAAAGAGGGGGGGGGGGGGGGGGGGGGGGGGGAACGGTGCTTTTGAGCAGCCATTGCAGGAAAGCTCACGTGGTGGCTTTGAATCGCAGAACCTTCGAATCGCGGGAAAGGCAGAGGAAAAGAGGTCCTCCGTTTGATGATGCGATACGGTATGTTGGACATTTCCGTCGACTCTACGCTCCGCTTTACCTCACAATGAACCGCACTGGACTTGACGAGCCATCCCTGCCCATATGGTGCTGCGAATGCATCGCATGGATATGCACGTTGCTGTGTCCCTCCTGAAAGTGACGTGACATTTGCGCGGCCTTGGATTGGCTTTGATGGCTCGTAGCATCCTTCGAGGTCCATGTGCAGACGTCGTCACGGCAGGTCACTAAACAACGCCAACCTTTGCAGGAATTGAAGTGCTTTGTGTGGGGCTCTTCACAGCCAAGATCAAGCTAAGTAACACAGTCAGTCGGAAGCTCTTTGAGAGTCAAGGCTTTATTCTGGTAAGGCAGACATCTCCTGGTACTTTTTTTTTTCTTCTTTTTTTTTTTTTTTTAGAGTGCCAGGACTAGGATGCATAGAAAAGCCTACTGTAGATGCATGGCACACTAAGTAAAACGAGCGAGTGATTCGAGAGAGAGATGGGGGTGCCGTCTTGGCTACCCTAGAACAGTCTGGCCGTTTTCTGGTGATATGGTTCTGCACGAAGAGTGCTATGCACCCGCGTAATAAAAATGTCTCTAGGACAGCATTTGCTCCAACCTGCACATAGATTCTCTCGGACGCTTTTTGAGTATGTTGCGTACAGTTAGGTGTAGTATGAACTTGCAAGCTACTATAATAGGGAGTCTGGGACGTCTCGTATCCGTACATTGTCGTACAATTGCTAAACATTTGAGTTTCAACTTGGTGAGTTAAAAAATATCGAGTGTGTATCTTGGTGGTCACATTCATGTGGCTAAGCTTTTAAGCATGACGCTTGCCTTTTGAACGAGGTTTTAAACGGCGCCGAATGGGTAGTCTGAAAACGGTGGGGTGTTTGCGCGATGAAAGCGGACACCAAGACGAACCATTGAAACATCCTTTTGAGAAAAATCTTGGCTCACTGCGTCGGACCGGCTTTTTAGATCGACCTTCGGCATCGTGATTGGTTTGTGATGTAGCAGTTGTCTGTCTTTATTAGTCTTTTTCTACTTCCTGTCGCAGACCTCTACGAGCAGCATATTCCAAGAAGCAACATACTCCCTCGAAGTGGACGAACAGTTTCAAGCCAGACTCCGCGACTCCACTCCAGCTTACAATCTCAAGTTGCGGCACTGACCCGTCTGAGCTGGTCTTTCCTGACTTTCCATTCTTCGAGCGTCGCAAAATCTTCGCAACACGGTGCAGGACACCGTGACAGTGTGGGCTGCTGTTCTAGTCCCCGGGGAACCACCACGTGGACTGCCGTCATTGCGACCGAACCCGTAATAAATGCCCGCCGCGTCGAGCGTTGCTTCTCAGAGTTCTCGGAGTTGCGCTTTTGAATTTGCGCAGATGGTGCTGGAGGCTTCCACCCGGTGCCCCGCCTGAAGGTGTGTTCCTTTGTGGCTTCCAGACGGCTGCACAGATTCGTGCAATAATGTCTATCCTCATGTCGTTTTAACGCTTTCTTCTTTCACTGTACCACTACGAGGGGGTGATGAGAAGCAACCGGAATGTATCTCCCATTGATGTCGGCCCAACTTGGGGCCGACCTAAAATCTGAGAGTTGGTCACCTGACCTTGAGGATATGCAGCGAGGAGGAAAGCGAGGGCCGCTTTCTCACCAGGGTTGCAGCCACTGCAAGTCAAGAGAGCCGACACGGCCACGGGTCAGTACGCCGAAACGTTCGGAAGAAGGACGAGACGGACATCATGACAGCTTGCAGCGTTAGTGTAGTGGCCGTGCGACGTCACATGCGGGACTTCAGGAAGTGCCGGACGCGTCGGAACGTGCAACCCAGCGTGCCATGCTTGCGTGTGTTGCCGTTGGGAAAACCAGGGACAGTGCACTTGGGGGAGGGGGGGAAGTGTCAAGCCACCACCAGGGTTGAACAGAGGTTGGAGGAGGGAGAGGGGTTAGACCTACCAAACACTTTGGGGGTTTCTTACATTTCCAACGATGCTTTTGCATGGCCTAAATGTATGATATCATCTCTTGCCAACTTCTAGGTACACTATCTTGGTGCAACATGAGAATTTATGCCTATAAATGTAAGTGAAACAAAGAGCTTTGTTATAAATCCGGTTAGGCCAAAGTGGTTTGTGATCGATACAATGTAGTCATATCCAACCAAGAGCCAGCATTGCTCTGGCAAAAGACGGCACATTAAACCAATCTTCTAGCTAGCTATATGAAGGAATTTAGAGAGGGTAGGTTGACTGGTTCCAGCTACATGCAGTTACAAAACTCTGACTGAGAAAGAACAAAAAGCACATGTGAGCATTTACCCTTACTGGTATCTCTTTTGAATCCAGTGAGTTTCAAACAAGTGGAGTACAGTTGAGCCTCTCTGCAGCAAAGTCCATATACAAAAGGTATTTACTATATCTGCGTTTTAACCACATTGGGGCATCAAATGTCTGTAGCACTGGCATTGAAGGCTGACTAGAACTTGGCGCTTCTGATATTTTTTATCATCTGAAGCTTCGGATAGGCCAGTCGCGAGCGTTGGCAGCTGATGCCGCCCCTTCTCTTGAATAGACGATACCTACCAACCCTATTATGTTTGCATTTTCATTACACAGTACCACATTTCTATTAGAAAAATAAGTTTCTTTCTTATTTCCTCAACACTGGTATTTTTAATCTGCCACTATCTCAAATGCTTGGACTGCCATGACTGCGAGCCTACCTTTATTTTATCCATATGCCCCAAGGAGCCTAGAAATCCGAGATATGCTGGCAATACAAAACGTGCGTTCAAAGCAAAGCTTCCGGCAAGACCAACATGTAAGGCGTTTCCAAATGCTATTTGGGCGTCAAAAAATTTTTTTTTTTTATAAATAAACAAAAATAAAGTGAGTGCAATGAAACTTTCTCCAAATGTGCCTTTAGGTGGTGTATTTACCATACTAAAGTTTCATAAGCCTATAGGTTTCAGGAAAAAACTGCAAGCCTAAAAATTCATGTCTTTTTTTTTTTATGCAGAGCGAGGAAACCGGTAAGAACCGTCTGGTTGATGCAGTTACTCGCAGATGGCACAACATAAAGCAAAAACTTGTAAGCTTTTTTAAGATAAACAGCTGAAAGTTGATCCTGCAGATCCGAGCGTGTGTCTCTGCTGCCACCTATGAGCAGCGGCGTCGACTAGATGGTTGGTTTCCTTTCAGTGCATAGGGAAAAAACTGGATTTTTTAGGCCTAAAATTTTTTCTGAAGCCCACACTTATGAAATTTAAATATGGTAAATGCATCACCTAAAGACAGCTTCGTGAAAAGTTTCGATGTGCCTCATTCACTGGTTTATTTATACAAAGTTTGTTTATGCCCGAAAAGTACTCAAAACCACTCTGTAGACGGGAGGAAGAGCAAGAACATTGTGCAATGTGTTTGGCTGATGGCAAGAGCTTCCAACTCGAATGTAGGGGCACCCCTTCGAGGTTGCCCGAACAAGTGGACCCCCTGCAACCTTCAGAAGGACTTCGCCTCCCAGTGAACACGTTTCACGATGCCTCGCTAAACCTCTCTTACTCTTCCTCCCATCCACGTCAATCTCTCCTAAAGTCTGACTTTCAAGAGATTTTTTTATATCGAGGCAGGGCATGGTGCACCATCAATTTTTAGATTTCTAGAGTGTTTGGAGAACATACATCAATTTAGATACATAAAAACATGGAGTAAATAATTTCCAATGAACCTTTAACTAAGCAGAGTTGCCGTAAGCTCCCAATGCTGCTTGGGTCTTTAATGTAGATATAGTAAAAAGAAAAATATACTATATTGTAGCTAACTCACTTTACAATAGATGGGCATCTGGCCTGAGTGGAGCCTGTCCAGCTTCACTCATGTATGTAACAATTATTCCCGCCACTCACAATCGTGGACTGGAATGGTTTTCCAGAGTTGGTTCTTTCACTTACCGACCCTGTGGTTTTTAAAAAAAAATACAATTCTGTTGCACTTTGTTACATACAATCCGAGTTCTGTTTTGTGTTGTTTCCTGCATTCCAGTTTTCTTTTGTTTTTTTTTACAGCATGCACATTATTTTTTATTTGTTCCATTTGGTTTGTAAAATTTATGGCACTGCCCCTTATGTAACATCCTCAAAAGAGGACCCCCGAGATAAATGAGATGAAACGGATGGGCTCTAATGTCGTGTCTTCGTTTCTTAGACCACACCGTTTCTGTCATTAAAGATGGCGAGAGGAAACCCCAAAAGTGTTTGGCGACTCGGATGGAACAATCCCGCCACCTGGAAAGGGCAGAGGGGACAACGAGTGGCGGCGCATGCAGCCGAGCCAGGTTGTCCTCAGAGTCCGAGCCTGGCCTTACTGTTGCTGTCCTGGGGGCTGAGGGGCCTCTCCATGACCTTGGCAAGGAGATCAATCCACTCTGAGCGGTCCCGCTCGTTTTCGGCGCCCATGACGAACTTGCGGTATGGGGTGCTGACCGTGAAGGCAAAGGCCATCTCCTTGAAACCCGTCGGTGCCCCCATCACCACCGTGTAGCCTTCCCCTCGGTGGCCCAGGAAAATTTCACCCTTGGGGTAGGCGTCCTGCGAGGCAGAAGAAACCTTGGCCCTACGCTGCAAGAATGCTCACGTACCGACTTCCCTGTAGAACACTACTGCGATTTTCACCACCTGTTTTGGAACACCTAGTACTTTCACGGCTTCGTCTTTAGACCATCAGGTGCCGCAAATATCCGATGTGCTCGAGAAGGCTGGCAAGCGAACCTGCCACTGCAGATTTCTGTTCCAGCCACCAGGTGCCATCAATTTCGCCGGAGGGGCCAATAGGCCATTCCTCTTCGGTGATCGAAAGGAGAGGGAGAAATGGAGCCACGACATTTAGGCAGTTTGGGAGGTGCAGTTCGGGGGAACTGCCCATACATTGAAAGCAGCCTGTTTGTCGTCTGCTATCTGGTTCGGGCATGTGCCCTTTGGGATTTGCGCGTGCACTTTCCCTCCTTTACCCTGCCGAATTCACTGAAAGTAGCAGATTCGTCGTCTGCTATCAGGATTGGGTGCGTGCCTTTCCCCTCTTTTACCCCTCAAAACCCATTGAGATGCGCAGATGACGCTGTAGTCTAACAAAATGGAACCACCCAGAGAGCCTTTAGTGTAGTGGTCCCTATACTCCGTTTCAAACATAGCGTGCAACGTAGTCAAAGCTAGCGCGCCGGTTTGCACAGCCGACCGCGACTACGTTCGCTCCACAAAATAGTGCGGCCCCTGAAAAAAAACAAAAAGTCGAAAAGTGTACATCTTTGTAGCTAGTAACTAATAGTGGCGTTATGATTTCGAGGGAACACCGATTCTTTTTCAATAAAAAGGAAAAGATAATGTAAACCACTCCAAATTATTTTCCGTTTTCGTTCGTGCGGCACTCGCACTCGCTTCGGGTTTTCGGGTTGTGCGGCTGCCCCTGCCTCGCCGGTTTCGTGAAGATGGCGTCTTACGCGGGACGCTTTCTTTTTCTGCTCGGATATTTTCGAAGATTCGTTGTGTGAAGATCTCGCAAAAGTGCAAGCAGGTGATCGCCAACGTGTACGCGAGTTCAAGAACGTGTTTCCCGGAGACGTCGGTCCGTGAGGTCCTGGAGACGGTCAGTAACGACACCGGAGTGTCTGGCAAGGTGGCGTCCCCGAAGCGAAGACCTCGCAACGTGAAAGTTCCGAGCACGCTGACAGTATTGTGAACTGCCACCTGTTGTTTCTGGTGTTGAAATCGGCCTTATGGCTTCAAAGTGAAACAAGCGTCAAGAAGGAACTGTGTCGGTGATGAATCGTGCCTACGGCTCCGTCTGCTTGGGGGACCTTACAGCAGGTGGTGCCCGTGATTGCATTCCGAAGCGTCTGGGTTCTTCTGCCTGCGGGACCGTAACCATGGTCGGCTCCGTCTGCCTGAGGCACCTTAACCTTGGTCGGCTAAGTAAACGACGCTCATGCCCGTGTCTGTATTCCGAGGCCCCTGCTTTCCTCGAAAAGGAAACAACACTCGATCCTGATCTCGAGTGCCGTGTGTTGTGTACGCGTCTATTGTGAATCACTCCCGGTTCATGGGGGCGCCGGCACCAGAGCACCGAGATACTGCCGTCTGGATGACTTCTTCCATACACCGGCGAGTATTCTGACTCTGAAGGAAACTTCCATGAAGTCACATCACGTGAGGGAATGCCAAGCCGTCTGAACAATGGCAGTGCGGTCCCCTAATCACAATATTCGTTATACAAAGGACCGTCCACCACACTCTCAAGGTACTCTCTGATTTTCCCGCTACCATGTAAATAAACGGCTTTAAATAGAGACGCCCTGGATCTCGACCGTTCTTCCGTTTTGACGAGGCCGGCGCAAGTTCGAGCGGAACACCAGCCGCTAGTCTACCTTCTTATAAATAAAATCAACAAGAAAAGAGGAATTGAAATATGCACTTCCGCAATACGCACAATCTTGCACAAAAAATCAATCGAGAAAAAAAAAAAAAAAAAAAAAATTTTGCGCCCTAAGGGGATTCGAACCACCGCCACCGAGATGTCGGCATCGCAAGAGCAGCGCCTTGTACCGCTCGTCCACGAAATCTCGCGGAGTAACACAATTTTGTGTGTTTTTTCATGCGCACTACTTCAGTAGCTTTCCCAGCGTTGCACGCGATGTTTGAAACGGAGTATAGTCATTGACAGGGTGAGGAGGTCCTTGAAGCGCCATCTAGATGCTTCAGAACTGGTGTAACTGTAGTCGCCACAGCAGCCATCCCCCCAAAAAGCGCTGGTGAGCCCAACGACGGGAGATGGACCATGGGGGAGATGGGGTGCTGCTCGTCTGTGGACGGTTCCGTAAAAGCTGGCTCGCACACTTGCGACTGCTTACAACCATGTGCCTTAACTCTTTCCTGACCACGGGAAAAGTAGCAATTTTCAAAGGATCGATGCAACCACTTTTATTTTCCTAACTGATTTACATATGGGGCCATATGATACATCAAAATGTGGCCAATTAGTTGTTCTTTCAAAAGAAACAAAAATTAGTATAATGTAAAAAAAAAAAAATTTTTAATTTTATTTTTTGAAAATACAATGTTCGCACAGAAGGCATATAAACGCCAAAACTTGTACTGTCGTGAGCAAAAGTCTGGGCAACACGGGAGCGCCGACCGAATTGCATCGCCGCGCTCCCTGACGGCGCGGCGCCTGGTGCCGAGACCCGCGGAATGCGCACGCATGTCCTTTCTTATCTGCTGGCCCACTCGCCCGCTTGCATCAACGCAATGCGCTCCTGAGCGATTAAATGAGCTCTAGGTGCCGCCCCGGGAACCAAGATTCCGAGAGCCTCGCTCACCGCTCTGGACGAGATTGTGTGCTCCGCGGCACGCGCCGTTCGCGCATATCTTTCCCGCGACTTGGTGACGCGTTAAAAACTGTCGCTTATGTTGATGCAGCCGCAATGAATCGTAGAACTTGTATTCGCGTACTCGATGCAGCCTTGGGCTTCCTTCTGAATGATCATGCACGCGCGGTAAAGTGGTGAATGACGAGCAAAAAGAAAACGCCAAATAGAAAAATATTTATTCAACCCCCTCCCAAGAAAAAACAAGAAACAAAACGGAAGGAAAAAGAGGCGCTGGTTCAGTTTGGGTGGCTAATACTTTGTCATGTTTTCGTTAGCCTGAATCACTTCTGCCACACGGCATGACATAGAATCATAAAGTGAGGCCACCAACTCTGGCTGTTTTTGGAGGGAAGCAACAGTTTTTAACATGTCGCCGAGTCGCGGGAAAGATATGCGCAGACGGCGCGTGCCGCGGAGCACGCGAGCTGGTCCAGAGCGGTGAGCGAGGCTCTCGAAATCTTGGTTCCTGGAGCGGCACCTAGAGCCCATTTAATCGCTCAGGAGGGCATCGCGTTGAAGCGAGTGAACGAGTGGGCCAGCAGATAAGAAAGGACGCGCGTGCGCATTGTGCGGGTCTCGGCACCAGGCGCCGCGCCGTCAGGGAGTGCGGCGATGCAATTCGGTCGGCGCTCCCGTGTTGTCCAGACTTTTGCTCACGACAATACAGCTATGTCAAGTTAAACGACAAATAAAAGAAAAATCAGAATATACAAAATGTGCCCCACGCACTTGTGAAAGTTAGTGCACCCTAACTGACGTCCATTTTGGTTCATTGGAGAGTTAGCTTCCGTAATGTGTGCTTTTCAATGAAGGAATGCTTACATTGGTGAAACACACAATACACCTCACATGCCCAGCAGAATGCTTTCTTTGCGTTCTACCTTGGTTTTGTCATAGCCTCGATTGCAGTTCCTTCATACATTTAGCATTTTTGTCTGCCTTGTTGGGAACGTAAAATGTGCACGCCAGCTTGGGACAGCATTGGAAGCCATAGTGATGCTTACCGACAACCATCTGTTAAGCGACGCCTATAACATCATCTTAAGTGTCCCCAGAGCTCTTGAGGTCTAAAAAATATGCCACGATATAGCTGAAATATGTAAATAATGCCATCTTTGTTACGAAGACTGATGCAAGCAGTTAGTCGTGTTATACAAGTGATACCACCACTCCCAGGACTATTTTCGAGAGCCCACCAGCCTGCGATAAAGCTCAAACCTACGTTGAAACAAAGCTAGTCCTTAGGCTATCCACCGGAGTAATTGTTCGACGGCGCTTGGAAACCGTCGATCACCGGTGATCGACGACCTATGGGCACAGTCGGGAAAGAGTTAATACCTCTCACAATCTCCTACAATGAGGGAACACACTGCCACCATTTATCGGGTAGCCATGGAGGCATTTCTGTACATATTTAATTTTTTCACTCGTTATTCTATTTTCGTTGGCTCGAAAAACTCTTGACAATGTTATAAACAACCATTTCTCATACGTAGTACATACATTTGATCTCGAAAAAACCACAAAGCATTCGCTTCAGTGAAATGCAGTTCCAGGGTCCCCTCAGAATGGCACCAGCATGGCAGTGTCTTTTCTCGTCGAAAGAGATTACCATTGAACTTGGTCATAAGGAAATGCAAGCGTGTGAAAGGGCTGAGTTGATTTCATAATGGCCACGATTGTACACTTGTAATGTGGGCCTGACTCGCATACATACCAGGGGGTCCTCGTGGTACATCCACTTGCGGTCATCCAGCGTGAACCACCTACGCCGGTGTTGGTCCACTGGCCGGGGCCCGGACTTCCAGAGCCAGCCCTCCTTGAGGAAGTCCCTGGTCAGGTGCTGGGCCAGCTGCGACTCCCTGGCCCCCGGGAAGGCCACCTGCAGGTGCTGCAGCTTGGCACACCGCAGGGCGTTGTACCAGTCCACTATCGTCTGCGGACAGAGTTCAGACAAAATTTGGCAGCAACCTTTATCTCCAAAGTGCCATAGAGCGTGAAACGCATGTGTGGCTGGAAGACCAACCAGGTCATGACGAAAAACTTCCAGATGGACACATGTTTTACTTGAGAACACGTCTTACGTACAGGCATCATTACTAGCGCCACACAAGGGGGTTGCAGTCAAGACGGTGATTGAAACTACAACATAACAATGCAGTCATTTAAGAAGAGATTGTTTAAATTTGTCTAAAAGACATTAAATGGTCGATTTAGGGATGGAAGAACCTATATTTTTTATCAATCTCCCCGCTAAATTCAGCAAAGAAACTGACTTGGTGCAAAGATCTTGCGACATCAATTTCCCCACCAAATTTAGCGGCGAAACAACTGGTGTATGGGTCATGTGACGTCAGGTCCCATGACATAAATTTTCCCGTTAAATTTAGCAGAGAAATAGATAATCGTGAAATGTATAGCGCCATCTAATAGCACACCGGGAACTATGTTCGCCATCTTGGTGGCAGCGAGAAAACAAAACCAGTGACCGGACCGGCGAAGAACCCATGTAAAGAAGCGTCGATGCTTCGTGCGAGAGGTGCGATGACAATGCGTTGCCGTGTCCTGCTGTGTAAGCAGCGAGGAACCCTCAATTTCTATGGGAACAAGGTAAATACTTGAACAAGGTTCACATTTATTTGCCTTTTTATTTCTTACTTTTCACGCTGCTTTTGACAAAAACAATCGGCAACAATGCGAAGAATCATGAGAATGTTCTTGCACGGCGCGAACCCATTTACAACTATTGAACTGGGCCCTAATCTTTTCACTGAGTTTTACCGGATTTGTTTATGAATTTATATTTATTTCTCGTGCATGATGTAGTGTCGGCCTGCTTTCTCTTGATGCGAAACCAGTTCAATGCATGTGGGTGAGACAGAACTAGCGAAGGCGAAGCAAAAAAGATAATACAGCTTTAGAAATCTATGCCACCACCCATTATACGAGACTCGCGTGGTTCACAGTGTACTTCCATGAACGGAAGTACACTCACTGGCGGATCCAGGGGTGGGGCCCAGGGGGCCCGGGCCCCCCCCGAGAGATATCATCCCCCCCGCCCCCAATGCTGCGCGGACTGCGCAGGCCAGAACCTGGCTCGAAACTTTGAAGGATTCAGAACGTTTGTATCCGAGTACCGGCAATTCGAAATGTCGTTTCCTGTGACTTGCCAGTTAATTAAAGTGATAAGCTGAGGCCCTGAGCGTCAAAGCGCACCGGCGCACCTACACCCTCGTGACAACGCGGAGTAGAGAAAAAGAAAAGCAACGAGCCTGTTTTAATTTGACAATGGGCTTTTGAGAGCGCCCTTCTGTCACGAATTTCAGTATTTGTTTGTTGCTTTATTTTGGTTGTGTCTCTGATCAGCGCGCGGTTTTCTTTCTCACTAAAACCCCCATATGGAACTCTTTGGAATCCATCCCTGTCGATTCCCGCTTCCACTTATCGAATTATCTTTGGAGGTGCCCGCGTCTCTGCCGCTAGGACAAGGCCGCCGGGCAGCTCATTGCCTCCTTCCTGAAAGGGAGAAACTGTAGACATCCGTTTCTGTCAAGGCCAGTCGCCGGGAGTTTTTATTTTTATATTTTGCTCGGGTAGCTTGGTGCGAGTAGGAAATAATTTCCCCCGACCTCGATCTCGGAGACCCTGGTAGGTGGCGGGAGAAGGGCGGACCCCTGGAAGGGCCGGTCAGGTTGGCTGGTCGCTGCTCCCGTCATCTGTTCCCGTGAGTCGTACGGGCTTCGGTTTTTCCCTTTTCGGGGAGTGAGTGTGTGTGCGGGGCTGCGTTGCGTCGACTGCCGAGCACCCAGTCCACCACACCGGAAACGTCAAGCCTTCGTCGTTCGTCGGACCCAAGACGTCGGTGAGTCTTCGGACTTCGTTTGAACCACGGTTGAACTTTCCCCTGGACTTTGGGTTCACCAGTGGAGCTTTTCCTTCCTCGGAACTTTCGTTTTCTATGCGTAAGTGAACGTTGTTCCAGGCTGCATTTGTGCCGCGAGCAGCGAGTTGTTTCGCGTTGTATCAGGAATTGAATGCTGTTTTGTTCTTCGGGGCCTGCCGCCCGAAGTTTCGTCAATGTGTTGTGGGTGTAACGCGTGTTGCGTTTGGTTGAGATTTTCGTGCGCAGTCGTGCGCAGCTTTTTATCGCTTCTTATTAAATTTCTTGTTCTTTCGTTCTTTTATCCCTGCGTGTCGTCGCCTTTCTCTACTTTACACCGGGCGTGGACCTATCGCTTGCCACCGGTCAGAGCCGGACGGAGATGGCCGGACCCGGATGAGACCTTTCCTCCTTTCACCATATTATTCGCGATGCGCCAGCACATGGTCACGCGCTCGCCGATGGCTCTAGGGAGACAGCTTCAGCGGCACCCTGCGCGACCCCCATTGATGTCACAGCGCACATGACTCGGGAAGATGGTGACGTAGTTAAAAGGTGCCGAAAGCCTCAATCTTTGTCTATTTTTAAAATAAAAACTAGGACATGCAGGCAAAAGCGGTTTTTTGTTCTTTACTTCCGAAAGGTCGAGACACCTACTCCCAAATTATCTAAGCAAAGCACTGAAAGTGTTGCACAGCTCCTTTAAATCAAGATTCCGTTATCCCTTGCTTCGAAGCGGGAGATATTGCAATCGTGTTTTGAAATGCGACACTTTGTGTCGCTGAAAAGGAAAGACCTCTCTCTACTATTTATATGTGTGTTTAGACAAAGATCCAACACACAATGTGGTATGCAGCAAGTGTTCCCTCCCCCCCCCCCCTCCCCCCTCTTTCTTTTTATGCTGGGGCCCCCCCCTTGGGGGATCCTCTGGATCCGCCCCTGAGTACACTGCCTACACTTTTCCGCACTGGTGCAAGCGGTGCAGGTAAATTGAACGAAGCCAATATATGCATTTCATACCGCAAATCTTTTGGTCTAGTTATACACGGTTCCAGGGCTACCCGATGAATGGCTCCAGCGTGTTCTCTCGACGTAAGTGATCGCGAGAAAGCACGACGCACTCGCTCACACTCGGGTGTGTGACCCAGTCTTAACTCGTTTCATAGGCTCACTAATTTGTTCATAGAGGTGCGGGAATTTCGGAGGCCTAGAATGTTGAACCGAAGGTAGGCTAGAAAGGGTTGTGCCCCCACCTTGCCGTCTTCGCTGTAGAGGAAGATGTTGCGCGTGGAGCCGTCCTTGACGTAGGTCAGCTGTAGGCCGTGCTTGTTCCCGATCTTGTCTGGACAGAATGCGGCATTCAGCTCTGCCACTGCGATGGCTGCCTTGGGTTCCTTGTGGGCCTGTTGGCGGTGATCATTTCTGAGTCACTACGCAAAGTCCCAGAACGTAGCCCGGCTCCCACAAAGACCGAATGGAGTGGAATGACTTTAGGTGCGTCGACCAAAATACGAGCTAAGAAAAATTGCTCGGTTCGTTTTCCACTCGTGCATAAGTCGGCTGCCCCAAACCACAGCACGGGTGTCCACATGTGCTGTGGAAAGACAAAAGGGAAGCTCTGGCAAAAGTTTGATGGAAGTGGATACATCTTCCAGACTATAGTAGGTGGACTATGCCAGTTAAAAAGTTGAAATTTTAAGCGGTGCAGATTATCTACATGTGTGGATTATACAAGGATTGGCTCATTCTAGATCATTCATTATGGTGAGATGGTGACGGAGTTTGTGATTAACAAAGTATTTTTATGATGATTCATGCACTACCTTCTTTTTTGCTCCAATAAATGAGTGTCATCTTTTCAAAAGAGTGTTCCGATCAATGGTGATGTGCAGGCTGGTAAGAGCTGCGAGTTAGCTCGTGACTGTGTCGACTTCATTGCCCTTACACAAAGCTTCATTTATATATAGAATTTTCGCTATATCGGACTGTTCAATATAAGCGGGCTTGACTGTACACACTATTTACTAGAAATGGTTGTTAACACTATCATAACTATATCTTAAGCTCATGGTGAAAGAATGATACATAAAGTATACACAGTGTGAGGCATTCCAGGGATAGCCATAGATGGCACCTGCATGTTGTTTTATCGAAAGCCGTTATGAGTGGCCGTATTGCAGAGAATCGCAGTCAAACGCAAAAGAGTGAACGAGCCTTCAAATGCAAGTGTGTGAACAATCTTTGGGGGGTGAACATCCTATTGTGGAGAATATGATCTGAAACAGTGCTTCTTGGCATACCTGTCAGTTTTTGAAAGACCTGAAAGAACTAGGCATGAAATGCGAAGTTGAATTCCCATTCTTCAGACTTTGACAAAGGGAAGAAAGCATGACCATTGTCGAGACTTTGGCGGCCGTTAAATGTTTGTCATCACTCCCCGCTTCACCAGCTATCGCTAAGTTAAAGGGCAGCTAAAGCGGCTTTGTACTTCAGGAAACACACTTAAATTGTTTTCATTTGACCACCAGAATCTCAAATACCGAAATTATTTTTTAATTTGGTGCACGGAGGCTGTAGAAAATCATTTCCTAAGTACTTTCGAAGGCCCTCCTCCCCGGAGCGTGACGTCACAGAAGTAGTTTTCGGAATCTCCGCTTTCGCGCATCTTTGGCGCCTATCAAAGCTATGCATGCACACACTCGCTATTTTAAAAAGGGCAGAAAAAAATGAAAGGCGTTTATAATTCTGTGTAATGCGAAATTAGAGCGCAGCTCTTGAGGAGGGGGAGGGGAGAATATGCCTCTCCTCCCCCCCATAACCTCCCCTCCTCCTCTCCTCCTTGCCTCCCATTTAGCAGGAAATTTTGCTAAACTTTCCGCTAAACTTCTTGCTAAACTTAGCGAAAATTTCCCCGCTAAATTGAGCGAGAGAATTTTTCTGCTGAAATTTATTGGGAAATTTAGCGAAAATTTCCCCACTAAATTTAGCAGGTTAAGTTTTCCTGCTAAATTTAGTGGGGAAATTTTTCCGCCAATGCAACGCACGCGGTTACGCTGATGGTGCCGCTCAACCCGGAAATGGGCGCCTAAGAGCTGCGCTCTAAAAGACGTAGTGACTAGTGTCAGTGCGGGGGAATATACCTGGCAAGCTCACGATTGCACGCGCAGCCCTCAAGTGACACGCGCTTGGCGGCCAAAAATCCTCTTATGACGTCATGACTGGTCAGAGGTTTTTCGTGTTTTCTCGCATTTGGTTACATGTTCTGAAAAAACTAACAAGATATTCAGATTCATGGGATAAAACTATGCTAGAATCAACCTCTATCTCTTTTTTTTAAAGAAGTGTTTCAGTCTCCCTTCAATGCTGATCTGCAACAAGAGGCAAAATCAAGCGTGATTGAATCCATCGTGTCAGCAGGTTCAGCGATCGGCTTTCGGGCGTTTGATAATAAGTTCTTGGGATAAATAACGATAAGGTGTCTTTATTTTATTTCACCGAGCACTACCACTATAAACCATTTGCTATATCCCCCAAGTGCCCTGGCCCTCGCTAAAAGAATCATGGGAACAGTGTTCCTTCAGCTTCTTATTGATCGGTAACTTCGACCCTATCTTTGGTTACACATCGTTTGAGCGTAAATCGGAGTCGCCCTGAACAAGCGCCTGATATACCCCAATGACCTGTCATATCGCTTTTAAAATTTCTCCTCAATGTCAGCGTTTTTGATACTATGCACACTCTCCCCCCTTCAACCTGGATGGGCCACAGAAATCTCTTACATTATTATCATGTTGATATTAAGTTAGAAACGCTAAAAATGCTATAAACAGCCCCGCGGACTCCGAGCTAAATCCTGGTTTTCGTTGTTGTGAATTATCGGCTTTTTAAACAATTCCTGCTCAAACAACAATGACGAGAATGATAATAGTGTAAGAGATTTCTGCAGTTCAGCCAGGTTGCATGCGCAGTATCGCATGCGCAGTATCAAAAATGCTGGCATTGACGAGCAATTTTAAAAGTGATATGACAGGTCCTTGGAGTATATCAGGCGCTTGTTCAGGGGGACTCCGAATTGCGCTCAAAAACTGTGTAACCATGGAGTTAGTAGAAAATTAGCAATCAGTAGAGAGCTGAAGGAACACTGTTCCTATAATTCCTCGAGTGCGGGCCGGGGCGCTTGGGAATATAGCAAATGGTCTATTGGTGTTGACTCGGCAATCATTTGCCGACCAAGTGGGGAGTAATGACAAAAATCAAACGGCCGCTGAAATGGCGCTCGGTCACACAGTGCCCTCAATGATAACTCCGACTTCTTCCCTTAGCACTGGACGTCTTTGAAGCCACATGCTCCCCTGGGCTTCTTTATTTTGTCCATGACTGTACAGGCTACGGATTATGGCTAACAACATCAGAAGGCTTCGGTACCGCTTAATCGCAACAAAAAAAACGTTGGCTGCCCCCCAGAACAATGAGGGGCGTTCCTCCTGATCAGAGGAGCTCCAAGCCTAGGAGAAAGGGAGGCCCACCTCCTTGACGTAGTATTTAAGGGTGCCGTTGCGGAGGACAAAGCGCCTCGGGTGGAAGCGTCCATCCTCCTTGCCCCTCTTGTTGAGCCAACCCTCCAGGCTGCCCTCCTGGTACACCTGACGGTCCGGGTGTACAAACTCCTCACGCTCGTACTTGGCTCTCACCCACTGTTCCTGGAGAGGGAACACAATCTCTCTCAATCTGCATCTTAATTTCGGTGGATCCCTTCGCAAATTGCAGCACAACCTATACAACGACGTGCAGCCCCGATGTCACGCAGCTGCGGTGGCACAGCTGTCGGCGCATGCACTCCTCTTTGCGTGAATCTGGTTTCTGACCGTGCAGAGCCTACCGAGTGTGGTCAAATACTGACCTGTTTGTAAACAGCGTGTCGATCAATACTTAGCTTTGTGCTACATTTTGGACCTTGTGCCACATTGTCACTTTAGCACTATGATGCCGAGACTAGCATAGCTTCCGCAGTGTTGCTGTCTCCTGCGGCGAGAGCACATGCACGTGATTTCCTCTTGGAATTTCACAAGCTCGCGCAAGTAGCTTTGACGGCATTGGAGCATTGCAAAAGCTATGCTAGCCCTGACAACGTAACATGAAATAGCTGATGCCAAGTGTAGTGATGCGAGACTATAGATAAATGGACTATTGATACTGTCAACAGTTTTTACAAGACTATACACCAACTCATGTTTACAAACAAACCGGAGCGCCCCTAGTGGATGCCACCGGCGCCGCGCATGCGCGGTGGATGGTGGGCTAGAAGCCCGCCGCCGCCCATAAACAAACCATTGAATTGCGGTGTTGTCGGCGTCGGTGGGAGTCCCCGTGCTCTTTTTTCCGTTGGAATTGTTGATTCTACATCCTCCTAACAATGTCTAACTACTTGAGCGGCTTCAGCAAAACTATCAAGGCAAAACTTTGCGTGAATAATGTGACGTGCGGCGATTCATTTCACGTGGACGCCGCAGAATGGGCGCTAAAGCCTGACTCCCACGATGAGATTCTGCTCGCTATTTTCAGTCGCGACGTCGCTCGGACTGCAAAAGCGTGGACCGTAGCTGAGATGGTGGACATCGATACTAAAAACCACAAGTAGAATCGGGCATTACAAGTCGGTGATGGCCACTGGTAACAATGATCAACAACTTCTTGTATCTGTTTACACTTTAGCCGACTTACCCCAACCAACCTTCAAAAGTGTTTTGAGGCCTGCACTTAGTTCTTATCACAATTACCGGGTCAACGTTTGGTTTACGGGCCGCTGTCGTTTGAACGAACTGACGACAAAAAGCAGCAAAGTTTGAAAGAGCAGACGACAGTTCGAACGCACGCGCAGTGGAGTACGGGCAAAAAGCACCGCGTCCCGCGTCAACAAACCATTCGAATGTCCCGTTGTCGGCGTCTGTGTGAGTCTGCATACTCTTTTTTGCGTTGGAGTTGTCGATTCTACGTCTTCATCGCAATGTCTTACCACTTCAATCGCCTGAACGAAATTATCAAGGATCGTTACACCGCTAAACTTTCCGTAAATAATTTGACGTGCGGCGATTCATTCGCATGAACGCTGCAGAATGGACGCCAAAACCATGATGAGATTCTTGTAGCCATTTTCGGTCGCGACGTCGCTCGTGCTGCAGAAGTGTAAAAGGTAGGCGATGATCGACGTCAATACTGAAAATCGGAAGCGGGAACAGACCAAGCGTAACAAGTAGGTGATGGCCACCGGTACCAATAATTAACATCTTGTATCTACTGTTTACACCGAGCCTACTTAAGTCTTTTGAGGCCTGCAATTACTTCTTATTGCAATCACCGGGTCAAATTTTGGTCTACGGGCCGCTTTTGTTTGAACGAGCAGACGACAAAAAGCAGACAACTTTGAAAGATCAGAAGAAAGTTCGAACGATCAGGTGGCCGTGTGAATTTGAAGACGCACTGAATCCGTGGGTGGTCCGGACAACTTGGGGGTTTTCTCTCGTTCATGTTGGAACAAAGCAAATACATCTGGCGACCACAAATTGTGGCCCGCACACGCAATCGTAGTTCGACAGCGTCTGGTTTGCCCTTTTCACGGCTGCTATCCACGTTCTCGAACAAACGGAGGGTGCAAAAACACATGAAAACTGATCTTCAAACCTTTCCAGACTCTCTTGGTACAGACTCCGTCGCAGCATTTTGACGAGAAGGCAGGTTTTTTGTCTCGTTTCTTCCAAAGGAACACAGGAATGCATGTCTGGCACGGCGACTTCTGCCCACCACCCCAGACCGGAAGTGCGTCCGGCGCGCCACCAGCGCCACCACCGCGGCGTGACGTAGGAGAGTTGAGTTGGTGTATAGGTAATAGTCATGGGCAAATACTGTAATGGATTTTAAACTCAAAGCAAATACAGTGTAGACCGCATATAATGTATGTCGCGGGCGTCGCGAAAATCCGCACTATAAGCGGTACCGCGCTATAACCAAAACATCAATTTTTCAGGCCAAAATACATGCCATGAGACAACTTTCCTTTGTAAAACAATTTATTTTATGTTAGATGAAAAATAAAGCTTAGTATGAGGAAAGTCTTCATTTCACCAGACTAGTACACTTCTCTCTCAAGTGTGTCACACATTTTGAAAGAAATGAGCGGCTTTTGCCTGGCGCAGCCTGTTAACGGCGTCGCGGGTTGCGGACGGACGTTGCGAGCGTTCAGGATTGCTAACCCTAATCACTTTTCTCCGGTGATGAAAACGCGTGAAAATTCTGATCCTTTATACGGTACGCGCCAGTAATGCCTAGAACTTGAGCACAGGCATAAAATGCTCCAAATAAAAAATCCGGGCGATGTTAAAAAAAAAAAAAAGTCAAATTTGGGGGTTTTACAGGCCAAACCTACGACGGGCATCTGGCACGCCCCAGCGGAGGACTGAGGATTAATTTCGGCCACCTGGGGATCTTTTGACGTGCAACTGAAGGCTCGGTTACATGGCGCCTTCTCCGCAATAAGCCTCTGTCATATTGCGGGCACCTCGGTCGGGATTCGAACCCGTCACCTGGGGATCTGTAGGCCGGCGCTCTCGCCTCGGAGCCGGCTACCGGGCGATGTTCGAAAACACAAATCCTTAGAAAGCACCACTGTAGTCGAAGTAAACAAACTTGATGACACGGGCGTTTCTGCCGTCTTGAGAGTGCCGCCATGACATCGCCGCACGAATAGGTGGATCTTCCCTTTGAGTACGTGCTGGGTTATCATAGCGACACACAACGAAAATTCACAGTCAAGGATAGCGCTTTAACGCGGAACGATGAGCTTCCACCACGCCATCTACGTCGACGATCACAACCGACGCCATGTTTGTGTGCGGATAGAAGAAGCCGGCCCGCGACCGGCATGCAACGCGCGTGAACACTTCTCCTCGACCTGCGATTGGTCTGTCGTTGCGGTTGTTTCCAACGCAGCGGAGGGACGCACGCACGTGATTGACACGTGTGTGTGTCCCTCCGCCGCTATGGCAACTGAAGCCTCTCTCTTCGCTTCTCCCCGCTTCTTCGAGTAAACTCCTTGCCCTGCGAGTATCCGTTTGCGGCTAGCGCCCTAGTGTCGCACAGGGAAGCGTGCTCGCTGGTCGGCGCAGTCGGTGGGCTGTTCGAGAAACCGCACTATAACCGATATTTCCCTTCAAGCACCTGCATTTTAAGCGGTATGTAATTACATGGAGTTCTATGGGAGGCGAACCGGTGGTTTAAAAAAGCCGCGTTATACCCGGTCCTGCACAATAAGCAGTTACATTGTAAGTGGTCTACACTGTAGTGGTTTTGGCCGAATATTTTTTAATTGAATACCGAATAGTTTCTCCAAACCTTTCACTATTGCACCATGCTTAAACGAAAACTCAACTAAACTTGTCAAGGTCGTTCCCAAGCTTCCGCTTGTCCATTTATAAGCTAATTTTAATCTAACTATATTTATTATGACTGTGACCGTAGAAAGGCCAATGCCTCAAGATGGCAAGTGAGTGACGAATTTGACATAAAATTAAACCTATAGAGATGCCCAGCTATAACTAATTGAGTGGGCTTACAAACCTTGCTATATGCCAATATTTCTTCTTCAATCTTGAATGAAAAAAAGAATCACAATGAAAAAAAGAATCACAAACAGTGAACGCAGGTTGTCCAGGGCGTATCTCCCTAACATATCCTACTCGTGCATAACGGCCATAGTTTAATTTTTTCAAAATTTTACTGTAATGAAGATATCAACATTCACGAAGTTGCAGTTTCTCTTTAAATGCACCAGCTGCATGCATTAATTATCCCGCTTTGAATTGTGCGCTTTTCTCAAGCATGCAATTGCAATATTCATACTTTTTCAAGTGTACCGTGGCAAGCTACCCCGTTAAGTGCACTTCTTACCGAGCACCGGTGCACTGCAAAGAAGCGACACCACAGAGCTCATTTACCCGGGTGTTGCTTCTTTGCAGTGCAACCGCGCTCGGTCAGAAACACACTCAACGAGGCTGACCCTGATCAAGTAAAAAAATATAAATATTTCAGTTCATATTGAAGCGAGTACTGGAGCGTATTATTCAGCATGACCTCTCGTGGTGCGTGTGAGGGAGCTTGGGAATCTTGAGAGTTGCTCCATTGTACAGACGATAAAGGAGATGCATAGATATTTTTATTTGATTGCCTGCCAACAGCTGAGTGGCGTCGGTAGCAGTGCACTGTCTCGTAGAAACACAAATGAAAGCTGGAGATGTCAAACAATAAAATCGAGCGAAAATGTCTTTTGTCAATAAACATGGCATGTAGGTCTGCTGCAAACTTGTCACTATGGACAGGCGGCACGCACATCAAAATAAAAAGTGTGTCAGCATTTGGAGGCCTGCCCGGAGAGTACACGAAACCTCAGTGCTATCAATAACTGCTGATGGCACTGTATCAATGAGATGTTAAAAGAACAGTCGATATGAACCAAGACTTATGCTTTCACGACTGTTTTACTCGAAGCTGGTGGAACAGTAACACTTTCAGAAAAAGTTGAGAGGATTTCGGACGTCTGGCTTTATCGGATTATAAATTAGGTCAGGTCAGATCTGAACAGAAGCTCAGTGTAGGTTTGGTTCGGTTAGGTTAGCTTAATGCAGGTGAGGTTTAGGGCTAGGTAGGTTACGTTAGGCAGGGGTCAAGTCGCGTTAAGTTAGGCTAGGTCAGATAAGGTCAGATTAGGTCGGAATAGATTAAATCAGGCAAGGTCAGGTTAGGCTAAGTCAGAATAGATTAGCTCTGAAAAGATTAGGTTAGGTCAAGCCAGGCAAGGTCAGGTTTGTCTGGTGGGTCAGGTAGGTAGGTCAGGTTTGGTCTGAATAGCTTAGGCTGAGTCAGGTCAGGTTAAATTAGGTGAAGTGTGGCTTGGGGCTTACCTTGACCACGCCCACGTCATCTGGGGTGGGCCGTCGGTAGGAGGCCGGCACGTGCGCCTCGTAGTGCTGCCGGGCGACGATGTTTCCCACGGCCGCGAGTGCATCCACCTGCGAGTCCTCCCAGCGGTCCAGGCGCAGCGAGCGCACCCGGCTCACGTGTGACCCCAGGCTGCGGTGGATGCCCGAGCACTCCAAGCACAGGAAGACGCCCAGGTTGTACGACGCCCAATCCGGGTCTGAAAAGGGATGCCCGCTCCTGTTACAGCACCCCAACCGGTCTGCTTACCACATCCTAAAAGGTGGTCCCTCGATTCCCGCCTGACGATGTCGTAGCATATTGTCACCAGCCACAATCCTGGCGGCGTCGCAGTAGTGAGGAGAAGAAGGCAGACGCCCATTCTGCTGCAGGTCCTTCTCCAGCTTTGCGGTTCGCGGACGCTTTGAGAGCCAGGGGTCGGGGCTCCACGATGACAGTGACATTCGCGTTTGCTCCTACCTTTTGCCAGGTCTTCTAGCACCCACTACCAAGATCGCAACATTCAGCAACATGAAACGCTGGCTCCTAACATGTCATTTGTTGCCACTTTGGGATCGCCTTGGGACCACATTCGATGTACGGGTGGGGTGGGACGCTAAACGTACCAGTCAAAAAGGCGTTCCAGGCACCGTACCTTTACCGTTTATGCACCGAAACTGGTCCCGAAATGGCAACAAATTACGTCGCAGGAGCCGGCACATCAACCTGTCGGATGTCGCCATTCTTGTGGTTGGTCGTAGAGATTCTGCCAAAGAGTATGGGGAAATGCGAGTGTCACTGTCGTCACTGCGTCCTGACTCCTGGCTGCTGAAGTTTGTTCAAACTGTCAGGCGGGAGAGCGACTTGCAGCGAAACAGGCATCTCCCACCTTCATCTTTGCTGCTGTTCCACCAAAAACATGTCGTCTAAACTACTAAAGCTCACTCTGCCGGTCTCCAGTATGCTCCTGCAAACATTGTTTCCACAGAGATGGGACCAAGGAAAACTACCTAAAGACTGGAAATACGCAAACATTACTCCCGTTCTAAAATCTAGCAAAGCGCTGCATCCGTTAATAATCACCGTCCCATTTCCCTAACAAGTGTACCCTGCAAACTTTTAGAACATGTGATCTACAGACATATCGTCAATTACCTTTCAGATATTAACTTCTTTTTTCCCAACCAACATGGTTTCCATAAACAGAAGTCATGTGACACTCAGCTATATGAATTTATCACCAATATTTATGATAATATTCATTCACGAATGCAAACCGACGCCGTCTATATAGATTTTTCTAAAGCCTTTGACCGAGTCCCGCACCAGTGATTAATAAAAAAAACTTGAATCTCCTAACCAGTCTCTTATCAACTGGATCAAAGAATTCCTTTGTGAAAGAATGCAATCCAGTGTCAGTCCGTAAAGACTCGTCCCACAGAATTGCAGTAAAAGCCAGAGTTCCCCAGGGCTCAGTCCTTGGTCCCTCTTCTTTTTTTTTCTTTTTAAATTTACATAAATTATTTTTTAACTTTAATTTGTTGAAAAATTAGGCTCTTTGCAGGCAATAGCGTAATATATAGGCACATCGTTACAAAATATGATAGCTTGGCCCTTCAGCGTGACCTGGATTCCTTATCACTATGAAGCGAGAAATGGCAAATGAGTATCAACATTTCGAAGAGTAAATTTCTTACTTTTGCTACATTAAAGTCGAAATCTATCTCTGGCTATAAAGTTAATGGTTTAATTCTTGAAAAGGTAACACATTATAAATATCTCAGAGTATTTCCAACTGAGAAACTCGACTCGAAAATCCATATTGATTATATTGTGAGCAAAGCCAATTGCACTCTAAGGTACTTTAGAAGGAATTTGTTTCTGGCACTAGTGACGTCCAATTGTTAGCTTATACATCCTTTACTCGTTCCCAGCTAGAATTTGATAGCATATTATTCGGAGTCCCTGACAGGGTTGCTTAATAGAAGAAATTGGGTCTGTTCAGAATAGGGCCATTCGTTTTATTTTTAGAGTTTCTTCATTCATGTCTAGTGTGACAGCATTAACATACAGAGGTGACCTCAATCACTTACATATGCAATAGGCACAAAGTATCATGGCTAACTTTTATCCACTGAATGTATTATTATAACCCATGCTTTAAAAGTGAACTTTTATTTCCTCCGCATCGATTCTTTCCTTGGCATGACCACCAGCAGAAAAAAACCAGGCTACCTTTTGTCGCATGAAACAGTTTTCCGAATCTCCCTTAATGTTGGCCAATCATGAATGGGATAAGCTCCCTGAAAATTTTTGGAAATAAATAATGCTTGTTCCGTCAGTGTGCACTGGAGCTTCACACTGTTCTAAAATGCATATCCAACTAGCCCACCTTAATATTTTAGTACTCCCTGAAAATGTTGTAAGCATACAAGATTGTACACAGTTTAGGAGTGCATGTGTGGAGTTATTTAGGTCCTTTTGATTTCATCTGCTCCTTTGGCATGTAGCTGTTATGTATATGTTTGAGTATAAGTGTGCGCAATCTGTCACATCCTCCTTTTTATGCCAAATGTTTTTGTACTTTTTTGCTACAATCTTTTCTCGTATTCTATTCTCTCTCTCATGTAATGCCTTCAGACGCTTTGAGGGTAAAATAAATGAAATGAAATGAACCAGAACTGCGGCAGGCAATGGCACAGGTGTGATGACATTAGGTGGAAATCAAGGGACCACACTGGAAAATACGGTAAACAGAGGATCTGGAGATAGGCTCCAGGCACCATTCAGGTCCAGTGGCCAAGCATACACAGCGCAACACTGTTAGCATAAACAAGCCATCGCCACTTTGTTTTTAAAATTTTCTCTTAGAATTAGATATCGTCATTAAAGTTACAAAACTACCAGCTGCCGTAAAATACCGAGCAAGCACTCGCACAAAAGTTGGAGATAACCACGAAAGAATGGGGATAGGTGCTTGTTAGGTCCGACAGCAGGAAGGCAGAAGGGGCATAGGCGTAGACTACGGGGGTGGGGGGCATTGGGGCTCGTGCCCCCCCTGATAAGATCCAGGGGGGCAGAGCCTGCCTCCCCCCCCCCCCCGGGCCATGATCCTTACCGAGCATACCGAGACGCTGTTCACGGCCTTGTAACGAGCTTCTAGTAGTGGCATGTAAACGAAAGAATGTCCAGGTTGCCTTTATTGACAAAATACATAGGTAATGGAATCCCAGCATGCTTTCGTTAGCTTCAAGCTCCAGTTCTGGCGAGAAGGTAACGCGGCATCTATCACTTTTACGTCCGCTTGGTCTGCTTCCTTAGCAGCCTGTCATCTTGCGATGTCCCACCAGAAAAAAAAAACGAAAAAACAAAGCAACCGGAAGTCCATATAGAGGGCGCCTACACCATCCGGAGCTGTTCAAAAAGTCAGTTTAGTAGCGACTTTATCGTAGTTGCTACTAAAGATTTCAGATTTGTGCTCGGCGGCGCGTGCACCATGGTACCGGCGATGAACACACAGCTACGCTTGCACGGCGATTGACACTGACACACAGGGACGGACACATGGCGATATACATATGCTGTAAAATGTACCCCCTAAAAAAACTACTGATAATTGCCGGTGTAAAAAAAACTGCGCAGAAAAGCACCCCCCCCCCTCGGAGAACTTCTCAGCCTGCCCCCCCGCAGGAAAATGGAAAGTCTACGCCGCTGAGGAGGGGCATATGGTAAGGTAGGCCCTTGGCGTGATCCATCCCCTGCTCAACCAAGGTGATGTAGCTCATTCAAACGCATAAATCACGTTCATGCCAGTAAAATATTATTTTGGCGATATAAATAATTTTTTAAGTTTTTTTTTAAGCGAATAAAATATTAAAAAGACAAAATGACAAGTTCAGTCGAGTGATTAAAGCAAAATCCACCCTAAGCCCAAGCAAAAAGTGTTTTTTTGGCAATTAACTCTGAGCGTCTCCTGCTCACTCAGTCCTAACATTGTTCACTACCTTTCCGTGCTTCTGCGACGCTTTTGCTCTGTTCGGTTCGGCGTCGCGCTCGCGCTTCAGGTTCATCGCAAGCGTCGGAGGTCTTCCACCCGATCCTCCCAAAGTCGTATCAGTGCCGAGGATTGCCTCAACGCTTCAATGGAAGCGCGGCTACCCCTTCCCATACCTCGGCAAACCTCACTCATGAGGGCCCTCACTCACCCTCACTCACCCTCATCTTCACAGGTGAGGTGAGGGTGAGTGAGTTTCTGAATCAGGAAAATTCATGAGTGTGAAGGTGAGTGAGGGCCGTGAGGGCTGTGAGGGCGGTGAGGGCGGTGAGGGCCATGAGGGCGGTGAGTGGCGTGAGGGCCATGAGTGCGTGAGTGGTGTGGGGGCGGTGAGCGCGTGAGGGGTGTGAGGGCCATGAGTGCGTGAGGGCAGCGAGTGGCATGAGAGGCGTGAGGGCCGTGAGCGCATGAGGTGTGTGAGGGCCATGAGTGCGTGAGTGCGGTGAGTGCGTGAGGCCCCCTTGAGATCGAGGATCTTTCTCAGCAGTTTTGGTGTTAATGGCGGGTTGTTCTCTAGTTTTCCCTAGGTCGACCCGAATTGCTGAGATCGGGTGCGGCTCGGAATAAGCAAGCAACTCGGAGCAATTCGAATGCGTTTGAAACGGCTGCATCCAATCAGGGACGCAAAATTTTCACGTGATACCGTTTGAAATCGATCGTTTTTTTGGAAATAAACTGTTTCAGAAAGGTGCATTAGTATTCTTAACGAGATTTAAATGCATAAAAACACGTTTATAACGCGTAATTGTGTCTAAATAGTGCAAGAAAAATAAAATTTTATGACGACGATGGCAAATTGCAGCAATTGGTTGCTGCGTGTGATCGCGGGCAGCCCGTGTTGCTGGTGTTGCGACGTAAGGTTTCTGGGCGAATTTGTCCCATCTGAAGCTGGCCTGAGTGGCGTGAGGGCCATCAGAGCGTGAGGGGCGTGAGGGGTGTGAGGGCCGCAAGGGCGGTGAGGCGTGTGAGGGCGGTGAGTGGTGTGAGGGTAGTGAGTGGCGTGAGGGCGGTGAGTGGCGTGAAGGCGGTGAGTGGCGTGAGGGCCGTGAGGGCGGTGAGGGCCGTGAAGGCGGTGAGGACCGTGAGGGCGGTGAGTGGCGTGAGGGCGGTGAGTGCCGTGAGGGCCATGAGTGAGTGAGGGGCCTGAGGGCCGTGAGGGCCGTGAGGGCGGTGAGTGCGTGAGGGCTGTGAGGTTCAGTGAGGGTGAGTGAGGGGCTGAAGGTGAGTGTGACTGTGAGGGTGAGGGAGGGGCTGAAGGTGAGTGTAGCTGTGAGGGTGAGTGAGGGGCTTAGGTGAGTGTGGCTGTGAGGGTGAGTGAGGGCGACCTAAAATGCCGACCTCTGCCCCTTCCTAGTCGTGGACGCTCTTCCGTCGTTCGATATCGCACGACGCGAGAATGAGATACAGAAACTAGGTAACTATATGACAAAGAATCGAGAGGAGGAAAACTAAAGTGCCGAAGCGGACGATGCGAGCAGGCGAGCAGCGGAACAACGAGACCTACTAGATAGCTGGGGCCGTGAATACAGACACAACTATTAGTAGGAGGAGGCCTGTATAAAATATACATGAAACACAGTTTTTCAATTATAAAAATATGAAAACATTGATTTTAGTACAAACTTTAATTTCAATTTGCGTCTCTAGCGTACGTAGATCGTTGCCGATGAGTACGCCTTTAACAGCCGTAAAGGACGCTTCTTCAGGGTGACTCCGGAAAACATTCAAAACTGTGTAGCCATGAAATTGGTCGAAATTACCGATTCACTAGGGACCTGAAGGAACACCGTTCCCATGATTCCTTCAGTGCAGGCCGGGGCACTTGGGGGATTTAGCAAATGGTCTATTGACTCGGTCGTCTGCGTCGCCGTCCGCCCTTCAGCCTCGCAAAGTTTTTTTTTTGCCCCACTTTTTTTACAGGAAGGAGCTACGCTTGGTTAATTTTACAAGATAAAATCGACCTGTGAAATACACCTTTGGCAAAGAGTTGAGATTGCCACGCGCAGGCGCCAATTTTTACGGCCCATTTTAGACTGAGCCTCGTTATTTCATACACCTTATATATTTAAATTACTAACAGGCGACGGAAACAACGTACGCGTCGCAGTCGCAGTATGCACCAAATGAGCGAAGTTGGCAAGAGACGACGAACTTTGTCGGCCCACATCGCGAGACCGCGCTGAGCCGTTCTGCCCTCGCTTCTTTCGTGTTTGACTTTCCGAGGGCGTCCAAGCCACAAAAAGACAGGGCGCGCTAACGGTACGCAGAGGCGTTGTCAACATCCGAACACGACAGCTCACGGGTGATTCATGCCATCGATCCACAAAACCGTGACGCTCAAACCGCTGGCAGCACAATGCCCCGCTGCCCCGAAGGCCTAGAAATATTTAATTCGATCTTACGACGATCACGCCGGGTTTTACGAGAAGTTCGAAGAAGAAATTTCTCGCGCCAGATCATACATCTCGATAAAGCGCGATATCTGACAGCGGCCGCTCGCCGAGCTCTTGGTTGGTTTCGTTTGCGGACAGTCGCGGCGTAGGCCGAGAGATAGTGGAACATGACGCGCAGCAGGAGGGACCGACCTTTCTTTCCGCAGTCGGCGCATTCGTTGTTCCCGGGCAGTTTGAGCAGCTCGAGGATCCTGCGGCGGTTGTGGTCGGAGGCCATTTTTAAAGCGCGTCCCGAGAAACGGACGCCCAGCAGGAGAAGCGCTCCCCCTTCCTCCTCCCGTGGGGTCCTTCCTCCTCCAGCGGCCCACATCCCGTCATGTGACCCGGGCCGACTTCCGGGATGCGGGCCTCTGCGCTTCCGTTCGCTTCTTTTCTTGTTGATTGGCGCCTCCCTTTGCCTTCTCTGTGCTGGCTGTGCGACTTTGCTGCCTTCGAGCTCGGAGCACGTGGCGCGAAAGCTCGCGGCAGTCGCTGCAGAACGCAGAACCCAAGGATTCTCGGTTCCATCCCCAACCCTGCCCGTTTCGATCTGGACGTGATCTGGATGAGCGTCATACGTCATACCGTCCGCACCGGCGTCCGGATTATCACACTATCTCTACTGTCAGTCGTACAGCTGTCGTACAGCACAGGCTAAATTTATCATCTGGAGCGTAAAACAGTAAATTAAATAGCTCGTATTTATCTACAGAATACATGTACGCAACACTATGAGGATGCAGATGTGGAGAGTTATAAAAACTCTTACTGATACATATCTGTCTAAACCAGCACCGTGAAAGCGTTTGATTTGTGGCGCCTTCTAGCGTCCGCCAGTAAAGACAAAAATATTGCGAATAGTTTTGCAACCATTTGTCTTTATTTTAAAGCAATAGATGGCGCGAGTGATCAAACCCGGCCCTTGCATTTCGTGATGAAGGGGCGTGTCGGCCCACTTTATGCACCTCGTGGCTCCGCAGCAGCGATCGGCAGCATCCTCCTCCTCCGAGCGATGGCAGGGAAGCCGATTTCCTGTTTACCGCCCGCCGAGCTGCCTCCCTATGGTTCGGCGCTTCCCGATCTCTCGTGACGGCCCGTGATGCGGCTGGGATGGAACCCAAGCCCAAGATGCGCGTGGCGGGGCTGGTGCTCGCTCGAGGCGGCAGCGACGCCGTGAAAAAGAAGAACGCTCGACTGGTGTGCGGACTGCCTTTGTTGTCCTGGGTGCTGCGGCCGATGCGGCACTGCAAGAGTGAGTGGAGCGCCCACGCGCCGAGCCGCTCGCACCGGCCCACACTTTGCTCTTTCAATTAAGAACACGGTTTAATTCATTTTAAAGGCTGCCTTTCTGCGCACTCCTTTGATGATGCTCTCTTACGAGCGCGCCGTTGCGCCTGCGGTGATCGAGATCCATTGATTACCGTTTCACGAGAGTTTAGGTTCCGTTTTCTGTTTGTTTTGTGTTTTCGTCAGTTTAGCTTCCTGGCCATCTGGAACGAAAGATATGAGCGCGAGCTTTTAGATCGGGAACGGAGGAGCAACTGATGGGTAAGCTGAGCTCGCGCTGGCATAGCTGCTTGCGCTCCATTCCCGGTGATCAGGCGCGCTCGATTTCGTGCTCTTTTTGTGGTGGCCGTTCCACGCTCGTTCCTTTTCTGCATACGCCTCGCGTCTCCTCGTAAATATAGCAACGCCGGCCAAGGCGTGTGTTCCCAAGTGCCGCAGCTGTCGCTTTTTTTTTTCTTTTTTTAATTCGTTTGTGGCTACGATCCGGCAGCGCGTGGGATATCCCGAGCTGCGCGAACAATATATATATATATGCAGAAAGCGCAGAATAAAACGTGGGCTGGCTTTTGTTTTTGCGCTGGGGAAATCACGCAGCCCTGGACGAGATCTGGGTGTCGACGGACGAGCAGGAGATCGAGGACATCGCCAACGCCGAAGGCTGCAGCGTGCTCCGACGCTCCGAGGACTTCGCGCAGCCCGAGTCGCCCTCCATCCTGGCGGTGCAGGAGTTCGTGCGACAGGCGCCCGGTGAGCGCTCGGCGACGGCACCTCCGTTCGCTGGGCAAAAAACACTCACGGGGGCTGAACAGCTGTGCAGATGAAGAACGAATAGACTCATTTACACTCCGGTTCAGATATCAATTTGGTACAGCATTTTGTGTAGAATTGATGCGGACGAGCCAAGTTTTTGTGACATGCTTTCTTTTCTTATTTCTACAGTCGATCATTCTCTATATATTAATTTTTTTACAGAAAAAGATGCGCTTTGATTTTCCATGAGGTAAAACCTGACCACAAAAATACACCTTTAAAATAAATGTCTTGTTTTACTGTAGTTGAAATGCTGGAGCCACAAATTATATAGTGTTCACGGTAAATTTTACACTTTAAAATGAGCCGGAAAATTCAGCACCCACACATCAAAACTTTAAACTCTCACCGAATGGGCATTACTTGGTCAGTTTTACCTTGTGAAATCTGGAGGCATAGTTCTCTCGTCAAAAAAAAGTGAGACCAACAAACTTGCCTGGAGGTAATTGCGGACATATTACGGTTGACCATATATAGTTAGTGACGAATATAACTTGTGGCGCCATCTCCCGATAGGTACAGCTAGCAGGCAACAGAGGACGTCATCTGCTTGATGCATCTCGATGTGATTGGACGACTTTGCTTTTGCCATCCTCGCGCAGGTGTGGAGGTGATTGCGTTGGTGCAGTGCACGTCGCCCTGCCTCGCACCCTCCTACCTGGACGAGGCGGTCAGCCTGGTCACATCAGACAAGTACGACTCGGTGTTCTCCATTGCCCGCGACTACAAGTGGAGGTGGACAGAGCTCTCCCAAGGTGCGCACCTCTCTCTCGTGCGATGCATGGGACGCAGGAAAGAGTGCCTGGAGTGAGTGGTAGCGTTTCCAGCTGCTCGATTGGGGTCAGGTGGCTTTTGGGCCGCGTTTGCAATACAAGCTGCAAGGAAGAGTCGAAAGTATCAATCACGCTTTCCCCCTCACCCCGCAGCAACACGCACGCACTTGTGACCAACCTGCGCAGGAGGCGTCCGCACAATCTCCATGGTTTGAGTTACTCCCTCTCTTAAATCTAGGCTCGTCGTGAATGATTGCAACTGGGGGGGTGTCTTTTCCATTGCTGCATACAGAATCCCTTTGGAGCAGTTTTCCACAAGCACAAGTAGCTTGCTCCCTGTAGAAAGCTTAACCCACATACTATTTTTTTTTCTTCATAAAACATGCCGCAGAATTTTTTTGAAAGTTGGCAGTTTGTGCAAAAGTTAAAGGAGGCATTCACTTGACCTGCAGATATTGTTTGTTGCTCCCACTCTATTCCTGGCCATCTGATGTGTCCATTGAGTAGTTCTTTACCGTGTGGTACAGTTGGAAACATTCAGGAAAGTGGAAAGCAACGCTCCGTATTTAGAAGCCAAGTAAATGTTTCATTTATTTTACCTTTTACGTGAAGACGCTGCCTTTTTCTGTGCTTGCAGACATAAAGTACAGGCTAAGCTCGTTATAACAGACCTTGATTTTAATCAAGATTTTGGTCTGTTGTAAAAGGAGTATGTTGTATGCAGATATGAAGTTCAGTCAATGGTGCATAGAGGGAAACCAACCGAACTTCACAAATCGGTATGTTATATCCAAATGTCTGTTGTAACCAGGTCTGTTATAATGAGCTTAGACTGTATTTTTTCTTTCCGGGGTACATTAGAGCACTTTCATACACAAACAACAAAGTCACCTGCAGGGGGTGGAGCAATAGTGGCAGCAATAGAGAGTGCACAGAACATGCTCCGAATTACCGAAACACGAGTCAGAGTCGTGGTCGCGGGCTCTCTGGTCTTTAATGGAGGGCAGGAGTAACACTTGTGGTTAGTAGTCAAGGAATTAAGGAAGCACTAAACTCCCCAGAAACCTTTTATTTTTTTATTTCAGGTGCCACTAGGGCATGCATGCTATAAAATACCCCCCTCCCTCCCCTTTTTTAAAAAGAAAGTGCAATACCTACATTGCGAGACTCATTTGAGTGATTCCAAAACATGGTTCTATGTTATATATAATCAGCAAATATACTTTTTTTTTTATTTTTGAGGGAAGGGGAGCATTTATTCTATTACATACAAAATGTTCTATCCAATTACTTAAAAGAAATGTTTTTGGTTTTGGGGGCGCAGGGGGGGTTTAATGTTTTTATTTCTTTTGCAGTTGAGCTTTGTTATCAAAACTCTCTGGTCTCCTTATTTTCGAAAAGAATACCAGTGAGGATAAATCAGTGCACAACATTTTTTAAATAATCTAATGCGAGCACATGCTATGCTAGCAAGCTGTCCGGATACAGAAAGCATTGAAGGGAAATATTGAGAGTGAAAAGTGGTTGCTTCTTTTCCATTCGGTTTCATTTTCGCGCATCCGCTTTCAGTCAACATTTAGCGACCTCAAACCCTTGCATGGGATGATGAGTTCTCTGCATGGGATGACGAGTTTCTCTGCATGGGATGATGAGCTCTCATTCTCCAACCTCAAGTCTGAGAAGTGTTATAAGTCTGAACCGAAAGAGTCAGAACTCCTATTGGCACTACCCCAGGAGCAATCAACACCACGGGAAATGGCCTCCTCTAGCATATTACTTTAGCAGAGCGTCGAATTTCAAAACTAAATAGCCCCAGCAAATTGAAATAGGGGACACATGACCAATGAAAATGGGCACCGTACTGAAGTTTTTATAACAACTTACATGGAAGCTGTGACATGGACCTATGCCATGCCGCCGTATCACAACATCCGCACTAGTTGCTATAGAAATTTTCGCGTGGTGCCCATTTTCACAACTCGTGTGTGTCCGGTTGAACCCCGTTGAGTATGCCTCTCACCGAGCACCAATGCACTGCGGAGAAGCAACACCTGCGGAAGCAAGCTCCGCAGGTGTTGCCTTTCTGCAGGGCTGCCGTGCTCGGAATGCAGCACACTCAATGGGGCCGCGAGAGCAAAAAATGTGAATTACGCGAAAATGCCATTTAAATTAAGTGGCTTATGGATACATTGCAAACATAGTGAAAAAACCAAAACTTTAAAATTTCTTTGATTTCACCAGAATTATGAAATCTCAGAGTTAGAATTATTGCGAACGTGCTGTGTGAGGAGACGCTGAAACTGCAGTTTGCTAGAGCGAAGGTTTTGTAGTATTGGCAAGATCAAATGCACACACTTACTATCATAAATGGTCCTTTATATCATCGCCAAAAGTTTTTTGAGCCAACAGTGGAAGAATGATGCGCAAAAAAAATTGCAAATTGCGAGTGTTGATGGCTACCATGGCGGCAGTGTGTTCTCTCGTCGTAAAAGATCCCAAGAGGTTGTAACGCACTCGTCCGTAAGCAGTAGCAAGTGAGTAATAGAGCCTTTATAGCCTTGGGTCTTGTGGGGAGAAACGTTTTGTTCTGGGCCCTGCAGATGGCACCACGAGGCCGCTGAACTTCGACCCTGCCCAGCGGTTATGCCGACAGGAGTGGGCAGGCGAGATCGTGGAGAGCGGCCACTTCTACGTCACCAGGGCCGAATTTGTCCGAGAAGGGCTGCTCCAGGGCGGAAGGCAAGCACACTCTCGCACGACGCTTTCGCTCTTCGTGGGGCAGTCGCTTGGAAGGTCGCTGCCTGAGTGGACAACTAAGAAGACCTCCGGTGGATGGTGTTTTGCCTGTTTTCTTTTTCTAATAAATTTATTTATATATATATTTATTTATTCATGTACCCTCATTGGCCATCGGCTTTAAAGAGGAAAGTGGGACAACAAAAAGTAACACTAAACAACAAAAAAAAACTAATTTTTTTCTTAGTTCAGGAAGGCTCGGTACAGTGAAGGGTGTTTGTAGTGTTTTTAAACAGGTAATAATTAACAACGGATAGACTAGATGCTGGAAGGTGATTTCATTCAAAAGAAGTTTAGGGACAAATAAATGGTGTGTCAGTCTTACAAATAAGGCCATGTCTCAAATACCACCAGACCTATACTCATTGGCACCTTGAGAGAAAAGCAAATTTTGGGCATAATTCATGCGCTGTGCTTAATAGTTCTTATAAGATTTATTAGTTGGAGAAATAATGCAATGCTTTTTTACATTTAGATAAAATATACCTTGTAAATATACAAAATACTTTTACATTTTGATAAAAACACAAAAATCTTATCTTAAATGCGCATACAAGCAGGAAATTCATAATGTTCCGCAAGAAGGCAGCCTTTTTTACCGCAGCTCTCGAGCTGAAAATGGGTAGGGCTACGGTGTTACTTCGAAGAAAAATGAATGACGCCAGTTGTAAAGGAGCCTGCTGATGTGGGATAAAGACAGAACCAGACCCCTTCAATATGCTTGGAGCCACAAAACTTCTCACTAACTAGAAAGCTATTTAGTTTGAGAATTCTAAAATAACCTCAATGGCCTACGTGCATGTTTCCCTCCAGTGACTTTACTTTCTGGAATTATGTATACCGTAAAATACCGGGCAAGCGTTCACTCAAAATTTAAAGTAAACGCGGTCATCAATTTTACATATCACTCTACTGTGCACATTTTCCCAGATCGTTAAATTTGGGAATGGGCGCTTAGTGTGGAATGGGCTGGTGTGCAGTATTCTACGGTAATACCTTTCCTTATTGTGTGATTATTTTCATAATTATTTTAGTGTTTTTTATTTGTTTGTTCATCATTGCTATGCTGTTGTTCCCTCAAATGATGTTGCAGTGTGTGTAAATAAATATAATTAACTACATAGCTTTCTAAGAATAGAGTCTAAGAATAGAGAACTATATAGCCTTCTAAGAATGGAGTCTAAGAATAGAGATCTTGTAGCATTGTCCACTGATATAAATATGCCACAGTATGAACAAGATATTTTTAGAGTTTCTGTTCGTTAAAGCATTTATGCGGGAGACTTTTGAACCACGTTTGAAAGGTTGAGCAAATGTCGCAACCACACTTTACTGGAGCACAGGAGGGAATTTTAACATAAAAAAACCTAAGCCAAAATAGCACTCGGATGTAATTTATATGAACCAAGGGTATAGCATGGATGTAATGGGACACAATGAAGTCAAATTTATTTATTTATTAACTCATTCTACAATGTCCGAAGGGAATTATTGCCCTTGGACTTTTATAAGGAAAGTGATAAAGGTCCAAGTACACAAGTGTAGACAAATATGCATACAAGTATACACAGACACTAGCATCATTTGGAACTAGCACAAAGCCGGTACAAGTACGTAGAAACAGGGCAAAATTTGTGAAGGGTGGACTTGGTGTTTGCTCTACTTAAAAAAAAAAACAAAAAAAAAAAACAATAAAATGTAGAAAAAAATGTAAAGGGTTTAATTGGGACACATATTTGTTTTCCTTAATTTTCCCCTAAAAATAAATATCTGCACAATGTTTACCACGCTAGGCGAAATTTAGGTGGAGTTCACCCCCCTCTCTAGGGCCCGCCCACAGAATGGTAGCCCCACCCATTACTACTGAATTGGCTTGGCTGCTCGGCTAAACATGTTTTGAAGCTTAACGTCTCCCTGTTGCGACCGGTGCATTCTAGTCTGCTGTTTACACTGTCTGCTATAGTCAGTTACAGGTTAAGAAGGTAGCGGCAAATGCCCCTCAAAGGGAATCAGATATCCCTCCGCCACCTCCGCATCCAATAGCGTCCCACCGTTTCCGTGACGTCGCGGCCAACGGACGAGGAGGGTCTTGCCTTTCTGTACATATTTGCTTCATCTTTCGACTTTGACTTAGCATTGTGGAAGCCACGAGAGGGAGATTAGAGTTCTCCCCCACCGACGGACACAAATACGACTTTCGGGGATTAGCTTCCCCCCCGATGGATACAAAGGCTGCTTTCAGGGGCTCGGTTCCCTCTCTGATGAATACAAAGGCCGCTTTCTTAAAAAGTGGGATCGGAGACAAGAGGGAATCCATTGAAGCGGAACAAGGAGTGTTTCCAGTGAACTCTTCTTTCGACTGCGGAGAGATTTGAAACGGGCGCATCACACTTGTGGGAGGAGCTTCTCCTACCTTCTTGACTTGTAACCGACTATAGTTGTGCGGGCAGACATGCGGCAGCGTACGGCGTCGTCTGCTATTAGAACATATTCTACTATCACCCATAGAACGGCCATAAAACACGGCCATGAAAGTGGCACGTCCGCATCTGCCGTTGCTTGCGTCCGTCTGCTATTTTGTTTCTGTCTAAATCTATCTGCGATGATCACCAGACGCAACCATGAAACAACATTCTAGCGTTTCATCATGCATGAGCCACGGTCCAATACAATCGTCAGCGTCTGTTGGTATGTAGTAAAAAGCGACAGAGAACACTAAAAAAATCAACTAAATAAATATGCAGTCCTTCCAGCTTTTCTGTTCTTTTTTTTTTTTTTTTATGGCATTTGCGAGTTAGGTGGGTGAATGTCATGACACACAATTAAGATGCGACCTAAAAATATTTGCTTTGGAAGGCCAGGTGTACTACAAAACTTGAGAGCTACTGGCCTTTCGAAGCAGAACGACAGGAACATACCTGGACAAACTTGATGCGAGCCCAACGCCCGATTACCTCTAGCTAAATGGCTTGCATATTCTTATTTGTTTAGGTATCTTGTTGGTATTGAAACCCTGGTTGCAATTGCGATGGTTGCACAATTCACAAAGCAGTAGGGTTGCTTTTACGAGAACCAACATCTTTATTCAGCATCAACACACACAAACGAATGAGTCAAGCCAGATCAGCCAGATCGAGCAACATAGTTGGTGTCGAACCCTAAGCTTAGGCCAGTTCCGCTACGAAACGTGATGACATTTAATCTGCTCCTCCTCGGAGAAATGCTTCGTGATAAACACTATAATCTGGGCAGTTGGCCTTTTACAAGCGTGTAAAATGAACCGACGATGACGAGGACGATGATGTGCAGGTGTGGCTACGTGGAGCTTCCAGACTACCTGTGCCACGAAGTGGACACGGAGGAAGACCTGGTGATTGCCGAGCAGAAGCTGCAGAAGTACGGCTTCAAGGGGGACATTGTGCTCGACGCACCCAGCGAGTTCCAGTAGGCCTCGTCCAAAGCACAAAGCGGCCACCGCCGCACTATTTATTTCACGCGCTACTATTTATTTTAAATTATTCGTGCCCGGAGTCGCCGGACACTCGGAGAGTACCGCACCCCGCTGTGCCCCTGCCTCTAAAGCCACTAAATAGGCCACGCTCAGAGTGTCGGCTCCCTGATTTTCTTATGGGCGCCGCCATTTTGTTGCTTAGGGCAGAGAGGGTGCAATTGGCATTCGGTATGATTCAAGAACACACTTTTCTGAGCTCTAGATATGGTGTAGGGAAGCTCGGGCGATATCCTTTTTCTCTCTCACAGACTTGCGACATTTCTGGGGGATGGACAACTGTTTTGTGCAGTTTCAGATAAAGCTTGGGATAGCTGGCAACAATGATTTTAAGCACCAAGATGGCTCGGGTGTCGTTACTCCGAAGCGTAGCTTACCGAATCTGTCTACTTACCCTGACCGCTGGCCAAGCCGAGCTCAGCCGATCACCCCTGACAGTCAACTGCCAAAGAAAAACTATGTTTTGCACTCCTCGAGCAGTACACAAAAGCATTAAATCTGGTCGTCGTAACTTGGGTGTTTTCGAGGTTTATTTTATCCACTTATTCGATCGACACTTTTTGGTGGGATCGGTGGCCGAGTGTGGTAAAGTGTTACGAAAAATAAATAGCGCAAAGGACACACAAGAATACGAAGACGGGACTGGTGCTAGTCCCATCTTTGTGTTCTTGTCTGTTCTTTGCTCTACGAAATATTCATAATGCTTATCGACCTAGCTTACCTCATATTTTAGGGATAAAGTGGCAAACGGGGCAGGTTTGTCCTGTGTGCTCCTTTTGTTTGTCTCATTTTTGGTGCTGCTTTTCATTACATTCTTAGTTGCGGCCGAGCGCATTAACATACTGCAGCTTGGAGCATGCAAAGAGAAAGCTCGTGCCACAGGGCCCAGAAGTCCCGGGTTTAACCTCCACGCCTGCCCGTCTCAATCTGAACGAGCGTCGTAGCGGCACAAGATTGTCTGTGCCAGATTAGCGGTGCTACTGCACTGGCAAAATCTCTTATTCATAGTGGAAGCAGCAGATGTTCATTGGAGTTTATTAACATTCTGTCGATAAAAAAGTATGTACAATGCAATTCGTCGATTTTCGGTGTTGGACAAAGGGTGTGCACTTAACCGGGGCTCGTACCGAATAAAACTGGACACAGCCAGGGGGTTTCATTGAAAACAGCTTCGGTTTGGGGTTTTTAGTTTGCTTCGAATTTGGTGAAACTGGCTTGGAAGTTAATTTTTGTGTTTTATCGATGTGTTCCAAAAACATGGAACCTAATTACTATCCAGTGCTTTTGCAACATTTTGTTCATTTGCCTTCGAAAAAACCGTTGACCGGGAAGGTTTTGTCAGGGCTCGTTCGCAATTTGCGTCGACTGCGTTGCGCTGCATTGCATCCTGCAGCACAGCATCCCCCCATTGGCCCGTCGTAAGGGTAGCCATAGAAACAGCTTGATGCAAGCAGTCTTGACGGAGTCGAGCGCAGTCAAACAAGGTGCCTGAACCAACCTGAAAGGGCAACTCCAGTCAATAGTTTTGAATTTAGGATTACGACTCTTTTCATCTAAGGCAACGTCCCTAAATTATGAGGTATAATCTTTTTTTTCTCGATATTGTGCATAGCTTTATTATCGCGACTCAAAATTTGGTTTTGTGCGTCTGCGGCAAGACTGAAAGTGTCTGCTAGAGGGATGGTAACACTGATCATTAGCCGTACGGCCGCAATGTGACATCAGTGTGGTGCTCCGGTGCACAGTACAACCAATCATTCGGAACTCCACCGAGACGTGACGTCACGAGGGTGCTGCGCCAGTATTCCTCGACTAAGAGCTAACCACTGAAGAGCAGCTGGTTGGATCCTTGAAATCGGTTTTAATGGAAGATGCTGCTTCACTTTAACGTAATATTTCGGCTGCGATCATATTTCGTGCCACTAAAGCGATACCAGTCACTTATATCGGTATTGTTTTCGACTGGAGTTGCCTTTTAAGGCTTTGCCCAAGTGGTACATAGTGCAAGACCAATCCGGGCCCCACATGGGACAGCCTCTGGTCTTGTCGGCCTAATCTGTAGCAGAGTGTAGCCGCTGAGGGCAACTTGGGAACAACTTTGGAAGTAACAAAGCGCAAAGAAATGGTGTGTTCGTCTGCACCATGCTTTATTCCAGTTGGTATGGCATTGCTGTTTACTGTCGTTGGCAGACTTCAAGTTATGTCAAATGATTAAACGTCTACACATTGGGAGTGTGTAGAAACTTTAGTCGAGAGGCTGCAGATGAACTACTTGCTAGTCTGGAAACTTTGACAGTTTCTGCCCTAGTAAAGTTTGTCACCACTAGCAACACTTTTCCATAATTTTTTTTTTTTTTCAAGCAGGTGTGGCACTTGTCATGAGGTTTTCCAATTATTTCGAAATGTGACCCTCGGGTCTAAGTATAGATAAAGTTTCCAGTCATCCATCTTGTGACGGGTCCATAAGGTTTTACGTAAGAGTGGACACACCCGGTGACTTTTTCCATGGAGGCTTCTCAGAACCCACGACCATTCGTTGGGTTTTCCGAGTGATCCGACTGCTTGACTTTAAACGTCGGCAGCACACCTTTGGTGCTTCAATGTGTCCCTAGGGAAAGCATCCCCATGGCATGACGAAAGGGCTCCAAACTAGGTCATTTAATGATTGCGGTATCACATTGCTCTTTGCTGTCATTGGTAGACTTGCAAGTTTCTCGAGGGATCGAATGCCTGCGCACCGGGGATCGAGAGGCCACGTGCCCGGCCTTTATTATGACGAGGCCCGGTGGCTGCGCCTTGGCACATCAGCAGGCAGAAATCGGAGAATCGCGGTAGTGCTCCACGAATGTCCGGCGACTCCAAATGCTCCCGACACCTCCCACAACTCGCGTCGTAGAGAACTTAGTCTATTTTATGCAGCGTCTCCAAATACCGCATTATCTGTGCATTTTCTTCGTGTGTGCGGACGGCTGCAGTAGCAGTCCCCGTCCGTTCAGGACGGAGCGCACGCACACCGCCATCTCTGCGCACTCGTCGCATGCACGCTCATTGTCACCGTTCCACCGTGGCATGGCAAGGCTCCTGTCCCAAAAGCGGGCGGCGAGGCTTTCTTTTCTAGCCGTACCGCATCGACGCTTCAATTTTCCGCGTCGTTCAATAAAGGCGTTGTCGTACCTTGTACACCACCCGTTTTTGTGCACTTCATTTCTTCTGGGGGCCGTTGTGTCGGTGCTTCATTACTGCCAGCAGTGGGTCTTCTTCACTTCATCGGTTCAAGCCTGTTTTTTTTTCAATGTGAAAGCATTAACTGTTTCATGGAGCGAGCCGACGTCATCAGTTTGAAGCGCGAAAACGGCACCTTAAATCCTTTCTCCAAGTGTAGCCAGCTCCCAGCTATGAAACCACGTGAAAAGCCTAGACACGGCACCTAGTTTCCCAGATTCGAAAGGGGCGAAGTAAAGCTGATAAATTTTCGGCTGAAGTCCCATTGGCTGACGCACGTCGACGATGCTCTCATTGGCCGCTGCGCGTCAGTTCAATGATCGCTCACTCGATGGCGCTGCGTGTCCGCAAAGCAGTGGCTCCACCGTTCCACGCCCATGGTCAGCGCACCATACTCCGCCAACGAAACGAGAGCGAAGAGTGGCGTGTGCATAGGCGTAGGCTACGGGGGGGGATGGGGGGGCATCGGGGCTCGTGCCCCCCCCTCCCCCCCTCGGGCCATGATCGTTACCGAGATGCCGTTTACGTGCCATTTAACGAGCTTCTAGTAGTGGCTTGTAAACAAAATAACGGCCACGTTGCCTTTATTGACAGAATACATGGGAAATGGAATCCTAGCGTGCTTTCGTTAGCTTCAATCTCCAGTTCTGGCGAGAAGCTAACGCAACATCAATCACTATTACGTCCGCTTGATCTGCTTCCACAGCAGATTGCTGTATTGCGATGTCCCACCAGAAAAAAAAAATAAAACAACCGCAAGTTCATATAGCGGGCGCCTACTCCATCTGGAGCTGTTCCAAAAGTCCGTTTAGTAGCGACTGCAACGGAGTTCCTCGAACCGGAGTCGTGGACGTGGCGACACAACTTAACGCGCCCAATGAAGCGATAGATGATTCAGTCGTCCGCGAAGAGCGGCATGCGTCATTAATAAAGTTAGAAAAAGTAATGGACCAAGAGCACTGCTGTTGCAATGATAGCTGAAGAAGATATACATACGCTGTAAGCTGTACCCCCTAAAATAAACTACTGATAATTGCCGGAGTAAAAAAAATTGCGCAGAAAAGCACCCCCCCTGGGAAAATGGAAAGTATGCCACTGGGCGTATGTGCTTTTGCGTTCACAACTCGTAAGAAGTGCTTAGGTGTACCTCGAGCCTTCTTTAATGCGAAAGCATTAACTGGTCTCATGGAGCGAGCCGACGTCGTCAGCTTTCAAACTGTGCCAAACAACTCTTAAATCCTTCTCGCCAGCTCCCAGCTATGAAACACTGCAAAGCTAGCCAGTGGCACCTTTTACGCTTCGGTCCCTTTGGCCGGCGCACGTCGACGAGGCTCCCAAAAGCCGGACATGCAGTGCAATGGGGCGGCCGGTCATTGAAACTGACACTGCGCGTCGGTTTCAACGACTGCCGACATGTTGGCGCTCGCTCGACCTAGCAGCTTCCAGGTCCCCTAGCAAGCTGCTAGGGGACCTGGAAAATCCTCTCAATGTTTTTGTAATAAAGGTTACAATTTTCATTAGCAATACTAAGCACATTAAGGGGGAACACTGGTCTTGGAGCTTTTTTTCTTATTTTATGACCAAACTCAATGAAACTGCACAGGCTTGTTCAGCTTTTTGTGCTGATTTCATATATCTGATAATTTCTTGATTCAGTAAAATTGTCCTGAGGATAATTAAAACTTACCTGCCTTTGTTTGGAGGAATGATAGGGAAAAAACTGCTCAACGAAATATCTTTTTTAACACATGGCCAGATACTACGAAGTGTAAAGAATACAACATTGGAAGCACTTTTAAGATAAACCCATTATTAGTGATTTTACAACATATTGGAAGTTCAGTGCTCAATGCATGGCTAACAAGTAATAAAACAAAAGATCAAATAAAAAATTGTCTAGACTTATATTAAAAAATCTGCTCTCAACATTGTATGCTTCAGACATTTAGCAGCACATTTCAAGAAAGGTTATATTTCTAACTGCTGTAGATGCTGAGATATCCCTCCTGCAAATTTTCAACGAGTCCAAAAATTGTGTTATGTGAAAACAATATTTTAGAGTCAACTTTAATGCACATTCAGCCCGCATAGACATTATAAATTGATTTATAGCTTGAATATTTATCCACGAAATTAGAAGCGTGGTAGATTCAGAAGAACAACAGCCGTCGCCGTTTTCAAAAGAATGCAGTTTTAGAAAGTTTTTGGCTCTAAAGACCCATGTCCCCCCTTAAGGAAGATGGAGTTGTTTGGCTTCAAAGGAGAGACATTCAGTTGCGCTTTAACTAGACGCGCTCGAAGAATCTGGCTGCTAGGAAGTTTCCGGGATTCCTTGGGGAGTCCAACTCGGGAGCCAATCACTGCATTATATCGCCTGTAGCTTTTACGTCAAAGTTGCAACTACGCATTTTTCTCGCTGAAAGTGACAAATAGTAGCCACGGCTGGTTCCCACACTTGCGACTGCTTACGACGCGAGAACACAGTTGCATGCTGGTGCCATCTACAAGGTGGCTGTGGAAGTGCGTTTTACTAGGGCGAGGTTTTGCATTATTTGCAAGGCAAGATGTACTACGTATTAGCTATGAGAAATGCTTGTTTATAACATTCTGAAAGTATGATACACCGAAATAGGAAATATACGGATGTCGGAAACAAGGGATTAGAGAAAATCCTTTTAATTAAAGATACCTTTAGTAGTGATAATAAAATGTTTCAAGTGTTTCACCTGATACATGGCACCAGTGTGTTCTCTCGTGTGAAGCGCTAGACATCCTGACTTACCCAAGTACCGCCATCGTCTGATCGTGTCATGGGCACTAATATTGGATGCTGGCGGACGTCGCCATTTTTGCCTTGTGGCACATCCCTCATCCAGGCACACATTCTCCTATTGGTCTACTGCAGATGACGGTGCTGCGCCGACTCGACAAACTAAATTGGTGGCGACGCTCTGCCATTTTTGGCTCAAGTGTGTCCCAGCATGCACAACCTTGGCGGTACTTGTTTATAAAATCCATTCAGCGCTTTACTCTTGCGAGATGAGGCCGTAATGCACTGTCGTAAGCAGTCGCAAGTGTGAACGAGCCTTTACTTGTTATACTGAAAGTAACGTGTAATGCGACGTCATTTCACGATAAAAGTCGTCAGGTTACCAGCAGATCGATTTGCAACAAGACCCCTGGGTCACGGGTTCTCAAACTGGATTCCTACATGCCCAGGGGTTCCCCAGACTCCCCTCGTGGGCTCTAAAAAAAAACTTCCGGGACCGCCCCAGCCAAGTAACGCATACTTTCAGATTGAGCACCATTTTGAGCAGATCTAAGCCGCCCATTGGAGCGCAATTGTTGGATGAGCACTCCCTATTTGCAATTTTGTTTGCAATGTTCATAAGCTTCCACACTGCTTTACTGCTTAAAGTTCGAGACTGAAAGTGGTGGGGGTCCCTCCAGATGGAAAAGTTTGAAAATGCCCACTTTAGACGGACGTTGTGAACACCGTAAACAAAAGCTTCAGCTTTTCCTCAGTGAAACTATACAGTAAGCATGGCCTTTGCTTGGCAGGAGCAGCAACTTGGAGGACTCTCTACTACCCTGAAAAGTTTCGGGTTAAGTGAGGCAAGTAGGTGCTATGTGGCTCGTACTTACGAGTTGGTGCAATCTTTATTGAGAAAACAAAAAGGGAAACTGGATGGAGACTTAGCTTTTGCAGTAAATGTCTTCAGTTCGTGCAGAATTCCTTTTCCCCCTAAAGGCCAGCCCACACATACTCCACAATGCTACTTCGGTGCTATTAGTCAGCGTTGAAAATGGCACCGACGTTGCGCCATATTAGCGATACAATGCGGATATGGTGCTGCACCAGTGCTAAGTTACGTTCTAGTCGGCGGTGCATCAACGCCGTTCCTAGTGTTGATTTAACGCTGCGACGTATGTGCGAACCAGCTTTAAAAGAGAGCTTGGACTTCACATAGAGTATTTCTTTATTTTTCTTCAGCACACTACACCAACACAAATTTGCTCCATCCGATTATGTACAAGTAGGAGCACACATTTGATCACTGCCTAGAGCAATGGCAAGACAACGCACCGTGCGACAGAAACCATCTCGTTAGTTTAGCTCGTTTCTCTCGGCACTCTGTTATGCACAAGTGGCCTAACGCTGACGTGCTCTGAATTAGGAAACCTCTCTATACAACCACAGCCTGTGTACAACCAGAAAGGAGGAAGGAAACCTCGTAGAAAAGCCGAACCTTGAGCCTGAAATTTCAGTCGAAGAGACTCCATACACTACCCCCGGGAGAAGGAACGGACAGCAGACCGTACGTCTAGGCACGGCCGTCTACAAAACTCTCAATACCTACGTGATACAAGGCACTGCTCGTGGGTGCACTGCATGGTACCCAGTCCACAAAAAAAAAAGACACGCATTTGTTGGCCCCGTTTGGGCAAGTAATGCACGATTCCCGCAGAATGGGCTTTCGGTCCGAGGCTACTCCCACTTGCGCTAAAAAAAGTCCACTTACCCCGCAGAGAGGAAGGGGCGGTCTGCTTGCCATGAATCTTATGTATATTATGTACATGCAATTGTTACAACCTCAATCTCTTTGAAAACACAAAACGATGGACGACAGTGGCACGTCCGCCGGGGCTACGGTTTACGTCGCCGTTTTTCCCGCGGCCTCTCTCTCTCTTCCGGGCCGACCTTTCGTGGAATGTGGCTCTCCGATGGGGCGAGAGAACCTGCTCGCTGCTGCTCCGGCGCGCCGGTAAACCAACGGAGTAGTCCGGCCTCGCAACTCCCTCGGTTAGTTTGGGCAACGACGATGGACTCCGGGATACGACGCAAGTGGCCCAACGAATTCAAAGTTTGTCCCCTTCCGAGATTCCTAAATCTCGCGTTTCTGCGCCGCCACTTTCAGAAACAATCGGAAAAATTGCCGAGTTTGGAGCAAAGCGTATTGTTTCTGCCTGCCCATCCTGGTCTCGAAATTGGAATCGTCAAGAGGACAAACAGAGCGTGGCCGTTTTCTTCTTTAGGAGTGAGCATTTTGAAAAGGGGGGAAATGGAAGACCGTAGGACGACATGGCGGTTACATTTCTATGGGCGCCTGGTGGCGGTTACCGAACGCCCTTGGTCCGCGGCGGACTGACGGAGTTCAGCGACACTCTCGCCACGAGTGCGGCATCGCTCGCACAACCGACAAAACGACAGTCACAAACACGACAGACGACGGCCGGCGCCGCTTTGCCGTCGTTGGACCGCTTGGCTCCCCGCTAGCGCTGGGCATGCATCAGGCGATGAAGTCGGTGCTGTCCCAAGAAGTCCGAAAGTCGTCCCACGTCCGGAAATCCGGGTCCCCGGCCGGGAACAGGTCAAAGGGGTCGTGGACCTCTGCGTTGGTCGACAGCAGCGGGTCGTGCTGCGCCGCGTTGGTCGCCGTACCGGCCGCCGTCGCACTTCCTGCTGCGTTCTGCGGAGCCGCGGAAGATGACGAAGACGAGGCGTTGGGCATCATGACGTCGAGCCAGTCCGAGAGCTCGATCTCCATGCTGAGCGTCGGGTCGGCGAGGTCGGCCGGTTCGGGGAAGCTGTTCCGGCTCGGCTGCTTGGACCCCTCGGCGAGCATGCCCAGGTCCATGCCCTCGAAGTCATCGATGTCCAGGTGGAAGTCGAAGTCCAGCGAGGCGGAAGGGGGTGGAGTCTCGCTGTCGCACGACAGGGCCAGGGAGGGCGGCGTCCTCTCGCCAAACGTCGTGGCCTCCGACGAAGGGGGTGGCGTCGGGAAAGACGGCGGCGTGCACACCAGCAGGGCACCCATGTCGCCGCCATTGATCGGAGTCGTAGGTGTCGGAGGCTCTTGTGCAGCACTTGGCGGCAACTCTGTGGAAGGCAAGCGTCGAGAACTTGAGGCAACGGATCGGTACGAGCAGCACAACAAAACATATCTGCCATACATCCTTAGGTGCCTGTCGGTACGGTGCCTGGAACACGTTTCAGACTGGTGCGCTTACTGCGCCCAAAAAAGTGGCCCCTTACTTTCCGCTCAATGACGTCATCCAAATGTCACGTCATCGCTGGCCGCGATCCTGGCAGTGTTGCAGCAGCGCTGGCAGACGTTGAAGCCTTTGGCAGCCAATTGACGGTGACACTCACGTTTTCATGCTTTTTACAGCGGAGCTGTTAAGGGCAAGTTTCCTCACCATCGTGTTTGCCAGCAAACAAATGATGACGCAGAACTCTGGACAGCTACTGCCATCTATGAGTGACGGCGGCAATCGGACAATCGGCTTGCCGGTTGTCTGGCTGCCGCCGTCGCTCATAGATGGTGGCAACTTTCCAGCCTTTCCACTCTGGCTTGCCGACTTGTGGCTGGCCATTACTTCAATCCCACTAGAGTAGAGCTTTGCTGATCTTCCTTCTTCACCAGAGTGGGAAGGCTCAAAGTTTTTTTTCTTTTTCCCACCTTCTATATGTCCAACCAGCAGGGTCACGACATCCGTCACAATGACACTCCTGCTTCTGCGACATCGTTTGTTGCCACATCAAGACCACTTTTGAAGTAGGGGCAGAATAGGAGGTAGACGCACGAGTCAGACTCCTTCCAGGCACCATAATGTCAGGGAAACAAAAATTAAGGAGCCCCGTTTTAATCCACAGTAGTCAGACTGACAGCTCTGACACGTCACGGTAAAGTCATTGGGCTTTGCCGTTGCGCCCTCACGCACCGTGGGGCGTGTGAACTAAAGCGTTGGGAATGAAATGAACATCAGACCATTTTGTTCCGAACGTTTTTGTTTCTTTTTTGTTCCGGAGGGCGTGAAAGCATGTCTCTCAGCACGAGCCCATGGCGTTGATGGTGCTATAACGGCATTTTGTGGTAGCCTACTGTTTTTTCCGGAGAGGGCGTGCAGTGGACATCGGGTATTACAAAAACCCAAAGCATAGAGCGGGTTATTAACGCTGCGGCACAGCTCGGTGGTAACGTCTCTGCTTTGCACGCGGCAGACCCAGGTTCGATTACCGCGCGCGGAGGCGGGCATTCTTTTTTAAGGATTTTGCGACATCGAAGACGGACGCCCTACATAGCCAACTACAACATCAACAAGGGACGTCACTTCTAGTGGTGGGAGAGCCCCATAACGGCCATTGCAGTAAAAGTCGTAGCCCTTTTTTTGGACACTGCCCAAATGTAACGGTAATGGTCCCAACCAGACTCCAAAGTTTCAGAACAAACCACCATCTTGTTCAAAAGTTACAAGCGATTTTCGGGAATTTTGAATGGGAAAATGGTGGCCAACAAAGCCCACAAATATAGGGTCACCCAAGTCACCACGCTCGGTCTAAAATGGACCGTAAAAATCGATGCTTGCACGTAGCAATCCAAACTTTTCGTCAAAGGTGTATTTCACACGTCGGTTTTTTCTTGTAAAATTAGAAAGCGTAGCTCTCTTCCTGTAAAAAATAGGGCCAAGAAACTTGCCTGGGTCAACGGCGGGCGGTGACACAGACAAACAAGTCGAGTTGTGGGACGCGTTTGTCATGTGTATGGATAGATGGCGTCGCGAGCATCGTCGGAACGTTGGAAGGTGCAACCGACCAACGAAAGAAAGCAGACGACACGCAGACGAAATTCGTTGGCAGCAAAAGCGCCGTTACTATGCAGGCGCATTTTTTTTGTTTGTTTTGTTTTGCTTTTATTGTTTGCATTTATTTTTAATTAAAAGTACATTACAAAAAGATTGTGTTAATTTCAATAAGCCACGGTGGATGTGAGCCATCTCGATAAGAAGGTAGCACCATCTATCAAAACGCGCGCCAAACGCACCCCGGAACTCGACTTGGTCGTCTGCGTCGCCGCCCGCCTTTGACCGAGGCAAGTTTCTAGGCCCCATTTTCTTACAGAAAGGGAGTTACGCTTTCTAATTTTACAAGAAAAAAACCGATGTGTGAAATACACCTCGGACGAAAAGTTTAGATTGTTACACGCAGGCGTCCATTTTAGACCCAGCCTGGTGACTTGGGTCACCCTATATATCCGCTAAATGGTGCAAACTACTAAGAATGGGTCCTATTTTCTCATTCACATTCTAGAAAATCACTCGTAACTCTTGAGTAAGGGAACGGTTTTTTCTAAAACTTTGGCATCTGGTCCGGACTGGTAGTGCTACATTTGGGTGTAGAATGAGCGTCGTTCGGCGATGCACACTTTATTTTTGCAGTGAAAAAAATGGCGTAAATCTTTTTTGTGGACATGCTGCCCGTACAGTGACTTAACGAATCAAACCCGCTTTAAATAATGAATTAGAATGAGATTTGCATGTGCAAACCAGATTTATAGTTTCGACTTTGCAGGATTCATGCACGATAAAACCTGCAATTTATAGCGAAAGTGAGGCCCGGTGGTAAATTTGTTTAGTGAAAATAGCAAAAAAAAAAAAAAAAGTCCAGAAAGTTACAAAAAAAATTTAATGACCCACAGGGAGCAAGCATTTTCCAAATCGAAGTGAAAACATGTTGTGGGCCATTATTTCACAAAACCAAGAAAGGCACAAAAGAAAAGAAGTTCTGACTTGGCTCTTATTTTCTCTTTTGCCCAAGCAAATGCCCAGATGGTCCACAAGAATGCTATGTAACTTTAACAAGGAAAAGGCTTAACTCCCATGGAGCCCTTGGCAAGTTTTGGTTTTTATTTGTAACTTTTGATGGAGGCAACCATTTCCTTCAATATTTTTGCGCAACAAATCTACCACCAATCCTCAGTGTCCCAGGGAGTTATGAAGTCGGCACGGCAAGCTCATTTTTGCTATTTATTTGAGGCAGGTTAGATCCATTGGAAGACACACTGCAGAAATGCATTTTTTTCTTTGTTTGCATAGCTGGGAAAGTTAGTACTTCACTCACAAAGCAATTATGTCCCAGCAAACGTTTTACCATAGCTGCCTTTGCAAAGTGCGGCCAGGGAACGTACCTCCGTTTTTAATAAGAATCTCCAGGACGTCGTCTACGTCCTTGCTTTTGACAGACCGCGACCGACCGGGCTTGGAACTGGCATGTGTCACCGTTGTCGAAGCAAACGGCTGTAAAGGAAATGTCCAGCGGGTCAGTTCAGTCCGTCAATCAGTAAATTTTTAGCTAGCCACAAGGGGTACATATATAACAAAAAAGTAATAAAAAAAAAAAAAAAAAAAAAAAAAAAAAGTTTTCTTAAGGCCAGCTGAACTAAAAAAAAACATACACATAAAGAAAAGACCATTCACACAGCATGAAGAAATTGCGGCTACAACAGCGAAGCAATCACAATTTCTGATTCCTTTTTGCACTTTGTCAACCGAAGTAGGTTATAACTAGGGTTCGGCGTTTTCGGTTTAAACCGATAAAAACCGATAAAAGTACGCCGAATCCATTTTCGGAAATTCGGTTTTAACCGAAAAAGGTCAGTTTTTAGGCTCGGCATTTTCGATTGAAACCGATAAAAATACGTCGCATTCATTTTCTAAAATTCAGTTTTAACCGGGAAAGCTCACTTTGACCTTCCAGTCCTACCGCAGAGCTGTGGCAAAAAAAAAAAAAATGGAACGACAGTGTTTATCGAAATGTGCCCGAAGTTATGGGATACACGGATGCCATCACGACGTTTTGGTTTGAATGTGCCGCATCATCGATCCGAACGTGAAGTCTGAAATGCCCCCTGACTCCCCATATACAAGCGTGTTTTTTAACTCGTTGTAAAGAAGACTGACTTAATTCAAGCTCTGCTTGTTATGTTGTGCTTCAATACGTCGCACCGTGTCTCTTTTGGTGGTCACAATTGGTTGATGGGCCAAATTTGGCTGAGGCAGCTCTTCATATCCTCAGCCTGCCAGTGTCCAGTGTTAGCGTTGTGAGGGCATTCTCGAAGCTCAGGGTTATATTAACAGGGAAGAAAGAGTGCGGATCAACGAGGAGAACTTGGGAATGTACATGTGTGTGTACTATAATAAGATCACGTAATCCTGACGTACAAACGGTAAAGTTCCATTTTTTTTTTTTGGAAATAGGCTTTATATCTGACTTGTCTGTACTTCTGTTTTCTTCTTGTTTCTTTTACAGTTGCACACATTAGCCAAATAAAGTGTCCATTTCTTTTTCAATGTATCTGTGCCTTTATTCTTTGAATGATCAAAAATATCAGAGCTACAAGAATCATCTGATCCGGTGACCGTTGGTGTTTATTGTATATACACTGAAAAACGCCAATAAAATTTTGTGGGTATAAATATACGCCGAAAAAAACCGAAAATTGAATTTTAAAATAAACACCGAAAGAAGTACGCCGAATTTTGAAAAAATAGAAACCGAAAACGCGGAACCCTAGTTATAACGAAGTAGCGGATATATCGGTGATTTCCGATTCCCGTTGACTTCGTTATAACCGGTCTCGACAGTATTTTATCCTTCTGACTTAGAGTCAAGTTCTCCCTTTTACAGAGATGCAGCTCGCATATGACAAGCTTTTTAACCCTGACCTCAACCTTTTTGTAAATATCTTCTGCCCTATGTGTCCTTCCTTCCCCTTTGTGCAAGTGTAACCTTCCTAACCCTATACCAGCTGTTTGGGTCAGAATGGATTGATTAGTAATTGGACTAATTGACAGAATTCATAAATTAAAAAGAAAAATATATGAAATCGGGTTTCCGTTTGAAATTGCAGCTCGCGACATATTAAAAAACCACGCAAAAAGACGGGACACAAAGTAGAAGAAGGACACGGGACATACGCTGTTTTCTTATCCCGTCCTTTTGCGCTGTTTTTTATATCGTTCAACAAACTGGCCCAGCAAGCTATCCTGCTACAGCTCACGACGTCGCCAAAAGGTCGAAGCCTTTGGTGCATATTCCCCAGAGGGTGCACCGGCGGTTCCCAGAGTTCCCAAATTTGCTCGGTGGTCCCCGACCCTAAATCCGGTTTAGGCTCCATTTTAGAAGACCCGAGCCATTAGTTAATGCGTGGCTATGAGCCCGACATTCCCTAGTGTTACCGTTTACGAGGCACAAGCTTCGGCAGTTGCCAAAGAGGACAAGGGACGCTGCGATGATGCAGGCCGATGAAGTGAGCCAGGGACTGACCTGTGCGTGTCTTGCCTTGTTCAGCTGCTTGGTGGCCTCGTCGTAGTCCGGGGGCTGCCTCCCCAGCACAAACTGGTTGGGAGACGCCTTGGGGGACAGCAGCGCCGACAGGTTGTTACACTGGGCAGACCTGCACCAAGATGGCCGAAGGCATCAGGAGTCCGGCCGTTTTAATGCACAATGAATTTAGGGGCTGGCTTCTAAAGGCTGCTTCACACACTCGCAACCGTTTACAACCTCTCGTGATATCTTACGAGAGAACACACTGGCGCCGTCTATGAAGTGGTCCTTGAGCTGCATTTAAGGGGGGACACTACCCAGAAAAAACAATTTCTGCAAAAGTGTTGATTTTGAAAAATGCCATGATTACATTCACCAACAGCTAGAGAGTATTCCCAGAAAGTTTCATTAGTTAGCACTAAATAGTAAATTTTTTATAAATTATTTTCTATGCACCAATGCTAAACAAAAGGTAGAGGTTGGAGCACTTTGAACGTGTTTTTCTCAGGTCAGCTTTTGGCAGCAAATCGCACCTTATTAAAACTATCGTTTCAGTAAGAAACTATAGAGAGTTAATATTTGCGGCTTATATGCCGCAATATTATGGACCCGGTTACTATGAACTTAGACTTTGCATCTTTGTGTTCCTTTATTATGAAAATTTTTAATTTTAAAAACTTGGTAATGATGAAAAAAAAAAGTTTTTTTTTTCATAAATTGTTTTTTGTTTGAAAAATGCATAATTTCTGAAATTTCTTTTTATAGTAACTGGCAACAGGTATTCCAGTATGCATTTCACCAGAAAAATATGTGATCATGAACATCATTTCTCAATGATAGATTCATTGAGCAGATTCCATGCAAAGTAGGCTTGTGCGAATAGTGAATTTTGAATTCGAAACGAATTCGAAGCGAATAGTGCTCTTGGCCGAATATTTTCGAATCGAATATCGAATAGTTTTTCCACACCTTTCACTACCTTAACATAATGCTAAGACAAAAACCCAGCTAAACTTGTGAAGGTTGTTCCACTTCATTTATAAGCCAAGTTTAATCTATCTGTATTTATGAACTGTGACCTCAGAAGGTCCGATGTCTTGGGATGGCAAATAAAAGATGCGCTTGACATAAAATGAATCCTATAGAAATGGGCAACTCTACCCATTCGAGTGAATTTATAAATCTTAAATATTCTTTCTTTAATTTCAAGTTAAAAAAGAATGAATTGCGCATGATGAATGCAGGTTGTAAGGGCATCTCTGCCTAACATATACTCTTGCGAAACAGTCAGTTTAATTTTAAAACTTTTACTATAATATAGATCCTGTAAAACCCTCAATGTTCGCGATCCCTTAACTTTCGCGAATTGAAAAATTCACGAAATTTAGAGGCACGCGAAAATTTCGGTCCTAAAGATTTTCAATGCAGGTCTCTGGAATTCGTGAAATTTAATGGCCGCAACTTGCCCTCTGTAAGCGATTCGCGAAAAAAGGGGCTGCGAAAATAAAGGGTTTTACAGTATACATATTCACAAAGTTTCCATTTATTTTCATATACAGCTGGCACGCGTGCACCATCCCACTTTGAATGTATGGTTTTCTTCCAAGCAGGAAATTGCGATATTCATACTTTTTTAAGTGTTGATTGCGGCGGGTTAGCCCCCTTAAGTGCCCTTCTCCTCAAGCACCGGTGTACTGCGGAGAAGCAACACCCGCAGAGCTCGCATCCACAGGTACTGCTTCTCCGCAGTGGACTGATGCTCGGCGAGAAGCGCACTCAACAGGGCTAACCCGCCGCAATCAACACTTCGAAAAACGTGAATAGTGCAGTTCTTCTCGAAGCGAATATCGAATAGGGTATAATTCGAAGCTACTATTCGAAATTTCGAATATTCGCACAACGCTATGCTTTACTTCGTTCTGGGGGTATAGTACCTTATAAAATTGGTTCACAGGTCTGAAACTTTACATGCCCTCCTTCTATATGGCTACAAACACCACCTGCAAATATCACGCCAATTGAGTGAACGGTTCGAAAGTTGACATTCCCAGGTAGTGTCCCGCTTAAATAGAGCGGAGGTTTTGAGGTATTTGCAAAACTAAATGTATGCACTAGCTACGAGGAATAGTCAGTTACAACGTCGTCAAAAGATTTTTGAGCCACTAAACAAAAGAATGATGTGCGGAAAAAATAGAAAATACGCAGAAATCCCTGGTGTTCCACAGCTATCTGATATATGGTGTTAAATGTGTTCTCTCGCTGTAAGGGATTGCAAGAGGTCGTAATGCATTCAATCATAAGCAGTCGCAGAATGTGAACCAGCCTTAACTCTAGAGCGTCGCGCAAGGTTGAAACAAAAAACACGGTAACACGGCCAGCTGTCCTTGCAAAAATCATTCTGACCCTCGGCGGGAATCGAACCAACAAACTATTGCTCAGTAGTCCGATGCTCCACCTGTATTTTGCAAAATTAGTAATTAATTAAGATTAATTAATGAACTTTTGAAATATTCAATTTAGAGAAAAAGTTCCAATGACAAAGTTCTACAGCGACCTCAGAAGCATCCTATTCAGTGGTTTTTATCACGAACACGGTTCTTTTTTCTGGGTTTTGAAAAAATCCCGCAAATTACGGGAAAAATTACGCGACTTTGTGCTTGCACGCCTTGTATTGCAGCGCTCAGCCGTGGCTCGAATAAACTAGGCCTGCATGCTGAATACAGCACTGTTGACAAAGCGCTGTTAACAAATTTGCATTCTTTCATTTTTTTTTTTTTTTTTTTTTTAAATACTTAGCGCATTTTTATGTAGCCCTCAGAAACAAATTGTGTTAGAGGTACCTTTTTATTTTGTCAAAATAAACATATGGTTCCAACTAGAAACCTGCTGAGCATCCTTGAAAACCCCTAAATCAGTCAATTTTAGGATGACCTAAAGCATGTGTGAAGCGTGGGAGTATGCTCAACTTTCCACCCATGCAGCATGCACGAGGCTGGCGAAGCAAAAGCGCGGATAATATTCTCATCGTTCGTGTTTCTGAAAAGACTAAACTTGTCTTCAGGACACACCTTATGTGAGTAGATCCCAAACTAGCCAAATAAGCTATGCACCCTTGAATTCAGTGAGCTACATCCGTATCTCTATCTACCAAAGTTAAGTTAAATTTGGTTCAACACTCTAGCAGACGCCACTGAACATAGTAGTCTAGCAACCTTCGGGGGCTTTTCTGCATCCTGTGTATGTTTCGATAGCCTGAAGCTGTTCAGGCCCAGTGGGCGTCCGGTGTCTCCGCTGTCAACGAGAAATTCAGCCGGTACAGCGCCACTTCTAGCCCTGGGTCTTTGGCGTGCATCGCGCAGTAGTGATACACGACCACACAATGATCCTTCAGATCGAAACGGGGAGGGGGCGGGGACTAAACCCAGGATCCCTGGGTCCCGCAGCGCGAGCTTTCGCTCCACGTGCTCCGAGGCGTAAAGGTTCAAAAGGAACGAAGAGAGGAAGCAAAGCCCGAGGCACCGACCTGGACGCGTTGTTTGCGCGGCCGGGATGCTTCCCCTGACAGTAGGCGACCGTGCGTGCGCTGCTCCCTCCGCGGTCGGCCGGCGAGCCGGCGCCTATGTGGTTGTTGTTGGTGTCTCCGTTGAGCGCCAACGCAGCAGCCAGGTTCTGCTGCTGCTGCTGCTGCAGGAAGTTGGCCAACGACGCCTTGACCGACGCGGACGAGGGAGACGACGACGCGGGACCGTTGGGGACGACGCTGGGACTGGCGCAGTCTGCGAGTGGTCGACCGATGCAGGGCGTCAGTATCGCGTAGCTCACGACGGCAATGGTGGAGCGCCTAGGGTCAGACCCGAGGTTGCTTTATCCTAGAGCCACCACATAAGCTACGTAATGACATTTCGCCTGCGTCGTTGCATACAATATTTGCTTACAAAGGGCCAGCCGAACAAAGATTATATAACAAACAAAAATGCACCGTTCACACTGCTGCATCATTGTTGCCAGTTGTCTAAAGGCTTGTTTGGACACTTGCTCGATTGCTCGTGGGTTCGAATCCCGCCTAAAATTCTTCAAATTTTTTCTTCAAGGCAAATGAATCACTTTTTGAAGAGAAATCATCTGAGACATGTGGCAACCTTTAATTTGTACTACATGTCATGTTTTCACTTTCATTCCACGCATGATGTCGCGTTTCATGCAAGTGTTGTGGGTTGTTTAAAATTCACGCGCGCAGTCATATGGCTGTGATGTCATGACCCTATCGACCAAAAAGGATTTTCCCGTTCCGCTGACGTCGGCTTTTCTGCCACACAAGCTCTAAGGCTGTTGCATTAAAATAAAAAACCTCACGCTATGTGGGCAGATCCCAGAGGCAGGGAAATACCGGTGCCATTGCACTGCCTCTGGGATTGGAGCGTATAATTCACTGTACAGCCGACTTCCGTTAATTCGACCTTGGTGGAACATGCGAAATCGGGTCGAATTATCCGAAAGTCTAATTAAAAGATGCGTGCAAAATTCTGAGTATCCGGCACTTTAGCGCCGGATACTGTTAAATGTTAGCGCAAATGCGCTAACATTTTTGTAGTGAGCCGCCGCACAGCGATGGCTGCATATGTCCTTTGCGTGTTCGGTGTGACAACAGCGACAGCTGTCACCGTTGCAACACCGCTGCGGAGCAGCAGTCATTGCTCCGCAGCGGTGTTGTAACAATTGTGTAAGCCGGTGCCGCTGGCAACCATTGCAACATCGTTGTGGAGCAGCGCTCGCTGCTCCACAGCGGTGTTGCAATTCTTGTTTTCTGTTGAGACCCAGCCATGTCCCGTGTCTCAACACGTGCTCTCTTTATCTCTATCTTCATAATTTGGCGCGCACATCAGTATTTGAAATCAGGCTTTTCGCCGACGGGCGTGGCCAGTCAAATTAACTGCTATTTTAAATTTCAAGAACAAAATAACGAGTTTATTTTTTCTATAGAAATGTATGGGCTTTTGCCAGGACTCTTGAACAGTGTCAAGTTAAATGATAGGTCAAATTAATGCACGTCGACTGCGTATGCATATTTTATGACCTTTTGGAACTTGTTTTGGATAATACGATATTCAAATGGTATGTTTTATTTTTCAGGTCCTGTGAAAGACATATCAACGAGATTCCAGTATGCATTAAAATTACATTACCAAAAAAAGACTGGTCAGAAATCATCCCAGGTGATAGCCACGACCCTCCCCCCTTTTCCCAAAAAGAAACAAGTATTTGCCTTCCACTTCTTTCTATGAAAATAGAACTCACTCTGTTGAACCATTTGCTGGTGCTGCTGATGCTGCTGCTGCTGTTGTTGTTGCTGCTGTTGTTGTTGTTGCTGCTGTTGTTGCTGTTGCTGCTGTTGTTGCTGTTGCTGCTGCTGAATCTTGTTTTGCAGATGCTGCTGCAGTAACTGCCGCTGAAGAGCCTTCGTGTCAGCTACGGCAGTCGGCAGAACTCCGGTAACAGTTGTCCTGATTTTCGAAAAATTCAAGAACAAAAACACAAAACTATAATTTTCTCGACAAGCTCCCCAACAAAGCACGTCGCGACAAATCACCTACCCGTTGAGCAGCGAAGTGGCGGGTGGAGTCACTGTAGCCTGAGCCGAGGGCGTCAGCGTCAGCGTGAAGCTCGTCAGTGGGGACGTGCTGAATGGAACCTGGTGCTGCAGCTGAAGCTGGGACCTGTGCAATGCCAACACTCATCTTCACTTCGATGCACGCAGAAAAGACCATGCAGAGAAAATGGGCAACATGCAGAGAAAACATGTGTAGGCGACTAGACGGCCTGAATGTCTCCGATGGCCGATGCCACGGTTTTAGACTACCTGGTCTGGAATCTTTCCCTCATACTGTGGGAAAGTTCTCCCTAGTGACAAATTGAAGCACCAGAGGTGCACTGCCAACATTAAGAGTCAGCCAATCAGATCGCTCGAAGAACCTAACATATGGACGTGGGTTCAAAGAAGCCAGCACATAGAAAGTCACTGGATGAGTCTATCCTTTCGCAAAACCCCACAGACCCGTTGGAAAAAGTGGACGATTGGAAACGCCGTCTACACTCAAGAGCCAGGGGTTGTATTATTTCGGAATAAACGAAATGCAACGTGAAGTGTGCTACGTTGGCTTTAAAAAAATCATCAACACAAGTCGCTAGTTTATCTCAAGACGCACGAGCAACCGAGGTTTGCCGCTGTACCTCTGAAGCTCCCTCTGCAGTTCCTGGATGCGCTGCTGCTGAAGCCTCAGCAGGTCCTCCTCGTGGGCGGACAGCTCCGCGTCGGCCATGTTGGTGCTCTCGGCAGGAGAGCCTTGCTGCTGCACCGAGTCTGGGGCGCCGTCCACCTCCATCAGCACAACCGAAGGCGGATTGCTGGTCGAAAGAGAGCCAGACCCTTTGTTGCAGCCTTTCCTGTTGTTTCGTGACCCCGTGACCAACGTCAGGGTCACGTCGATTGGAAAAGCAGTAAGAAAAGACTGATCCTCAAGCCAATTGTTACCAAGAAGCAGTTCGACAGGCTCCATTAAATGTAACAGACTGTGGAGCGGGGCTGGTGGAAAAGACAACATTTGCGTCCTGCCGCCCGCATGCACACTACATGACATCTGTGGCATATGGTTCAGCATGATCATGACGACATGGGAGCAACGTTGCCCGCCGTAAATAAGGTTTCAGTTTAAGTTTGCGATGATTTTTCAAGAACAATTGCACAAATAATACTTATTTTTCATAGCAGTAGCTGCATGTACAAATGCAAGACCTCACTTTGGAGCAGAGGCACTGCTCTCCCTCTCACCGTCGTTTCTCACACATGGCAAGGCTCTCTCTCTTGGTCCCCCCTCTTCCTTCTCTTCTCCCTTCTCCCCTCTCCCCCTCCCTCCCTCCCTCCCTCCCTCCCTCCCCGTAGGCCTCTGCTGTTCCGAAAAACCCACATAATCACAAGGAGAATGCTTTTTTTTTGCCTTCCCATCGTTCCTGCCACATCCACGTACCTTCTTACAACAACCTCCCTTCCCTCCACCCCACTCCTCGTCCCTCCCCTCCCTCCTCCCTTCCCTCTATCCCTCTCGTCCTGCAAGCTCCTTTGCAAAATACCCACACGGTCGCGATGTGCGGACATGCTCCCTCGCCTCCCCACTGCCGCCGCCCAAGGTTCCATCCTCGTGCGCTGTCCGCACCTCTATGGATCAGTTTGCATACATAATTTCGCTTCTTCCGCCGCAGGTGCAGTCACGGGCACTCCCGTTACGATAGAGCGTTTCAGCAAAAAAAGAAGCACGTCTCTGTGTCCCTCTCTAACACATGCAACATCTCTCACAATTGTTCCACCAAAGCCCCATCTCACATACGTCCCCTGCATCAATTCCACTGAAAGCAAAGAGCCCAGAGAAATTGTAGAGCACACTGGCTGAAGGCTAATCTCCTTAAACATGCTTTCCACAATGCAGCAGTTAGTGCTGTCAGTCAGCACACATTGGGTGGTCGTATAGAATTTTCTGGAAAGCAAATTAATTAGAGCCATTTATGGCTCCTTTTTGACGTATGATCAACCATTATAATGAAAGGAATTGACTGGAGTTGCTTTGGAAGACTCGAGGGATGTGGGAAGCTCACCCGTCGTGAAGGTCCGCAGAGAGCGACGGGGACTGGGGGGAGCCCTCCGAGGCGTCGGTGCGCTCCACCGAGGCCGGGCTCTGGTCCGCCAGTCCCGAGCCCAGGGCGACAAAGCCAAAGTCCGAGAAAGGCTTGAGCCGCTCGATGAGCTGCGGCTTCGAGCCCGACACGGGCAGGTTGCGCCGCTTCAGCTCCGCCTTCAGGTCACTCACTGCACACGAGGTCCAAGGGGACTCACTCCTCTCTCTCCCTCTTTTCCCCCAGAGGCCAGAGATTCACCGAAATCAATTTCGAAAGCTGGGAGTTTTACGCGCCAAAGCTCATCCAGCATGATTATATGGTGGCCAATTTGGGCATCATATAATCATGAAAGGCCCAACTGGGACATTTAGTGCATTATGTAATCATAAAAAGCCCAATTAGGAAATTTCCATATTTCTGGCCCATTTAGGGCATTACGTAATTATGAAAGGCCAATTTAGGGCATCATATAATCATGAAAGGCCTAATTAGGGCACTTACACAATCTTGGCCCATTTAGTGCATTACGTGTTCATAACAGACCCAATTAGGAAATTTACGTAATCCTAGCCCATATAGGGCATTATGTAATCATGAAAGGCGCAATGAGGACATTTACACAATCCTGGCCCATTTAAGGCATTATGTAGTCATAAGAGGCCCAATTAGGACATCATATAATCATGAAAGGCCCAATTAGGACATTGACGTAATCCTGGCCCAAGTAGAATGCTTGCCCTATCCTGGCCCAATCGAGGCAGCCACATAATCACAGAAGGGCTCCTGACCTTTCATGTCCTCCAGCTTGGACCGCTGTCGGGGTGCCTCCGGCACTGTGGCTGCCACGGCAATGGGTGGCGAGGGTGCCACGGGAGGAAGGGGTGGCGGGGGAGGAGGACTGCCCAGGTGTCCTACGGGAGCCTGCACAGCCTCGCAGGGGGCAGCCAGGGGCTTCTGAAGAAAGGGACGTCACCCACACACGTCAGCTACCAGTCTCAACGAGCGGTTCATACACCCCAACACTAACAGCTAGAGCAGAGGTTCTTAAACTGGGTTCCTGGGAACCTAGGGGTTGGTAGGAACCCATCAGACATCACTGTAAAGCCCATTGTGCGCTAGAATGCGGGATCCTCGTTGCCCGTGTCGGCAGCTACAGCGAGGCAGCTTGGGTTGTTTGCAAAAACACGACGGACCAATGCGGCAATATAGGTTTAACCTAGGGCCAGGCCAGGCAGTGGGTTTCCTAAGCTTCCAATTATTCAATTACTGCTTCGATCGCAATCAATATTTTCTTTTAACCAGTTAACCAGTCGTGTTTTATAGATCGATGTGGCATATTAATCGACATATGAGAGGGTTACCTTCTCTAATAGGCCCCCAGCCCTAGTTTCTCACTATGACAATAGGCTGCATTCCGACACCTCCACCCAGATAACGGAGCCGTGGTGTTGAATGTTTGGCATCACCAGCGAGGGGCAGAGACTGGATACATCAGTTCCAACCAATCACCGACACAGCACTCGTGTCGAATCTTTCGAGGCCCGTGAATAAGGAAGCTAGTGACATCTTCACCCTCCTCCGGCGCATGCACTTTTTAATGCACATGCAATAACTATCCCAAGTTCAAAGAAATGTTCAAAGAAAGGCGTCAAAATTCGCGATGATGCGCTTTTGGCATTACTCGACTGGCGACATGAGCTCCTGGCGTCCACTGCACTCTTGACATTATGGGCGTTACTCCTTTTTCCTTCTCCCTCATGCACTCTTTCACCTTTATGTGTTGCTTTTTTGCCATCGCGTGTCGACAGCAGAGCAACCTGGACCACTCCCAGTTAGCAGGCAGCAAAACGATTTCGTTAAAAGGAGCTCTACAATCTGTGCCTCACATTGGCCCTCTCCAGGTGATGCCAAACATTCGGCATTACGGCTTTATCTAGGTATTAATACTGAGCGAGAAGACGAGGGAAGGGTGACGGAAAGAGGGGTCACTGACCTGTGTGGCTGGCAGCAGGATCTGTGGGTACTTCTGCTGCCACTCTAGCTGCCACTGGAGGAACAACTGCTGCTGCTGCAGCAGGAGCTCGTAGGACGACTCGGCAGAATTGGACGCCGTTGCGTGGTTCTTCTGGGCATTGGGTGGACCCTGCCAGGGAGATGGAACAGACGACTTTCTGAACACGGCTCAGAGCTATTTCGCAAACAGTTTACTGGACACCTCAAACAACGCAAGATTCCGTGGAGTGGCCAATATGTAATATACTGAAGCGAAATAATCCTCTTCCACTGAACATTCTAAAACGGGGCAGTCGACTAATAAGGGCCAGCACATCTGGACTCTTTAACATTCCCCTAAGTCATTATGCATGTGGTCGGCAACTTTTTCAATTCTGCAGTACTAAAATCTTGGATACTTTACCATCTTCAGTCACAAATTCGTGCAACTTTAACAGTTCCACGTTTTTTAAACGGGATACGTCTACGGTCACCTTGAGGCTCATTTACTTATCACACTGTAATTCTTCATCATTGTCAAAACATGAATGCCATTATGTATTTCATGTGTACCATTTTTACATTATGTAACTATTTCATAACCTGATATTTTGTTGATTGCTATGTATTTTCGACATTTTCATCAGCAGCGACTGTCATCTTAATATTTTACTGAAATGGGCAAAAAAAACTAGCCAAATTGGCTACAAGCCCAATGATCTTCCAGTAAACTGTAAGATGCACTTAATGTAATAAAAACCATCGATTTATTGATTGACACTGCTTCTATTCTCAACTGTGAAGCCATCAAAATGATCCCTGGTAGCATATAAAGTGAGAAAAATGGCATTCTAAATATAAAAATTAACGATTGCCATGGTGAATCTTGTGTTCCAGAAACTAATCCTGTACCCGCATAACAATTGAGACAAGATTCTCAACAGCAGCACTAACATTCTAAAGAAAGAAGTGTATGTTCGAGTGGCACAGCTTATACTACAAGTGGCTACACTATGTAGTATATTCTACTAAAACACTAAGGTGGACTAGTTGGTTAAGCATATAAGATATACAAAGCACAAAGAACAGATAGGGGCACAAGTAAATAAAGGGAGCTGCCCTCGTGTCATCGTCCTTATAACTTAAGTTTGATATGCAGTATCCTCATTTGAAGAGTATTTTCAACCATGTTCCAAGGTTCCTTTCAGGGATGTTGAAATTTGCCAAATAGAACTAAAGGACACACATTGAACAAGGACGAATGAATGCACGGTACCACAAATAGTACCGGCACTAACTTGGAAGATAGCATAGGTTAGTGCTATCTTCCAAGGTAGTCCTCCTTGTAGTATCGGTACCTTCATTTATCCTTGTCTTCTTTGTGCTGTTCACTTCTACACGTCAAGTTGCCAAATAACTATCACAAACCAAGGTGTTTGAATTTGGTTTTGGCAAAACTATGACATCCCAGAAAAAACTAAAAGAACTGTTTCAGAAACCCATTTCGCAGGCCTAAGCTGCAACAGGATGGCCAGTTTTAACCAAAAGTAAAAACACAAAATCATGCATATTGTTAATGTTGAAAAAAAAAAAAAAAAAAAAGGATATTGCCTAGCAATTTAAAAAATGAGTACCCCCCCATTCCACTCCAACTCCATTCCGGGGAATTAGAGTTTCTGGTAATTTCATTCCTTTCAGCTCCTAGGAATGGAGACACTTTGCGCAATTGGCTAAACCGTTCCATTTACATACGTGCCAAGTTCGGAGAAACCACATCTGGGAGAATTTCTTAGCGAGGGGAATACATATTGATAACAAATGTACATTAAGACAACTTCACTACATTTATATTGCATTGCTCATGTTAGTGAGATACAGTTGGGCCTTGCTCTCATTGCAGCTGTTGCATGTGTGTTTACCTGAGTGTACCTGCCATGCTCCCTGCACAAGCCTTATTGGCTTATGCGGGCCCACATTGCAATATGTTAAAAACTACAAATAAAATTATGTATGTATGATTGTTTGTTGCAATGGCAAAGACTCCTTGTTTAAAGAGATAAGACGATTTTATTTAATTTTTTTAAATGGCATTTTTCGGCTTGTTGGGAACCCAGCACGCTGCCTAATTTTTTGTAGACATTTGTGACGCGTATTTCTGTGCATACGAAAGAACTGAAGAAATCAAAACTGAACTATCTTCATCCTCATTTCTGGGCCTCCAAAAACGGAGGTGACGTAGAGAGTGACATCAGGCGTGAATAGTCGATATCGGTAGTCTTTAGGAGATCGAGACTCTGGTTACCGCGGTGGGTTATAGCAGCGCGGTGGCGCAGTAGTTTCGTTGAATCTGTCAACATGGACAACAATGCCGCTCTCGCGAGCGAGTTCGAGCTTCCTTCACCTGCTCTTCACGCAACAAAATGGCAGACCCCACGAGACGGTGGGAGACGGAGTGTCGACGCTCGTTGAGTGTGGCCCATAAAGCCGCTCCGGCGACACCTATTTCAGGACAAAACCGCACCTTCCCCGAACGGGGACCGGAGACGGTGGAAGATCGTGCCATGCGCACTGGGGGCCTCGAAACAACGCAGAGGCAAGCGTAAGAGAAGGTGGGCCTTTCCTCCCGGGGGGGCCTACGAAGGCCGGGTGACCTCGGCCCGCCTAAGCGGTGGCAAGGCCACCGTCTGAGCGGGGCGACGGGAGCCTTCGGCATCTCCGGGCTGTCACGATACCGACGGGTGCGTGCACGCGGGAGGAAAACACGGCCGCCTTCTCTTCGGCCGGAGCACCACGAGACGCCCTCCTGGCAAGGCGCCAGGTCCACTCCCCACTCCCAAGATACCGACGCAGGGACAATGCCGTCTGCTCAGACACGGGGCTGGAGGGGAGAGAGGAGGCCCTATAATCCCCGAGGCGACATTACCCGAGTAATGAGCGCCGGATCGGCCCACTTCCTCGGCTTGGCACGCGGACCTGACAGGACACTCGAAATAATCTCTCGGGACCCGGCAACGAACGCGGGCAGAAAGACATCGGCAACACGAATAAAGAAGGATAAAAAGAGGGGATGTGCGGGAAGCGGGTCACAAGCGCAATCGAGGCCAAACGGGCCGTCCGACCCCGTATCGCGGGCTCCCATCGCGCCGCTTTGTGCCGCGGTTCCGGGAAGACTGCTGCCGCCGCACGAGGCACGCACGGGTGGAAGACGACGGTTGCATGCGTTGGGTAACGAGCCGTGGAACGAGGGCCTGGCAGGCCAAGAGCGGCCTGTTCTAGTTAAGGGGGGACACTATCTGGGAATGTCAACTCTTGAGCCGCTCACTCCGTCGGTGTGATATTTGCAGGCGATGTTTGTAGCCACATAGAAGGTGGGCATGCAAAGTTTCAGCCCTGTGAACCAATTTTATAACCCCCAGAATGAAGTAAAGCAATACTGTTGCTTGTAATCTGCTGAATGATTCTACCATAAAATCCCGCGTATCCGCCCATTCCACATTCAGCGCCCATTACCACATTTGTAAGATCCGAGTGAATACGCACGGTACGTTTATGTGTAAAATTGATGACTGGACAAGCGCCCATCCCCCATTTTTTTGCAATTATCTCCAAAGTTTCAATGGGCGCTTGCCCAGCATTTTACGGTATCATTGAGAAATGGTGTTGATAACCACATATTTTTCTGGTGGAATGCATACTGGAATACCTGAACATGAAAATACAAAATCTAAGTACATGGTAACCGGCTCCATAAATTTTCGGCACACAAGCCGCAAATATTAACTCTCTCGATAGTTTCATACTGAAACAATAGTTTTATTAAAGTGAAATTTATGCCAAAATGTGCAACGGAGAAAAAAGCATTCAAAGTGCTCGAACCTCTACCTTTTCTTTAGCATTGCTGGACTGAAACTAATTCATAAAAAATAACTATCTAGTGTATACAAAATTAGCTTTTAGGGAATACTCTCTAGATCAGGGATTCTCAAACTTTGTGGTCTCGCAGAACCCCAGGAAGCCTCAAAAACGGTCGTGGAACCCTACCCCCCCCCCCTCTCTCTATATTTGCCCACCGAAAAGCAACAGATGCACAATTGTAGACAATTTTGCTTGTGTTGCTTCCCCAATATCCCCGCCATATCAATCGCGATGTCAGTAGAAAGTGAGATGAAGGCGCTTTGCATGGTCCTGCCGCGCACCCTGCGGCATGGGGGGGGTTGCAATATGGGTGTTCGCGGAACCCATGAGACCAGCTCGTGGAACCCCTGTGTTCCCCGGAACCCAGTTTGAGAACCCCTGCTCTACATGTTGGTGGATGTAAATGTGGCATTTTTCAAAATCAACTTTTTTTTTGCAGAAATATTTACACCAAAGCTGTAACAGCTTCGCAGTAAATATTTCTGGAAAAAAGTTGATTTGTGCTAGGATTGAAAAAAATGTATCCATGGATGTTAACAAAAATAACTCCCGTTTAAACAGCACTCCTTCATTCCGACTGGTCATGGCAAGTAAAAATAAAAAAACTTTCAGCCTTTGCACTCTGGTGAAGAAGGAAGACCAGCGGAACTCTACAATGGCCGGCCACAAGTCGGCAAGCCAGAGTGCAGAGCCGTATATGGGGAGAGTTTGGCCAGTCTAATCTCGCTGCCAAAACGCCCTCCTCCCGAGTGAGCAAGTCAGCTTGCGGCGCAAAACGAGAGGCATCAGCGCGTGCACGTGAACTCCTGGCTGCTCCCAGCTAAGCGGGAGGGCCGCCATTTTTATTCATTCGCCCGGCGGAAATCATAGCGGAATGCATGGCATCGACATCAAAATTTCGGTTTTCTTTTTTTATTTGGCAGGCTACGGCAAGAAAATGATATAGTGTTATTCCTCGGTGGCTTAAAGAGCTAACGAATAAAGTTTCTCCATGTTTGAAAGCAAACCTTTTGTTCGGGAGAAATAGAAATAAGCCCGTAGCAGATGACGCATAGCCTCAACAGTGCCCGGCGCGCCGACAGCGTTGTGTCAAAATGGCGGTCGTCTCCTCTTTGCTCCCTTCTTTCTCTCTCGCTCCTTCGGCACTCTCCTCCCTTTCCTTCACTTTTCTCCTCTACAACGCCTTTGTCGCCTCACCCACTGGCCAGACTCTCCCAATATATGCCTCTGCCAGAGTGGAAAGGCTGCCCACATCTAGGAGCAACGGAGGCAACCAGATACGTGGCTTGCCGCCGTCGCTCACAGATGGCGGTAGGTGTCCATAGCTCGGTGTCTTTATTTCTTCGCGGGGGACACGATCCTGGGGAAACTAGCCCGTAACACCTCCCCTGTAAAAGAGGGGGCAACCTGCGTGAGTCAGCCTTCCTTGGCATCATTAGATAGTGTGGTCCTGATCCCTTTTTATCACCTACGGTCACTGGCTTATCTCAGCTAAAAGTGCGCTGTGACCAGGCTGAGGGCAGAACGCGCCCATTTAACCTTCCTTTTTTTCCCTACCACAATGCTGATAAAGAGCCCAAGTCGCTGTAAAACCTAGAATAGTCGTATACCAACAAGTATACCAGAACGTGTATCGACTTCACAGTTAGCAATAACGTATCCAAAGTCAAAATACAACCAATGGCGGTTTACCATAGTGACCATAAGACAATGATCACTTTAGTCGCTAAGAATTAAATAAAGACAATTAAGCAATGAAGTCGTGTACGTGACTTCATTGCAGTCATATGTAAATCGTATAGCCATACAGTTGTCGTAAAGACAACAGTCTCGCTGGTCCTCTATCTTCACGTGAACTGGGTGGGCTCCACGACCTTTTGTTTCTAGGTAGTAATGCCAGATTTGGGACGAGTTACAGCCCGACCCTCGGGCCACCAAGAATCTTTGGCTCGGGAAATACTGAAGTTGACAGTTAGACGCGGATATTGCGAGACACGTGGGCCTAAGAGTGGGCCGCAGCCAGGGCCACGGAGAATCCGCAGCTTTCGGAGAATCGAAGTCGACATTTGCGTACGGCTGTCGTGACACTAAAAAATGTCCAAACTATGTCTCTGTTGGCACCTAGCAACCAGACAGTGGCATAATTTCCGAGAAATTCTCCAACTGCGGAGGGCACTTGTGAGGGTAGGGTATGTTGAAAGTCGCATTACGTAATCTGACAAAATATATTCCCAAAGCAGTAACGAGACTCACGTTTAAAAACTAAACGATCCACACTGCAGAATTTTCAAAGAGAGGAAAACACTCTTCCGAGCGCCATCCGCAGTCAGCACCGGTAACACAGAATGGGATAAAACGTTGACGAGACCTCCGACACGTCTTACGCCATTTTTAGAGGATGGTCGTGGGTTTTTACTAGGTCCCGAGAATATTCGCAAAGTACCAGAGGCCCTAAGGTTACCCGTGCCCGATGCCGCTTAAATAGAGTCGGTACGGATATCGCCTCGGGCAATTTGTGAGCTCACTTTCTGGCTCTGGCAAAGTTAAATAGGCACATAAAATAACTGGGAAACATAATATGGAGAGCAAGTCATCCGCTTCTTGCACAGGGTGACGTCAGAACGACGCCACGCTCTGATAGGCTCCGATCGAAAGGACAGTGGGTAAACCTCAATGCTAGATGCCTCGAAGTCTACCCACTATTTTTTTTCAATCAGACAAGAAGGGCTCGGCCAACTGACATCGTTGCAACTCCTGTGCAAGAAGTGGATGAACTTGCGTTCTGGATAGGTTGTCTCACTCGATACAATAGGATAGACTAAGACAAACCAAACCTTAAGGCCCATTCAAACACTTGCATTTGCTCACTACGAGAGAATACACTGCAATGCAGGTGCCATCTATGAGGTGACCCTGGAACTGCATTTTACTAGAACGCAGTTCTCGCATCATTCATAAATGTACATACTATTTATGAGAAACGGTCATTTATAACATTGCCAAAAGTTTTTCGAGCCAAAATAAAAGGACGATGCGCGCAAAAAATAGAAAACAATTGGCAGACACATTTAAGACTGCTTACGTGTGGGAATGCAAAAGCATTCTAGTCCCTTTGGTGAAATGTTTTCAAATGATGTTTTAGGCGTGCATTAAGAAGACACAGCACCAAACAAATCAGAAAAGTGACGCGCGGGAGGCAGTGCGCTCATTTTATACGCTTATGACGTAGCACCATCTCCTCCCCATTGGCTGCGCCGTAACGTGCCCAATAACGCATGCACTAGGCACACCTTTAGTCACCCAGAACCGTAAAGCCGCCGTGGCGTCGGGGAAGCGTGCTCGTCTCATACCCTGGAAACCCGAGCCATCAATTTGCTTTGTTTACAGGAACCTCCCTGAGAAACTAGACGTCAATCCGAGCATTTTCGACGCGCTTTTACTCTTTGAGTCGTCGGCCATTTTTGACACCATCGCTCGGTCACGTCGCCGCCGCCACCACCGGATTTTCACATAATGGGGCATAAAATGCTTTTGCGTTATTATATGTGGAAACGCAAAGTGTTCTACAGTTACTTGATTGATTGCGTCAACATGTTCCCTCGTCACGAGGGATCCCAAGATGTTTTAAGGCACTCGGTCGTAAGCCAGTTGCAAGTGTGAACCACCCTCAAACCAGTTCGCACTGACAGGAGAGGAAGCGAAACGGCCGAGACACTCACCTTGTACTCGTGGAATTTGATGGTGCGAGTCTTTGGCTGTGCCTTCGACTTGGACTTCTTGCGTGCCGCCTTGCCACCACCGGCCTGCGGCTGCGCCGCCGTGGTCGAGGGCGGTGCCACCGTTGCCGTCGCTCCCGCCAGAAACACCGTAGCCGTCGGTGCCGCCGTCATCGCCGTGGCGGCACTCAGCAGCGGCTGCAGCGTCGGCTGCACCAGAGCGGCCGTGGTCGTGGCTACGACTTGCTGCTGCTGCTGTTGCTGTAGCTAAACGCGGTGACAGAAAAAGATGCTTTAGCCTCCCCCGTGGTATGGACGGCTAGACTGGAGCTATAGCCACTAGGTAAGCTTCACTTCAGAATAACAATGCTTCGGTTACCCTGCTGCTTAAAATCATAGTTAACAGTTATCCGGAGCTTCACCTGAAATCGCAAGGACCGCTTTTGCATTCTCCAGAAGCGTTCAAACTGTGTGTGACAGAGCGCAACAGTATTGCCCGAGTTTTCCGACACCGTATCTGAAGCCATGGAAGCAACATTTTCTAACGGTACCCCGCCACGCACTAGGGCACGAAGTGCCAACGTCCAGAAGACAGTCGGAGAGTGTCGATACTGTCAATGTGGCCTGTTTAGTGGCTCTAGCCTATGCCAGCGCAAAGGGCTACGTCGATGTAAAAGGCAAGACGCTCCCACACTAGTAGGACCGTTTCGGTATTTTGGCTCAACACTCGAATGCTGATAGGAGCGTCTTGCGTACGGCAACTCCATTATAATCACTGACAGAATGAGAAAGCCAGGGAGAAGTTTCAGTTGTTCCACATCCAGTGCGAGCTTCCTGCTTTGGATGACGCTTGGTCGTCTCGTAAGCCTCGAGCATGCCCACAAAGCCAAAGTGTGGCAAGATGCTGGACATGTAGCATTAAAGAGAGATGGCCTACCGTTCTGACCTTATCAGTGAGCATAGACATATTTTACATCTAAAACGATAGCTTTAGCAACGATTCTATCGTGACGTGCTCACCTGGTGGGAGGCGCAAAGGGAAGCCAGTGATGCGGCGGCCAGCGCCGATCCGCCGAGAGGTGCCGGGGGTGGCGCGGGCGCCACGGGAGGCGACGACCGCGGACTCGCTCCGGAGGCCGACCCAGGAGAGCCCTCGTGCAGGGTGGAAGAGGACGACGACTCCGACAGGTCCATCGAGGGCAAGCTGCAAGAGCCGAGAAGGAGGGGGAGCAAGACTGGCCTTAGCATAAAGTCCACAAAGTTCCAAAACCAGAATGTAGCTCATTACAAGACAAATGAAAGTGTTCTTTCAATACCGAACATTACAGCTATCTTGGGAAGCGGGAGACAATCCAGTCCAAAAAGCCCAAAACAATGTTTGGCAGACGTTGGGTATGCTCGCCGTCGTAAGGTCGTGACCTTGGTCATTGTTTACCCCCTCACAGGTGGCACTCCTAGGTCGGCACCTTTAGACTTGCAAGTCTGTCGTGTTTTCTGACCAAAAACGAAAGCAAAGCGTTATAAGGTTGGCTTCCATAACATGAGTGTAAAGTTACAAAACAAAGCATCGCAGAAAAACTGTCCCACGCTTGCTAAATTTAGCGTATTTACATCTAGCTGCATCCCATTACATCTAGCAAACCCCGCCAACTTTCGCTCACTAATAAGAAAGTCTAGGATTGTGAAAATATCAGAATTTTCTAAATGCTGTTTCGAATAACATGCCATTCGATTTTTGCTTAGAGATGAACTGCGATATTCATATTTTTAAAAGTGTTGATCAGGGCAGCACCAATGCACCGCAGAGAAGCAACACCCGCGAAGCTAGCTTCCGCAGGTGTTGCTTTTGCGCAGCGCACTGGTGCTCAGTAAGAAGCGCGCTCAATGACGCTAGCCTGCCGCAGTGAAAACTTTGAAAAGTACAAATACCGCAGTAGCGTGCTTAGAAGAAAAGCACACTTTCAAAACAGACAGTGCACCTGGCATATTTAAAAAGAAACGTTAACTTTGTGAATGTTGATATCTGCACCATGGTGTTCAACTGAACCCAAACCGAACTGGAATAATGACCGGTTCAACTCCCTGATCTACACTGCAGTAAAATTTTCAGAATTAAACTGTGGCTATTATGCAAGAGTATGTGTTAGGCAGAGATGCCCTGACAACCCACGTAAATCATTCAAGATGGTCTTTTCTTTTCTTTTTTTTTTTTTTTCTATTTCGAGATTGCATAAACATTACCGTAGAGCAAAAACATGCACAAATCCCCTCATTAAGGTGCAGCTGGGTATCTCTATAGGTTCAATTTTCTGACAAGCATTGGACATTCTGAGGCCAAAGTCCATAAATAGTTACATTAAAATTAGCTTCGAAATGGATGAGTGGAAGCTTAGGAAGAACCACGACAAGTTAAGCTGCGCTCTCGTTCAAGTATGGTGCATCGGTGCTGAAAGGCTTGGAGAAACTATCTCATATTCGATAAGGAAATATTTGACCAAAACCGTTTTCCACTTCGAATAGGTCTTACACTCGAAATCCAGCATTTGCACATCCCCAAAAAATATGTTCCGTGTCTCCCGAGTTTATCTGCAGGATTAAGATTTCACTTTAAATAAAAGCAGGGGCAAAGCGAGAGCACGGGCATATGCTTTTTCGATTGGTAGCGCCCTGCTCCAGATCCGGCATGCGGTTTCACAGAGCCGACACCTCGAGGGCATTGACTGAGCGTGTAAGCAGACGGACAGCTTAATGGCCAGTGCAGTGGGGAAGGCGGCCTCACCTGCTCTGCGACTGCTCGTTGGATTCCCGACCCGGGGAGGGCACGAGCGAGTCGCTGCCCGCACTGTCCTCGTCGATGAGGAAGTGCGACGGGGGAGGGTGCCTGCGGCTCTCCCCCTCGCAGGTCCGCCGGAACGGAATCTGGCCCTCTGCGGGAGAAAAGACGGTAGTCAGCAGACGTTCAATTGGCAATCGGATGGAGATCGGTGGACGACACACTCTTTAAGAAATTCGGCACCATCTAGTGGTTCAAATATCGATATAAATGTTTTACGCTAAAGGCCGGGTAAATTTCGTAGTAACTGTTTAACGGCAGACGCACGAAAGAGACGGGGTTCTTTGCCACGCAGTGGTTCCTCTATCTCCGTTAGTTTCGACGACGACGAGAAACTTCCCCTTTGTACATGTGTCGGTGCCACCAATATCTGCACCTACGCTCCACCGTTCCGACCCCTTCAAAACTCGTCGTATTACCGGACTTATAACCACAAACTCCTCACTGGCAGAGAAAGGGTCAGACGTTCCAAATATGGCACTTGAAGGAAAGCGGCCTCGTGGAGGGTCCCGTTTGGGGGGGGATATATTTTTCACACCGCGTTCGCAAAATGTAGATTTTGTATCAAAGCTTGACGTGCAGGAAGCTTCTCGAACCATTGGCACTGTGAGTGCCACTTAGACACGTGTAACTGCATTCTTTTTATAATGCAAGTGCCATTTTAAAGCGGTCGTATACAAGCAGACGTGGGGACTTGGGGGATGCGTGAGGACGCATGCGTGGCCAACTCCATGTTGTCGCGCCCGTCGAATTTCCTACAAGAGCAAGGGCCATGTGTCCCGCAATACCTGGAGTTTTACGCCACTGCAAATCTCCGCAAGCAGAGCATATAAAGTTACTCTAGTCCATCAAAGTGCCGACCCGATGCCGCGCCAACGTTGCAATGCACGCGCCTTTGGCGGGGCTCACCCTTGATGGCCTGCGCGAAGGAGGCATCGGTTTGGAGAATGTTTCCTTTGACCAGCTCCAGCGGCCCTGGCCGGTGCGAGAGCCGGTCGTTGAGGCCATCTGCCAGCCGGGCCTTCTTCAGCTGGCGCTGTTTGTCCTGCAGGCTCGGGTCCACCGTCGTGTCTGCGGGGAAGAGGGACGACGCCGCGCTTTCGGCAAAGTCGGGCCAAATCGGGGCACGGCCCACCGCGAGATCCTGTACGAACGCCCTTGCACCGAGAGACTGCCCGACCCATTCTTCTGGCTCAATATCCGGAGGTTAAAAATTCTGAAACACCCCCCACCCCCCTCGATTCCTGTCGGACGTCGCGCAACGTCCAACGGAAATCACATCGACCGCGCAACCTGCGGCGTCGGTACCTGTGGCGAGCTAGTGCGTAGCTGGTTCCTGCGTGTTTATTGCACCGTAAAACCTGATTCTGCCGTGTTTCTGATCTGCAGTATCAATTCCTGCGTCATATAACTTATAGCACATTCCACCCTCTCGAGGTTATCGCTCATTTCTGATAAAATTTTGCCGTTGCATCCCCAAAAATCACCCACCTGATATTTTTCACCACTTATGTCTTTATCGTGGGTGGGCAATCAATTGGGATTTTTCGGTAGTCAGCTGAGGCTCTCGAGCTTTTTAATCTAAGGAAGAGCCCATTTCTCTAGACTGGCACCTCACAAACTTCTCATCTCGGTAATGACACAATCTAGAGGTGCAGAAGCCTGCAGATCTCGTAAGCTGTAATGGACAACTGGGGAGTGTCCGGCACATACAGTAATGAGTCGACAGATGACCTCCTAAAGTAGCACTTTAACTGGAAGAACACTTCGCTTAGGGGGAGGGATGGCCGGGGAATTGTAGGGACTTGGGGAACCGTTGATGGGGAACCCAGTTTGAGGACCTATGGCCCAGTGCAATCCCGTCTGAACCAACCTCGACGTAACCTCAAACAAGGTCCAACTCAGAGTAGCCCAGTCAAAACACAAAAATTCCTAACCCAGCCTTAAATTTGAAGTTTTTAGAAAAAAACTATTTTTCCTTTTCATTTTTATCTATGGTGGTTAAACAACCAATAATGCACACTCCTGTAAATTTGTATTACAATATTTGAAATACTTACGGTGAAATAAAACATTTTTGGTAAGCCGATGATGCAAAATCATGTTTTGGAAATGTGAAACTTCTGTTTCCTATTTTCTAACTGCTGTAGCTCTGCACCGGTACGCCCTAGAATGGTCATCATACTCTCGTTGGAAAGAGCATTTCTTTACAGTTTCAGTACGTTAAACTTCTTTGTTCGAGAGTAAACACTCTTCGGGCAAGAGCACCATAGAAGTCCAGCTTTCCCGTGGAAGACGCTATGCACATGGACAATTTCTAACTGCTGTAGCTCTGCACCGGTACGCCCTAGAATGGTCATCATACTCTCGTTGGAAAGAGCATTTCTTTACAGTTTCAGTACATTAAACTTCTTTGTTCGAGAGTAAACACTATTCGGGCAAGAACACCATAGAAGTCCAGCTTTCCCGTGGAAGACGCTATGCACATGGACAAAAATCGAAAAGCCCGCCCCGACTGAACAGAAAACTAACTAAAACCAACATTTGTTTATAGAAGGTCATGCGGGTTCGTCTGCTTCGTATTTCGATGATCCTTGCCCTGACCATAATTGCTGACGCTGGTTTGTGTATTGGAACCATATACAATTCATCACCCGTTTCATAATCAATGTCCACATGTCGACAACAAAATTACACTCCAAGAAAGCATTTTAAGCTAGGACTTGCTCAGCAAGGCCATGGAGGAGAGTGTAAGCAGAAGGCACCAGCTATGCTCATGGTGCCTTTTAGTTGCTACCACCACCAGTAACATCAAATGTAATGGTTTCGAAACTTCAAATACGTTTTCCTCAGTTTCACTTATTTGCAGCAACTCTCGTTTTAGGAAATCTATAATTTCAATGAATTACGGAAATCGTTCTTCGCTGTGGATGTCTCTGAACTGAAATTTAACGAGAAAGGCGGCTAGATAATTACTTTTCTATTTCAATAATGTTCTTATTGCCAAAAATTAGGGTTTCGATAAGAAGGAAATGCCCAATTAATGTGGAATGCTTTTCAAATCGTCATTTTGCATAGAAAAAGTGCAGATTTCAGGATAAAAAATAGATAGCCGCAGCCCCCCATGCTCCAGTGACGGCTGAAGCTTAGAAATGCTCAATATTTTGCAGCAATTTTATACGATAGATTTCCTTGCCAAGTGAGGCGACTTGCATCACTAGCTCTATACCTCCCCCTGTATCTTTTCGGAAAATCGTCCTACGGAGATGAAACATCATACGCCGCATTCAGGCAACGAGATGAATAGACCCTTTAAATGTCATCAATATTGAGCGACCGGTTTAAAAGTTGACAGTTGAAGGTGGGGTCACCCCTCAACGCAATCGATGCACCTGGGTGTAAATTAAACATATTCTGGCGTAGCTTACACTAGGCTGACCTGACCAACATCAGTCTTTTCAGCTGACCACACTGGCATACAGGGCCTCCCAAGGCAGACAATGCACACGGCCCAGACAAGCTATTGCCGCTCTTCCCTGTTTTCTAAGAATCGAAAGGCAGCCAACAAAACCACCGACGGGATGGAAAGTGCTACTTTGGGGCAGGGACCGAAAGCGGTCGCTGCCCGTCAACGCCCTCTCCGAGCAAAACTGCACAAAAAGGCACCGATGCCACATTCCCCATCCATGTCACATGGTGCCTGTGGAGGAGGGCTATGAAGCGGCTCCATTCACATTGGGAGTCTCGAAAACAAAATATCTATGGCACGCACCTTCGAGAATGTGTTGCTGGATGAGCTCCTGTCTGTCGGGCCTCCGTTGGATTTTGTTTTTGAGGTAGTCCCCCATCTGGGCAGAGACGGAAGGAAAAGTGGCGACGACGACATCAGTACTCTCTTCACCCATTCGTTGATTATACTTTCGAAATTCTGGAGGTCACTCTGGAACTGGAAAGCAGAGTTTGCAGAACTCTCCAACATTAATAGAAGACACTAAAGTGGTTTCTGAGGTTGTCTTTTTATGGTGAAAACTAAATCCATGTAGTACCCTGATTATCTCAGAAAACTTGAACTTACACTAATGAGTGGCCCTCTCCTTATTAAAAATGCGACCAAAACTGCAACACGCTTCTTTTCCCGAGATATATTTCAGAAAAGAGGCATGTTATATGTTTGGTCTCATTGTTAATAAGAAAAAAGGTCACGCACTATCATAATTCTTGACATTTAGGATGCCTAGCGCTTATCGGTTGAGTTATTGCAATAAAGAGACAAGCTCAAAATCCCCTTCAGTGCATCGTTAAGGATACCGTACAATAACAAGCATGCGCCCATGTCGCTATTAGTGCCTATTCCCCACTTTTGAGACATTTAAGAAATAACTAAAGAACATATTGAGCAGACACCTCCTATTTTAAGCAAGTTCAAAAATATGCGAAAGACTCATGAAGCGCCCAGTCGCCGTGGGTAGCCATTATCTCCGTGACAAGCATACAGCATGGGCATAGCTAATGCACAGCGCAGGTGAAGCGGCTTTAGTGACAAAGACTACATGGTGTACAGCCAATCACATTTCAATTGTCCTCAATAAACCGTATTTACTTGCATAATGAACGCACCCCCCACAACGATCGTCAGTATTGATTTTTTTCTTTTCCTGCGCAACCGCCGAGTCAATTAAGCAGCTAAGTGGCCAGGCCAAGCCAAGCCAAGAATGGCAGCACATGCGTGCGAGTTATGGCTGAAAGGGGAAAGTTGCAGAAGCGATAAGCAGTGTAACCGTGCAGTGTGCACGGCCAACAAAATTGAGGTTGAGGATTGCATGGCTCTCGGAAATGTTTTGTCCGTCGGATATATATGGTACTGATGTCGACGAATATATGACCCGTTTTCGGATGGTGAAATTGTGAAAATGCTAAGGCCTGGGGACGGTGGCGTCAGTTTTTGTGACGAGAGCTGCTGACACAAAAACTGCATTGAGCGCCGTAGTGTACTTTTTCGTTGGTGAAAAATGCCGAGGCTTTTCATGCACTAGTGCACTCGGCTATCTAGGCAAACGACTGCCGTTCTGAGTTCCGTGATCAGACCAAAGAAGTGCACACTAAGTGTTCACCTTCTGCATTTTTGCTCTTGGACCTAGCAAGCGCCCGTCCCCCCAGTTTTCCACGATTATCTCCCAATTGTAAGTGGGCGCTTGCTCGGTATTTTATGGTAAATATCTGCGCTATTTCAATTAAACTGGCCTGTATGAAGATTTAGGGGCCACACCAACTTTAGATTCAAAAGGTTTATTTTGTGTCAAGTTACAGCCTCATTTGTAAAAAGCAGCTGCACAAGCGGTTGTGCCAAACAAAAGAAGATATTGTTACAGAATGTCAACAAAAATGTGACAACAACCTTGCTTGCATATAAACTTAAATGACTACAAAATTGTTAGTGGGCTTCAAATAAGTTTTTTGATGTCATATCTAGCCTAATAAAAAGTTTAAAATAGATTTTTCTTTTTTTTTTTTTTTTCTGACCAGTTTAACGGAAATAGACAATTTCTTGCTGATACCAATAAAAGTCTTAAAGCAGAAAGTGCAGAACTAAGTTCAACTGAAATCTCCCGTAAATTTCACTATGGAAATAGCCATATCAGGACTTTTCGGTCATTGAGTTTCAAAGTAGCAATCAAAACCAGTAAAAACATAAAGCTGAAAAAATGAGCATTTTAAACAGAAGTCCACTTTTCATGAATGTTTCGAAAGTATAAATCTTCCTGAGCACTTTTTTTTTTTTTGTGTGTGTGCGTGTGTGTCAAGATCATCAGCAGAACAAAAACGATTTCATTAGAAATATTCTTACACAAATGAAATCTTCTAACAATATTCTTTGAAACTTTAGCTAGCTAAAAAAGCTATCTTTCAAAATGCAATTTTCGTACTGCCTGGAGCTGAGCTGGATGGTTTGACATGCTTCTGAAGGTTCTACGTGCTACGTTCAGCTGGAAACCCTCAGAAGCAATTTTGTCTTTTAAGACAGTTTGTAGCTGGCCTCAGTAAGTGAGATCTTACCTTGGCCCTTTCGAGGTTTTTCCTCTGTTCATGGAATGCGGGTGAGGCCTTGAGAGCTGCCGGCAGAAAGGGGAGAAAAATCCTTCAAACCTCTGGAGGATAAAAGGAGCACTGCTTCGTGGTTTGCAAGGTCTGACTGCAACCGGTTATTTGCACAGGCTTTCTTCCCCAGCCTGGCTTCCCTTAAAAACGTTCGGAAGAAAATGCCCCCAATTAATTTTTCCACTTCTTTACCCTCTGTGCCTAAAGATTATGATCACAAGGGGGGCATGAAATGCCACACAGATAAAAATATATACTATCAGATAAGCGCAACATCTGTAGGGCTCCAGGCTTACATATGATTTCCCTACATGCAAAATGCTGTGAACAGCCTTTTACAAAATAGAAACAGAAGCAAACAACCACCAACGCAACATTTGATTTTGTTCTAGTGCAATGTCTTTCTTTTTTTTTAATGCCACAGGAAAACTGGCAACTGATTAGCAATTAAATGCTGCTTCAAAGTTGGAAGAATGAATTGTCTGTACTGCACTCATTTTGCAACTGTACACCGATGCACCCTGGAAATCAATTTTTCTTGCATTGATGTTATGCTGTCCGGTTTGAGCCTCTGAAACTTTCACCTGATCAAGCACTACCACCCTGCTGCCATAAAAAAAAAAATGCCACGTCGAGTGGCAAGAGTAAAAGGCGAGGGAGGAAACACTCACATGGCATAATGCCTTGTTCCACCAGTTGAGTTATGGGTCGCCGAAGCATAAGCTTCACCTTCAGCGCTGCTCCGGCGGGAAAGAAACCAAACACGAGGAGACAAAAACAATTTAACACACTTTCATCTGGCCACGCAATTAATCAAGGTCACAAGAATAGCAAAGGTTTGAACCCACTTCATGAAACAAGCTGGCAACACTGGATCTCTCTGGCCAACAAATTACGGCGCATTAATTACACTGTTTCTTCGGTTTGAACATCCTCTCACAGTCCTCAGACAAAGGGGGCTCATTCTGAAGACAGCGAGGTTGAAAATATTTCTCTTCTATTTGCATTTCTATTCATACGAAATATACACAGCTCATCTGCCTTACAATCTGAATAGATATGTACTTGGTTTTGACAACGCCTAAATATTTTTGTTAATATCAAGTTTTATTTGCAAAGTCTATGGGAAGGATTAAGACAAATTGAAATACCGAAATCAGAAAACAAACGTGCCTCCCTAGACTGAAAGGTCTGTGGAATCCGATAAGGTATAACTGAAAGCTCTAGGAAAAAGTACACAAGCGTTCCGGGTGCCATGCCGAAACAACGGCCGTCTGTACAGTGCCTGGAACGCTTCTTCAACTGGTGTGTATAGCATTCTATTTTGCCCATGCATCAAAAGTGGTCCCAAACAAATGACGTCTCGGGGGCCAGCGTCTCATGCTGTCAGATGTCACGATCCTGGCAGTTGGTCGAAGAAGCTCCAGAAAAAAAGACGAGCGAACGTCAGTGTTGTTGCTGCAGAAGCTTCCATGGACTGTCGAGCAAGAGAGTGACCTGGAGCAGGTTTGCTTGCCACTGTGCCATTGCTAGGATCGTGACACTTCTACGTAGTCATGGAACAGAAATTGAGAGACCTCTCTCGAGGACGCAGTGAAGACACCGGTCGGAGACACATTCCAGGCACCGTAAGCAGGAAGGACACCCTCGAGCAGGAAGGGGGGTTGCTCCACTTACACTCCTTGTTCCTGTCCATGGCCTGGTGCAGGGAGGCTTCGTCCACGCTGGGGGGAGAGGGGGTGGTCCTGTCTCGAGGCGTCTGCTCAGCCATCAGGTTCAGCTGGTAGTCCCTGAACCACTCCGGGTAGATGGACACAATGGTCTCCAGCAGGTCCTGGTCCAGCCGGATGCCCCAGTACACCTGGCGGTCCCCGTGGCCTGGACAAAAGTAGATGTGGCATTCTTTGAGGGCTGTCCGAGCAAGAACTGGCGAGGAACGCTCCAAGGCACCCCCATCCAAGCTCCGGTCCGAACAGACCGAGGAAAAGCTGAAGTCTTTCCGTTTTGTTCTTCGCTTACTCTAAACTCTCCATCACCCTTACTGTTTCCCCTTCGCTTGCCCCTTTTTTTGTCTAGCACGAGCGTAGTTGCTCCTCAAATACAAAAAGTATCAAGCACTGAAAAAAAAAAAAAAAAAAGCCACACAAGGCATTTTGTGTTGTCTTATTTTGTCTGTCATTGTTGTTTTCAGAGCGTTATCCTTTTTAAGCTATGAACCAACTCACCTAACTAACTACTCCTCTGGTTCAACAGGTCGCAAGGTTGCCAATCACTTTGTAGGGATTTTACTTTTCCCGAGTGCCATCTCTCTTTCTCTCCCTTTTCGTCGATACTTCTGCTACCCTGTTCGTCCCTAAGTAGAAAGTGCAGTCAATCCTGCATGCCTGGTGGACCAGTCGTACGGCTAACTTTCGCCGCATGATGGTGCTCCGCTCATACCGATGCACAGAGAGTGGGATCAGGTGATGAAAACAAGGTAATTGATTGGTAAAGCAAGCATGTAACTCCCACCACACTGTCAGGCTAGGGCTGAACGGAGTATAGGATCTCCACTGTTTGGCGGGGGAGATACGCCCACTCTTCCGGTATTCTTTTTTTGGAATGGGTCATTCTCCGCTTTAGAGATGGACGAAATAGTCATTGAACTGAATGCTCTACACTTTTTTTCACGTCATGTGCGAGCAAAACCGAAGCTACAAGTACGAGGACATTGACCCGAGATTCTTGCACCGCACAAATGCACATAATTGGCAGAGACAGAGCATGGAGCTCTCTCTAATAGATTTTGCTACGATCGTGCATAGAAATCACGCAAAGCGTGACAGCCAGCCGTAGAGCAAACAAATGTGACCGTGACGTGCCCATCATCTGTAATCGTTCGTCCTTACCGTCTCTTTCCTCTCGTATTTGCAGCAGAAGTTGCAACTTCGATTTAGACGGCCATAAAATACTGGGAAAGCACCCATCTCACTTCCCCTCAAAACTGGGTTACTATGGACGTGGGCGCTTGTCCGGTCAAATTGGTGAGAACCAAGATGCCAGCCAATGAAGAGCTTTGAAGGCAGGGTGAACGGAATCGGAGAAAGCACGTTACTTCCACGTGATATCCCCGTCATTGCCACTGGCGGCCTCGTGGCTATCACAACGGAGTGAATATTTTCGGCCGATGCCGGCGCTTTGGAGGGTGTGGGTGCTTGACTATAATTTGCAGGATTCCCAAGTTTGTGAAATGTTGATAATGGCCGCTTCTATGAAGTGGGTGCTTCCGCAGTATTTTATGGTAGTTCCGATGTGTCTCGATGTCTGTATTATTTCTTCCATTTTTATTTTCTAATTGAGCTTAGAGAGACAGAAATCACAATATCGACTCCAAAGAATGGAATCAAGCCCTAGTAACACGCTTCAAGGTTGTTTCAGTCATGTGTTAACATAAGAAATACTGGACTATCCAAAAAAGGTCCAAAAAGTCCATTAGTCACTTAGCTTATATTTCCATCTAGGAGAAACTTTACTCACATGCCACTTACTTTTAATGACCTGTCCACTAACTCTGTGGATATTTTTGTTAATTACGAACATTTTAAGCGTGAAGTTGAGTCACTCTTGTACACATAGCTACCATATTATTTCTAAACCTTTTCTATAATATTGTATGCGTGGACGTATATAAATGTTGTTATGAATGTGTAACTGTTTGTGAGCATGCTATATTTTGTACTTAAATGTCTCGTACAAAGACTTAGGTGGTTTTGAGGCATGAAGAACCAAATAAAAATTAAAAATTGCAGATCTATGTTACAAACAACATCCCTTATAAGCGCAACGGTGGTCATCAGACTGTCGCAGTGTTGGGAGGTAGGCAGCGCGGCAAAACAGATTGTTTTACGAACGTCCATATAACGGGAAGAATGGCCCACCGTAAGAAGGAAACCTCCACCTCCACTGCAGTAAGGCAATTTATCAGGCTAGTGCACGTTGCACTGGTCAAGTTGTGCCTCCGCAGTGGGAGCACTCTCCCACAAAGCATTTAGGTGTAGTCATTGGCCCAACTACAAAGGGCCAATCTGGTCAGCGCAAGAAGACCGCAGCATTGTTCCGCGACGCAAGTAGGTACCGCACAGCCCACAGTTTCAAATGCCATTTGTCAGCTTCGGGATACCTGCGAGGCAGCCCTGTCGCTACTGTGGTCTGCATAGATTACAGGCTACTTAGGCAAGAGCAAGTGTCTTTTGGCATCCGCGCAGGAATCTTGATGCGCAGAAGTTTTGGGCTCAAGAGGTGGATTGTCTGGAGAGATACCTCCTGTGTTGCAACTGTTCTCTTCTTGGCATTCGCGTCTGGCACGGCCCGCGACACCTCAAACTAAGAGCCGCATTGGCACTGAGTGGGACAGTCCTGTGGACAAAGGCCAAGGATTTGGATGGACCGGGCTTGCGTCCATGGGCAGCAGACTGCAAAGAGCCTGTAGAGCTATTGGCCGTGAAATTACACCCACAATCACTTCGTCAACCATGCAGAAGGGCCGATCACTACCCGATTCCAGCTCGTTGCCTGTTTGGTTAGCATTTATTTGGGCCGCGGAGTGGCAACGCTGGCCGCCCAATCCTTCCTACCTGACATATAGAAGGTATGTCTTCTCTTGTTAAAAAATGCTGACACTATAAACACACTTTTACAAATTTACGAACCGTTTAACCTCTTCGCTACTACTCATGAGTGTGACTCATGCCATCCATTACGAACCAGAAAGCCTCATCTCGAGCATAGCTTGTGTTTCGGTTTCAGAGCTTGTTTTGAGATCTCTCCGGCGGATGGCAATGCTACGACTATTGGTCCCAAAAAGAAAAAAATATTTATGTCTGCAAGCGTGATAAAAGGCAACATGACCTCAAGCTTCAACACAGAGGTTCACTTTAGCTGAAGAAGAAATACAGAAGCTATTATTTGAAAGTGACAAGTGTTTTAACATTTCCCATGACAAGTCTGACCATCTTTATGCTTAATCGGAAACTTTATTTAAAAATGTAGATTTGCACGAAATTACAAAAGACATCCACCTGGCCTCCAGGTGTTGTTTGTTGCTCTCCACCCTCTCAAATATTTCGGACAGTATCCCTCAGTAACCAACTACTCAATAGATACATCAGATGGCCAGGAACTAACAGCGAGAGCAACAAACAACCTTTGGAGGCTGAGAGAATGTTTCAATTTTTGGGCGAAGTGCCTCTTTTAAATAAACTTGCATGAAATGATTTATGAGCACAAAATTAGTATGCAATGGGCTAATATGAAGATCGGTCATCTTTTTGTTTGTGTCGACCCGTCACATTGAGAGAGTGTTTTGAATTCCGAAAGACAGAAGCAAGTTCTCTGTTCACGTCGATCTGTCAAGTGGAGTTCAAAACCCACCTCTTCTCAAAATAGTGGAATGCGGTCACAGGACCTACAGTTCTCCCCAAACTCGAGACGACAGGCAGGCGCCGTGCAGCGATCATTCGTCCAGCTACCTCAATGAATCAGTTCTCGACTTCTGTTCTTCAAAGGCGAGGAGATCGTTTGACGGCCAGGTTTCACGCTCTTTCAACTACTGAATCCGAGTCGAATAAGCACATTCTTGGGTGAAAGGCCTAGGGGTGTGAAACTCGGAAGAACCGGCGGGCAGTTCTATGTGGCCTCGTTGCTTCTTAAACCGAAGCCTTGCACCCACCGCCAACGAGAAACAAACGCTGCAGAAACTAGCGTCTGCAACCTCCCCAAAGTTTGTTTTTCCCGGGAACTGTGGACAAAGAACTCTGGGTAGCACCGGGAGCTTTCTCCGAAAATGAGCAGGTTCTTTACGGGAAAGAGCGCGAATGGAGCAAAGCGGCGGCAGCCAGACCAAACAGTCCCAAACCTTGCAAAAGCAGACGCGCACATCCAGCCCGTGCTTTAATGAAACGAGACCTGCATCAGCAGCCTCGTGGTATTATGCAGATTCCTGTTGAGGATGTTTCAGACTGCCCCAGAAGCGAAATTTTGACCCCCAATAAAAGAATAATAATAGCCCCATTTAACCCCTTAACCGTTTCAGACAAGCCTAGCTCGTCACCGTGGGGCCGTCACCAAACTGTTCAGGACGAGTATAGCTCGTCCGCTTTCCCCGGTTCACACACTCGACCATTTTAGACGAACAAGGCTCACTCATGGCTTAGCTTGAAGCTCTGCCAACAGATGGCAGCGCTGAATTGTTTTACAATTTCGCTCCCATTTTGTTTGTGGCTAGAAACTTGGTTTTGTAGGCAAAAAATGTAATTTTGAAGACAACAATTAAGCGGTTGAGGGTCAGATTTCACCCAAAACTTAAAACGGTTAAGGGGTTAAACTACAGCCAGAGCTCGCACCTACATTCGGACATAAGAAACAAACCAAATGTTAAGGGCGAAAGCCGACCAATGAGCTCAAATCGTCACTAATGTCTAAACGCAGCATGAACGACTTTGCATCGACACCACCAGGAACTCTGGTAACAGAAAGTTTGCGCGCGATAGCGAACCATTGGCCATTATTGTCTGTACAACATGGAGTGGCTGGAACGCAGCACAATCATGTCGAATCAAATGACATCACTTGTTCCATATGCCTACACCGCATTTGTGTGTAACCACTGCGTGCAAGTCTAACAAGAATCCTGATATACTTTGGTCGTGCTGAGGAGCCCTATGTTTGTAAAGGCTTCATGGAAGCTGCACACAATTCTTCATATGGGCTGCTGCTTCAATCAGGTGCTATGTGCAATGTAAAGCCCATATTACGAATGCATACTGCAAGAATACCTCAAACACAAAGGAGCTAAATCAACTATGCAGCCAAGGGGAACCTACGAGAAGCTATGTTATTTGTGGGGTATAAGCTCATACCAAGCGCAAATGTACTACCGAATTGACGGCCAACACCTCGGGAACCGATGGGTACGTGGTACCTAAAGTCGTGACAAGTAAATGTTGTGGCAAAGTCGATACCTGACTTTCATGGGACCTAAAGGAAGCTATAATCAGGGTGCCCAAGCTTGTGGCAAGTGCAACATTCTAGCAAAGCCATTACCCAACATCTGAGAGATGTGCATGCAACTACAGTTGAACCTCGATTTTACAAATTTTCCGATTTAACAAACAAATTCGGATTCCCTGCGGAGCGCAGCCAATGCGCGAGGTCTCCCTTCCTCGATTATACGAAGTTCCGGATTTAACGAAATAATTAGCGGGTCCCGGTGACTTCGTTTAATCGAGGTTCAACTGTATTTACGGGGCTTAAACTCGCAATAGGAACAATAATGTGACAAAGTCGATACCCTACTTCCACGAGACCTACAGAAAGCCACATTCAGGGTGACTAAAGCCTGTGGTATGGCGAAGCCGATACCCAGTGTATGGTGCAATGTTGTGACAAAGTCGACACCCGACTTCCATGGGACTTACAGGAAGCCACTTTCGGGTGCCTGAGCTTGTAGTTAGCGCGACATTCCAGCAAAGACGATACCCAGTATATGAGATGTATACATGCAAAGATCTACGGCACCTAAACTCGAGATGTTGTAGCAAAGTTGATACCTGATTTCTGCGGGACTTGCAGGAAGCCACATTCAGAGTGCCTAAGCTCGTGGGAGTGAGGCATACTAGTGAAGCTGATACCCAACATCTGAGAGACGCACAGTGTGTTGTCGAGCGCTATTCGGGTGTAAATAAACCAATGATTGAAAGTTTTTACAAATTTGTCTTTATGGGGTGCATTGATCATACTCAAATTTCATGAGTGTAGGTTCTAGGCAAAAAGATTTAAACCTGAAAAATCTTGTTTTTCTTATGCAGAGAGGAAAATGCTAAAAACCTTTTGGTTTATGCTGCACAGATTGTTCCACACATGCTCTAATCTATTAAATCTGCTTGCAAAAATTCATCTAAAAAAAAAATTAATCTTTTTTTTTATGTTGTGCCATCTGTGAGTAACAGTACCAACCAGGTTTTTAACGTTTTCCTCCTTGCGCATACAAAGTTGTTTAAGCTTATCGTAATACCGTAAGAGACAGCTTACCTAAACTCAAAAGCAAATCGACTGAAATAAGGAGTAAACTAACTTTCGGTGTCGTGCGATAAAAAAAAGTTGGAAGATTTTGTGACCTACAAAACTTGTGATTGCAGAGAGGGATGATGGACCAAAGACGACTGTCCTTCCCAGTCAGCGGTGTCCGCTTATCTCCCGTCGTGGCTAAGAAACAGCATTTCTGCCGAGGTCACCATTGGCCAGGACCCTGCAATCACTAGAAGTGGGCTATCTTTTGGCGTTTTTGGAAAAATAGCAAATTATGTCAAAAATATGGGTGGGTTAATTGTTTGGGGAGGTGCACCAATTTTATTCCTTACCCTTAAAACTTACACTTATGAAATTTGAGTACAATAAATGCACCACCTAAAGACACTTTTGAGAAAAAGTATAATCACACTCAGTTCATTAGTTTACTTACACCAACATTTTTAAGCCCCAATAGACCGATCTCACCAGGTAGTTCGAGAACGCCACCGCTGCCGACATGCATCGTGGGAGCTGTAGTCTTTCTGCACGCGCGACAACCCCGCTGGAGGTCTGCGCGAGCAGAGCACGAGGCGGCATGAGCTCTCTCGTGAACTGGCATGTGCCTCCTATGAACTAGTTATGACGGCGTCACGCGTGCGTGGAACACTTGGTGAGATCGGTCTATTCAACTTCTACGATGCCTAAACTAGATAGGTTGTAGCAAAGTCGGTCTCTCAAAGAGGCGGCTTGCGATTGGCCGACGAGCGCTCATCGTCCCCGCGCTGAAACTGCTGTTGGGGTATGCCCTGCCTTTCCTGAGCGGAAAAATTCGCTCAGAAAGGGATGCATCCCGACCTTATATCACACTTTTAATAGAGAAATTGGCATCGCACGATTGCAATTTTTTAATTTTTAGGATGCTTAGGGTTCGTAGAGTCAGTTATGGCCAAGAACAGATGATCACAGAATCTTCTTTAGTTCCCCTTTAAAGGGCAACTCCGCTCAATTACAAAGATTTCGGGATAATGAGTGATTTTGCATTAAAAGCTCCAGTAAAACACACTATGTCATTTGCTTTGCGAAAAATGGGATATATATTTTAAAATCTAATTTTAAACACAAGCAGAATCGAAACCAGAACTTTAGCTCCGTCCGGCAACATTGGCCTCAGGCCGCCAAGAACATGGCTATCACGTGGTACGATATGTCACGCGATTCTCTATGCAACGATGGGAGGGAATGGGGCGGGCGTGTGCCAGTCGTGGTGGTGAAGGGTGCAGTGTCGTCTGCACTGCACCCTTCACCATGTTTTGGTGCCTACCACATTTGACGACGTCTGCACAACTGCGGCATAAGTGTGCGCACGTAGTGCCCGTAGTGTGGACGAAACTTCAAAAGACAATAATCACGAACAGCGAGATGACGACGGCAGTTGTGAACTTGTGACGCGAAAGACGGCGGTAACGACGGTACCACGGCGGGGCAGCCGGACGGCTCTCAAGAAGCGTGCTGTGCAGGCACGCGAGAGGAAACGTCTCTGACGTCACCCGTTACGCTTGCCCGGAGGAGTAAAAACAAGCTAAAGGGGGCAATGGTGATGACGTTTAGCTCAACGTTGGCTACGCCCACGAGGTAGCCTTGACTGCGCTGTTGGTTGCGCTGCAATTCGCCCGCTCGAGTCAGCCGATTTCGGCAACTTGGCGAGTTGCAAAGTTTGCCGGACCGTTTAAGCAACATTTAGACCAAACTACGTCATAATATTTGGCGTGCGGTCTTCCTATGTGGTACTGAAGAGGACTGTATTGTTTTTTCAAAAACGAAAATGAAGCGGAGTTGCCCTTTAAGAGTAAAGAGGAAGCTCCTCCCACCTCTTTCCATTTTAGCAGAGCGAACGCTGGAGAGGAGGTCACCTCCTCTCCAGCGTTTGCTTTACCAAAGTGAAGAGAGGTGAAAGGAGCTTCCACTTCACTCTTAACCTGTCACCGACCAGACTGCATCAAACAATGTTTTACGCTCAAACCGTTCAGTACTACATCACAGCGAAGCTGATGAAAGACGTCTGTGGGACCTGAAACAACCCACAGGTCGCGGTGCCCCAGCTCGTGTCAAGCCGAATGTTGTACCGAAGTTGACGGCCGACTTGTGCGAGGAGCCTCCAATCGCGGCGCGTCAGCACGTGCTGAATGTGCGGGGAACAGGAAGATAAGGGACGTGTTTACTCCGGTCTCCTGAACGACAGCGCCCGTTCTCCTCCGATACTCCCTCCTGCAAAAACCTAAAAATACTCGGGGAGGCGCCTTCGCTCGCGCTGCCGAAAAAAAAAAGTGTCGAGACTGTGAGCGCCTTCAACGAGATGCCGAGGAGGCGCTGCTGCCGGCAAGGTCCCTCCCTGACGGCTGTTTAGGCTCGCGCTTTCGGGGAACCACAAATCACAATTGGCAGCAGCTTCCCCCCAACCGCCCCGCTGGCCGCAACAGCGACCGTCATCGACGACAACAGGCCTGGAGAAAACTGCAAATAAGAAAGACCGGGCGTTGTTCTCCAGATAAACCGAGGCCGGAATCTTGTGCCGGTGCTCGCCAGGTTCTGTCGGTGCCACCGAACGCGGGACAGCAGGGGCAGGTGCCAGGACCTGGCTCCCGAAAACCGCGTAGACCGCCCAGCCAGCCCACCGCTAGCCCGCCAGATTTGTCACTCGAAACACCATCAAACAGACTCACACACGCCTAGAGCACCGTGAACCACGATCAATCTCTGCCATTTCAGGTTCGGTGGTGACGAACGTCCGCTAGATCGGCTGTGCAGCTCTGTTAGATCGGTATCATATGTCCTTTTTCTTTTCTTTTTCGGTGAAAACAAGCGTGAAGTGAGAACTGAACAGCCGGACAATTTATTCGAGCGCTGTTTTTTCGCTGTTCCTCGGTGTTGGGCCGTCGAACAGTGCGATTCCGTTTCGCACGCAGTAGAGATTGTTTGGTTCGTTCATGCGTGCGACGTAGGTAGGTACGAGGTTTGTTTCGAGTCTAAATCGGCTACATCGGCTTCCATAACGCATTAACAAGGAGAAAAACGGAACAACCAATACGTACGATGTAAGGCATTGGTTGCGACGGGGCGGTCCTCATTTTTCTTTCGGCCCCGAGGCTACGAGTGCTTCGACGCCGACGCCCGTTGCGAACCGCGAAATTCCTTCGGTTGTCCCGATGTCCGCATTTATCTTCGGCGCAGGTTGCGCAGCTAATGTTTACGTCGCGGTGAACTACGACCCAGATGACAGGTGTGCCGTCTAGCCCTAAGTACAACCCGCTTCGCAAAACAGGTGTCTCCCTTCAACCTCCCTGGGTTGCTTCACCGCATGGCACCACGAACCAAGGTCGCCAGGCGAAGTCTAGAAATCCGCCGGCCTTAGCGGCGGCGAAATCGCATCATCGCGACGCATTTGATGTGCGTGCGCGTGTTTTTTAGCGAATGGATAAAACGTTTTTCAACACGACTAGGCCGCAATACGGCAAAAGTCCGGTGAACTTTTTGCTTCGTGAGAATAATTGTATAAATGGGGGTATCCAAACTTTTTGGCCAAGGGGCCGGATTGGGGACCTTCGCCAGACTTGGGGCCGGAAAATACTAAATAGATAAGCTCAAATAAGCATTTAAATGCAATTTTTTTTTTTTTTTTTTTTTTTAACTAGAGCAAAAATTTAGGAAGAATTGCACGTGGAAAGAAACACTTTTTAACCCAGAGAATTCACCAGGAATGTTAACGTTGGCATGTTCACAAAGGGGAGAAGACTGACAATATTGTTAAATGCTTAAAATTGGAAGAATAAAAACACGAAGGACGAGGACGAGACAACAACACACCCCGTTCACCCCCTCTTCGTTTCCCGGTTTCCCTCGTCCTTTTCGCTCCGATCTCGGGCACAGCGCGACGTTTTGTCTCCAAAACCAGACGTCGTTCCTAAACGAAAGAGTGCCGTCGTCTCGTTCTCGTTTCCCTTCTCCAGGGATTATTTTCGTCATTCTTGTCCAGCTCGCTTGCACCTTTGCATTTAATTGCAGTATAATCGTAACCTTACAATGCAAGCCTTTCACACTTGTTGGTGTTAGACTGGTGGCAGCTGATAAAACCTGTTTGCTCTACTGATGTCTACCCCTTGGTTAAGTCAGTTGGTAGAGCGCTCCACTGGAAATGGACTTCAGTTGACTAGGCCGCCAGTCAAATAACCTCTGCCTGGTTATGTCCACCTTAGAGAGCCTAGGGTTAAGAGAGGGGGCAACTCAAACCGTTGGCAATTTCATGGCGGACGCTTCAGCTCCGCCGAGAGATTCCAAGTGGGCACGCGTGGCGTCGTCCCATGGCGAGGAGGGAAGCGGGCGCAGAGAGGGGGAGACGCTTGCGGACGATCAACGATTTCGTCACTTTCTTGGAGCCGATATTGCAAACGCGGCCCATAAATCAAGCGCCCCCGGTCGAGCATTGGGAAGCACCCACGATGAATAATATAGGTTAGGAAACGTCAAACAGTCCAAGAGACAGAAAAATAAATAAATAAAGGACAAACAAGGGAACGTCTCAAACTCAGTGGCGGCGTTTTTTCGGTCCCACTCCTTTTCATATTGTATCCAGGTCCAAACGCCAAACATAAAAAAAGTAAGAAGCTTTTGAAAAGAAAAAAAAAATGATATTTTTAGACACTCTGGTGTCTAAAAAACACGCGTGTCAAGAAATAAATTTTACGCGAAAAAAAATTTAAAGAAATATTGACGGCGAGAGATTTATTTGAAATTCTGAGCGCAAAGACCATGACGTCACGGAATGGTCATTCGCTCAACGAGATGGTAATTCGCTCTTTCCACGTCAACGTGAAGGCCAAGCCGATTCCCCTCTCCTCCACGCGACTTTATTTGAAATCCTGCGCCAGATCGTCATTCCGCAATGACCATCTCTGTCGTGAAGGCGAAGCCACTCCTCCTCTTCTCCACGCGCCCAAAATGCCAAGGGAGAAAACAAGTGGAAAGGAGGCGACTACCGACTAAAAGGCACCACACACGTAGCCTAACAGTTATCGCGCTCTCCTTCAACGCAGAAAGCCAGGGTTCGATTCCTGGCCGCGGGTACGCATTGTTCTTGACTCTAATGTGATTATCTGTTAAATTCGGGAACTGCCTGCTGAATCGAGATTAGGATGTTCTACACGCCGAACCTTCTGCGCTGATTGTTCCAGAAGCCCACGCGTGTACAAAAGGTGAGCCGGAGCCAGTTTCGCCCCAGCGTTCGATCCAGCTGTTACGCCGACTTCGTCGCCCGCGACGCTCTTACCCGATCAGCTCGCGGGCACCGCCATTTTTGTGCGCAAAGAGCTCACAATCGGCAATCGTTGGGGCGGTGCATACTGTCTGCGGAGAGTGTCTTCTTTGTATGACGTCACACACTACTCATAAAAAGAAATATTGTCCGCAGATGGAAGCACAGAGCAAGCGTGCGTCGAACATGCTGCAGGCTTCTTAGGATGGATGATTGGGCGTGTTGGGTATTCATCATGTAGGAAATAGCGCTAAATTAAACTCACTCGCACTGAATATACCCGCAAACGGAAGAAAGATCGCTCAAGTCGCGCTATTTTTTCTGGTGTGCGTGTATTTTCAGTGCGAGTTTGATTTTGCGCTTTTCCCTACATGGATGCTGCAGACGCTGGTAATTCGTGTCTAACATCGTGTCCCTTGCACGACGTACGATTCAAATTTGCCACTTAGGGCGTCAGGTAAGCTCAGACGATAGAGAGTTTTGCTTAGACTCTTTGAACATTTCTGGAGGGCTGAAAATCCTGCCCTGCGATTTCAGTTCGAGCTTCAGACTATACCATGACTTCAAGCACCAAGATCACTCTAGTGTCCTTACCAGGTTGTACGTTACGAAGCGCTCTCTCAGTGGCGGCGCTGCAGTCGACTTACACATGATACAATTCGATCCGTGGGCTGGATCAACGGGATCGCTACCACAGCGCACCGCGGACGAGTGTGAAAATTAAAAAAGGCAGCTAGCTGTTAGCGAGGTGTATTGGATAAATGGATGGCTCGTTATATATATTTTTCCTACTGCTGGCCTAAAGCGGCAATGTTCTCATTACGCGCGAGAGTGTTTGTTCACGCGAGCTAACAGACCTTGGATAACGAAGGATCTAAAAAAACAACTAACCTAACAAAATATACATAAAAAAAAACAAAACAACACTGGTGGTTTTAGGTGCCAAACCAATGAAGAGCATCTAGCCCGCCCCAGCGGAGGGCTGGGGATTAATTTCCGCAACAAGTCTCCGTCAGGTAGCGGGCATCCCGGCCGGCATTGGAGCAAGCCCCGTGGGGATTCAATTTCATTGGGAGTATATTGACGGGCAGAAAATTTTAGTGCTTAGGCTACTGCCCTAAGTAAGCGCTTTCCGGCACAGTTTTCGCGGCAGTAGTCCTGTCTTGGGAGTAAAACGAGGAAAAACTTGCGATCGCCCTTTTGCGCTAACAACGTGTCGCGCTATGTACATACGTGTGAAATAAAAAAAGAGTGAAGAGCTATGCTCGATGAAAGTTGCTTCGGGCGGCTTCTAACAAACGCACTAAGGAGAGCTTAGGTGAGTGCAGTCACGAGCGCTGGTACACCCATTTCGGTCCTGGCAGACACCCAACACCTGCCTCTAATGTGAGAAATATCATTCACGTCGTCTGGCAGGATAGGTCACACCCAACCTGGCGTCAAGGAGTCGCCTCCACTCCCACGCAGTGCCGACGGGTTCTCCTTTCTTCGCATACTAGACTACCGCTCCCGAGTCGCGCGTCGCCGCAGGCACCCGAATCAAGAGACAATTTTCGATCCTGTTGCATCTACGAGAGATACGGCCGAGAATCAGCCAACCCCGACCTTACACACGAGTTTTTCGAAAACAACAACAACAAAGCGAAGAGCGAAAGAATCGCGTTGCCGATTTCTGACACGACGGGACGGCAAAAGCGAGTTTGGACAACGACGGCGACAACCCTTGACGAGCGGATAGAGTTCCTCTATGGTCCATCGCGGTTCATCCAATCATATACGAGGATTAGATGAATTGTGAACCGCTTTCCTTCCCATTTGTTTAGCCGATGACAACGCCCTTCTCATACTGTTAGTGACTCTGAAGTGCAAGGTTTGTCCTCATCACTCAAGTACCGGTATTATCAGAGCGCAGAAACCTCATAGCGAGATTTCAGGCACCAGGTTCTGACAATGAGCAAAGGCAAAATTGACTGTCTCTGTATGCGAGGACCGCGAATCTCGCAGCGTGCGTTCCTCGTCGATTGCAGCGCTGTGACTGGTCGGAGTCATTTTGGAGAACTTTTTGGAGCAGCCAAAAGTTCGTATTGAAGCGGTAAAAATAACTTTTGGAGCGGAAGCACGCACTTCACTTTTGTTCGTACCAATGTCCAACTAAAATGTAACGTTTTTTTTTTTTTTTTCTTGCCTTCCTACTTCCGCGCAACCTTTCGACAGTGTCAATTGTATGTTAGGTTTGATTCTCCCAAACAAAGAACTAGCTATCAGGTGAGCTGCGCGTAGAAGCACCAGGCACGGCAAAAATATGCTGATTGATGAAGGGCAGTATAAACTGCTACGAATGGTTACTTTAGGCACGGTACTCATGGTAAACGAAATAGTATATTTCACCGAAACAACCTTAGAACAGAATAATTTTGAGCACCTAAATTGATGTCTCGTTCAAGCTCAAATTGTTCTCAGAAAAACTGCAACTAGTAATTCCGACAAAAGAATTGTCATTTGATTGTGCCCTTTAATTATATTTTACATGTAGAACTCTATAGAAACAAAGATCGGCATGTGGACTAAAAACACGCTTTCTTAAAAACCAACCAGGCGAACTCATTAACGCATTCCCGAGCTTCCAATCATTGCTCTAGGTAATCTTCTTTTAATTTAATACATTGACTGTCCCATCGGTCATGTGTAACCCAAGCAAAGGCGATAACTAAACGAGACCGTTAACAGAAAAATAAACCCACGAGCAGTCCATATAAAGCTTCTTGCACCATCCAAGTAAACTCGCTAAATTCCGAATTTTTAAAGCTATCCTCAAAAGATCGCAGTGTTTCATATATAATAGTCACTGTTCCATTCAAAAATATTTATTGCAAGGAAGAGTTGTTACATACGACTCATAAATATTTCTTTCCTTTTTTTTTTTTTTTTTTCTAAGATATTTTACGTCTGAGTGTGTAACGTTTCCCTTTGGAGGAGTGCTTTCCCCTTAGTACACGGATGCGCTGCGGCAAAACATGACACGCAAAATCGCGAC